CCAGGCTGCTGCTCGGCAAGCCGAGGCCATTTTTGGTATTGTCACCTGATGCCAAGGCACTAGGCTGCTGCTCAGCAAGCTGAGGCCATTTTTCTTGAGCTAGGGCTCATGTTTTTCCGGGCCGACCTCGCTTTACCCCTCCATGTAGTTTACCTTTGATGGCTCTGGGAATCGAACCCATGACCTTCATATGCCCTAGCACATGATGCCACCGGATGATCTTACCACTAGACCATCCCACCATTGTGGTTTGCCTTTGATGGCTGTGGGAATCGAACCCATGACCTTCATATGCCCTAGCATATGATGCTACCAGATGATCTTACCACTAGACTATCCCACCGTCTTGGGGTAGGATATCTGGGTGGTAGTGTTGTTGATTGGTAGTGGTTGAGGATGTGGCGGTGCAGTTGGTGTGGCTGGTGTGGCTGTGCAGTTTTTGTGGCTATGCAGCTGGTGCAGCTGGTGCAGCTGGTACAGCTGGTACAGTTGCTGTAGAGTTTGATGTTCCTGTCTGTGCATCCATGCTCAGATATACAGTGCTGTGCTCAGATACACACAGGTCAGGTCAGCTCGGCTCTGGAGCTGTGCCCGCTCCTGAAAACTCTGATCTGGCACCAAAGAGGGGTGAATTGCAGCTTTCTCCTTGAATAACTCTTGAACCAGATGCTGCAGCAGGTTGCAGCTGGAGATATTGGATCTTTGGGATGTCAAAAAGATGTGGTGCAAGTTTGGAGATGAAATTCCAAGCGGAAAAAATGTTCCAATATTCATGCTTTTTTTCTATCACCAGCTTTACTAGGCCCTGTCTGGTAACCCAAAACATCAAGCAATGCAGTCGAGATAGATGTTCAATCAACGCTTATCTTTAACTGGATTCGAAGATACCGGAGCTCCTCACCAGCATCGATTATTGAGATGGTGAGGTAGTTTAAAAAGGGGGTAGAATTGATAGTGTATTCGTAGGTGTTAATGGCCGCCAAGATCACGAAACTTGAGCTAGCCTGCTAGGCAGCTTCTGAATATAAAAAACCATAAGAAGAAGCAGATTCAAAAAGGAGGGACCCTATCATAGGCAGAAGCAGAGGTGATAGTAGCTCAGAAGAATGCTGAGGCTCAGCTTGAGGCAGAAAGATGTGAGGAGAGGGAGGAAGCGGATGCTGGTATATGGGGTATTCGACGCTGCAAGATGTATGGTGAGCCAGGGCACAACAAGCGTATATGCAAAAAAGATGCAGTAGATGTAGAGAATTTATTTGAGCTATTGTAAGCTGCAATAGCTTGTTGTAACATTGAGATATTTAGATTTGGAGTTAGTTTTTCTTTATCTATAATTATTCTATCTAGTCCTAGTTTAGAACATAGCGCCTCCTAGTAGGCGACCGTGCGGGCGTTAGGCAGGGAGACACAGCTCTCAGAAGAGTGCTGTACTTTAAGAACGGGCTTGGCGCGGAATGCAAGCCGCCCGACTCTTACCACCGTAACGTCACCAGGCGACTTCGTGCTCGGCATCACCACCACCACCTCCCGCAACTCCATTCCTACGATGGGCGCCTTGTTGTCCGTCCCTTTTCTCGCGCTTCCAAGCGTAGGCACAGTGAGTAGTGGCACGATTACCTATCCGCGCGCTGCTAACAACCGAAGTTATGGGGCTGTCTCGCCTCTTGCTGTGGAGCTGCAACATGCAGTGCCGTCTTTGGCTCATGTGGAGGAAAGTGTGGGAATAGGTGCGCGGTTGAACCTCCATGTTTTGCATGAGATGCCTTAGCTAATGGCCCACAGCATCGCCACGCGCATAGCGTACGCACTCATCCTCCTCGTCAACTCCATCGTCTCCTGGATTATGCTCACCGACTGGGCCATGAAGAAGCTCTCGCATCTTACCCTCGACTACGTAGACATACAGTGCAACGGCGAGCAGTGCTATGGATACGTTGCGGTGCAGAGGATCAACTTCGCGCTTGGCTTTTTCCACCTCCTCATGGCGCTGATGCTGGTCGGAGTACGGTCATCGAAGGACGGTCGCGCCCCGATTCAGAACGGCTTCTGGGGACCCAAAGTCATTGCTTGGATCGGCATGATAGTCCTCACCTTCTTCATCCCAAACTCCTTCTTCATTGTCTGGGGGAATTACTTTGCCATGATTGGCGCATACCTCTTTCTCCTCATTGGTCTTATCCTCCTCGTCGACCTTGCCCACAACTGGGCGGAATACTGTCAGGAGAAGATTGAAGTCACCGAGTCCAACGTGTGGACCTCACTACTTGTCGGATCCGCTCTGTTCATGTACCTGGCTTCGCTGGCTATGACCATCGTCATGTACATCTACTTTGCCAAGTCTGGATGCGGCATGAACCAGGCAGCCATTACTGTAAGTAGGGAGAGGCCGGAGTGTTGTGCGCCGCTGAAATGCCCCAGGTCAACATGATATTGCTCGTCGTTGCATCGGTGGTATCCATCCATCCGGCCGTGCAGAATGTAAACCCTCGCGCCGGCCTCGCTCAGTCCGCCATCGTCGCAATCTACTGCACGTACCTGACCATGTCCGCCGTTGGTATGGAACCGGACGACCACCAGTGCAATCCCTTGATCCGCGCGCGGGGAACACGGAAAGCCACCATTGTCATTGGTGCCATCGTGACTTTCGTCACAGTTGCTTACACAACAACGCGTGCCGCAACCTACGGACTTGCTCTTGGATCGCAGGGCAATTCCTACGGGAACGGCTACTCTAGCCTTGGTACGGAAGATTATGAGCATGGCCTCGTGACGCAACAGCCCGAGTCGCGCCGTGAGATGCGTCAGGCTGCGCTTCGAGCGGCCGTGGAGAGCGGGGCTCTCCCCGCCTCAGCCCTGGACGATTCCGACAGTGACGACGAAGACGATGGGCCAGCCCGGAATCCCCGCGACGACGAGGTGAATGCGACACAGTACAACTACTCGCTCTTTCATCTCATCTTCTTCCTCAGCACAACGTGGGTTGCCACCCTGCTGACCACAAGCTTCGACGAAAAGGACATGCAAGGCGATTTCGTTCCGGTTGGCAGGACGTACTGGGCGAGTTGGGCCAAGATCATCAGTGCCTGGGTCTGCTACGCCATCTACATCTGGAGTTTGGTCGCGCCGCTTGTAATGCCTGACCGTTTCGATTATTGAGCGATCTGCCTTGCTGCGTGGGTTCTGTGGTGCGTTTATGGCTCATGAAGAGCGCTGTACGCGTATGTAATATTGTTAGCAGTTTGGATTTTTCGTAATAATTGGAAAACTTCAATTCTCATGCTCATGCTTCATGGGTATGTAACATTACTGTTATAGTCTCGGTCGACGCCAAGCCACCCCGCTAGCGCCCGCTGCTGCGCCCCACCACAACTCCGAAAGCATGTGTGAGAGTGGAGCGTGTGGCGAGCTTCATTACGAGTACATACACCCAGAGGTGAAGCGCCTCTGGCTCCTTTCCACTACCGCCGGCCAATCCAACTTCGCAACCTTGGCGGCTGCCTCTTCTCTGCGCCTTTGCTTCTCCCACACGCCTCTCCAGGTTCATTCTGCCTCCTGCAATACTGCAACAGTTCGCTGTCCGCCATGCCTGCGCCGTTGGCCAAAGGTGAGTATCAGCCTGCTATGCGCCGTCTCTGCACCGTACCTGTCTCAGTCGTTATCACCCATCCCCTGTTTCCATGAACTCTCTTCCATGCGAAGCTGTTTTTCCTATCTGCTCACACCTTCTGCTATTACCCTCTGGTACCTTTTTGCCTAACTCATCATTCGGACAGGTATCATAATCGCCGCCTCAGTCGTGGTGGCTGTCGGCATTGCCCTATACGAATCTCCACAGGTCCGACAGTGGGTCGATCAATCACGTCGTAAAATAGCCCTCGCTCTACACAGCCTCGGAGATGAGATACAACCCCGAAGACCATCAGAGTGCAGTGAGGACTATGAAGTCCGGAGGCAAGATTTCATACGCCGAAGGAGACTCGAGCTGATAAGGAGGGCGCGAGAGGAGGGAGTTGCGGTCGACTTGGACGAGTTGGCCAGAATTGGACAAGACGACGTTGAGATGGCGGCACGGAGAGAGCGACGTCGGCCGACCGCCAGTCAGAAATCGTTCGATGACCTAGTCGGTCGGGACGGGAGATTGAAAACGGATGACAGGATTGTGGAGAAAGCGACCGGCACCGATATCCCTAGTAGTGGCACCGTTCGGAAGCGAGGCATCTCAGGGTTTGCTGCTGGCTCTGCTGCTGCTGCCGGGAACCCTTTTTCGGATGACCAAGTTCTCTTTGACCAAGACGAAGAGGAAGCTCCTGCTCCGAAACCATTTACCTACACCGAGTCGGGAGGGAGCTCGTTGAATGTCCAAGTTGATCTGCCAACCTACCAGGCCGGTGAACTCATCGACCTTGATCCGTTAGCTGCCATTGCGGATTCTCAGAACGTCCAGGCTGATCATTCGCATACCGGTAATGCCACACAGTCATTCTATTCCTTACAGAGTTCAAACTCTCTGTCGGGTTCCGCGCAGCTTGGGCTTCCGACGGAAGATGAGAGGTCGGAGATCGACAGTGTGTCTGCTGGGACTCTCACGCCACGCTCAGACCGATCAGCGTTTACCGGTGTATCGGTGGTTGGAAGCCAGGCTGATGACATCGCCATCCTCTCTCAACACCAAGACACTGATCACGACCCCTTCTCTGAAACCTTCTCTGAAGCTGGGTTTACGGATACCGGATTCAGCGAAGCCGGATTCAGCGAGGTGGGCAGTCAGGCGGGTGTAGGGATGACGACGCCGTCTAGCTGGACAGATGTAGGCAGTGACGATGAGAGCGAATGGGGTGGGCCTGGCCACAATGGCCATGTTCATCAGTAATGGTCGAGCAGCGTTGCTCCATCTTGTTTGTTTCGGGTTGATCTGCTTGGGTTATGTATACAAGGAGGTACAGGTTTCAACGGCTAGGCGCACTGGAGTCGTGGTTCGGAATCGATTCTATTGTATTCTTGTCACGGGAGAGCCAGGTTTCCTGACCCGCATTCTGTTCTGCTCTTATCATGGGCTTCAAATGGCTTCGTGGCGGGTGCGATTCGGTCACAAGCAGAATGCCGAGCTTCAAATGATAAATCCCGTATCCGAAAAGGATCATGCATTGTGAGACGTTGTCCCGGGTATCTTAGTTCAATCCATACCGTATCCCCAACTCCGAGTTATATCGCTCCAGGTGCCCTCAGACAGCGCCGACGCCCAATATGAGCCTTTCGACCTTGCGGAGTAGCTCCTCTCTGTCCTTTACAGCCTCCTCCTTCTCTTGCTCTAGGCCTAGAAGCTCCTTTTTCAAAGCCTTCATTTTCTCCCATTGCTCCTTCTCAGATACACCATGTCCGGGCAGTGCTTTGATCAGAGTCTCGATCTGCTGCTCTTTTTGCACCAAATCGTGCGACAGTTCCTTGATCTGGTTTTGGAGTTCTTCCGGAGACACCTCTGGGATTGACGCGTTTAACGCATCGTGCGATTGCGCGGGCACGCCTTGCCCTTGCTGAGGAGCATTCGCGGCGGCCTGCGCTTGTGCCTGCTGAGCTTGTTGTTGCGCATGCACGGTGAATGAGGTCAGGAGGGGTTGGCCGGGTGGAGCGGAGGGTGGTGCTCGATGTTTGATGGTCTGTAGACTGCTTTGCATTTGAAGGAGGAGCTATGTGACGTAGAGGTCAGTATCTCGAATGAAGAGGGTTTGCGGAAGATGTACCTTGTCCACCTCATCCTGGATTTGTGTCAAGACATCACTCATTGTGGTCGATATGCATTGAATTGAGAAGGCTGCCGCGGCGTAAAGGATGTCCGAGCCTGCTAAGTATTCGGAGAAAGGCTTCAGTGGTAGGTCGAAACCCTCCCAAGGTGAGGTCCGGATGGAAGTTGAGCACATGAGACCACAAACAAACGGTAGATCCATGATTAAATATCGGGAGAGTTAAGCCTTGGCGGACAGGGGTTAGCGTCTCCCGCGCTTCTGCTGCGAAATCTCTCCAGCCCGAGTTTATACTCTGTATTTCCGTGTCACTCCTTTGTCTTCCTTATCTCTTGCAGATATGTCCCTTTCGTCCGTGTATGCATATTTCATACAACGGTAATGCGTACCTTTCCCCACCTTCAATACTTCAAGGGTGCCTTCATACGCTGCCCGTCGTGCTTCCTTCGCCCTGCAGGAGCCCGCAGACATATTGCTACAGCTACAGCTGCATCTACAGCTACAGCCACTATTGAGGCAGTTCAACAGGTGCCCACCCTCCCAAGCATCGTATTATCCTCAGGATCGCCTCATCACAATTCATTGTCCACGTTTCTGGAGTACGCCGGCCGCGTCAACCTCGCGCCCACGCGGTCGTTATATATCGGAACGCACTATGAGTACACTTCGGCGCTGGCGCTGCTTCGACTCGGCTTCTCACTCACCCGCACCGGTCGAGCCGGTGACGCAGGCATTGACTTGATCGGCCATTGGACCTTGTCTCAATTTCCCGTACCCCTCCCTGTCTTCGCGCAATGCAAAGCCCGCAATGCCAATGTACTCTGCTCACCAAGGCATATAAGGGAACTCGAGGGCTCCTTCCAGGGGCTGCCTGCGGCGTGGAGGAACAAGGATGTTTTGGGACTCCTGATCACTTCACGTCGCGCTACGAATGGGGTGCTCGAAGCACTTAGAAGGAGTCGGTGGCCCATGGGTTTTCTCAACATCTCGCGGACCGGGGCCATTGAGCAGTTCGTGTGGAATCGAGCGGCTACCGAGAAAGGATTAGAAGGGGTAGGCGTCAGCATCCGACACACGCCAAAGGTTCTGTTGCTTCCAAGGCTTGCACTCGAACAAGGGAAATATGGCTCTGATTGGAAGGTCGCCAAGAAGAGGCGATGGAGCAGGTCATATCCCGATGCCGGCACAGTGAACGACATACAATTGACGTGGATGGGCGAGCCCATCTTCCCGGTCCGCGATGGCCTGGTTGAGGAGACCTTACCACTGGCGGATCCACCTGCTGCAGATCTCGAGGAGGAAGCGGCCAACGCATCAGGCAGCAAGGTCGCGCCTGATATGAAATATAAGTCCACAAGAGCAGCCGCGCGCAAGGTGTCAACAAAGCCTAATTGTGCTGATAAGAAGGCTGTGCCCGTCAAGCGACCGAGGGGTCGACCACCGGGATCCAAAAATCTGATAACTGTGGCTTTGGAAGGCCCACGGAAGCCCGGACGCCCGAAGGGATCGAAGAATAAGACTACGATAGGCAAAGCCTGACGACTGTCTGGGTCTCTCTTACCACCCGATTTGTGGCAATGACACACGGCCATAGTATTGGGGAAGTGCTCTCGAGCACCTGCCTGGAGACCAACACGTGCAGAGAACGACACCTCCTCCGGCCGGCACTGGAACGGAATGCCGTCTAACATCAAGCATCATATTTTCAACCAAGTGATATGCTAGGTAAGTCCATCTCCCATCGCCAAATCAGAGGGCCGTGGAGTATCTTTGAGCCGATCGCGATTCAAGGCAAGAGCATGGATAATTGATCAGACTATTCTGTGGATTTCGAGATTGGGGTCAACGTGTGCTTATTATATGACAGTACCATCGTTACAATGCAGGCGAACAGCTACCGAAGCTGTCCTGGAAATGCCGTCCCCGAACCATATCGATCGCTTCATGCGTGGCTGTTGAATGCCTTCTCCCAACCCGCCTTCCAAGATCACGGTGGATTTTGTCCGGGTCGAGGCAAATGGACGACTACTGCTGTCGGTGCTTGTGTCCGTTGCGAGCCGTATATCAACACAGCGGGCCGTATCCGCGAATTTTGTCGGAAATATCGACAGCTGAGCGGCACCAACCAGGCTTACGTTTCACATTTGATGCTAGACCGAGGCTACACTTTGATGGATGCAGTAAGGACTGCGTCACGGGTGCCAACTTCCTTTGCAGTTCTATCTCCGTTGCCCGTAGATGAGCACGCACTACGTCTACCGGTATCTCGGACTCGTGAGACCCGCTGGTCCGCGGTCGCCCAAACCCACGATCCCCGTTCATCTACCCCTCCCGCCTTGTCCGCCTTGACGCATCACAGCCCTGCCGATGCAGCTGGCTTCTCAAGCCCAATTCCGGCTCATGGAGATACGTCATACCGCTTCGTCCTCCACGAGACGATTATTCAGGGGAATGGAGTTCGCTATCATCGCATTTTGCAGTTGAGGCCTAGAACTGTGCCAAGCGGTGTGCCCTATAGTCCGATTCGTGGAGCTCGAGTCTCTCTGCATGTACGGAGAATAGGCGGTCCAGACGTTGCCGAGGGACGTCTACAAGATGTTGAAGGTCTGCCTGGTGGTTCGGGCGACGTTCTCACAGAGTTGCTGGAAATTGGCGCGATGGCAGCGCTATCTGACGGATAGATTCAGGGGACGACCGGCAAAGTCATACCGGGCACAGTCATATTGTTACTGAGAATCTCAATGAAGCGTTTCATTCGTACAGTTTTAGGTCTTTGAATTGAAGAGATTGCCAGCCCAAAATGTTTCAAGCCTTGCGGTCTATTCATCAAGGAAGCGCGGCTAGCTTCGAATTCGAGTCTCTTCATATTATAAGTTCATTGTGCCCAGTATGTATTCCTGCAGGCTTTTCTATGCCACATGATCGCGGATGTATAATCGTGCATCCCACGTCCCCAACCTTGTACGAACTCACACGCATCCCTTTAACCAAAGTTGGGGTTCTGGGTGGCTATCCGAAGCCGGGTACATGTTGGGCGACCGTGGAGGAGTAGGTTGTATCCATTGTGGATGACTGACTCCGCAGAGTCCCTATAGCGTGCGAGGGAACTCCACCAGAGCTTCCTTGCTTTTGTGACGCCCTAGACACTCCGCTCCCCGAATGCACCCGTCCATGTAAGTCGAAACTCATTACATGTGGTGCAGTGTAGCTAAGTGCGATACGTGTGTAGGAATGGGATAGAAGAGAAGCACTAAAGGTATATGAAGGGGACTTTCAAAAGGCGGGACATGCGTTGTTACTGATAACAGTTGAAGGATACAGGTAGCTTTGAGCAATCGATGTATGGTTTGGCGGTCAGTGACGTGTACGTGAGCGATATATGGAAGGAATCAAGAGTGCCATAGTACGGGCGTTTACACAGGTACACTGCGCTACCGCCTCCTCCCACGTCCGACTGAACAACCCCATGTACTTCCAATCCAAGTTAGAATACGTATTTTAAGGAATCTAATTGGCTATATTCTAGTTACGCTACTAGGGCACGGTGTTTTAAGGCTGGTTATACCTCGAGGGAGGCGTAGAAAAGCCAGTTAGAAGGTCAATAACCCCTACGCGCACCGTCGTGTTCACAGTCGGACGTGAAAAGAGGCAGTATATTGTATAGGCGAAGTGCCAGCAATCAAAGGCGGAAACATTCATCACAAATCGCCACGGCGCCGAAACCTCTCCCATGGCGCGTCTTGCCATTTCTCAATGCGGTAGATGGTCTACAACTTCGATGTTGTTCCTGCGACGTCAGTGCTCTGGCCACATTCACCGAAAGGTTGGCAAGCTCACCCCAAAGGGTCCAGGAGAAAAGCCGCATAATAGTTCGGATGGTAGTTGTTTCTCAGGCCTGGCTTCCCGTTGCAAGTGCCTCCAGCCTTGATACCCTCAGCATGGAATCGATCAACCGTCTCGTGGTCCTTTGCGGAGAAAGCAACATGGCCATGTGCGGCACCGGCAGTGACCTCCTTCGCCGCGATCCAGAATGGCATGCTGTGTTGACTTGGTCCGAAGCCTACGGCGACTCCTGGGAATTCTTTTTGCTTGGTATATCCTAGTGGTGCCAGCGCAGCTGCGTAGAAGTTGACAACCTCCTCGAATCTGGATGGATGGACGGAGAACCCTGCGTGGTCGAGCATGGCGTTATATCGTGACGTTGAGCAAACTTGCGAAACTGGATTGAGGGATTCACTTCTCAACGAGCGAGTAGACCTACCTTCGGCGGGTTTTTAAGGTAACAGAAGAGCTGAATGCGGGGTAATCTCACCCCGGAAAAGACATGCAGGTCAGATGCGAATTACGTTCCTAGTTAAATTTTGGGTTAGAAAATGTTGCCTTGTGCCTCCCCGCTTTTCTTTGCTCTTCCAAGAAAATCACTTCGGCACCAAACATGAAGACATATGCTCTGTGCATGTAGAAGCCGACGGGTGTGTGGTGTAAACAAAGGACAGCGTCAGACAGCGTCAGGAAGTTCTCTGCGGTCTCGACCAGAAGTGTATTGGGAATTCCCTAGAGTGGTGTCTTTGCTCTTACTTTTCTCTCCCCTCTAACGACTAAGTATTATTTATACAGATATTCGTGGTAGCTACAATTCTTCTATCCCCCGTGTCCCTTGCGAGCTCCTCTTGACTACTATGCGCATCATCCCACAGTCTATTCGAAAGCGCATTTGGCAGCCGAGGATGATGCTCTGGTTTCGGCCGGCTGGCGTTAACCCTGCTATGCATGTTGAATATCTCTCCGCTGCCACGCCGCCGAGCGTAGCCATTGTAAGGGGAACCGGAAACTTTCTTGCTTGTGATAAGGCCGCGAATGAAGATGGCAAAGCCGGGGCAGCATCCAACAATAACTGCTACAGAGGTCTCAAGGACAGTCCAGAGTATAAGCCATGTTAGTTCGGGCTGGCATGGAACGATTAGCGGCACATTTGCGGCATATCTGTTATATAGTCACTCACCGTCCCACCCCGAATTCGATTTGGTCGACTCCCGATCTGAACGACACGTAAAGTTGCAAAGACGATGCATATGAAGCTACTTCCAAACAGAACCATGATACCAATCTTCTGTCCACGGTCCATCTGCAGGTTCCACGTTAGGCGGATCGGTAAGACCATGACAGCTATGTCAGTCGCAACGTCGACCGCGAAGGCAAAGTACAGACTAAAGACAGTTCTCTTCTGCTCTCCTGGTGTCTGCCCACACCTCCCCTCCGATAGTTGAGCTCTCATACTCGAACAGATTGTAAGCGTGCTGAGGAGGCTTCCAAGCCAGGAGAGGATGACGAAAAGGACGATACCGTGCCATATCCTTCTGTAGATTCCTGGTAGGCCTTGTAGGAGGTTGTGATAGAGGCTGAGGAATGAGCCCTTGACGCAGGAGAGTAGCGTATAGAACGCCACTTGTGCCGGCAAAATGAGCCTCTGCATAAGCGCAGCCTACGAGGAAACAATGTCAGACTGGTAGTATGATACTTGGAGCCCAGCGGTCCTTGAACTTCGTCACTCACATCATCAGTCATTGTCGGATAAGGTCGACGTTCCCTATAAAAAACCGCGTAGATTTTGAACGTTGGGGTGATGAGAAGCAGGTAACACACCCACATGGCCAGGTAGAGGATAAAAGCAAGATAGACGAAGAGGTCGGTGAGCTGAAGGTTTTTGCTGCGCCTTGTAAATGCCGTAACGACACGCCCGACGACAAACACTGTCGTGATAGCAAGACAAGCGATGTTGGTCGCTATCAGTGCAGGTTTCGATATGAGCCCGCTCGTCATGCTGATCGCGACGTACTCATGGATCGGAGAGTTGGAAGTCAACCTGGGTTCAGATTCACCAATTTCAGCACCCGTGGCAAGAATCAAGTAGTAGATATATGAGAAGGTCGACACACTTGGGGACAATCATCGGTACTGGCAATGTAGCAGTGAGACGGTGAATGCCAAAACCTTATGAGCTTTATCCAGCTCTGCTACCAGACTCTCGTGGATCTGTCCATTGTTCCCGAGGCCATGTCTTCTTCCACTGTTTTGTTGGTGGCAGCGTGCAGGACTTCTCGGTGTAGGTGTGGCGCCAGCGCACACTGAGCACTGGACCGCAAGATGCTCAGTTATTCTCGCAACATATTATGGCTAACCTGGCCTACGAAGTATTAATGCTTAGAACGCGAGGAATTGATACCTTGTTCATATGAGTCCGCCTACGCACACCTCATTGAAAGCTCGTTAGCATGGTATATAGCACAGCGATACCGAAAACGGCACCGGCTGGCCGTGTTTCGTTCCATGTATCTTGAAGCCGTGAATAGCATCAAGAGAGGAATACCTGGAGTGACGCATGTTACTACCCGATTGAGATTCTGTGTAGATTAGTGGCTTTCCCATGCTAATATTTTGCGTTTCTCGTCTTTCAAACCGAAAATCCAGATGCATAACACAAAACCTTGCACCAGCATCATTGGCTCCGCGACTTTTGTCGATTCCATTGTCCGACCCGCGCAGTGACCACCCCTTCCGCTTCTGCTACCTTGAAAGTAGCGGGGAGCGTTGCGCGAACTTTGACTCTATTGGTTCGTTGTTTACAAGCTGGATTGTATGTGTTGGTGGAGGTACTCTTTTGGCCTGTAGAAGAGAAGAGGTGCCGATAAGGTTCACAGGTGGAAAGGTGTGGAGCGAAGTCGGGAGGGGTGCATCTGCCAACGGGCGCTGGCTTGGAAAGTTGGCCCAACATTGAGGAGAGGCGAAGAGTCCATCGCCCACATCCATATTCGACCCGACGTCCAACCAATATCCTCGACTCAGTTGATCTATAGATATTGAAAAGGGCGAGAGAATGAGTCACGTTGTTGTTCCCTCACAAACCGTGCGACAAGCCGAGGCGCACGCAGTTTGAGGACACTAGTCGTCCTTTAGGGGCTTTCACATTCACACAGCGCGATGGAGCCTTGGATTTGATGGCACCCCACCCAGTGAGGAGGCTTTTCGCGTTATTCTTAATATCCGTCTGTTACTGATGGAGCCTGTTGGATCGGCCCCCGGATCAGCTAAAATCCGTCCAGAATACGGGCAGCTGCATCAGGTCGACGAACCATCTTCAACTGTGCCTCGAATCATGCACTTTCAAATGCAGCGTGGGGCCCAAGCGATGATTTTGGCTTGCTGGATAAGAATGCATGGTTGTCCCCCCTTCTTAAGGTCCCATCATTCATTCTTTCTCTCTTCGTCTCATTTCCCAACCTTTGGGAACGTTGAAGTGTCACTGCCACAGCTGCAGGCATGAAGGTATCGTCTTTGCTTACTGCGAGCGCCTTCGCAGCGGGTGCCGTTGCTCAAGCTTTCGAGGACGTTGATTTCAGTAAGCATGGCTTCTATATACTTATTGCGTCCATGCATCACGCATTCGATGGAGCTCCTCAAAACCTGACTTTTGACCACAAGATGTCACGGAAGCCCTGCTTCAAAACCACTTCGACGTAACCCTAGCTCCGGAACTCTTGGAATTCGTTAACAATGGCCAACTGGGCTCAAAACGCTCTCTCCCCGAGCCTTGCGCGACTGCATGCAAGTCCTTAAAAGCCGTGTACGGTTCATCGAAGCTCATCTCCCAGGGAACCACTGAGTACACCGCCTTTCAAGCCGCATACTGGTCGAACCAGCAAGCTTCTGTCAGCCCACGCTGCGTCTTCAAGCCATCCGAACCAATTGAGGTTTCATCTACCGTCCTCATCTCGCGTCTTACTCAGTGTCCTTTCGCGGTCAGAGGCGGGACCCATGCATCTTTCGCGGGCGCATCCAGCATCGAAGGCGGGATCACATTATCTATGGAGAATCTGAACCAAATCAAGGTTTCTTCGGACAAAAAGACCGTGGATGTGGGCCCCGGGAACCGGTGGGCGTCTACGTACCAGGCGCTCGAAAATCACGGCCTGGCTGTAGTTGGTGGGAGAATGGTGAGTACTGCCGTTTTGTTGTTCGCTTTTTTGTTGCTTTGGTTACCCTCAGCACTGCTAACTCAGGCCAGTCGCCCGTCGGTGTCCCGGGTCTCGTCCTTGGTGGCGGCTTCTCGTTTTTCTCCAACAAGCTGGGCTGGGCGTGCGACAATGTTGCAGCCTTTGAGGTAGTCACTGCTTCGGGTCGCATTATCACTGCAAACGCCACGCTGTTTCCTGACCTCTACTGGGCCCTGCGCGGCGGCGGCAACAACTTCGGTATCGTCACCAACTTCAAACTTTATGCGTTTGAACAAGGTAAGATGTGGGGTGGCCAGCGAATCTACGCTGAGAACCAGTTCGAAAAAGTGAAAGATGCCATATTCAAGTTCGGCAACGAAACATCCTCCACCGACACGGATGCAGCCCAGATTGTGGTGCGTCCACGTTATCATTGAACAGTATGGAGCCAGTAAGTTGACATACATCTCACAGTCCTTCGCTGCGATACCAAGGCTCGGCAATGTCGCTATCACCCAACTCCACTACGCAAAACCGGTTGCCAGTGCCCCCATCTTCAGTGACTTCAACGTCATTCCAGCCATCTCCGATAACACGGACGTGCGGCTCCTCAGCGAGCTCGCCATCCTCATGAATGAAGGCAGCCACGACACCGGCCTTCGCCAGGTCATGTGGGATGTGACCTTCAAGCTGGATCGAGGAATTTTCGACTTTCTTACCGCCACGTTCTTCGCCGCCGTGCCATCGCTGTCTGATGTCGAAGGACTCTTCGCAGCCATTTCCATCCAGGCGATCACCGAGGGCCAGTTGACGGGCATGCAGCGCAACGGCGGGAATGCGCTGGGTCTCAAACCAGAGAAGGGCCCGTTCTTCATTATGAATATGGGTTCTTCGTGGACCAACCCTACCGACGACTCCCGCCTTTACAAGTTCCTTAACGATATCACAGAGACCGTTAAGGCATATGCGAAGAGCAAGGGTATCGACAATGATTTTGTTTATCTAAACTATGCATCGGAGTTTCAGGACCCTATTGCTAGCTATGGGGCTGATAATGTTGAGCGCCTGCGAGCAATCAGCAGAAAATACGACCCTGGGCAGGTGTTCCAGAGGCTCCAACCTGGTGGCTTCAAGCTGAGTGGAGGACCTCCAAATCAGTCAGAACCATAGGGTGAAGATCTTTGGAAACCAAGGAAGGCGGGGTTTTCTCGAGGAGAAGTATTAGGGGCAGGAGGAAGAGGTTCTTGACTTGCGTCGCTTGCAAACAGAAGAGATCCTGCAGGAGGAATACTCTTCTTCGATCCTGAGTTCTTAGGTTCCTCTAGGCCGCCTGCTTCTCGGAAGGCATTCGTATCAATGTTACCTAGTGCTGCTGTGAGGTTGCTTATTACTCGTCTATGGCATCTCTGCAGCAGCATTAACCCTTTACCTAGGTACTGTGTTGACATGTGTCGTCGTATTACACTTCCTCGGCGGCGCATGTTCACTCGTCACTCGCGTCATCGAATTGCACTCACTCGGTGAAGCACATTGTTTTTTTTTTTATTGGCTCTGTTTCCTTGTGGAACTAGTCGAGGAAGAATAGCGCAGGAAACGGAAGACGACTGAATCTATGCATGGACAAGAGCTCGCCCATCAAAGGACCTCGCGACTCGCAGGAATGAAGAGACATCTCCAGTTTCAGATACTGACAATAACCATAGTTTGAGGACCATACACTCCTAGCCTTCCACTGTGACGCATCTCCGAATCAGGGACAAAATTCGTCAGTTCCGTCCGCCTAGTTCTTTTTCCCATTTCCCGTCAACGCCACAGCAATATCCACCACCAAAAGAAGAACGGCATCACGAGATATATCCAGACCATCACGGTGCGGAAGAAGCGCCATTGCGTCGCCCGTGGTTCTCCCGGTGCTATATGTAGGCAGTCCACGCGCGGTTCGAAGTAGAAGTAGATGCGGTAGGCGAGGATAGGGGCGACGATCAGGGCCCAGAAGCAGAGGAGGGACTCGTTGAGTCCGAAGGAAGCGAGGTCGGGTTTTGGCAAGAGCATTCTCGGATCTGTGTATGTGCAGGCCGTTCGTCTACTTGTATGGTCTTTTGCAGATGGAGAGCCGAGTCCGCTTCGAGAACCGCCGGGAACTGTCCGGATAAGGATAGGCCAAACGCACACGTCCTAGGATATTAAGTGTTTTTCGAGGGTTGAACCAGGAGCGCCAGCACTTGCATGTAGGGTAGAATCAGGAACCGATCGTGTTGGCTCGAGTGGTCGAGGAACAACGTTTAAGAACGGGGTGTTTGCAGATATATATGCCCAGGAGCAAGGCGTGTCATCTATATAGGCCCGAACATGACGAAGCTGGAGCGGGTGCGTCAGAGAGGCTGCGGGCGCTATCGATCAACACTGTCGCTTCCTAATTGTGTGACGTGTGTATACCCAAATTACCGTGTATATGCCGAGCACTAGAGCTGGGTAGGTACATAGCGCCGATTTGATATCATCGCTGCCTTCTCCCTTACATCTTTTTCATCCTCTATAGGCACTCTAGAAACCTATAATTTCACCGTTTGTCATACAACCGGAGCTCGGGTGTTGCAGGATGCAAAAACCTAACCATATCTTTCCACTCCTGCAACCCAGATCCGCCTGTTAAAGGGACGGAGAGCAATCACATGCTTATTAGCGTCATCGATGCAATCAGGTGTGTGTTAAACGGTCGGATAGAACTAGAAGCTCTACTGCGACGAGGATCACATGCAAACTAGTCGGCGGGTAGGGATACCGGCCCCGGGGTGCTGCTATTGGACTATAACGCTGCTTCCGCTATCCTAGACAGAGCCATCTAACTACAAACGCATAAAGTCTAGTTGATAGTATTAGCTCCTCCATTTAGTATGTTAAGACGCAAGCAGATATTCTATAGCGATATATAAGCTCTCTTATCTAGCTGCCTTTACTAGTAAAAAGTGCCTTCCCTTTACCTAGGGCTGGGAGGCGTTATTAGAGAATACGATCAACCTTGGACGCCTGGTTACCCTGGTGGACAGAGCAGCGCGAACCCATACCTACGAGATATCCAGGCGTGTGTACTGCAAGGGGCTCTCCCAGTACTATTCCCTCGTGCACCATTTCATCCTTAGAAGGGATTACTAGTTGGTTAGATATGTGTCCTTCCCTTGTCTGAATCCCGCGACTGATGCCATATACGACAGGTGATTCAAGATGACATTAACCTCCAGCAGGTATCTTGAGAGGGGAAACGTAGCGTGGAATGAATGAAGGGAAAGCGACCCAGGGCCACGCTCGGAGGCTTCAGGTCTGGTGGGGATGTAGGTCGAACCTATGCAAGCTCCCTGGGGTTGTTGAGTAGTAGTCTAAAAGCAAATGATTGGATGCGCAACGCCTACCCACTATGTGTGCATGCTGAACTGAATTCTGCATAAACGGCAGACTAGTGTACATAACAGTTTTCTAGTATGAGTGACATAGTAGACTTCAGTGATGAGCTCCCTTGACTGCCAGATCAGTGAGCCGCCTCCATGATCCAACCCGAGCAACGTCAACAGCAACAGAGTCAACAGAGAGCGCGTGGTAGTACATCATCGATGAGGTTTCCCCAAATCTTCCCCAGCGGAGATTGGCGCCATTTGTGTTACTGGTTAAGCCGAGTGTTAGGTGAGGTTGGACAGAGAGGCTTGGCATAAATAAGAGCGTTGGCAGCTAGGCTTGATGACCAAATGTTTGCTGATAGTCTAACCGAATGGCATCCAAAATCATCGAATTCAACTCACAGACTCTCGGCATTTGGCGTTCAGGAGCAACGAACCCGATTGGCACCATCTCAGACGATTTGGTACACATAGCAAAGCTGTACGCACTCCGTCATGGACGTCGGAATATTGATTAAGAGCAGTGAAGCGGCAGCTTGCTCCTCAGATTGTTGATCTAAAGTACATGTTTTACAATCTGACCGGCCACTAGACTAAGGAAATGGTTGTCTTGTATGCACACACCCATCCGCAGAATTTTCCACCCTTGTGACCGACCCGAAGACCCGATGACAGAGTGCCAAAGCAGCGCACCACTCTATGCAACGTAGAGGAGCAAGAAGGACATCATGAGGGCGAAAAGACCAGTAGCCTCAGCGAAGGCGAAACCCAGAACGGCATACTGGAAGAGCTGGCCCCTGAGGGAGGGGTTGCGGGCGACACCCTGAATGAGACCACCGAAAACCGTTCCGATACCGACACCGGCACCAGCAAGACCGACAGTGGCAATACCGGCACCCTGAATCTTAGCGGCAGCGACCATGGCGGCGGCGGTCGACTCAGCAACGATGCCGCGGGACTGGACCATGTTGGCGGGCTTGAAGGCCTTGCGGAAGGCACCGTTCTGGACGAGGGCGTTGCGGGGAGCTGCCGAACAAAGTGTCAATCGAGGTTCTTAGGCAATTGCGCATCCCAATTGACACTCAATTGATCCCCAATGGGTCAATTGAGATGGATCGCTGATGGAACCTACCCTGTGTGGAGACGAAACGAGAGGCAGGCATGCCGGAGCGGGCGACCGCGCGGGCGGCGCCGAGGGTGCGAGCGATGGCAACCATTTTGATGGTGTCGGTGGAGTGGGTGGAGATGGATTTGGGGATGGAAACGAAGTGCAATGGGATGGTCGTGAGTTTGGAGGACGGGAGAGGGAAGAGAGAATTCTTCAGGAAGCGACCAAAGAAGCTCAGGGCCGCGCCTGACTAAGCAGTCACGCTAGTGCGCTCGGCCCGGTTCGCTCCTGCACGTCCATCTCCCTAGCAACACCACGCTTCCTCAGCACTCCGCTTTCAAGGGGACTCCATATCGTATGTTACAATTCTCTTTTTTTGGCAGTTGATCGTAGTTCTCTAAAGTTTTGGCATGTTGTGCCCAAGAGATGTCGTCAAATTTCTGTTCACTCTGGCACCCACAACCTGAGCGTTCGGCAGAACGGATATGCGACCAATCTTACGTCTACTTCGTAGACGTCACTGCTCATCGCTGGATCGAAGGGATCATAACCATTACAACCCATATTCAGTGCCGGTCTGGCTTGACTGCTATCTCTGAGTGGCTTTGGTCGTGACTAATATGAGATGCAATCCACCCTCATCTACTTTTTTCGAGATTCTGGCGCTTTGGGCTGCGTTTCCAGGAAGAGGTACCTTAATTCCTGTAAAACTCAATGTTGTATATCTTTTCGCTGCGACGCCCGTTTCAAGATTGCCATCGAGCCAAGTCGATATATAACGGGACCCTGTCCACACTCGCGTATCATGATGCTGCTATGTTAAATCACATCACATCACGTCGTCCTTGACTGAACGGTGGAGCTGGAGCAAGCACACGGTAACAGTTCGTATCCCATTTCACAGAGTCCGAAGACAAAGCCAAAGCCAAAGCCACTTTTTGATATCCCCGGGGACCCCATCCAATAAATCCATATGCCCGCAACAGCAGGGCATTGCTCTTTTCCGTGAAAGCCCACACGTCTGGTGCGACAAACGACTCGTTAATACTCCTTCCCAACGCTAAAGAAAGTTCATGGATAGAGAATACAGAGGCAACCTGTTTCACAGGTCGAGAAGGAAGAGAAAGTGATTCAAAACATTAAGGATGTGGGTAGTGGGGAAGTAAGAAGCTCACTGGGAGCCTCTGCGAGCGCAAAAAGAGGGCAGACGAGCGTAAATTGTAGAATGAGAGAACGAAGAGAAACAGGGGACCGGCACCTCACCGCTGACCAAAGCAGCAGTGGGACCCTTCTTGCACAGAGGCATTACATATCGTGGAACAGGTGACGGTACCGGTAGACAGAGCGCAAGCCCTACTCCCCCATGGAGCTGATGGGGGTGCCTGCACGGCTCTCATCGACGAGATCGCTAAGCCGCATCTTCTTGTGACGTGGACCCTCGGCTTCGAATTCGTCCAGTTTCCTTTTCAGGTCGGCTTCCCGTTGGCGCATCTCATCTAGTTCAGCCTTCAAGCGGCTCTCACTATTCTCCAGTTCCGAGACGCGCCCGCGGAACAGTTCGTTGATGACTTCCAGCTCGTTGACTCGGGTCTTGAGATGGGTATTTTGTGACATCAGAGCATCGTAGGCCAGGGGAGGATCAAGATGAGAGCCATTCACGGAGGATGCCGCACTAGGGGACGGTTGGCGTAGGGGGAAGGCGGAGGGTAGAGAGGGAGAATGGAAGGCATCTGGGTGCAGGGCACCATCAAACATATGCTGAGGGGCAATGTTGGACTGGTGAGCGAAGGACGGAGTTCCCGTGCGCGAAATGGGCGACTGTGAGCGTTCCGACAGTCCGGAAGAGATCTTTCCCGATGTGCGGCGGCGCTGAACAAGGCCCACGGCCAGCGAGGGGTCGGGATCGGGGTGATGAGAGGCGGGATGGGCAGCGGGGAGGCCATTGGTTTCGCCAGCCTTTGATGGTCGTCAGCAGTGCAGGTAGAGTGAGAGACGAGGGTCACATACCTTCTTACGGCTGCCTGCACCGCCGGTCTTGACACGGTTGCGGCTCTTGATGACATCGGTCTTCAGGGAGATGGGGCGGGGCCGGCCGTGGAGCTTCAGGAAGAGACCACAAGCATTGCACAGGACAGAGCCAGACTCATCGCGGCGCCACAGCGGAGTGGTGCTCGTTGCGCAGTTTTGGCAGACGGGCTGTGGAGAGAGAGTCAGCGATGCTCGAACGCTCCGAGGTCATGATGCTCTCGGTTGGTGATGCTCTCGGTTGGTGATGCAATCGATAGTCGCGATAAGGATAAGGGGAAGCAAAGGCCGGGACAACACATCGTGCCCACGGCGCACAACAACGAAGCGACGCGAAGCAACTTACAGGAGAATTGGGCTGACCGCCGGCGGTTGCGAGTGCAGCGGTGGCGTAGGTCATGCTGAGGGCTTTGGGAGGATTGCTGGAAGACGGGGTCAGCGACACGAAGCCAGAGGAAAAGCTACTGTAGAGGTGCAGGTGGGAGGTTTTGCCAAGACTCCCCACGATAAGGCCAGGGCGCGCGGGTCCATAATGGTATACCATGCGCCATATGCCATCACCATTTCCATTTCGCTGCATACCTCCTCTTTCGCGCCCGGACTGAATGAGAGAAAGGAAATTACACACCTTGCAGGCGGCGGCAGCGGTGGCGATGCCATCTTCGGTGGTGTTCCCTCGCTGGAGCCGGGTTGGGCTTCGTTCGCTTCCTGGCTCACTACGGACGCAAGTGTCGAGAGGGCAGGCAGCTGAATCGAAGCATGGCTCCCGAGCCGCTGGCGCGTGTACGAGGCAATCGTCGATGTAGAAGAAGGGCGAGAGATTTGGTGGCCGATGGACGGCAGCGGGAGCTTGTCTTCGAGTGCCGACGACGTCTTGAAGGCGGGCAGGTCGAGCACCTGTAGAATCGACGGCCTCCGAAACGAATCGAGGGCCTGGGGCCGCGGGAGGATCGAGGTTGTGAGAGCGGACGCCGTGATGGACGAGGGGATGGAGAAACGCGCGGGCGTCTCTCACACTGTCAGGGAGCGGTGGGCGCAGATATGCTGAGGCGGGGAGGAGGACACGATTAGGAATTATAGGCAAAAGATGGACTGGAAGAACAAGCACGAAAGAGCGATTGGCGGCTGTGTCTAAGGAGCGACGACGAATGCAGGCTGGAAAAGAGCGTGGTGGGCGTGTGCGTGTGGGAGAGGGAGAGGGAGCGGGTGGAATTGAAGGCGGAATCTATCAGATAGATGGAGAGGGATAAGCAGCAACCTGCAGGTACGCCGTACACGGCCCGCATTGGGTTAAAGGGGCGGCCAGGGATGGATGCATGTTCATCGATTAGATCGATGGCACGCGGCACCAGCAATACATAATCATCCATCTGCGTGTGCTAATTTGGGCTGGCCAGGTCCCTTCTCTGCTTTGAGTACATAGTCTGACGCTAGGTACACAGTAAATATGTACAGGAATTGAAAGCCCGAAACCGCTCCCCCCAAAAACCGTTCCGCTACCCGCCCGCTCTTCCCGGCAGGGCTGAGTCCAGTTCGCGTCCGAGTTCACGTCTGATGAGATTGATGAGATGGAAGCACTTCACCCGCTGTCCAATAATAATCTCGTAGTCCCCGTCGAACCACAACCGCCAGCGCGTACCGTAGATCTGATAATAGATGCTCCTCCAGCTTGCCCTTGTTCAGGGGTGCTGACATAACCCTGGGCGCTAACCCCAGAAGCGGCCCAGCATTCCAGCAGACTACTACTTGTATGTACTTGTACAGTGCTTGCTCTGCGGTTGAGACAGTTATGGCGGCGCCTCTAGCGAATGACATTGGTGGCCCCAACAGGAACCAGAACCGCCGATGCACATCTATGTCCTTGTTCGTTATTTATGGCATGAATTAGCCGCTGAACCACCTCCTTCCGGATGCCGCCCAGCCTCAACATGAACCCTTGGTAGCGACATGGTCTCAATGCCTCAATGCCTCACTCCCTCTCCTCCTCCCATCCTCTCTCGCCATCGCACAATTGCTGCCCTGCCGCCCCTCTCTAACGGCCGAATCCGAACCAGCCTTTCTTCGCTGGCTTCTGTTCAACCACCCTTTCCGGTTCCTCTTCTCCCTTCTCCTCCTCGGGCTCGACCGCTGATGCTGCCCGTCCAGGATACTCAATGTAGTTGAAAGCCACGTCAAAGAAGAGAGGCTTCACCGGGACTGGCTTCAGCCTCGGAGGCCACGTAACCAGGTTGTTCAGATCCACGGTACCCGAAGCTGGGTAATCGTTGACTCTCTCCACCACCGGTACGGCATCAGCTTTGTGCTCTTTCTCTCGCACCTCCGATCCACCTGAGAGCTGTGACAGGGCCACCAGTCCTCTGTAGTGGGTAGTCAGACCTTCCAACGTCTTATTCAACCTCTGCGCCTGTTCCTCCGAGACGGAAAGTCTGCGGACGCTACCCGTCGAGGATGGGGCCGATTTGGGTGCCGACAAAGCCTGGGAGGAAAGCGAGAATGCTCGGTGCGCCAGAGCCAGGGCCTCTCTAGGAGACGAGAGAAACGCGTGCGAACGTGAGAGATTCAGGCACTTCAGAGCTTGGAAATAGGCGCGTTGACCGTCCAACTCCGCCATGAATCCACCATCTCGGACCGCGCCGCGCAGCTCCTTGATAGAATCAATGCTCTGGAGAATGGCGTCATACAGTGCAACTCGTTCTCTAACCCTCGCAAGCTTCCGCCCCGTCGGCTCTTCCCGCTCCGCCCACTCTTTGCCATCCCCACGCGGCCGGCGGGGCTTCTGGGTTGAGGAAGGAGCCAAAGTGAGCCCATCATCAGACCCGATAAGTACCCTGTTGCGTCCGACTCTCCACGAGATGAGGTCGTAGTTAACCGCGAGGCTGGTTACGCGAAGATCTTGCATCCGGGCGTCGCCCTCGTTCACCCCTTCCTTTTCGAGCTCCTCGATAGCTTGTCGGGTAGCATCAGCTGCATCCTGACTAGCAAGGAGCACGTTGTCATATGCGGCCGCACGTTCTTTTACCGAGCTCAAGGATGCCAAAGCCGCTGCCAGCTGAGTGGATTCCGTTTCCACTGAGACCAAAGCTTGACCTACTGCCGCGTCTACAATGTTTGCCGTTCGGCCGCGCCACGAAATCGTAGTCCCTTCCCATGTCAGATGCGAACCACATACGCTATGAGATAGTCACATACCAGAGGCGCTAGGTTCGTCTTCTCGGAAAGCTCCGGCATCGAGCTTTTCCACTGCTTGGACGAGGCCTTCGTCATCTTTTGGGAAAAACTTTTGCGAGACAGCCGGCACTCCCACTGTCCGTGGTATACGGTGTTGATACGCGGCGTATCGGATGCTTGGGTCTATCGAGGAAACCAAAAACTCCTTGAAAAGCTCCTTTTTTGTTGATTTAAAGAGCGCGTTGTAAATGACCCGAGCTGCCGAGTACTCGGTTAAACATGCCCGCCAGCGATCTGAAGATTTGCCCTCTCTTATTCCTTCAGCCTCTTTCTCGAACGCTCCAGCTCCGGCCAGTGAATATGCGTAGGCCTGCGCCTCCAACAGGTCCATATCTGTCGCGCGACTTGTAGTCTGGTCAGAGAGTATCTCCACTATGCCTTTGGCAAGCTGCGCCGCCTTATGCAGCCTTGATATGATATGCCTTCTTGTGGAGCCCGTTATGTTCTTGTCGGCGTTGTCCTTTGAATGTGCCGCCTTCATATCCATAGCATGGGCCCAAGCACGTTCAGACGTGAGTAGGAGAAGGTGGAGAAACCTGCAAGCGTTAGCGCATAGAATGGCCGACAAGACAACTATGACATACTCAATGTTACTGGCAATGTCCTCGGCGGTCACTGGTACTTTTTTGTCAAACTTCGCATTTTTAGGTGTTGCGCGCCCTAGTTTCTTTCGTACAGTGCGCAACCGTCGCGAGAGCTGCGCTCGATAAGTGTCATGTCCGCCGACAAGAAATGCCGCATCCCGGTGTTCGACGATGAATTTAGTGATGTCCATATTTGAATCTCTTCTGGAGTTGGGTTAGGATGGAAAGCAGCGCGACAGGCCTCTGAAGGCACTCAGACCATTCGAAGCTCAGAACCGCAAAGGGCGATGGTCCGAGGCTCAATGTAGTGATTGAGCTGCCAAAAGAGCTCACGGCCGCCTTACTCAGGATCCAGTTTGACCGCAGAGAAGCATCCACGTCGAGCTCTGGCACCCAAGGCGAGCTCTTTTGGGCTGCGGGGGAATGGTGGGGACCAGGGGGTTGGCGCAACGGCAGAACAATCGTCCGAGACGACATCTCGTGATCTCGCGCTTGAAAAAGTTGAAAGACGTCAACGCAGCGTTCCGAAGGTCGAACAGCTCATACAGTTGTCCTCCAGCCTCCTTCGTTCTTTTCTGTTTGCCTTGTGCCCTTCCTCACTGGATTACCTTGTTGCCCGAAGCTGTTTCGGCGTCTTACATCTCTCATAGACTTGTCCCTGAGGAGCTCAGGAGGCATGCAAAATTGTAGACTCCATTCCCGGCCATCGCATCAGCGTCACTCCAGTTAACCTTTAATACAGCTCGACGGATTTCATTGGGCGCTCGGTAATCAGCGGCGGCGAACAGCGCGCTCCGGACACGCGGGTAATGCTGGAGCGGGCTTCGACATGTCTCGAAACCGGAGGGCGACACCTTTTGCGAACACCGAAATCATGTTTGCGCAATCGCCGAGCGTTGCACTCGACGTTCTGGCGCCACGGCGGCAGCGACTTAAGCCTGCCTGTCTGGTGGGCGTCCGTCGGTCCCAACGATCGAACCGACGGTGACATTGACTCTACCTCGGGTCCGGCTCTGTCGACTGAGTCACGGAAGCAGGAGACTCAACTGCTCGACTTTCTGTATCCTGAAAAGACTCTTGCCTTGTTGCAGCGGATTTCAAAATACAACAACGATGCGGTTGAGACTCGCCGGAAGCAACAGCTCAATGGGTTCGGCATCCGGCACTTCTCCACTAGTCCTTGGATGGCCCATCAATTGACTCGGAAAACCACAGAGATTGATGGAAAGGCCTTGCAGAGAGAACTGGAGGAGAGGTTGAGAGAGGAAACCCCTCCGAAAGCGCTGCAGGCCCTGCTGGATTCATCCCAGGAGCCTAAGGCGGAACTGGCATGGAACATGTATCTCTCTGTCCCGGAACCCGAGCGCAGTACGGAACTCAGAGTTCATCTTCTTGAATATCTTATGCGAGGTAAATTCACGGATCCAAACGGTGTGCTCGATGTGTTTAACGCACTTCCGCGCTCTGCTCGTAGAGCCTCCTCATTCAGAGCCGCGATATCCGCCCATCTTACCCTAGGTATGGTTGGATCGGCTGTACAGCTCCTTGAAGAAGCAGCTTCAACGGATATCGGCTCCGACATTGACATCGGCACGGACATGGTTCTCGGTTCCGCCGTGCAAGACAATCAGTGGGATCTCGGCATACGTGTTCTCAAGAGCTTCATGTCTCTTGCCTCTCGCAACCATTTCGATCTCTCTGGACTTTATTCTGACCCCAAACGACAGAAGTCGGAGTTCAACGTGGTTTGGGGCCGGGTTGCGCAACTTCCGTATTTGCGCGGTCACATGGACAACTTTCTTGTGCACCTCCAGACATTCAGCCACGAGCTGCAATCGACCGAAGGGAATCGAGAAGTCCTACGACATTTCGTAATGGGCATGGGCGTTGAGACCACAGATCAAGTCCTCAATGCTCGGCCTGTAGACGAAGATGCAATCGGCGAGTTTCTTCTAACTCTCTTTCGGAGATTGCGCACGTTGGGCCATTCCAATGCGGGCTTGTACGAATATGTCATTCGACGGATGTTGCAAATTCCGAGATACCGGGTGTATTCCAATCAACGCAAGAGTTATCTTACCATCTACCGTATGTATCGGGACGAGTGTGAGGCAGGCTCGATGCTCTCAGCGCGGCCGTCAAAGGAGCTGTTGCGAGAGATGCTCGTCCAAGTTGGCAAGCACCGTAGCAGCAAATACCTCACGAAGATCGTGGGCGATTTTCGCTTGTTCTACCCTGGCAAGAGTCTGCCCTACAAGATGCTCAGATATGTTCTGGATTATTATGCCGGACTCGGGAAAGTGGATGAAGTCCACAAGTACTTCGATGAGTTCTACAAGGCCTACCGACCTCAAGTCGATGTGGCAATTTTGACAGCACTCCCATACGCCTATGCAAGACGAGTCGACATTGAAGGAACTGAGAAGCAGTTCGCAAGAATTTCCCAAGAGTTTGGAATGACACCCGACATCGTTGCGTGGAACGTATTGCTCCATGCCTATACTAGGGCAGATAACCTAGATGGGGCTTTGGTGTGCTTCAATAGGATCCTTGAATCTGGTACGGTTCCCAACGTGAGGACATTCGGCCCTCTATTGGATCTGTGTGCCGCAAGAGGAGACATAGAGGCTTACGATGCCCTCTACGCTAGAGCAGAACAACTTAATGTGCCTATTCGGGCCGACGTCAGAGCAAGGGCAGGTTTCGTCCAAGCCCTCCTGAACTTCGATGATCCAGAGGGTGCAGAAGCGACTGCTCAGTCGATGTTGAGGCATCAGCAGTCGGGATTGCTCCAAGGCAGTCTTACCCATACTTGGAACATGTTGATTCAGTATTACGCCTTGAAAGGGGATTTGGAAAATACCCGACGTCTATACAGGGAGATGCTTGAAATGAAGATTCCCCTGGACGAGTGGACTTACGCGTCGCTAATGCGAGCCCTGATCGAGGTCAAGCAAACCAATGCGGCCTACAAGATTTTGCGGGTTACGATGCCGAACAATAACATACAAGTCCATGCATTCCACTACGCGCTTGTCATCATCGGGTTCCTCCACGAGCGACAGTATAAGCATGCTCTGCATGCAAATAAACGGATGAAAGATCGCAACGTGCCGCAAACCGCGGCATCACGCATGGCCTCTCTCCAAGCCACTGCCATAGCAGAGCTTCACGCGCTCAAGAAGGCCAGAGATCCAGATCCGCGCCGGCGGCTAGCGGAGGTAGAAAAGGAGATGCGGGAAATCCTGCTTTCCGACTATCAGGCCGACGTCGCTTTGCGGGAGCCGAGTCACGCTCGTCTCATTGACGCAAGGCACCATAGCGCGCCTGAGGGGTACTTTGGGTTTTTGATTCTGCTCTATGGTGCACGGGGGGCGTACGACATTTGCAAGGAGTTATTCCAAGCCGCGTCTATAGCGCGTCCCGTGGCGGCCAACTACGAAGCTCCCATTACTCTACTCACTGCTATCATGGACGCCCATCTGAGAGCGAAAGAGTATGACGAGGTGGACAAGTGCTGGAAGCTGGCTCGGTCGCAGGCCGACAAACTCGTCAAAACCTTGCAACAAATCATGGATCCTCCCACTCCCAAACCCACGAACGACTCTCTCCTCGACCCCGAGATTGAAAAGCAGGCGGCGAACTCGACGATAGCCAGAAACCGCCGCCAGGTGCTCATCCTCGCCATGCGCCTCTACATCCGCAGCCTGCTCCAACGCCCAGACGAAGACGGCCAATTCCTCACCCAAGCGCAGCGCACCATCAAAGACCTCCTCACCAGTGGCTTCGCCATCGACAACATTGCCTGGAACGAATTCATCCAGGAGCTCTGCAGCCGCGGTCGCCTCATCGACGCCTTCACCGCCTTTGAAACATACCTCATGCCCGAGTTCCCCGGCTGGCGCAACCTCAGCCCCGTCTACATTCGCAAGGACCAACCGGGCCACAAGTGGATGGAGCTGCGGCATACCGACGTGAAGAAGCAGTCCATGTTCCCGCGGTACAAGACGCTGGTGGTCCTGGCGCGGGCGTACGCGGGCGTCAGAGAGCAGGAGGCGAATGGGATAGGGTACGATCCTGAGATGGGCGGGTGGACGAGGGAGATTCTGGAGAAGTTGGCGCCCATGACGGTGGATGCGATTGTGACGATGCCGCGGACGGGGGATGTGCTGCAGAGGCAGTATCTGGCGGGGTTGTTGTAGGGATCTTGATGTTGGTGTTTTTGGTTTGTAGGTATGTGTCTTGTGTTATGTATATATATATGCAGGTGCCCTTTTGTCACGGGAGGCTTCTTGCTCTTATGGAAGATGTTGTAGGATAGGTATACTATGTACGGCCTGGGGAACGTACTGTATACGCACCATGTACGCTCATTGCATGAGGGAGTGGAAAGGTACTTCGTATCGGCAAGCTCTGAATGATTCAAATATGAGTGCATTGCTCCTTACATCTTACGGGAAACGTGCATTTCTCTCGAGTTGTTTTGAAGTCATCCCAAGTCTTGTTAATTACAGTTCATTACACATCTGGCGATACTGTGGAATGTCTCATGATGAACGAGCAGCAACAAGGTTTCCTCCCAGTGAATCCATTCCTGCGCATATGCTACGCAGTCCGAGTCCAGCTCAAGATGCAGGCTCACCCACGGCTATGCTACCACTCATAGTTTGACAAATCCATCATATGACCGACTCCTCGCCAAACGGATTCACCAGATACAACAGCATCGCCCAGATATTGTATCTATCATGTTGGCTCCGCCTCCTTGACACCTTCCTTCGTTTTATTTTCCTCCTTATCCGCGTCGAAGAACACGGATTCCCTCAGCGGCGCCGTACCCCCTCCGTTACTTTCAAGGTCCGCAGGTGCGGTCCTGGCATTGCTAATAGCAACAAAGCCATCTATTTCTCTATCCTGCTTGAAATCTTCCGCTCTCTTAATGTCGGAAGGTGTAGGCGAGGTCGGAGGTGGGGAACTTAAAGGCGTCGTTGTGGCACTTCTCGATGCAGCCCAACCTTTCTTCTTTTCATTGGCCCAGGCGCTCCAGGAGGAGAGATAGGCTGTCGCGCGCGTGCTGGCAGCATGGAGATTTGCTTGCGCTTGGGAGAAATCTGGTGCTTTGGGGACTGCAATTATGTTAGCGGGTGCTCACCGGAACGACCGTCATGAGAAAATCTTACACTTCGACGACAACTTCTCCCCGCTTGTCGGACTCTGCCCTTCCCCACTCTCCCGCCTTGCCCTCTGCGCTTCACGTATCGCCTCCATCTCGGCCCACAGGTTATTAAACGCGCTGCTGACCTTCTTCTGCCCAACAGCGAGCTGCTTGCCAATCGCCTCGCGCGACTTCTCGAGCCGTTCGTCCAGGTGCATTTCCGCTACTTGCCTAAGCGCCACGCTATGATCAGCACACAGACGCTCAAGGTGACAATCTGGAATGTGGAATTCGACAACAGACTGAGATGCTTAGTGAACAACTGGGAAAGATGGGGTTCGAAGAGCAACACCGCCGGGGGGGTGGTTACGTACTGTGCTAGTCGGCGTTGGACGTCTTCGATCGTCAATCCGCCTGAGCAAGGGTGCTTGGGGTCTACAATATCGAAGAGGTGCGAGTCGGTGAACTTGTTCCAGATGCGGAAGTTCTCCGTCGCCATCCAAGCTTCGATCCAGTCGTTTGAGAAGTCGCTAGCAGGGTCTCCTTCCACGTCTGGAATAAGATTCTCCTTGTCCTTGTTCTTTTCCAGGTAGAGCTTGCATTTGACGGAGCTGAGCAGAGCCAAGAGGTACTCTTCAAACTGCATGCGGATGAATTCTTCACTGCCGGCATAGCCATGGTCCTTGGGTCGGCTCGGGTTCGATTCATCCCAGGTATCATATACAGTCTGGGTGAGGAAATCTATCCATCGGCGATCCGGAGTAGAGAGTATTAGTGCATTGCGAAGGGAGGTGGAGCTAATATTGAGGGTGTGATCGTCGAGGTTGATCAGGATGTCGCTGTAACGGTCCTTCTGTTGAAGGAGAAGTGAGTTGGTAGAGCCGACTATGTATGATTTGGTTCCGTGGTCCGCGAGCATGTCCAGCTGCTGCAAAGGGGTGTAGGGTCCAAACAGTGCACCTCTCCCGAAGAGTTGCAGTGGCATGCCCATGTATGCGAGCACTGGGGTTCATCAGGACATATACTTGATGAGGGTCTAGTTCTACTCACATGATGCGCGTTCGGATGTGCGGAGCGAGGTAGGCATTACGAGCTTCTCTTCATAAGAGTTGAACTTGGGGTCAGCAGCATCTTGAAGGTGGCGAATAAGGCCGGGTATCAGAGAAATAAGTGCAAATTGCATCATGCATAGACGCTCGCAATGCGAGCCGAAGAAGAGCATCTGCAAGTATCAGCAAGCTATGTGGTTGAATGAAGTAAGTCTTGGTGTACCTTTGGTTGAAGCAATGCGCATTTGAATAGAACGAGCGTCTGCCATTTGAACTCATGTATCAGCTCGCGCAGAGATATCCCTGCTTACGGTCAGACAGCTGAATGTAGGGTCCATTGTGTCGACGCATACCAAAGTAGTGATCCATCTCCCCCTCCTGGTTCTTGAGCAAGGTGGGCAAGCTCTCGTGGAACCTCTGGAGAATTTCAATATCTGTAAAGTCCCTGCCTGTTTGTCAGAGCTCAGTTCAACGGACATAGCGCTGTTGTGTATCTTCCATGGTCTCTCGTACCTCTGTGCGAACCAAGCGGCCGTAACCGCGCCCAGCTGCGCCTTGATAGCACCAAAATGCTGGGGACTATCACTTATCACCACTACCGCCTTCTGCACAGTACTCCGCGTGACTTCGGCGGGCCGGTTTGTCAAAGCATTCGAGTCCAACTGCCGTGTGCACGATATGCCGAACAAGCTCGTCGCAGGAGTGGTCGCGGTAGCCTCGCGCCGCAGCGTGAAGTAGGAATAGTCCTCGGTCGAGCTATGGGCGCCATCGGTGAGACTCATGAATGGAAGCAGCGGCCACTCGTTTTCCACAGCGGGATCAGTATTCTTGTCGGCGCCGAGCCATCTCTCGACCTCGGGGCCTCTCGCATGATGGAACTGCGCGAAGTACTCGGTTCAGCATGCCACTTGCGAAGGAGGAGGGGAAGCTTACGTCTACAACGCACACCAGAGGGGCAAATGGCGCCATTGTAGCGGGATGATCTAGTGCTATCGAGGACGAAATATGGGTCGTGGAGCGTCCATAATCTTGGATTGAGCTTGGGATTCTCTTGATGTTGGTTCGTGCTGTGGTTCGGCGTCGTTGGTGGTCAACCTCAGCCCTGCCAAGGCCGGCGGAACCCAATGCTCACACATCACATCGATGGTGGGGCAGAAGCTAGAGTGGAAACTCAGGGCCAACTGTCTGTCTGATAGAAGCACAAAATCCGACACAGAGCAGACCAATACCTAGAAGGCGCCGGAAAACTTGACACAATTAGTATTCTACTTGTGGTGAAGAAACGTCAGCAAGCAGATTATGCAAGCTTGGGAATCCCCTTGGTGCCCTGGTCTTGACCAAAGGAAAAGATGGCCCAATGCACACGTCGACCCAGGCATCATGTATATATCCCACCCACTTCCATATGAACCAAGCCCTTGCCACACCTTTGCATTTCAGCACCGCATATGGGAATCCTCGTCCTCCGATTCTTGAAAATAGCAACAATGACAATGGAAGGACATCCGCCGACTCTGCACCAAAAAGGGGTAATCCGGCCCAACCCACCGCTCCCCAAGTGCCAGCCACAGTGATATCAGTGTACATAATGTCCATGCTCAGGGTTCGATTCTATCCTATGAGCCACCGTTCTCTTCGGCCTCCGGCGGCGCTGCGTCCACGTTATGGTAGTCGAGTATCTCCGAGTACATCATAATCTTACAACAAGTTAGCACAAGGATAAAGGCCTAGGAACAATCATGAAGCGCACCTTCCAGGAATCGACAGGGAGATCTGCATCGTTGAACGACCAGTCAAACTTGGTTTCTGCGACAGGCTCGTCGGTCGGGTCATGATATGGGGCGAGGTACTCGTGGGCAAGCGCCTCTTCCGCTCGTACGCGCTTCTTGGGGTCAAAGACCAGCATCTTCTCCAGGAGGTCGATGGCTGCTTCTGGTCAGCATCTTCGTCTCCATGATTCGAAATGATATGGCATACCAGCCGGCTCTGCGTTGGTGAACTTGTTGGCCAAAGGCTGTCGCTCGCGCTTGGGCAAAGATTGGACGAATCGTAACGTCTAGCGTTGTGTCAGCAAGCACTCGGATACACAAGCAGCCGGTTTCTTACGTTCTCGCTGCAGATGGTCTGGATGACATCGTCAGGAGGGGTACCCAGGAGCTCCGTGATGATGGAGAATTGGTTGACATGGTCCTTTCCGGGGAAGAGCGGCTTGCCCTCCAGCATCTCTGCAAAGATGCAGCCTGCACTCCAGATATCCACTTCGACATCATACTTCTGCCAGGTGAGCATGATCTCGGGCGCCCTGTAGTACCTCGTCGAGACGTAGCCCGTCATCTGGGGATCCTGTATGCGCGCCAGTCCAAAATCACAGATCTTCAAATCGCAGTTCTCGTTGACGAGAATGTTGCTAGGCTTCAGGTCGCGATGTACGACACCGGCCGAGTGGACATATTTCAGTCCGCGCTTCTCATCGTCAGTTGCCATATCAAGGATAATTGGTCATTTACGAACCAGGATCTGATAAAGAAAGTATTGGATGAACTGCTTCTCCAGCGGGCGCGACGTGAGCAGGCGGTGGAGATCGGTTCCAAGGAGTTCAGTGACGAAGTAGCTAACAGAGTTAGACTGGATGTTCGAGGGGCAGATTCGGCGACTGACATGTCCTCGAGCGGAGAAATGAAGATATCGCTCAGGCTGATGACCTTTTTGTTGTCGATCAGCAGTGAATCAGCTTATGATGGCTAGAAGACTCACATTCTCATGCTTCAAGTGTTTGAGCAGCTTCAGCTCCCGGTATGTGCGCTTGGACAGCACGGGAGTACTGAAAGGCTTCATGATCTTCTTGATAGCCACGGCCTGGCCTGTGAGCTGGTCCTTTGCCGAGCTAGAGGCACGGTTAGACCTGACAATGATGAGTGGTACCGTGAGAGAAAAACATACCAAACAAGCCCGAATGCGCCCATCCCCACAGGCTGCAGGTCGGTGTACCTTTTGCAGAGTCAGTCGGCATCGCCTTGAAGTCTGAGTTTGATCATTCACACCTGCTCGTAATCTCAAAGGTCGTCCCGAAAATCTGGGCACGCACGAATTCGGCCATGGTGGAATAGCGGATGTAGTGAGGGAGAGGAAGATGGCGATTCGAAGTCTGTTTAGGATGTCGTTTGGGGGAGGGGTTCGGCGACGGGTCTGGGTTTTAGCTGACGGCGAGGAACACGGCAGGGCAGGGAGTCGGGTCGCGGGAAATGAAGGACTGGTACTACAGTGCAGACGGCAGTGGGCAACGAGGCAGACGTGACAAGGTAAGGGTATCGAGTTGGGCGAGCGGCGTGCTGAAGGCGAGAGAAAAAGACGGTTGCAGGTAGCAGCGACGGCGATGCAAGCTTGACGATGGTGTTTGGGCCGAGAGACTGCGGGTGGTGGGGGTGCCGATCACTGCTCAGGTAGGTACTGAGAGCAGCAGACAGAGGTGGTGGGTTCGGAGGGAGGAGAGTACTGTGTAGATGGGACGGGGCGAGGGGGATACGGTGGAGATGGAGGGATGGATGGAGGGATGGAGGAGAGGCGAGGGGCTCCGGGCTGGCGTTTCTCCCGGTCAAGTCGACTTGGTTTGCCAGTTTTGCCAGATCGGACGACGACCAACAACTTGGAAGACTGCACACAGCGCCGCGGAGGCGGGGTCCGTGCGGCTCGACGACCACGTTGACGTCATAGCCACTTCCCGCCTACCACAGTACTCAGTACCATACGGGAACTGTGTACGGAGTAGCACTTGTGTATTTACACAGCAACACACAGTGAAAGGGCTTTTATGGTATGCAGTTGTGGGCCTGCGATGCACGATGCCCCTTCTTTCTCACAGACAGCGCATCCTCTGCTGGGCTTGGCCGTGATCAAAAACCCTTGATATTGCTGCTGCTCGCTGGTTCGGATCCTGCAGCCGGTGGAGCCGCGCGAGTTCCCGTCTCATCTGCGGGACACAGTACAGTACAAGTACACTATAAAGAGCCAAGAGAAGGCAACGCGCGTATTCGGTCGGATTACCTGCCAGTCACTGATCTGTACCAGGTGCAGGTGGTGATCTCGTCTGTCACGTGGCAACTGGCCGGATAAAATATCATCCGACCTCAGCCGGTTCGCTTGACCAATTCACCTCCAGCCCTTCTCCTCCCGGTCCCCAATAGACTAGCCAAGAAGTGTGTACACAGTACTGTATAATAGCTGCACATCAACTTCAATTTCCAAAATAACCTTCCCATGCTACCTATGCTCACCCGTCAGGTAGTCGATCCATCCAGGGATGCCTCTGCTGCCTGCTACGCTCTTCTTACTTGTGCAGACTGTTGTCCGGTTTCCGTCTGGGAAGAGCTGGAATATACTTGGGATGTGTCCTGCTTTCTTTGCGGATAGAGGCGAAGGCACCCCGGTACTGTGTAGGGGAGCTTGTTTGGGCGGAGCCAAGCTGGGCTGCATTCGATGAGGCTGCTGGAGGTGCCGTCATACCATGTACAAGTATAGATATATATAGCACGCCAGAAGGGCGGATGGGCTGACTGACGCCAGCACGCAGCAGAGCAGCCAGACCCTTGTCTGATGGTGGATGACATGTCGGTGGATGGTATGGTACTCCGGTACTGTGTGCTGTGAAGACAATGTACTGCCCCTTGGGATGATGGCTTGTACTGGTAGTGCGCGACTGCGCAGATGTTCCTATTTTGGCCGACAAGTGGACACGGGCTCTAAACCCTGCACAATAATCCACAATACACAAAACACAAAACACCATGAGGGCGACATGAATCCGCAGAGCTGTTATTGGACTGCTGTGTGCTGCGACATGGACGATGGGAGATGGGAGATGGTCGCTGCAGCGGTTGGCAATTCACCAGTATCGCTAGCGGTGGGGGATATCCAGCACGCGCGCTGATTGGGCGGCGTGGCACTGCGGCTGGTTGTGCCTCTCTCTCTCTCTCTCTCTTTCTCCTCTGGCAGGCGGCAGGCAGGCAGGCAAAAAGACAGGCAAGGAAAGCCACGGCAGGCACTTCGCTCGTCCTCCGCCGTCACCCTCTCTCATCTCTCCCCAGCCCCCATCACTCACCACCAAGGCCCACCACTACCTCCGTATACCATCGCCAGTAATCCGCCGTTGAAAGTCGACCTGTGCTCTGATTCTCCCGCCATCCATCCATATCGTGCTCTGCTCTCCTTGCCCGCACTGATCAGCTGCGGCCACCTACCCCCTTACCACGCCTGCGCCCGAGCCAACGACCCGCCCAGACCGGTACTGCTTCCCCCCCAGACCACTACTAACCACCGACCACTGACCACCACCGCCCAACAACCTGCACCCATCGCAACGACACTCCATCATCATCATCATCGTCCTCCTCCTCCTCCTCCTCCTCCTACCGAGTACAGCCTTCTGCTGCCCTCCCCTAGCCGACTAGCCGTCGCCCTTCCCCGGACGAAGCTGGCGCCCATCCGCTCGCTGCCATCCCCCGGCCTCGGCGACTCCGCCGCTTGCTCCACTCCACCCCGTTTCCCCCAACCCCAACCCTCCTCTCGAGCGAGCTCCGCTTTCGTCACCAACCCTTCATCCTCCCTCCACCCCAGTGAGACACCGCTGTCTCACTCGTCGTCCCTACTGCACCCGTCCGTTCCCTGGGTCCATCGCCTCCCGCTCCCGCTCCCGCTCGCTACACCTTCGTCCTCGTCCGCCCTCGTCCGCCCTCTGCTGCCTCCTGCGGCCGCGAGCCGCTGCGACCGCCGCCCAGAATGGGTATCTGCATGAGCACAAACACCGAGGATGTCGAGCAACGGAAACGCAGTCAGGCCATCGACCGCAAGCTCGAGGAGGATTCGCGCCGGTTACGACGCGAGTGCAAGATTTTGCTCCTGGGTAAGCCCGCCGCCGCACCTGAGCTAACGGATCCCCCGTACCTCTGCTAATCCCCCACCTCATCGCAGGTTCTGGCGAAAGCGGCAAATCCACCATTGTGAAGCAAATGAAGATCATCCACCAGAATGGCTACACCCAGGAGGAGTTGGCCATGTACCGCTTGACCATCTACAAGAACGTCATTGATTGCGCAAAGGGCCTCATCACCGCCATGCGCCACTTTGGCATCGAACCCGAGAACCCGGGCAACCAAGACTACTGCCAGTACCTCATGGACTACACCGTCGACCCGGACCCGGAGAAGCCCCTCGACATACGGGTCGGTCAAGCCGTCACGGCCATCTGGCACGATCCCTGTGTGCCAAAGGTGCTCGAGCACTCGAGCGAGTTCTACCTCATGGACTCGGCGCCATAGTATTAGCTCCCTCACCCTCCCACGCTTCCAAGACACTGACTCGCCTCAGCTTCTTTGACGAGGTAAACAGGATAGCAGATCCAAACTATATCCCCATAGAGTCGGACGTGCTGCGCGCCCGCACAAAGACCACCGGTATCTACGAAACGCGCTTCAGCATGGGTCAACTGAGCATACAGTACGTAACCTGGCTTGCGCGGTCCTGCGTTCCTTCGCCTAATGTGAAACGCTAGCATGTTCGACGTGGGAGGTCAACGAAGCGAGCGCAAGAAATGGATACATTGTTTCGAGAATGTCACATCCATCATCTTTTGCGTCGCCTTGAGCGAATACGACCAAGTGCTACTGGAGGAGAGCTCTCAGGTAGGGAATCGCGGCCCCCTTGGACGACTTCTGTTCGACAGCGGCTGACAAGAGGCCCACAGAATCGAATGATGGAAAGTCTGGTTCTCTTCGACTCGGTCGTGAACAGCCGGTGGTTCATGAGGACGAGTATCATCCTCTTCCTCAACAAAGTGGACCTTTTCAAAGCCAAACTGGCAAGATCACCACTGGGCAACTACTTTCCCGATTACTCTGGGGGTAACGATGTGAACCGCGCTGCAAAGTACCTCTTGTGGAGATTCAACCAGGTGAATAGAGCGCACCTGAACCTCTACCCTCAGTGAGCTACCATGCGCAAACCTTCTCTCTGCATCTCATCCTGACACATACAGTCTTACGCAAGCTACCGACACCTCCAATATCCGACTCGTGTTCGCCGCCGTCAAGGAAACAATCCTGCAGAACGCACTCAAGGATTCCGGCATTCTCTAGTCCCCCTCACACTCTCTGGCCATAGCTTCCCGCATCCTTTCTCGTCGACGAGGTCACACGTCGTACGCCCATGTGCATAAACACTACCGTTCTTCAACTCCGCCAACCTCATAATACACGAAACATCACGACCACATACCTTCTGCCATCTGTGGGGCACTTCTGGATCACGAAATCGGGACTTCGGTTTATCTTCTTGCCTCTCGTCATCAAGAGTGTGACAGCATTGGAGTTCACGGCGTTTCTGTTCTGGAGATTACTGGTTACATCACCCCCCGGGCATCGGACCTTTTTGCTTATTGCCTCAACATACCACCTTTTGTTATTGCGGTTACCCATTCTCCTTTCATTCCATTCTGGGTCTCAGAAAAGTTGACCGTTGGGTCAGGAGAAACTGCGCCCGGACTTTATGCATCCTCTTCTGCCCAACGGGTGATTTGTACGTTATAGTCTCTCCTTGTTGTTTGTCACTTTTTTTATTTTCCCATGTCTGTGGTTGAGAGCTGCAAGGTGCATTGCGGCTTTCCTGTGCCATGCTCCATGGCGGGGTCGCTCCCTTCTGGGGGGATGGAATGGGTTGGAGTGGGGAGGTGCAGTCTGCGATCTTGTTTGATATCCCTCCTACCGTATATGACGAATTGGGGCAATGGACTCTGGAGTTTGTTGTACCGCGGTGAATGAAGGGTGCGCATTTGGCCTTTGCAGCTGAGCCTTTCATGTCGTCTGGGCTGTATGAGTCCCCCACCTAGGTATGGTGCCTGCCAATCTCCCGTCTTACTTGTAGATCTGGTTGTTCCCAAAGTGGGAAGGAATGATGGACCTGCTTATGAGGATGCAGAGATGGACAGTGGAACTACTAGTGGTTGATGAGCCTGGGCCGACTAGAATATAATGCATGAAGGTGAAGTTGTGTAGCTGCTATACGGTGTACGGGGTGCAGGAGATGGGTGCGCAAGGTGTGCTTGGTTCGAGGCGAATGAGTGGCTCGCTCGCATGCCGGAAAACCTGCCGAGATGGACCAGCGTGCCGGTGGAGTTTGGCGCCGTGTATGCATTGTAGGGGGCCAACTACCTACAAGATGATACTGTGTAATCATAATATGATGACTGATGAAGAGGGTGTGTGCTGGATGTGTAGGGTGTGCAGGGGGTGAGGGTGCAGGTGTGCTGAGTGCTTGGCCTTGTCATGTGCTCGCCCTCGGTCCTCCTCGTCCTCCCACTTATCCTCCCCCCTATCATTCATCATCAGTTCCACGTTTGAATGTATGCCAACAACAATGGGTTGAAGACTATCCTGCTGCTGCGGGATTGAGGAGGTGCTGTCACGTGACACTGCGTTAACAACACATGATAGAGACGAAGAATCTACACGAGGAGGAATACAAGGAAAGACGGGCGTGCATGTATCTGCATTTGTAGCGGAAGGCATCCGATCTGTGAGTGCGTTGAATCGTAATATAGAACGGAGCACATATCTTCTAGAGCAAGGCATCCTGGATGGGAAAAGCAAGCTGGGAACATTTCTTTCCCCGTCACCAGCGTAGGGTTTGCTGTGGTAGGACCGATAGACTAGTTAGTAAAATGATGGGAGAATCATTATTGGACTCGCTTGTGCGAGATTCGTGCATACTGTGTACTTACCACATACTGTCGCTCCGGCCAGCAGCTCGGATCCACCAACGTGCCAGACAAAGAGTGTGTTTTGGGTTTCGCTGGGTTTCTGTGTGGCTGTGGGCAGGCACAGCTCGGGGGGTTTCATCACTGGTGTTGCGCAGTTTTGAGGGGGAATGATGCATGTCCCCCTGTGCTACCGTTCCAGCGCCATCCAGGTCTGCACCAACAACCTTGGAAGCGTGGTGACCACGGCGCGCCGCCGGCGGGACGGGAGCGGGGTGGAGTGGAGTGGAGTGGAGTTTTGGTGTGGGGGGACGCGGACCAGGGCGGGAACAGGCGGGAGAGCACAGATGGGGTGCAAGAGTGCAAATATCTCGTACTGTTGCATGTAGTAGTATGAAGGGCGAGTGGGGGGCCCGTGGTGCTATCTCTTCTTGATGGGAGGTCCAGGACGCGATGCGCGTTGGAAATGGGAGAATAATAGCAACGCTGTTGTTGGACATCCATCCTTCGTCCGGCGGAGGTTTTGGTGTGAAGAATTAGATAGAATGTGTTATCAAACCATGCAGGTCCCGTCCTTATTTCTTCGCTTGGAAAACTCCCCGCTGTCGGGCAGCGGAATTTTGCAATCTGCTATGTAACACGAACTCTACAAACCCGTACTTTGTGATATTCCGTAATATTATTATTCGCCGAACCAGCACCCAACACAACTAAAGGCTCTAATCCTTACACCGCAAACCCAAGCTTTGTGCAATTATTAGCTACCTAATGATTTTCGACCCGTCCGGCGCCAACATGGCTGGGCGCCGTACCTCGATATGAACCCAAGAAAAAATAAAGCGTGCTTCGCACCACATTCATCATGATCGTCCCCCCAAAAGAACGCCGAGATGTGTGTGGTCTGGTCATCTGGCCGCTGGTTGAGCGGCTCCCGTATGTACTCCATCCACGCACCCATTGCGCTGAAAACTGGAACCAAAGGAAAAGGAAATCGTCACGGTCGTTAACTCGGCGGTGGGTCGCCATTCAAGTTGCATTGTCTCTGCTTAGTTCCTGTTGGACAGGAACCCGCCCGTTCCAAACTTCAACTCCGTGTGGGTCGTTGGCGGAGGCGTGAACTTGCTGTTGAGCTGAAGAAAGGCGGGAGCTTTCCGCTCCAGTGCGGACGAGGCCACTGGCTTAGCTTCTGGAGACGCCGGAGGACTAACAATGGAGGGTTCTGAAGCCGTGTCCGAGGAGAAGGAAGAGGTGCGGGGCGCCGGACGGTTGGAGAGGAAGCTGTGCGCTATGGTCCCCGTAGTGGCAGAGACGACACTGTCGTTGTTGTTGTTGCATGTCTTCTTCTCCCGAGCGTTGAGCGTCAGGAACGTGCGGGGGAAAGGAATGTGGTAGCGCGGTCCCGAGGTAGACATGGTGACGCTGTTGCTTCTTGCGTGAGAGAGTGGCGTACTTCCGTGGTGACAGCAGCGTCGTGGGCTGTGTGATGATGTCTTTCGAGGAGGGAGCCCCTCTTTATACGAAGGTGGTAGAGGGCTTACAAGGTCGGTTTAGCGCAGTGAACTTGGCGTTGTGCGAACAGCGAGCTGCCCAGGTTGATTTGGCGTTTTGTGTCTGGTCCAAGCTATTCGGCCGGGCCCGTGGGTGAGACTTAAATTGGGGATAGTAGGTGTGTCAAGTGACCACTTTGCCCTCAGAAAAAGAAACGTATGGGCGTTTCCGGACGAATGCCCGAGTAGTGTTGATAAGGACTAATGCACGAGCTCGCTTGTGTTGTAGTCCACGTAGGTTTATGCGATGAAGGTTGTGGAGTTTAAGCGGAGCTAATTCGCGTTTGCACGGTGGCTTCGTTCACTACTTCCAGTTGCTCTTTCGAGATCTTTGATTTGCCAAGAATCAAAACTGCATATCCTTATATGCCGAAGAGTTGGACAGATCTGGGTACCAATGATAAAATGGGTGGGCCGGAGTCTTTGGTGTTGACAAAACCTGGAAGTGCAACCCTATTGAGCGACGTGGGAGAGCGGATATTGTTGCTTCTTGGACAGCGCACCACAAGGAGGCGTCGCAACAATGCGCAATGCTGAGGAGTCTGGACAGATAACGTCTTATGTTGTTGAAGGGCGTCGGTCCAGTAGTGCGAGGAGGGTTGACAGCCTTCACGATGATGCTTGGGGAGGAGGTTGATGGAATTGAGGAGAAGCGTTTCGGTGGTCCAGAGGCCAGCAGAACTCCTTTAGAGGTCGAATTGCGACGGAATTATACCAAAAGTACGGAGTACACTGTGTAAAAATTGACGAGCGCGCCTGACAACTCGGAAAACGCCATGTCTGCCGTCTAGCGGCTTACGGCAGGTTTCACTCTCCTGATTTTGCATCCCCGTCATCGAGGGTGGCAACCTTAGTGCAAGCACGGCTCGTAACCGCGAAAGTGGACCACGTGTGCCTCTCTCGACGCTCTTTGGCCGTTGGGACGGCCGTTCGAGGACTATTGAAGGGTGGGCGGTGTGCGCATCGACTCTGGCAACTTGTTGGGTACAGACCATGTATGTGACCACAGCATGCGCCGATGGAGCCTTGTGGGCCTTCAACCAGTGGGTGTGGACATGGGACGGCCATCTGGCGACCATCCGGCCAGGTGAGAGCTCCATACCTAGGTTTGTACACAGAATGCGGGGGTACAGAGGCCTAATGGGAGGCGCCGTTGCAGCCTTCCTTGGGATCAATAATGCAAGTATCAAGTAAGCATGCCGAGTGCACGGTGGTGTAGGCGGGCCGAAGATTCGGAAGTCAATTGTCAACATAATTAAAGCCGAAGCTAGCCACGCGCAAGGCAGAAGAATGGACACGAGGATCCCACCAGTCGAGCAAGACTGGAGCAGCTTGTGGAGAGAAAGGAGAAAGGGATGACAAGAGATGAGGTGTTGAAAAGCCTTATTTCTGGTCTGGATCGGCGGACGGCACAGCGTACCCTATCTACACAGTATGCATTGATGCCGAGAACACTTACGTGTGCGACGCACCCACGCTCTCAACTGTCTCTCACTACTCTCCCTCTTCTTCTGTTTTTTACAAACGGCCTGCGTCTTTGCGGGGGCGGTTCATGGGCTGACCCTGATGTCATTTTCCAACGGCCCCAGGGTGCTCACTCATTGCCGGGAGCTATCAGGGCAGCTTAAGCCTTCCCAATCGTGCTCCTGTCGAAAACGGTTCGGTTTCTACCTAGGTATTGACCAATGGTGTTCCATACCCACCCGCTCACCCGTGCAACCGAATGTCTTCTGTTTCTCTATTCCCCCCGGAGCATGGAAGCGTCGTTTCTGATGACAGTCTACGCATTTGCAGTACGCCTGTGATTCGCATCATCACCGAGTTGGCGCCGTCAGCAATCAAACAGAAGCTCTATCAAGAGGCGGAACCCAGAACCGGAGTCTAGAGTAAATGGGCAGCAGTGAGCTAGCCATTACAGCACTGGTAGAGAGTAGTGCTGCACAACCTTTACATTCATCATTGCAAATGTATTAAGTAGTAACCGCAGCATCTGGTGATAATGACTGGAAACTCTCTAATGATGATGATACCATTGATCAGGAATGTGCATGGCCGATAATACACCCACCAAATAAATGCACGAAAATAACCGCACACCTCAAGCCATGACACGAGCTGGCCACAATCGTTCACGCAGGACCCAAAGATGGAACCAATGTCTCCTGGATGCACCTGGCTGCGAGCGGCCAGTGAAGAATGCAGTGTGTGTGGTGATGCTGTCCGACGCTGGGAGAAGAAGATGAAAATTAAAAAGAAAAAAAAGAAAAAGTAAAGTGTGTCCAGTACACCGATCCTCATTCACGTGAAGAGCGGCGGAGGCATGATAAATCAAGAGGACTCTTCAACATTGGAATGCAGGGAGAGTCCGCAGATATCAAGTGCGGTTATGCACCATCGCTTGTACGAAGTGCCTGAACGAGTCAGTCCGACGCGGACATGATAACGATGGTGATGATCACACAAACCTAGATGGTCTCATAATGGTCCTCGAGTACCTTGGGGTCGTAGACATGACCGGTGAGCTGCTCCATAGCGTCCCTCACATTCCTCCAGAACTCTTGAGTTGCCATTTCCACGGCCTTCACGAACTTGGCGGCCTTTTCGGGTGACTGGAGATCCTGACCATCGGAGGTGACTTGACGGACATTGCCCTTTATGTCGCGAGGCGTCTGATATTTGCCATTTGCCTCAGCACGAGTTCGCTTCTTTGAAGTATCCAAAAGGTCGGGACCTGGGGCAGGGTAGTTTTGAGGGCGCCGTAGGTGCATATAATCGCTTGGGTTGAAATTATAGTCGCCCTCTAATGACTGGGCGATGCGCGGAGCATTGCGGACGAAGCGACCATAGACAGACGCGGCGGTACATGTTGGAGGCATACCTTCCGCGATGCGCCTTTCGTTGAGTATGTTCGCAATGGCGGTCCAAGTATAGCTCCCGTTAATGCGAAGGTCTTTTATCATGTGATTCTCTGGATCCCTCTCGACGCTCTTGCCCCGGCGACCCGCCCTAGCACGTATAGCCAAGGGGTGCATCTTCGCCTGAGGCATGGCTTTCGCCGCCCGGGTACCCCGAGAAGCAATAACCTCCTGCCGCGTGGACTTCGTGGAGCTCCCCTGTGTGGATGTTTCTCTCACCATCGTAGTGGCGGGACGAGTCTCATTTGTACCGTCAAATGTAGCGCCGTGTGAGCCCGATTCGGGTTCGAAAAGAGGTGACTCGGCCTCCTCGGGTAGAGATGCGGTTTCAATACCGCTGTTGTGGATTGATCGGGTTCTGTCGTCAACAAAGTCACCAGGGTGGGACGCTGAATCGGAATCGGAATCGGAATCGGAATCGTAAGGCACGAGAACCTTGTGATCATGCGGGCTTGCTGAGCCCCTGAGAGAGGTTGGCATGGACGAAGAGCCGTGGCGGTCGAGACTGTCGTTAAAGCTCCCAGAGTCGCTCATCTGCCCGTCAAAACCGGCAGCAGCACCGAGAGTATCGTCAGATATTTCCATGACATGCGACGCCATTAGACTTCGAAGCGTGGCGTTTGGATGCACAGCGGGCGCTGGAGCGCGTGGTCCTTCGCAGGAACGGTGGCTAACCCGTCTACGCGCAGAATCATTGGCAGGCTCCCTGTAGGCACTCATGTCTGCTCTGCTCTCGACCACCAGAGGGTCTCGCTATGGGGTCGTGTAAAGAGCTGTATCTGTTGTGTGTTAGCAGCATTATCACCAAACTAAATCCGGTGGTAACGTACAGAAAACCGCTCCGGAATGGGAATTGGGGCGAGCTGCGGATTGTCGTTGAGACCACGCTTGTGACGTTGGCCACAGCACCGGCGACAGAGTTCGACTGATGTTGCCAGGCAAGTAGCTGTAACGAGTAGTCGGGCATGTTTATATGTGTTGGGAGTATCAAGCATGAGCCAACGTGACTTTTGGCGGTGTGTCAAAAGAACTCGATTGAAGCAGATGCGGTCAAATTACTCCCCAGGCAGCGCCTACTGATAAAAGAGATCTAGTGTAGCGACAAACGGCTGGCCCGCCTCTAACGTTTGCACTTCATAAGCTCCCCGCACCCGTGAGCAAAAAACAAAGCGGTGATTCGCATAGCATGGGGTGAATGAAAATACCATCATGTGATTGATGGCGGCAAAGCGCAATGAAGGAACCACAGGTAAACATGACGGAAAACGAGCTTGAACGAAAACGCGTGACCCGATGGTGCGTATGTGAATGAACGAATGAAGAGAAGACGACCTTGGGTTATGAATCTGGGGTTTGGAGTGCAAGGAACCCAAACATCCAGAGACGGCATGAGGATACAGCGTTGACCGTAAAGGGATCGTGTTTCTCTCCCACGCGGCGGCCTCCTTCGGGCCCTGAAACAACTATCCATCCTCCATCTGAGCCATGGGCCATGTCGACTCCCAACCTAGTAACCATAGTAAGCCAATCTGGCTTGATTCTTAGCCAAGACTCGCTCAGACTTCTGGCCCGGTGTCTTCCGTCCAGGCTTAGTTAGGGAACACGAACGCCTGGATGGTAGGATGGACTTGAGCGCTGTGTAGACCGATGAAAGTGTCGAGGTGGACTTCTGTGAAGTGGTAGAGACGGAAGGAGCCTTCTCCGACAGTGAGTTCGTGGCGGCCATGATCCTTGGTCGGCGGTGTTGGAGAATGATCGCCGTCAAGAAGTTCCGTCGAGGATGAAGCGGATAGACGCAACAGTGGAGTGGAAAACTCGACAATGTAGGATGGACAGACAGCAAAGGAGGGTGAACGTCTCTTGCGGAAATGAAGAGAGAGCGAAAGGATAGCCGTATCTGATTGTCGATTGACACTGAAGATCGAAGGACCTACGGCACCCTTAAGTACATGTTTCCGTGTTTACCCTGTGTCTGTGGCATTGCTCGAATTAGCATCTGCTTTCAGACCCCATCGTTGAGAGGCGCTCCGACAACGGGCTGCGCCGCCTACGCCTCCTTCATCCTTCACGCTTGTATGTTTGATTGATTTGAATGAGTAGCACCACGAGCGGAGGTAAGCGCTGCGGCAGGCGCTTGCAGCAAGGCCGAAACATCAGACACCGACCATGCGTGCGAAATGTAAAGTCATGCGCCGCGACTCGGCGTGCGGCGTGAGAAGAATGTCTTCCAAGGTTGTTGGGAGAATTGGACTTTGAAGTCTTGGTGAGATCGAGGTTATACGCTAACCGCTTATGGAAAGGTGTCCAATCCCATCACCATCGGCTGTCCAGGTGGTTACAAGACGATATTCTCTTTACAAGTGTCGGCGGTGGTTCGAGCTGCTCGTGGAAGGTGCGGGCCCGCTGTATGTTATGCCTGTGATATTTAGAATAATGCCCCCTGCCATTAATATTGACCACTTCCCCCCTACGAAACCGCTGATGTAGATACCGTTCTCCAACGGCGGGACCGGGCACCAACATGCTGAGAGTGCTTTGCCTCTAAGGGAAATTCTGGTGGTAGGGAACCCAAGGCGGTGCACTCGGGGAAGAGCTAGTTGCACGCATGGCACAGGTACAGAGATAGATGAGGTGCAAGGAGATTCCAGAGGGATTGATTGTAACGGTCGAACGGCTACAGCTTCCCCGAAGTCATTGATCCCCGAACGCCAAACCGTTCTTCGCCTTGGTGCCGCCTATCGTTGAACAGGTCGATCACGCCAAACGCCCTATTGACCTTGCCTGCTGAAGTACTCAGACCCCCCTTGACGAAGTGAAGGCAGGATTGTGGAAAAGATAGGAGCGCAGCATCAACACGAATCACGTCCGCTCGTACTTGATCGGGGGAGTGGTACGTGGAAAACCTGGATAGAAGCTGTCACCGCAGGACTTGCACTGTCGTAGAGTCAGTGACTGCACGCGAGCTCGATAGCTTGAGCAAGGCCTACAGCACCGTCCCCTCGCATGACGCGGTTCTTGCAGATACGTTCGCAATTCGGAAGCCCTGGGACAAAGGCAAGCTAGCGCAAGGGTTAGCGGGGTGCGTCGAGATGATGGTGGCGAAGGGAGCTGGAGACGTACATCAATGCAGTGCTTGTAACGCTTGGAGCACTCATCGCAGGTGGTAGCCACGGCGTCGCCGACTGAACCGAGAGTGTCGATGTCTGCCCTGGGCCCTGCCGCAGTCTGGGGAGTAGCCGTAGCAAGGCTGACCATTCCACCGACGAGGGCGCAGAGAATGACTGCGGTCTTCATAATGGTCGTTGAAAGAGGTTTGGGGGTTGTATGGAATCAAGGCGGGATGGTGGCGGAGAGAATGTGGACGGGCGAGAAGGCAGACTGGTAGAGGGACCTGGAGGTGCTTAAATACGGCGCCGGAAGGCGCACGGAGCGCCAGAAACCAGAAAGACAGGCTGCCCGGTGAAAGGTGTTGATTCTGGGGCATGCAACATCGCAAGACTTGATCTCCCAGTGCAACTACGGACGGTGAAAGAGACGTGGCGTTATGCTATTGCGGACTCTATCGAAACGATACAGGTCCCGGAAGTCGAAAATTTCACCGATATATATTCGGATTACTGTAATACACTGGTCCTTTCAAGCGTTGTCGCTACACTCATCATTGGCGCACTGGTAATTGCAGGACCTAGCCTGTGAACGAGGGTGTTTTCTCCAACCTGATTGTGCGTTGACTGACAGTGGCATCCTGTCGCTTGGAGTGATCCACACTTATCTAACTACAACTGACTCCTATGCAATCGATTACAACTCAATATCGAGAGTCACAGAGGCAGGAGCGTTCACCGTTAACGTGAGCAACGGACAGCGGATATGGAAATGTTACAGGCCAGTACAGAACCAATCGGATGTCGTTCAGTCAACGCCCACATGTGCAGGCTCGTACTCTGATTCTCTCATCCAATACCGGCGTTGCTGGCATACCCTGCTCCATGGGCAAGACTGAGTGTGGGGACTTCCCTGACATTGAGCTTATCTGCTCGGGACAGGTTCAAGAAGATGGTATGCGAGATTGGCATCCCAAGTTGAAAGGACACCATGTGGCCTAACAAATCAGCTGGCCAGATTTCCGCAGTGCTTCGATCTGGAGCGGAGACGCCATTCGCAAAGATTCGTGAGACGTGAGACAGTCGTTGACGATTCCAGACGAGCAACTCCAGCGGCACGTTCAGTTCGAGGTGTCCACAATAGTATGAGCATTCGGTAACTTGTCGGCCGGTGATGCTCTGGACTTCACGCTCGTATGCAGTTCTTCATCGTTTCCTGGTGCGCTTTGGAACGGGCTTAGCCCTGGCGCCACTCCTATTTGTCCTTCTGGTGCTCGGCGCGGTTTCCGCTTCAGATTCGGCAATTTCCTCCTCCTCCTCTTCCTCTCCCTCCTCTTCCTCTTCCTCTGCAGATTCTGATTGTGCGGGCTGGGCTTTGCGGCCAGACCGGGTGACTTTGCCAGTTTTTGCTGCTGCGGCTTTCGTTGTCTTTTTATTCCGCGTGCTCTTTGGTGTTGCAATCGTGGCCGAGTTGCTCTCAGCTCTCTGTGACTTTGCGCCTTCGGGAAGGTCTCGAAGTAAGCCGATACCAGGATGATAGAGCGCCTTGTCTTCTTCAATGGGTATGAAGGGTGGAGAGGATGAGACCGCAGAACCAGGCCCGTGGAACCTTCTGTGCCACATGAGCTCACCAAACTCATCTTCGGGGAGCTCGAAATCTGGGATATTGTAGGCCTCATCAGGATCCAGAGGATCCGGCGAATCTTGGAAAGCGTACGCAACTTCTCGTTCATCCAGAGCATGTAGGTCATAGAGTTGACTTAGCTTTCGCCAGACGCCCGGAATGCGGGTATGTTGCGCATCTTCAGTTGCGAAGCCGAGGGAGCGCATGTTGTTGTGTATGCAAATCATGCGGAAGTGTTTATGCAGGCCTGTAAGCTCAGTTAGAGGATGAGGATTAGTAGCAACAAGGCCTCGCATACCGGTAGGCTTCCACCGGATCATGCTCTTGAACAATTGGGTCTCTTGATCGTCCGTCCATGGGTCATTGAGCCGGTCATCATCGTCCGGTGATGGTTGTCCCAGCGGCTCAATCACTTCATCATTCTCTTGCGGCGGTTTCTGTTGCGCGTCTGACGATGGCGTCGAGGCCGCGGCGGCCTTCACCCTTTTCCGCGGTGGCATCGGCGATGGTTCAATGTTGAGTGGCCGTGAATTCGGCATTATTCGGTACGCGACCTGAATCTATCCAGCGGGTCGCGACGCGGTTGCCAAGCAAAGCGGAGGAAGAGCGACCCCCGGTCCTCCGCTCACGACGACAACCCAACGAGAACACAGATGGCAGACAAGGATAACGATGCCGTCCACGATGTATTCCGCAGCGAGAACTTGTGGACACCATCCACTTTCTTCCAAGATCCGACGACATGCGAACCCTCGCTCTTTGAACCCCTGCAGCTTGATGGTACGTCGTTCGCGTCTGAAGCATGGATGAACGCGTAGGGCAAATAGCTGATCTGATGGAGTCTAGTTTCCGCGATAAAGCTGAATCACCCTTACGCACCCAAGCGCCACCTGGACCACGAACTGCAGCTACCGCATCTAGACAATTTCGAGTTTGGGCCCCTTCCAGACGTTGAGAGTCTCGACATTTCGCTTTCGGTCGCAAGCCCTGAACCGGGAGAAAGAGGGGCGGATTTGTGGCATGATGCGTTGGACACGGACACGATAGGGAACAAGACGCTGTTTTCTACGTGGGAGGCGTTCGATCATACCGATCAGGAGCGTTACGAGCCGGTTTACATTACAGAGGCCGGATCCGCGGCTTTTGATGCGGCGCGAACCGTGGACGCCAATCGTACTGTGGAGAGGGTACTTCAACGGTCCGTTTTCTTGGACTCTTTGTGGAATCTAGGTTTCGGTCGCTCCTCAGCTCTGTTTGTGTGGGACCGCAAAGCGCGGACCTTTGTTCAGACTACGGCTGACGGCCTTCCCTCTGGCTTAAGCCCGGAGTGTGCCAACGGCATCGTCAACTTCTTCGTCCTGCTCGGGAATACAGTCAAGTATCTACGGACGTTTGCGGATCAAACTTTCGCATCGCCAGACTCTATCCCCGCAACAGTGGCACTGGCGACATCCGTCTCAAGCATTCTCTGCACCGTCGAGGAACACTTGGGGCTGCATTCAAACGCTGTCGAATCGTTACTTCAACTGCAGAGCCTGTTCGCTGGATCGAGCGATGTTCTTCTCCACGTCGCGCGACTAGTGGACGCCGTGAAGCACTCGAACAGCAACGAACAATTGACCTCCATCCTGTATCAGCGTATCTTGGAGGTTGAGGAAGATGAGGTCCTGCGAACGCTATCATCGGCCATTCTCTCCTGCGTATCAGGGCCTACACTAGAGCTCATTGATGAGTGGATTGGGACACGAAGGGAGCAGATCGTTACTCCTATTGCAAGCAAGTGGAAGTTCGTGGTCCTCGAAGGCGATGCAGATGATCAAGGGCGGACAGAGTATGCATATGACCCAGCTATGATGCCGTGCTTCATAACATCCGAAGATGGAAATATGATATTCGAGACGGGTAAGAGCTTACGCTTCATACGGTCCTACCACCCTCACCACCCTTTGGTATCGCTTGAAGTCCAACCACCAAACCTGCAATGGCGGTTTAATTGGAAAGACATCGATAGCCTTGCGGCCGAAGCGCGTGCTTATGAGAGATCGCTGCGTTCTGCCATTCGAAACTTTGATTCCAATCGTGCGGATAATAAAGAGTATTTCGACCAGGGCGAGCGCTCCTCGCCCGTACAGACCACTCAAATTCGAGCACCCGGAGACCTGGATCCGTACTTGCAGGTTGAGCAGGCAGTCCGTATTTGTGACGCGGCACCCGCCAAAACGATGCCCGACGAGCTCCAGGCCGAAACCCTTGGAATTCTCGCTGGCACAGCTCGAGACGACTCTGCTCAGAGTTTCTCCCCGCCGCTGTCGATGACCTCGACCCTTTGTTTTCGTCCGCTGCTTGCTGCCCAAGCAAAACTGGTCAATGCTACAGCCCTCCGCCTCTTGTTTCGACAACATCAACTCCGAGCGCACCTGTCTCTGCAGAGGCAGTACCCGCTGCTCGGAAACGGCGTCTTCTCTTCCAGGCTTGCGTCCGCTCTGTTTGATCCAGACCGTGAGACGGCGGAACGCCGCAAAGGGCTGGTGCGAAGCGGGGTGCACATGGGTCTACAAGTCGGATCTCGCAGTACCTGGCCGCCGGCAAGTTCAGAGCTTAGACTGGCGCTGATGGGGGTGTTGAGCGACAGCTTCTTCTCCTCTGCTCTCCACCGTGATACCATGGCAAAGGCCGTCGATGCGGACACAATTGGCGAGACTCTATGGAGAGATGGAGAGGAGCTGCCTGGCCACCTGAACTTTGCGGTCCGCCAGCTGTCGGAAGACGAAATGGAGAAGGTCATGGATCCCGATTCTCTGTACGCGCTGGACTTTCTCAAACTACAGTATGTGCCGCCGAACCCCGTCCATCTCGTCATTAGCACGAGCGCTCTCGAGAAGTACGACGTGATCTTTGTGTTCATGCTTAGGCTTCTGCGCATGTTGTTCGTCATCTCCCATCTTCCACGCACATACTCGACAGTGGAAGGGAGACGGCTTCGGATGGAGGCGCACCATTTCGTCAGCTGTGTCTCGTCGTATGTGTTTGAGAGCGGCATTGCCGAGCACTGGAATGCCTTTGATACGTACCTCACGACGATGGAAGAACGTCTCGAAGAGGAAGATGTGGCGGGCGAGCTGGGCAGGCGGGTCACATGGGGCGTCGAGGAAGTTCGAAGGAGGCATGAGCACTGTCTTGACAGCATCCTGTTCTCGCTGCTTCTGCGGCGCCGGCAAAGGAAGGTCATGGCGCTGATGGAAGAGATATTTAATCACATTCTCCAATTCTCTCGGCTGGTGCGTCAGGGCGAGATGGGCCACATGGCTCAGGTGAAGGAAGTGTACGCAACGGTAAAGGGGAAGATGGGCGTCTTCATCAGCGTGTGCAAGGGGTTGACGGGAAAGAGGGGCTATGGAAAAGGGAAAGGAACGGGTGACGAAAATAGCCTGGAGCGGTTGGTGGTGTTGCTTGAGATGAACTCGTACTATGCTGGCTGATGAAGTTGGTGATCCATCCATCGTTTTGGTCGTGTGCACACATGCATGAGTGGAGGCTCACAAACCTCCAACATATCGGAATGGTCGGAGGGTACGGTTCCGCAGGTTCCGAGACAATGTGGGTCCGTAGCCAGCCAAGAATGACCTCATCGGCGTCTGTGCCAAGGAGTGGCTGCGGTGGCTGCACCAGCCACGTTCATTCCTTCCCTGGTCGCTTTTTTTCCTTATTGGTCTCTCCTTCCCGCACGTCCCAACTGCGACAAGAGCGCACAACGGGATGTGCAGACTGGAGAGACCGACAACACCCACGCCAGCAATGCGGGTGAATGATCCCTATCCATCACCACCGTCCTACCTCGCCTGCCCTCCTTGTCCTCGCCCGCCTCGTTCCACCGCAAGACTTTCCTCTTCTACGGCGGCCAATTGGCCTCTGTGTCGCTCGTTTTTGCAGAGATCGCGATTCTCGCCGCCCTAGCCGCCCTCTATCCTGCTCCACCGTCCATCTTTCGCACTCCCGCCCATTCCACCAGCCCATCTCGCCCTTCGGACCTGCTCCCCTTTTCCCAAGGAGCAATCGCCGTCTGAGCCAACGTGTGCTCGCGGTGCACACCCGCCCGCCCGCGGCTTAGATGGGGAGAGAGGGTCGGGTTGCGTCGACCTCTCCAGTCGTGCCCACCGATGCATCATCCACTCCAGCCGATAAGCCCATCCAACCGTCGAAACCCATAGCCCACCCTCCCCGCGAGACAATACGCAAGAGAGAACCGTCCAGTGACAATGCGCCCGCCGAGCTGCTGCCCGAACCACACCATTCCCACCGCGCCCACTCGCGTCTCCACGCCGCTGCAACGCCGCGCCCACAATCGCCTTCATCCAAGCCGATAAGAGATGCTTCCATGGCAGTGCCGGCCAAGGACATCACGCCGGACGGTATGCTCGAGGGCTCCAGCAGGCGCCGTTCCCGCCTGCGCAATCCCTGGGCCTGGTCCCTTACCACCCTTCTCACTGCTCTGCTCGGATTCGCCCTGTTGCTCCTCATGCTGCATTCCTTCATGACCCGCCAGCTCGATCAAAAGGGATGCCGCATGTGCTACATGCGCCCCGCCTTTGTCAAGTTTCCCGAGTTCGACACCGAACACACACGCTTTGCCTCCAAGTACTCGTTGTATCTCTATCGCGAGGGTGGGATAGACGAGGACCCTCGAGTATGCTCCCCAATCCTCCCCTGATGCCAACAGGCTGACAACCTTCGCCTAGGTCAAAGGCGTGCCAGTGCTCTTCATCCCCGGGAACGCCGGCAGCTACAAGCAGGTGCGTCCCTTGGGAGCCGAGGCGGCCTCCTACTACCATGACGTCCTCCGCCACGACGTGGGAGCAAGCAAGGCGGGGAAACGGCCATTGGACTTCTTCACAGTCGACTTTAATGAAGACTTCACTGCCTTCCACGGCCAGACTCTGCTGGACCAGGCCGAGTACCTCAATGATGCCATTGCCTACATTCTCTCCCTCTACCACACGCCAGCTCGGTCCTCTCGCCACGGAAACCTGCCCGATCCCACGTCCGTAATAATCATTGGGCATTCCATGGGAGGTGTGGTAGCTCGCACCATGGTGACTATGCCCAACTACCAGGCCAGCTCCATCAACACCGTCGTCACTCTCTCCGCGCCGCATGCCAGACCTCCTGTGTCATTCGATGGCGACATTGTGCGCACTTACAGGGGCGTGAACGACTATTGGCGCCAGGCCTACTCGCAAAAATGGGCTATTGACAATCCCCTATGGCACCTCACCCTTATCTCCATCGCTGGCGGTGGATTGGACACGGTGGTACCGTCCGACTACGCCAACATAGCGTCATTGGTCCCGGACACTCACGGTTTTACCGTCTTCACGTCGACCATGCCGAATGTGTGGACCGGCATGGATCACCTAGCTATCACGTGGTGCGATCAGGTTCGCAAAACCGTAGTGCGAGCGCTCTACGATATCATCGACGTCTCAAGGCCTAGCCAGACACTTCCTCGTGCTGAACGTATGCGTGGCTTCAAACGGTGGTTTTTGACCGGCCTGGAAGACATCGCTGAGAAGAATCTGCCGCATTTGGAAGCCAGGACCCTGTTAACCTTGGAAGACGACTCTAATGCCATCATGAAGCAAGGCGAAAGTTTGGTGTTAAGGAGTCTCGGCCGATCCAAACAGAGGCCGAAGCCATATCTGCTACCGATCCCGCCCCAAGGAGCCGACGAGAAGAAATTCACTCTCCTCACCAACGAGCAGCTTGATGCCGCAGGCGAACATGGAAAGCTGGAGGTGCTTCTCTGCAGTGTGTTTCCACTTCACCCTGGCCAGTCTGCAGCGCTATTTTCCATGAACTTGGATTTGTCTGGCGATAGTTCTGGCTCTACGCGGCTTGCTTGCAGAAATGTCCTTCCGGACGTCATCACCCTGCCTGCGTCGTCACAGCAATCCACCTTCCCATTCAAGTCAGACGAAAGGCCGTTCTCTTATCTGCAGTACGATCTTGAACAACTCGCCGATCATCAATTCGTAGCTGTCGTTGACAAGTCCGGCCACCACGGTACCGGCTGGGTAGTGGCTGAATTCAGCAGCACTTCAGAGTCGGTGCACCCATTGCGAGTGGGTGTGCAGCGCCTAATGACCACTGGCTTGAGACTGCGGTTACCACCATCTCGCCCACTGATGACCGAGTTGCAGATCCCAGCCTTGCACTCCAGTCTCTTGGCCTACAAGCTCCGTATCTCCCGGCATGCCTGCGACATGGGAGAACTGTTTGCCCCACTCCTGCGTCAGTTCGTCACGGATGTCCATGAGAGCAAGTTCTTCGTCAACGTTAGGGATGCAGACATCAATCTCCATGGCGTTGCGCCTTATATGCCGCCTTCGTTCTTCGCAAGGAACCCATCCAATGGTGTCTCACTCCAGCTGTGGTCTGATCCCACCTGCGATAAGCCCATGGAGGTGTCCCTACACCTTGATCTGGCTGGCAGCATAGGCAAATTGTGGATGCGGTATAGAATTGTTTTTGCCGCATTTCCCCTGTTTGTCGTGGCAATGGTCGTCCGACATCAGTTCCGGTTTTATGACGAGACCGGCATCTTCATGAGCTTCACTGAAAGCATGAACAACTGTCTACGATCATCGTTACCGCTCGCCATTGCGGCCTTGACCTTCCTATCAATTGTGCTCCCGGGTGCTCAATATGAACATACTCTGGCTGATCGATGGCTTCTCGCTCGGAAGGGATCCAATTCCACTGATGTGCTGCACTATGCGAACAACGAACTCCTCATTGGCCAACAGGATGCCTTTTTCTGGTTTCTGGTTCCCTTGTTCAGCCTGATGTGCATCGCCATCTGCATTGCCGTCAACTACATGGTTCTCGGCCTGACCTATGTCCTGGTCTCCCTCCTCTCGCTTGTGCGCCCACCTTCTTCTCGAGTTGAGGAAGTTCGAAGGACACCTACGGCCTTCGGCATCACCTCCACTCAACAGCGTGTCATCACGACCTGTATTCTGCTCTCTTTGGTTTCAACGTTGATCCCGTACCATTTTGCATACCTGGTGCTCTGCATGGTGCAAATTGCAACCTGTGTGCGGGGGTACAAGTTGGCAATAGACTCGGTTGGTGCCTCTCTCAATTCATTGTTGCATTGCCACTAACTTTCCGATATTAGGGTCTTGACACGAACTTCAACTTCTACAATTACGTCCATTCGACGCTAATTCTTATGATATGGATTCTTCCGGTCAATCTTCCAGTTCTTGTCGTCTGGGTCCGGAACCTTGCTCTCCACTGGTTGACGCCCTTCTCCTCCCACCACAACATCCTATCCATCATGCCACTCATCCTCCTTGTCGAAACACAGAGCACTGGTCGTATGGTCCCACCTCTTCACTCGCGATTCAATGTACTTACAAGTACTCTCCTCTTTGCGATTGGGGCATACGCTGCCATCTATGGGGTCTCGTACGCCTATGTTTTGCACCACCTCATCAACATCCTAGCAGCTTGGTTTGTCTTGATTCACTTCGACGCTTCGTATCTATCCGCAAGGCGGATAAGGAACACACTGGAAAGCATGGGAACAGGCAGTTCGGTCAAAAAACAACCCTGAGATCGGCCCACCCGTTCGGTTCCGAGCTCCCTTCTTGAAAAATGCCTAGAACCATACTCAATACTCTGGAAAATTCTTAGGGGGTGCAGCGCTTCCCCCGTCCAGGGTCGAGAGCCAGAGCTCGTCGGCAGATGAACACTGTTGTTAAGAGCAATTTGGGGGCGAGTTCCCATTATGGATCAAGGCAGCCGCTAGGGGTAGCCTGGAGCTGTATGCATATACAGTAAAGCATGGCCATTTTGGTTTTCGTACATGGTCGGGTAGCGGCATCCGCTTGACGAGCATTCGTCGTGGCAGTCCTGGAGTATCCACATAGGGTGTCTTGAATGGGGTGATTGGGCACAGGCAATGGATGGACTTATAGAGGGCGGGTCGATGATGACTTCTTGCGGCTAATGGTTCAGAGGCTTGGGTACATGCTATATAACTAATGTCTACAATGTTTAGGTATGAGCGTCGCCTCGTGCGGAGTCTGCTCAAAGTGCGCAGGAGAAGAGCGCCTTTTCTATTATAAATATTGAAACCTGCATCAAATCCGGTCTAATGAATCTGCCTGCTTTGTACATACCTGCAAAAGGAAGAAACAATAGCGACAACTTTCTATCATGAGAAATCAGCTAACCCATTATGGGTTAGACTCTTTGAGCTATCCCTTGGCAATTCACCAGACCACCTCAGCCTAAGCTCTTGGTGATGACAAAGTGGCCAGAAAGATAACTTGCTCCTAGAAGGCACCCGCCGTGTTACATCACAAATACGCGACACGAGTCCCTTATTCCTTCACAGATTGCCCTCCCTCTTTGACCGCGCGCCATACGGTCGCCCTCCCCCGTTCACGCATCCAAACCAACATGGTGCGTATTCGTGTTGCGCCTCTTTCGCCAACCGACTGTCTAACCGTGTAGATAGAATGCCCTATTCAACTCCGCATTGCGGCAATCCTCGTCTATTCGCAAAGATCTTGATCTTTTCGCCGACGCAGCCTCACCCTCGCCGGCTTTACAGGGGCAAATATCCACGTCGCTCACATCCTTCTCCCGCATCATCGACGACTATGGCAGATTGGCCAAGCAAGAACCGGTGGCGACGAAGCAGGAAAAGGCTTTCGAAAGACTGAAAGCTTTCAGGCAGGAGTTGAATGAGTATAGGGAGCAGTTCCAAAGAATCAGAAGCGTGAATGAGGAGATGGTGTGTACATTCCCTGTACGCGCGAGTGGGAGAGGAATAACCCTTGAATAGCAAACGACAGCTGCAAGAACGGAACTCCTAGGACGGCGACCTCACCACGCTGCTACTCCCGAAAATCCGTACTCCGTTCCAGCCAACAACGCCCCAAATTACAACTCTCCTTTTGCCCCCTCGCAGCCCCCGAACGCAAGCGCGCCCTATCGACCGAACGCATATTCCTCGCTGGCAGGCCCTTATGGCTCAAATGAGGACTACACTCGGGAGGCCCACGCGTTCCGCGAACAGTCATTCTTCGCGCAGACTTCGACGCAATTGGACGAATTTCTGGATCGGGGAAGGCATGTACTGGGTGACTTAGGGCAACAGAGGGAGATGTTGAAAGGCACGCAGAGGCGGTTATACAGTGTTGCAAATACATTAGGCATCAGCGGGGACACCATTCGAATGGTGGAAAGAAGGGCCAGACAGGACAAGTGGATCTTCTGGGTGTGTGTGGTGGTGTTCGTGCTGTTCTGTTGGGCGGTATTACACTTCTTGAGGTAGAACGGTCGTTGAAAATGAGGAGATGTGGACTCCGGGTGCGCGATCAGGGTTTGACATAACATACCAGGGTTGGCAATTATGGCGTGGGAATCGGCGCATACCATGGGATTAGCAAGGCGTTCAAGAGAAGGTTAGCCTGTCGAGAGGTTATACGGGCGTATTCCTGGTGGGTGGTTTATCTTCAAGCAAGATAACAGGGTGCGGTATGCTCAAATTCCATTGAAAAGTATGATTTCTAATAGATATCAGTCCTATGAAACGGCGGTCTGCGTAACGTCTGGCTCACAGGATTTGGCACAAGTCCTTCACTGCAGCCCTCAGAGACCGGTAATTATAGAACAGGACGTCTTCGAATGTTATCCTTATAGTCTTCGCGAAAAGTCAGGATGGAACAAACGGGGCAAAAACCACAGTTGAACCCATTCTTCAAAGAAGGTAGGAGAATGGGACAAGCTCAACGAAACCAAGATACAACGTTTAGAACATGGAGGGGACTCCAGCAAGAAACTTCCTCTGTGGTGGTGGCCACATCCGTAACGGTACGCTCAAATCACGGTCCCTTTCCAGGTCGGCAACCCTGTCCTGCAGATCCACCAGGTTCTCCACAACATACTCCGGATCCACCGCGGGGATCAGCTCCATTGAAGGGCTGGGGGCCGCCATGATGTATGCAGGAGCCCGGTGATGAATGATGGGGGGCGGCATCGTTCTCGCCTTGGGTGCATGGTACAGTAGCGAGCGCCGGAGTCTCCTTCCGCGAAGATCGCGATCGTCCAAGTACTCCAGGTCCCAAGCAAGTGTTTCCGCCATAATACGAAGCATTTCATTCCACCGAAAGTCGTGGTATCGGACGTAGCGTGCGCTGTGGCGGATGTCGTCTAACCGATCAGCGAGTGCGCGGAAACAGCTTAGAGCTTCATATTTGCTGAGCAGCGCCTGGATGTCCATGAAGGCGAGACCCCAAGCTCCTAGGTATTTTGCGTCCTCCCGTTCGATGATAATGTCCCGATGGAGGAGAAAGAAGCTGACGAGCGCGGAGGCCAGGGGATTGGAATCCATCGTTTTCGCCATCTGGGAGAGGATGACGAAGGAGCGCCGGGCGCGGATCAAGCCGGTTATGAAGCTACGGCTTGAATGGTCGGCGATCAGACGCTGCTCCAGATATCCAGTGATTCGGCTGCCAAACAATTCTGGTTGCCAATAGCTGTGCCACAGGATGCGAAAGAGCCGAGAGAGGCACCGATGTACAGAGTCTCGGTTCGCGCCCAGCGACTTGTGTACCCTACGGGCAATTCCATGGGCGAGTCGAGCCAGATCGATTCGCTCAAAACTGTCCACAACCTCATCCAATCGAGGTATTAAATCTTGCACAGCCGGAAAGTGGATATCGATGAGGCGCCCATCCGACAGACGGACTTCAACAATGTATTCGTGGTAAGGGTATCCGTCGTATAACCCTGGCGAAGGAGGAGGAGAAGGTCCCCAGGTATACATCCTTCTCGTCGTAGGTAGGAGTTGAAGATGAGATGTCGAGGTGCGGTTTGAGGTGTAATTCCGGGTATTGGCGGTCTTTGAGACGTATGGTTGAGATCAGACACGGCGAGAGGCGCAAGAGGAACGATTCACATATATATCGCCGCATCCGACCTTCATGTGTTTGTGTGCAATGGGCATGCGCGGTCAGGTCAGCGTTGTTCGGTACCACCAACGGAGTTTGCTACACTGATAGGACCCAGTGGCAATGGTTGATCCTCGATGCTATCCATGGCCTACGCCAACAGCAAACATATGGCTTCAACAAAGGTCACCAGTCAGATGCACACGTCGCCTGCTCGGTCAAGCCCGGAGGACAGATATCACAGCCACCACTCTTCAGCTACTCTATAATGAGGTAGGGCGACGGCGTAAGGCTCACCGCTTCGCCTTGCATTCTGGATTCAACCAATTGCTGCAGGTGCAAGGCATCGAACCTATACACTCGGGCCGCCCTCCTGGTCTTACCAAGACGTTTAGACGCTCATGCCCCAAAACCACGAGATGCTCAGCCCATCTTTCCTCGATTCAAGGCGCAGTGTCGACAAGCAATCCCGTCGTCCATAGCATTCAGGTTTGCACAGGTGCCTCATTGCCAATCTGGCTAAGGTTTTGATGGGCCATGGCTCACTTGCTCGAACTGAAAGGTTGTCTGTTCATGCGGGCCGTACTCCCCGAGAGTACGTGGACAAACGGCCCTGGGACACTTTGCAACAAACCGCGTGAGGAACCTGTGCGACAAGCTCCGGAGAGTAAAGATGGTAGTTTCCTGAGAGGGCCTGTATCCGGTTGGAGATGTCGCTGATGTCTACCTCCCAGCCGCTGGTCTGAACAGTCGAGTGACGGACGGATTTGCCGTCGTACAATGTAACTGTTCTGTGGCTGTGCCTCTGTACAACGAGCAGCCTTGATCTCAATATGCCGTGATCCCTCACAGCGGTGTGGCATGTGACATCGGCGGTATGGTGGATCAGTGGTCCCAGTAATGCCTCCATCGGCAAACACAACATGTCATAGGCGAAACGGCGTAATGCACCCAGAGGTGCGTATGTGGCAGAAGATCGACTGGGCAGTGGGCTCCATTGATCTGCGGGCATAATGAGCTGATAGACTGTTCTACATGCCCTTGTGCGTAGTACCTCATTTCAAGGACCTTTTCATATATACAGCGGTTATCAAAACACCGACGGCTCAGGAGATACGCGCTCTCCATCCTCGTAGCGGATGTCCAGGATGGGAGGACTGCATCATGAGCGAAACCCTTAGCGGAGGAGCAGGACCAGGAACTATTTGCACACTAGGAAGGATCTAGGGAGGGAGAAGAATCTGTCGGTATCGAAATCTAAAATTGGTTCCGTCCATGCCTCTCGAAAACAGCCGAGTTATCTACCAGTCTAAACCTCCAGTCCCCCTTTCACCGCCTGCTAGTATCATTGCTGCCTTTCTTTCCTGTCCTAGCCCGCCTTCCAAATGGCTCACAGGGATGCTCTTTCTGCCCTTCAGCTGCATCGACGCCAGTTTCTTATCGAGGCTCTCGAAGGGATCTGTTGTCTCAGTCTTCTTAATCTTGAACTTCTCGGTGCCCAGCACAGAGTCCAGCTCCTCAATGCTAGGTAGTTTAACGTATACCCATCCGTCGTCCCTTGCTTCGACCGGAAAGGTTGCAATGTTGACATTGTCGTCGTTGTTACAGCGGCCAGCGTTTTCGCCGCTGAGCTCGTAGTTCCGTTTGTGGAGGGGACAGGAAATCCAGAGCTTGTTGTTTTTGAGGTCATCGCCGATCAAGCCATCAGAGAGGACGAAGGCCCGTTTGTGTGGGCACATCTGCTGGGTACAGTACCATCTCCCACGGACCTTGAAGATGGCGAGTTGCGTGTCGCCTCGCTTCACAGCTTTTGAATCGCCCGTTGGGATGTCCTTGAATTGATCGGCTTTGATGATGGGTTGCCACGCCAACTCGGTCCATTTGGTGCCTTTGAAGTCTTCAGTCACAGAGTCTTTTGGCCAATATGATGGCCTCTCTTGATGCCGCTCCTTGACTGGCTCAATGGTGTCGTTGATGTTCTCATCCGTGTTTGCAAACTGGGAGAAGTGGGCAAGACGCTCGGGGCTTTTGAGCACCTCGGTCCACTCGCAGAAGAACGACCCGACCAGTTGCTCCATTTGCTTCTCGAGCTCCGCACATATGCCGAGCTTGTCCTGCAGGATGACTTCCTGGAGGTATTTGATACCACCAGGCATATTCTCGATCCACCGCGCCGTCCTTTGTAACTTGTCCGCGGTCCGGATGTAAAAGGCAAGGTAACGGTCGAGAATCGGGATAACGTCGTCGGGAGGGACATCTTTCGCAAGTAATTCCGAGTGTCTCGGTTTGGCGCCGCCGTTTCCTCCTACGAAGATATTGAACCCCTTCTCGGTGGCTATCAGTCCAAAGTCTTTGTTCTGCGCTTCTGCACATTCCCGTACGCAGCCAGAGACACCTCCCTTAATCTTGTGGGGCGCGCGGAGGGATTTATAACGCTCCTCTAGACGAACTGCCATGCCCACACTGTCGCCGATGCCGAAGCGGCACCACGTTGTTCCGACGCAGGATTTGACGGTTCGGAGCGATTTGGCGTAGGCATGACCAGACTCCATGCCACCGTCTATGAGCTCTTGCCAGATAGCGGGAAGGTCCTGTTTTCTAGCTCCAAACATGTCGATCCGCTGTCCGCCGGTAATCTTACAGTACAGGTTATACTTCTTCGCAACAGTGCCGATGATGATGAGCTTCTCGGGCGTGATCTCACCACCTGACACGCGGGGGATGACTGAAAAGGTGCCATTTCTCTGAATGTTGGCCAGGAACCTGTCATTGGTGTCCTGTAGGCCTTTACGAGATTGATCAAGGAGATGTTTGTTATAGAGCGAGGAAAGAATCGATCCGATGGCAGGCTTGCAGGCTTCGCAACCTGCGGATTCGGGCTCTCTTCCGCACTCCTTCATCACGTCGGCGAACTCTTTGAGGCCCTTCACGTGGATAATGTTGAAGAGATCGGCTCGAGAATATTCGAAATGGGGGCAGAGGTGATTCTTGACTTCTTGACCCATGGATGCCATCGTCTTGTTGAAGATCGTCTGGACGAGCGGCATGCACCCGCCACATCCAGTTCCAGCCTTGGTACAGGATTTCACGTCGCCTATGCTCTTGCAGGTCCCGCTCTTGACCGAATTTACCACGTCCCCTTTGGTGACGTTATGGCATGAGCAGATTTGGGTATCGTCGTCACTGTTCATGTTAGCCGTGTTCTCGGAGAGAAACGCGAATAGGGCCGTTCACTCACAGATCGTCACCATCCTCGTCGCCTTTTTGTGCTCCAATAATCAATTCGCTGGGGGGTATCTCGAGCTGCTTCTGGTTTTTGACCATGGGTACCAGTTTTACGTAGTCTTTCGTGTCACCGATCATCATACCACCGAGCAGATATTTGCCGTCGGGAGTGAAGAGGTACTTTTTGTAAACCTGTTGGAACGGATCTCTGTACGTCAGAGCCTTGACGGGCGGAGGCTCGGGTCCATCCGTAAGGTCCTTGACTTTCCCTCGTGTACCAGCCGCAGTGTTGTCCGCCTTCGCTGCTCTCTGCCGACCAGGCAACTCTTTGGGACCGTCCCTATCTGCGAAGAAATCCCCAAAGCTGGCAACCTCGACTCCGAGCAACTTCAACTTTGTGCTTAGGTCTGGTCGCTTAAATTTCCTCGGTGCATGGACCTTGGCTTGCGTGAGGTTGAAAGCGAGGACATCGGCCATCTCAACACCGGGGGCAATCAGACCGAAGGTCTGATTTTCCCAGCTCGCGCATTCACCAATGGCGTAGACGTCTGGGACCGAGGTCGAAAGATCAGGTGCAACTATGATACCGCCGCCCCTATCCGCGCACTTTATGCCAGAGCGTCGTGCTAGGTCGTCTCTCGCGCGGATACCAATCTGCAGAGTAGGGTAAGCACGGGGGCAAAGCTACCATGGATGGAGCAGCTACTCACAGCAAAGCAGATACAGGAGCAGTCCATCTGCTCACCGTCCTCGAACACGACACTCTTGACGTAATTCTCCTCATTGGTGAGGATCTTTCCCACCCGTTTGCTGAGCATGACGTCCAAACCTAGGGCGCGCACCTGCTCAACCACCATGGCACCCGCGTCACCGTCCAGTTGCCTCGAGAGGACCCATCTGTTCCTTTCAATCAGTTTCACCTGCGAGAATACATCTAGATCCATCATGGCATGTGCAGCTTCGAGCCCTAGCAGCCCACCTCCGACCACCGCCCCTACCGTGCCCTTTCGGGTGCTTGAGAAGTCGATCAGCCTCTGCAAATCGTCGATTGTCCGGTAGACAAAGACGCCTTTTGCGTCGTGGCCGGGAGTATGCTTTGGGAGCACAGCATCGGAGCCGGTGGCGAGAACGAGGATGTCATAGGCGACTACATGGCCGGCAGAGGTTTTCACATTCTTTGCGTCGGTGTCGATTTCGGTCACCAAGGTGTTGATGTGGTAGCTGAGCGAGCCTTCAGGCACAGATGTGTACTGCAAAGAGTTAGTGCGGGCTTGTCACGCCGGTCGCGCTCGATATGGATCCGAGATGAACCACGTACCCATTCCTTGGGGTTCAGATAGAGATTTTCCACGTCTCGATGCTGGAAGAAGCTCGTCAAGCCGACTCGGTTGTAAGCCAGGTGCGGCTCCTCCCCTATGACGACTATGTGGTACTCTCTCCTCGTCGCATCCAACTTCATGAGTTTCTCACTTGGTGCATCAGTATCGCAATGGCGGTTTCTTCTCCATACGCCGGCCCACTTACATGAAAGCGATGCCGACCATACCCAAGCCCACGACAACTATCCGCTTCCTCCTCGTGCCATCTGGCAGGTTCGTTGGGCGCACTGGCTTTAGGTCGAGCGAGATTCCATTGGGCTGCACCTCTCCTGGCGGGGGTTTTGCAAGATCGCTTTGCTTCGAAGGCCAGACGGTCTCCATGGGGAAGAAGGAGGGTGGGCTATGTGATTCGCCGCTAGTAGGCTCGATGCCGGGGGTCAGGATTGGGATAGGATGGGTGTCGGACGACATTGCGGAGAGACGAGACGAGACGAGGGACTAAGTCATGCGTGGCAGACAATGAAGACGATGGAGGAGGAAGGGAGAAGCAATCCGTCGATATGATGGCTATGGCACGAATGAAGCCCAGTGCGGAGAGGGCGTATGTGGAGGATTGAGGGGTGTGTCGTGGGAGGGGTGTGTGGTGGAAGACGACGGGTGCAGCACTGGAGCTGATAGATATTGCCGGAGCCACAAAGCAAGAGGTACGGCAAATAGTCTAGATAGCAGAGGAGGATGTACCTATGGCATTTGGGACCAGTGGACGTTATGCACGGAACCCACGCCCTCGAATGCTGCGGAAATCCTGTCCCACACGGGCTTATCTTCAAAGCACACTCCGCGGGGGAAGGCGGAGATGCAGCAGCATTGGCACTTCTGCCATCCATGGGTGGAAATAATAATGCACATGCATCCAGGCCCATGGCTGCGGGAGGACCAGGGGAGTCGGTTCCTTGATTGCGTGTGGTAGAGAGAATTGATGAGGCGATTTGTGTGCCCTATGTCTCCGGGGAGAAAGTCATGGCGGGGAGAAAGTCATGTTGTCCCTGATATTATCATCGTCACCACCACCTCGATGGGAGCTGCCGAACAGACGATAATCGATCATGTAATAATATAACGGTGGTAATCGCAGTAGTCTATTGCAATGATTGGGTCGTCGTCGAGGTTGCAATAATCAGGCTCTCTGTCTGTCTGTCTTCGTCTCGTCTATTTCGTCTATCTGACCCGATCCTGACTGATAAGGACGTTAGGGCTGCCAAGAAGACAACCTCCGATAAGCGACTTAACGGAGATGGATCAGCTTTGCCTGCCTTCTCCGATCTATAGCAGAGATGGCCATCTCCTTCCGCGCTCAATCCAATTCCCAATTCCGTTTCCATTTTTGGTTTCATTCCCTTCTTGCTCCCTTTCCCCACCCACTCTGCCGTCCGGGTCAAACAAGTTGGGTGCAGCAAACAATCAATACCAAATCCAGTAGTTGCTTGCATAGTTTCGTGTCTCTCTCCCATCTCACCCTTGTTGGGCCCGTACTGTAATGTACGGGGTCGTGCTCCTATCTACGCGTTCCATGCTTCCCTGCGCTCATCAGAAGAACAGCAATTCATCATCCGACCAGCCCTGGTCGATGAGAATCTGGTGAGCGCTCTTCTCCAGCGACTCCGGCCCGCAGATCAAGACGAGGCTGTCCCCGCCTGTTCCCTTCACACAATGCTCTCGGACTAGTTCCGCAGAGATGCGACCGCGCAGCCCCTGCCACTCGGGCGGCCCTTGGGTAAGCGTGTAGAGGAGCTTGCAGCGGTCAACATTCTCCCTTGCAAACCTGTCCAAATCCGCTTTGCAGAGGATATCCTCGAGCAGTCGGTTGCCGTCCAGTACCACGCACCTGGTCGGGTCGTCCCTGTCTTGCATGATGGCCCTGAGCACTTGGTAGATGGGAGTGATGCCGGAGCCGCCGCAGATCATGAAGAAGCGCTTGACGTCGCGTTGCACGTTGTTGATGGCACATTTCCCTTTCCCGAGGTATTCGAATTTGCCAATGGGCCCCTTGAACTCGACAGCGTGTCCGATGGGGAGTGCGTCCAGCGCCTTGGTCATCTTTCCCCCAGCCCTCTCCTTGGTGTCCAAGTAGAGCTTCACCAGCACGTCGCAGAAGCCCTTTCGACCCGTCTCCGATATGGGCGTATAGCTCCGGATAATGGCTTCTCTTGTCACTGGATCCCGCAGGCGGATCATGAGGTGTTGCCCAATGGGCAAGCCCAGAGCCTGGTCCTCGTGGTCCAGCTTGAACGTGAAGATACGCGTGTCCCACGATATGGATACCTTCGAATGGAGTGTCACCTTGTGCCAGGTCCGTGGGTCAAGGAACACGGCGCGAGGCTCCCCGGACTCTACCTGGGGCTCCGCGTCCGTCAGGATCCGGCGGGATGCTTGATCCAGCGATCCAATGTGATACGATGGCATCATGGCTTTTGCTGTTTCACTGTCTGCTGCATATTAGCTTGGCCCGTACTGGCGTGTGGCTGCTCCCACTCACGGATGGCTAGAAACTCGTCGCTGACATCGAGCGCTGCCGCCGAGATGATGCTTTGTGCGCCCCCGGGATGCTCCTTGAGGAAAGCGGTTCCATCGTATACCTCCCCGTTGACCACGAACCAAGGTTCTTCGGGTTTGTCATGCTTCCGTAGCTCATCGATGGTTATTTCCCGATCCACCCCATCTTTGGTCATCTTGACTTCGTCAGGTATCGAGGGGAGTGCCCCTTCCGGTTCGCCGATGAACGATCCTTCACCCCAGTATCCATCGGTTAGACGGCCGCCGGCCTTTTTCACCCTCTCCATCCACCCTCCTGGCATCAAGGCTGGCTGAGTGGGGTGCTCGAATCGTAGGCAGCCGTGCTCCTGCTGGATGGCAACGCGATACCAGCAGTTGTTCATCATCCCCAAAACGGACCAATACATGTCTCGAGGCTGCATGTTCATACTCTCGTCCATCGACCGGACCAGTATATCCTTTGCCTCTCTCAGCTCTTCGACTGGTACCTCCAAACTCCAGAAACACCAGCAGAAGCACGTTTCTCTCCAGTCCATGTCCAACCGGCCGCCGAATAGCTGTTTGTTCTCGTATGCCCGATATTCATCCTCGGCATAGTGGATGTTACCCAGCCTCCAGGATTTGCCCTTATCAATGGAGATCTCGACCCGTGTGATGCGCCGACCGCCGCCACTGTAAGCATATCCCCTGAGATTGTACACCTCCGACCCTTTGTCGAGGACCAGCTTCTCGTCATGTGCCGGAAATGCAATGGCCGAGTTTGGGCTTAGGTCGTAGATGGCGTATCGTTCATCCGTCCACCATTTTGGATTATTCGCGGCTTCGTCAGGGTCTACCATTGTTCTGTCACGGTGAGTTTCGGCTGAGATAGCGCTGGTCACATGGCGGACTTACGGAAGAACCCGATTATCGTAGATGTGGTACCAGTTGGTGCTCGGCTCCGCCGTGACGATGAGCTTCTTCAGCCATTTCACACTTCTCCCGCCAATCTGTCCAGGGATGACTGCGCGGACCGGTTTTCCGTGGTCGGGTCTGAGCATTTCTCCGTTCATGCCGTGAGCTACCATGATGCCTCGATTGGGGTCCATGACCCAATTGAGCTTCACCGATGTTCCATAGTAACCGTTCGGCTTTGTCATGTCAGCATCGTTCGGCCATCGGACGGGCCGTAACATACAAGCTTGTCCGCACCCTCCATACAAACATATTTGGCGCCCCTCAATGGCTGCGCCTTTTCGATGATGTCCCTCATCACCACTCCGGTAAAAAGAGCCGTCGAGACACCAGCAGGACCCCACGAGAATCCTTTTGACTTTCGGACAACATTCTGCTCTTTCCTTCTATTCCCCGCACAGACAAGAGTCACGGGGTATGTGACATTCTCAAAGTCCGACATGAGACTTCGTAGCGATATGATGAGCGGTTTCTCCACTAGACTACATGAGCTGCATTAGTACTTATTGTCGCTGAGTCTGCATTATTCCGGGGCAAGGTGCCTTTACCCTTCTACGCTAAACTCCCAGTCGAGCATTTCTTCATCTCGAACATGGGGTACTGCGCCGTGATTCCTCACATAAAACAGCTCTGGGCTGGTTAGGAAGCCCTCGTTGAACAGATCGGTCAAGGGAGCCTCTACGTTGAAGGGGTGGACGCCAGTGAGGCGTATCAGGCGGGGGTCTCTTGGAACATGTGAGTCCGGTGTGACGCGGTCGATGTCGAGCACTAGGGGAGGGATCCTGGTGGGCGGTGGTAGCGGGTACGATGGCGAGTCTTTCTCAGCATCTCCATCTATGACAGTCTCGGGAGGCGTAGGTGGGAGAGCATATGGTTCATCTCTCGGTTTCATCGTGAAGTGCGGGCGCGACCAAGGTATTCAACGGGGTGGATGGTGCAACTGGGGGGAGCACACAAGTGACTTGATTGACACGGCGCCTTATGAGATGGTGGAGGCACGCCGACCACCAGGTCGGGTGTTGTCATTGTCTCATCAGCCATCCGGAAATGCAGACGGAGAAAGCAGCCAGGGATGGCGGAATTGCTGATGCAGAGTGGAGAGTACGGAGATAGTGTATACTGTACTGTACGGAGGTACATGTGCAGATATGATATGCATGCATCCTTATCTCCCATTCAGCGACATGGGGGTCGGCCGTTTTGGGTTTAGCTCCCTTTTCCATACCCACGCGAAATACAAGGAGTTCCACGGAGAAAGGAAAAGTAGTCCAGGGCGGCATGGATAGACTCCGTCCTCAGTATGGGCATTTGCGCACGGGCTTTCGTCTTTGTTCACCGGCAAACACGCAGTTGGACCTGCGTGCATCGGTTTACTGTAGAGGCTGTCTTTGCCAGATATTGGCCAGTGGAGACGCTGGCAAACCATCCGTGTCTGCAAAGGGCCACTTCAAACGAGTTTCTCTCCCTGGCCGGGCTGTCCACTTTCGACCACGATATAGGAGCAGCATGGACCCTAGCGCTGTTATAAGGACAGACGATCCAAGCGAAGCCACGAGATAGATTTTCCAATTCTTGTCTCCCTCGAGCTTCACGAGCTCGGCATCCCAGATCGACTGCTTCTGTTAGCCAGTGCGGTGCAGTCGAGGTCCGATACAGAGCCTACTGTTACAAGTGAACACGGTAAGAAGACGAGTGTCATGAACGCGATCACCTTCATCACTCGGCTGTCACTAGCGGCAAGCTCAGCGGCATGTTGCGAACGCTCGGCAACGAAAAGATTGATGCTGCTATCTTCTTGAGCGACAAGGCTAAAGGACTGCTTGTGGTCAGCATGCCCATCTCCTATGTGATGCACTCCAGCGGCCATAGGTCATGTACCACGTTGATCTGTGCCTCAATTCTGCTTATGACTTCTCTCAGCTTGTCATTCGTGAAGTCGCATTTCGCAAGCGTGAACGCAATGGGCTCTGTCAAGGCCGCCGTCTCTGCACTGCTTAGCTGGTTGTATCCGCAGTGGCCTTGTGCGTCCTCGACTTCCTTCAGGAACTCCATGCAAGATGCACCATACTTGATTATTCAAGTTAATATTGTCTGGCAATATGCCAGCTCAGTTCGTGTGGCATGCTGTTGTTTGAGCATGTTGTTTCGATTGGCTAAGTACCGGCGTCGATCATCCGACAAGGTAGTTTCGCGTCCGGGGCGTATCATGCCTGTAGCTGTCTCCAGTTCCTTGACCTCCGTCCTCAGATATTCGAACCAGCCTTCTAGAGCTGCGAACCGATCGTCGAGGATGATCTGTAACATGGAGACTGGGTGGAACCTGCCTTCGTTGAATAGTTCGGTTACAGCACCCATAACCAAATCCACTCTGGTTTGACTCGAGCTGGTGAGAAGGCATGCGCATGACCGATCCTCCAGGTGCACTCGAATAGCGCACTTGATGTTTTGGCTGAGTGGAGGCGCGTGAACAAGGATCGCTTTCAAGGCGTTAGGCAGCGTTCTCAGCCAGTATTGAACAACGGCACACACTGACTGCCTGGCGGCTATCACCGCCTCTGCCGTAATCGACATGTTGCGATACATGGAATCGTTCTGCTCCTAGAACCTGCACCGTTTGTCTAGGCAGTCGAAACTTTTCAAGAATCGCTTCACACGCGCCAGGACTCATTTGCATGGGATTCTTGTTATAGTTGGCATCGCCCACCGCTCCTCTATTTCAGGTTAAAGCAACACAAGCTATAATGCTATCGGCAAGCATACGCTATGATGATACGAGGCTTATCCTTGCGCAAACTGTCATGATCAGCGTTGGTGGTAATGCTCAGGATGTTGCGACAAACGTGCCTGACACAGGATGGGACATCTAGCTTCTCCAGGCTGCCCAAAAACTGTCCCTCGTCGAGCTATTCGGCAGGCTGCAATGTTGCGTCACTGTCCCACAGTCTAACTCTCGAAAATGTTGTGCAATGTAAATGCTTGAGATAATAAGCTGAACCCGAACCAGCCATAGTAGTGTTAGAGGGCCTAATTCTTGAGGGCACACGAGAGTAAAGAGTTAGGAGGATTAGGGACAAGTAGGATAAAATAAGAAAGAAAGAAAGAAAGAAAGAAAGGAAAAGAGAAAGGTAGAAATATAGCAAGGATATAATTTATAGACCTATAAAAGAGAGCTTTTTAGCTCTTTCTATATCTTCTTCTTAAGATACCTTATTAAGGTATATTTAACTATTTATAGAGAGATATATATAGTATCTATACTTTTATTAAATAGAATATAATCTAGAAGATAGGTAAGTTAATAATAACTATAGTTAACTAATAGCTAATAATTATAAAAGATAAAGTAGTATAGAATTAGGTATAGATATATAGCTAGAACTAGCCTTTATATAGATATATATAAAATAATACTAACTTTCTAAGCAGTACTTAACAAGTTATTAATTACTTCTCTTTAAAACTAATAATTATAATATCTAAAATTTATAATATATTATCTCTATAATTTTATTATTAACTATTTACTACTATTAGTAATCTAGAATCTAACAATTAGAATTTTTATTATTTTAACTAACTATTATATTATCTTTAATATAACTAACGTGTTTCCCATACGAGCTGGCACCCCCAAGCGAGCTACCACTCCAACCAAGTTACATGTCTTTGCAAGCCTATAACTCAATACTACAACAAGATAGAGTAAATTGCAGGATACTAAAGTATTATTCAGATATATCGCTATTATTTCTATCCTCAATCTCTATGTTGCAGGTGCGTACATTGTGGCCAGTCTCGCCGTAACGTCTACAGCATCTCTCTCCTGAAACCCTCTTTGCAGGCTTCTTACTCTCTCCTTCCTTACCAACTATCTCAGGAGCAATCAAATCAAGTACCTCGCCAACAGTAATATCAGATTTGATGATATCTGAAGATGTCACAGTGATAGAAAGATTGAATGAAGATGGGTTGACTGATTGTATTCAGGTGTATGCTTGTGTGGGTGAGGCTGGGGCCTGACACCGGTTTTGATGTTCCTTCTCTGGGCACCAAGGCTGTGCAGAGCACTAGCCACTGCAGAATCACTAGCCATATATCCTCAGACAGTACCGGTACAGACAGTTTCTCCTAGTCTTCCTCTCCAGTCCCAGGTAGGATATCCATAAACTGGCTTACCATCTGATAAGTAAGTGTATCCTCTGTTCAGATATACTTTCTTTTGCACCCTTTTCTCTCTGTTGCAGCCTCAGCTACCTCTCGAAGCCCTGCTATTTCCTTGTACATCAACACTATTTCATACACTATCTTTTCAGCACCTTTTCTAAACTGATTGACAGCTTCAAGGATAGAAGCAGGTGAAGAGCTTTTGTGTCTTTGAATCCGATCGCAAATAAGTATAGATTGAGCCTCTATCTCGCAGGCATTGTGTGGTGTTTTAGATTCCTATATGATATCCTGTGATGCTGAAGGTGTATGCATACGAAGGACCATATCAAGCTTTGATAACACACCCTCAGGGTTGTATGGGACTAGTCCAGCAGCTCGGAAACTTGCACAGATATGATCTCTAGAAAAGGCCTTATTAAAGGCCTTTATAAAGGCTGGCAAGAAGCTCTCCTTCTTAGTATACTTGGTGCTGTACCATGCCAAGACTGAAATCTCATCTCTATATGCTCACTTTAGCAGCGAGAAACACACCAAATCAAGCGGTTGCAGGATATGTGATGAATGAGATGGCATACAGAGAATAATAATCTTCTCCTCCTTGCAGAATTTGTGAAACTCGAATAACTGATGGCTCTCGTAGCCGTCGACAATCAGTAGCCTGTATAAGCCTATACTACGAGCCTTCATATGCGTGTTAAAGTGCATTAGCCATGCAATTGCAAGCTCATTTGATGTCCAGCCATTAGGACTAACCTCAAGGACCCAGTCCCGAGGTATATCGTGGTACCAGGAAGAGATAAGCACCTTGCCAGCGAAGATAACAAATGGTGGGATTGCCCAGCCTGCTACGCTGATGTCCTGGATTACAGTAACCTATTCGTGGTTGCCTGGCTGGATCCTCTTTGGAGCACTCCACTTCTCAGAGCCTGTGAAAACCATCTGAGCCTTGATCTGACCCATCATGAAGCCGGTCTCATCAAAGTTGTAGGTATCTTCATCCTGGATGCCATATTTCTCTTTAACAGATTGGACAAGTGAGAACCAAGGGCCTATAATATGTGGATCTTCATTTAGAGCTCGCTGTCGATCGTACGGATGGCTCTGTAGAAGCTTGATCCCAGGTGTATGCTTATTGAAGTTGTCAACCCAGTGGTGGCCTACAGGTGGTTGGCCTCACTCTGCAAGCAGATTGTTGGCCATATCTTGAACCATAGTCCTCATAGCCCCAATTCCTCTTAGATCTAGATCAAGTATGTATGCGACAATAGACTCCTCTTCTAGCTTGGTCAACCTCTTTGAATTGGGCTCACGGTCGTGTCATAAGAGTGCTCCAGCATGTCGGGCTTGAATAGTGCTTCGAGGAACATTATAGATGGTAGCAGCATATTTTTCGCTTTCAATCTCATTATTCTTAATTGCTAATAAAGCAAGCTGTAAGTTAGCCTCGTTATAGCGCTTTTGCACATTACGTTGTTGAGACATTATGGTTAGAAATTGTCAGGTTTAAAAAGTTGGTTGAGGTGCCAGCTCGCTTGGGGGTGCCAGCTCGTATGGGAAACATATTAGACTTTATTATTTTTATAAATTATATATAATAGCTTAGGCTTAGAGCCTAAGCTTAGGACTCATAATAGAGGCGGATAGATGAAGCATGGCAGAAGTCTAGCAGAGATCCAGTGGAGATCTAGGCCTGGACCTCTACTAAGCTACTCCTATAAATCTCTACATACATCTTGTAGTTATCTCTCAGAATCTTAATAACTTTATTAACACTTATTGCATTTAACTCTAAGGCTACTCTATAACATTATACTATATATAGTATATAGGATGGTGGGATGGTCTAGTGGTAAGATCATCTGATAGCATCATGTGCTAGGGCATATGAAGGTCATAGGTTCGATTCCCACAGCTATCAAAGGCAAACTATATGGAGGGGTGACGGTGGGATGGTCTAGTGGTAAGATCATCCGGTGGCATCATATGCTAGGGCATGTGAAGATCATGGGTTCGATTCCCAGAGCTGTCAAAGGTAAACCACATGGAGGGGTAAGGTGAGATCGGCCCGGAAAAACATGAGCCCTAGCTCAAGAAAAATGGCCTCAGCTTGCTGAGCAGCAGCCTAGTACCTTGGCATCAGGTGACAATACCAAAAAATGGCCTCGGCTTGCCGAGCAGCAGCCTGGCATCTTGGTGTCAGGTGACAACAATATCAACCTGCAAAAACACCCGACAATAGCTAGCCTCCCTAGCTAACAACATCCAACAACAGCTAGCCTCTCTAGCTAACAATACCCGATAACAGCTAACCTCTCTAGCTAACAACACTCGATAACAGCTAGCCTTCCTAGCTACCAACACCAATCTTGGCTATTCTAGCCGCTGACAAAGAGCTATCTTCAATCCAGGAACAAACAACTACAGCTGAAGAAAAGAGCAAACCTTTAAAAAATTGAAAAAACTTGGATCAATAGGGAATAATAGAAAAATTAGGGCCTGTACTTAGTTATCTATTATCTCCTGTAGTAATAATACCCTAGATATTATTACATGCTATAACCTATTATATATATAGCATTTGCTCTTGTATTTAGGATAGCAGTGTCATAGTCTTAGACTCAATATATATATTGATACAAAAAAAAAAAAAAAGAGCTTATAACCTAAAATTTAAATATTCTAGCTAGTAAATTTAAAAAATTATTTTATATATAATTAATAAAAAAAGATATTTTTTTCTTAATAAAGGTTATAAACTTAGATATTTTTAAATATATAGAGCCTAGCTTTCTTAAAGTTATAGAAAAATATACTAAGAAAAATAAAAGAAATCTAGCTTTCTAAACTACTCTTTATTAATATAATAATGTGAGCGGCAAGCGAGCTGATCAGGCAAGCGAGCTGATACTAAATACAGTGCTCTACCTCCAAATCTAAATATCTCAATGTTACAACAAGCTATTGCTGTAATGGGCTGGTGCCCAGGGGGATTGACCCAGATGAGATCTGGGGCGGTTCTGCCCCAAGGAGACAAGATAGACCGGTAGATAGTTGTTCCACTCCGAAGGGGATGGCATAGAGACCTATCATCCAAATCCTTTGGAGCCTTATCGAATCCAAACTGTTACCAGGCATCTGCAAGCTTTGCGCAGCCATTACATTTAGATTCGATCAACCCTATCATACGCCAGTGTAGGGACCCTAGTGGTAGAACGCCTGCTCGAGCAAAAGGAGAGTCCACCAGCCAGTGTGGTATCCTATCGTCACGGAACAGAGCCAGAGCAGGGACCCTAGGGGTAGAACGCCTGCCCGAGCCTACATCGGAAGCCCTACCCGTCTCTATCGTATAGGGAGTAGGCCACATTGGAGTTGAGCTACTAAGCTCTACTAGACGAACAGGAATGGGTAGCCAAAGCCTATCTATCGAGGACATGACAGCTTATGCTGTGGGGAAACTAGAAGGAGGATGATCATCGAAACAAGTGGGTGCTAGCATACGAGAGATACTAGCCAAAGAGCAATGGCCAGTTCAGGCCATTGAAGTGACAGTGAGCCAGGTCGAAGCTCGGATACGGAGGAAGGATCGACCAGCAGAACAATCAGATCCTTCTACGATGATGATGGAAATGATGAAGCAGATAATGAGCAGAATGGAAGCGTTAGAGGGTCGAAAGGCTGCTACTATGACACCACCTAGCCAGGAGCCAACAGCTCCCCAAATCCCACCAACCACGTACATAGAACGATGCGCCAAGTTTCCTGACCCTGAGAAATTTGATAGTGACCGAGCCCAGTATCCTACCTTTCGATATCAAGCAAGAGCTAAGCTTGAAGCTGACTACAGGGATATCTCTGAAAAGGCTCAGGTTGATTATATCTTCCAGAGGTATACGGGAGATGTAGCAAGAGTCTTACTACCATGGATACTCAATCAGGCTGCCCTAACCCTTCAAGGCCTATGGGCTTTTATAGATCTCCAATTTGACGATCCACACCTCAAAAGCAAGGCCATAGATCAACTCCACGGGATCCGCTAGGGCAGACGATCTGTACGAGAATATCTGATGGAATTCAACCGACTAGTCCAATTGACTGGAGAGACCTTTGGCGACACGAACAAAAAGAACCTCTTCATATGAGGGCTGAGTATCGAACTCCAAAAGAGCACTATTGCAATCCCAGAGGATCTCTCATATGAGGGCTTTGTCCATGAAGTAATTCGGATCGCTGACATCCTGTACCGAGTAAACCTATCAGCAAGATACCAAAATTATACTTACAACCAGCCAACAGCCAGCCTTAACATGTACGAAAGGTGTCAATCGCCCAATCGCGATGGGCCAGTGCCCCTAGAACAGATGGACTGGCAACCTACAAGGAGTAACCAGGGTGGGACGGAACAGAAACGAGCCAAATGGGTGCCAGAGAAGGAAATCCAGCGCTGGCGAGCTAATCGGCTGTGTATATGCTGCGGAGCAGGAGGCCACTACATCCAGAAGTGCCCTTACCTACCAGCCAACCGCCCATTGCCTATAAGGTCAGCAAGAGCTACTGCTGCTCAGGCACCTCCACCGCCATCGCTTGAGGACGAGCCTACCAGCAAATCAGATTCGGAAAAAGAGTAGCTCCTGTTGAAAGTCACCAACAGGAGCCACCTGCAACCTACAGGCAAGCTCTTGAGGAGTGGAAGAAGTTTAAAGGCCAGCACATGGATGGAGAGGCTATTAGCGTATATGCATTAGTTAATCAAACTGCCTACGCCTCCTGTATGATCGATTCTGGCACGCTCGCAAATGCTCTAGTTTCACTCTCACTAGCAAAGGCCGCAGGCTTGCTGTGCATTGATATTACTCTTCGACGACTGCTGGGCATAGCCGGTGAAGGCGTGATAATCCAGGTAGCTCAGTACACTGCTGATATTGAAGGATTCAAGGACACTGGATGGGCCTACGTTGCCACTGACAACATGGGGTTTGACCTAATCCTTGGATGGCCTTAGATGAATCGGCTGCAGGTTACAATTGCATCAGCTAAGCGCTCAATCTACATTCATTCGATGTGCCAACGGATTCGGATTCAAAGCAAGGAAGGGGAACCTGTCCCTACCCTACAGGGCCACGTACCTCTGCAAGAGATCAGTGCTGCAGCATATAGTCACCACCTCCAAGCTGCGAAGAAGAACTAGTCTATTGTCTTCGCAGCCTCACTAGCAGATATTGAAAAAGCCCTGGCGCCGAAATCAACAATAGACTTCAAGGAGCTCTTGCCAACCCACTACGCTCACCACAGATGGATATTCGACCCAAAAACTGCATCAAAGATGCCACCACTCCGAGGACCTGATATTGATCACCGAATCGACTTGGTTCAAAAGGACGGGAAGGATCCAGAGCTGCCATGGGGCCCACTATACAACATGAGCAAAGGGGAGCTACTTGTTCTATGGAAGGAACTTACATCACTGCTTGATAAAGGATGGATCCATGCGAGTAATTCGCCAGCAGCTACTCCAGTCCTCTTTGCAAAGAAACCAGGTGATGGCCTCCGCTTTTGTGTCGACTACAGAGCTCTTAATACGATCACCCGGAAGGACCGATACCCACTGCCGCTGATCCAGGAGACCCTAAACAATCTTAGTAAGGCTCAGTGGTTTACGAAGCTTGACGTCTCGGCTGCCTTCCACAAGATTTGGATCAACGCTGGGGATGAATGGAAGACAGCCTTCTGCACTCAGTTTGGGCTATATGAATGGCTGGTTACCCCCTTTGGCTTGGCAAATGCACCTAGTACCTTTCAAAGATATATTAACTGGGTCCTTCGCAAGTATCTTGATGACTTCTGTACAGCCTACCTTGATGATGTGCTTATATACATGAACAGCTCCCTAGCCGAGCACCGAACCCAGGTCAACCTAGTGCTCGAGGCGCTAGGCAAGGCAGGCCTCCCGCTGGATATCAAGAAGTGCGAATTTGAAGTCAAGTCAACGAAATATCTAGGGTTCATTATCGATGCAGGCAAGGGCCTGTGCATGGACCCTGAAAAGATCAAGACTATTAAGGAATGGGAGGCCCCTAAGACTGTCAAAGGCATGCGAAGCTTCTTAGGCTTCACTAACTTCTATCGGCGGTTTATCCATGGATTCTCAGAGCTTGTAGCACCCCTTACACGACTTACAGGCAACATACCTTTTCAATGGACCTCTATCGAACAGAAGGCCTTCGATATACTTAAGGATATTTTCGTTACTAAGCCAGTCCTAGCCCAATTTGACCCTGAGAAGGAGACGGTGCTTGAAACTGATACCTCTGGGTACGTGATAGCAGGGTGTCTTTCACAGTACGACGATCGAGGCCTACTATGGCCAGTAGCCTATTTTTCACGGAAGATGAATGTACATGAGTGCAACTATGAAATCCATGACAAGGAGTTACTCGCTGTAGTACAGTGCCTACAGGAATGGGATGCTGAGCTACGATCAGTCGAGAGATTCACTATTATTACAGACCACAAGAATCTAGAGTATTTCACAAAGCCAAGGATGCTCAACGAAAGGCAAATGCGATGGTCTCTTCTTCTAGGATGCTACAATATGGAGATTGCTTATCGACCTGGGAAGGAGAACCCCCGAGCTGATGCCCTATCCTGACGCGAGCAAGATATGCCTCAAGATGCCTCCGACGATCGTATACAGCATCGTTACAAGCAGCTACTTAAGCTGACAACCTCTGCTTCACTAGCCACAGATGATGAAGATGAAGGCATCGTGATCACGTTTCGATCTATAGCACTCAGCACTAATGCCAACACTAATGCCGACACGGATATGGATACTAATACTGCTGTGGATAGTAATAATAGCACGAATCCTAGCACCGCCCTAACCCTTCTGGAAAAGGAGCCCGCAATGTTAGAACAACTATGGCAGGCTGTAACAGAAGGTGACGACTAATATATTAACATCCGGCAATGTGTGCTCAATGGAGAGCGACGGGTTCCACCAAGCCTAGGCCTTAAGATATCTATTACGGACTGTATAGTGGATCAGGAGGGATGCCTGCTCTATAGGGATCGGAAGTAGGTACCGCAATCGGAACCCCTACGAACAAGCCTAATCAATGGAGTACACTCTCCTGCCATAGCCGGCCACCCAGGATGTGCAGCCACTTACCAAGCAATTGCGAGGGATTACTTCTGGCCTGGGATATCCGAGGATATCAGGCACTTCCTCCGGAACTGTGCTGTTTGTGGCAGGATCAAACCATGGAGGGATGGTATTCATGGCCTGCTTAGGCCTCTGCCACTCCCCGATCGAATATGGAAGGAGATATCCATGGATTTCATTACTGATCTCCCAGAGAGCGAGAGATGTACAATCCTCCTTGTAGTCATCGATCGGTTGAGTAAGGATATCGTACTCGTACCGCTCCCAAACATGGATACTGAGATGGTCGTATGGGCATTCATTAGGCACGTGGTAGCGTACCACTGGCTACCCGACGTTATTGTATCGGATCGAGGCAGTCAGTTCATAAGTGGGCTGTGGAAACGACTCTGCGAAATCCTAGGGATCAAACGACGACTGTCGACAGCCTTCCACCCTCAGACCGATGGATCAACTGAAAGGATGAACAGCATGGTAGAGGCTTATCTACGGGCGTATATTGACTGGGACCAAAAGAACTGGGCTAAGCTGCTGGGTATGGCCATGATAGCCATCCGATCAAGGAATGCCGCTTCAACAGGCATTAGCCCATTCTTTCTCCAGCATGGTTACTATGTGGATCCTATCCAGCTTACAGCTTCCCAACATGGAGTACACTACCCTGCCGATGAACGAGCAGGCAGGAAGACTGCTGAAGCAATAATTGACAAGTTTAAGAAGGTATTCGAACTAGCCCAAGCCTCAATAGCCATGGCTCAGCAGGAACAGGAAAGGCAAGCAAATCAGCGCCGGCAAGTGCCTTGGCAACTGAGAGTAGGAGACAAGGTGTGGCTAGCCCTAGGGAAATACTTCAAGACTCAACGGCCAAACAAGAAGCTTGACTGGAAGAACGCCAAATACACAGTCACTGAAGTGATTGGTACACATTCCGTGTACCTCAATACACCGCCTGGCCCCCACAACGTATTCCATATCGATCGATTGTGGCTAGCTGCCAACGATCCACTGCCTAGCCAGCCAAATGATGATTCACAGCCAGAAGCTATTGTAGTTGATGGCGAACCGGAGTGGGCAGTAGAGGATATCGTTGCTGAGAGGGTTACTCGAATGGGTAGAGGGCGGCAAATACAGTACGAAGTCAAATGGGTAGGCTACGCTGAGACTACTTGGGAGCCAGCTCAATTGTTTGAGGAGACAGTAGCACTAGATCGGTGGATTGACTACATGAAAAACTTACGCGATACTAGCGGCCAGCTGCTGCAAGGCTTCCACCAAGATATGCCTTGAGGAAGACCTTCAAGGCTAGGAGGGGGGTATTGTAATGGGCTGGTGCCCAGGGAGCTTGACCCAGATGAGATCTGGGGCGGTTCTGCCCCAAGGAGACAAGATAGACCGGTAGATAGTTGTTCCACTCCGAAGGGGATGGCATAGAGACCCATCATCCAAACCCTTTGGAGCTTTATCGAATCCAAACTGTTATCAGGCATCTGCAAGCTTTGTGCGGCCATTACAATTGCAGCTTACAATAGCTCAAATTAATTCTCTATATCTACTGTATCTTTTTTATATGTACACTTGTTGTGTCCTGGCTCATCACACATCTTACAGCATCGAATACCCTATACACCAGCACCCACTTCCTCCCTCTCCTCACGCCTCTCTACCTCAAGCTGAGCCTCAGCATTCTTCTAAGCTACTATCACCTCTGCTTCTGCCTGCGATAGAATTCCTCCTTTTTGAATCCATTTCTTCTTACATTTTTTATACTCAGAAGCTGCCTGGCAGGCTAGCTCAAGTTTCGTGATCCTGGCAGCCATTAACACCTGTGAATGCGCCATCAATTCTGCCTCTTTTTTAAACTGCCTCACCATCTCAATAATCGGCACTGGTGAGAAGCTCCAGTGTCTTCGAATCCAGTTAAAGATAAGTGTTGATTGAGCATCTATCTCAACTGCATTGCTTGGTATTTTGGGTTGCCAGACAGGGCCTGGTAAAGCTGGTGATGGCATACGAGGCTTCACTTTAAGTTTTGATAGCATCATCTCTGGACTATGTAGAACTAAACCAGTTGCTCTGAAGCTTGATATAATGTTTTCCTCTGAAAAAGCCTTGTCAAAAACCCCAGAAAAAGCAGTTAGGAAGGCTTTCTTGTCGATATGGTTGATAGAGCAGTTTGCCAAGACATTGATCTCCTTCTTGTATGCTTGCTTTAAGGGAGCAAAATACCCTATGTCAAGCAGCTGTAGGATATGGGAGGCATATAGAGGCATGCAAAGGGTGATAATCTTATTCTCCTTACATAGTTCCTGGAAAGCAAGCGACTTGTGGCTCTCATGGCTATCAAGAATCAGCAGCCTGTGACTGCCTACTGTCCGAGCCTGAGTATGCTCGATAAAGTGCTGTAACCAGGCTAAACCAAGCTCATTTATTGTCCAGCTGTTATTACTGACATCTATCCTCTAGCCCTTAGGGTTGTGGTACCAGGCTTGGTCGTGGTGCTTTACCTTGAAGATCAAAAAGGGTGGGAGTGGCCAGCCCCTGGTGTTGATAGCAGCAATCAATGTTGCCCACTCACGGTCCCCAGGTTGAACTTGCAGTGGTTTCAGTCACCTCTCAGATGCTGTTACTATCTTTACTGACCCTCCAACACCCATCTGGAAGCCAGTCTCACCGAAGTTGTAGGTATCTTCATCCAGGATGCCGTACTTGGCTTTGGTATCATGTACAAGGTCAAACCAGGGACCAATAATAGCTGGATCACTGCACTTGACTCTTTGGTGATCACGAAGTCTAGTTATCTGAGATTTGATCTCAGGTTTGTGGCGAACAAGGTTCCTAGCCTATTTGTCTCCAGCGTTCCTACCACCACATGCAGCCAGCAGCTGATCAGCCATATCACATATGTCATCAAGCATAGAGGCAGATCCTCATGCATCAAGCTTTCTTATATACTGGACTATTATCTTCTCCTCGTGCTGGGTGAGCTTCGATGAGTTAGGATGGATATCGTGTCGAGCAGCTGTTCCCGAGTGTCAGCTACTAAGCATGCTTTGAGGAATGCCATAGAGAGTAGCAGTATATTGCTAGCTTAATGACACATCGGATTTCATAGCTTTGATGGCAAGGATAATCCTATCCTCACAAGGGAGCGATTCAAGATCTGGTTATTAAGACATTGAGATGAGTGATTGAGAGAGGTGTAACCTTAGCAGAGTGATCAGCTCGCTTGTCTGATCAGCTCACTTGCCACTCACATTAAGCTTTTTAGAAAGCTACTTACTATATATCTTTATATATACTATAGAGAGTTATAAAGAGTATAAAATAAAAGTTTTATTAGCTAAGAGTCTACTAAGTTAGCTATTTTTAATAGTAAGTTAATTATATATAGAGTATTAGAAGAGCTCTAATATCTCTAATTAGCTAGTTCTATAGGTTAGTCCTTTTTATTAGAGAAAGCGTACGGATTATAGACTAGTAGCGCGCTTTCTAGCGGATCTAGAGAAGGGTAGTAGAGAGAGTGCCTAGATAAGATCCTAAAAAATAATCTCCCGGCCGACAAACCCTTCCTTGATCGAATCATTGCACTCTTCCTCTGCGCTAGCCGAATCCGGATCTAATGGGCGACGCGAGATTCAAGATATGCACGGACCTTCGCGTCGTTTGACGCGTGGCACGCGCTTCAAGAACCATCTCTTCCATCTCCATCCAGCCGCAACCACCTCGAATACTGTACACACAGCTTTGCGCCCGACGGCCGCATCTTCACTACGTTAATACAGCTTCTAACTACCATTCTGCTCTTGCTCCTTACTGAGGGGTTGACAGTCTGATTCAATCATGAACGAAGTGATTAGAGACGAGGAGGTGAAACGTCGCATCAGACTCGCGGCAGAGTTCTTAGACCCACGTAGGTTGCGACAAACCATTGCAGAAGTGTTTTGCTCATATTATGTACAGAGGATGTCCTAGCCCGGAGGTAATTGAGCCTGCGGCCTGCACCAAGTCCGGAACATAACTGACCTTTGCAGCTACCGCCCGGATATCCTTGTGATGTTGAACCGTGGTCTCAGGAGACTCACGGTCAGCTTGGATGAGATCAGAGCACATAACCGCGAGTTGGCCGACGGGTATGTTACTTCCCTAGTATGGGACGCTTTCTTCTCTGACCTACGAAAGTCTTTTGAACCAGCCGTTCGATTTCACGGAAGCCTTCGACCGCGCGCTAAAGGAAGTTGTGAAGACATTCCCTGATCGACCGAAGAGCGAGACTGCCGATGACGTGGTATACTATTGCGCATATATCGGAAGCTTTGGGGAGTTCTCGTGTAATCCGAGGACGCTGAGCTCAACCCATCTCAACCACATGGTGTCTTTAGAAGGTATTGTGACGAAGACCTCGTTAGTGCGACCGAAAGTCGTCAAGAGTTTCCACTACAGCGAGAACAAACACAAGTTCTTCTACCGGGAATACAGAGACCAGACAATGACTATGGGTGCCGCCAGCACAAGCGTTTACCCCACCGAAGACGATGAGGGCAACCCGGTAATACCCACCGTTGACTTGTACCATCGCTAATCTAACACACCTCTAGCTGATTACGGAGTATGGGTATTGCGTGTACAGGGACCATCAGACCATCTCGATCCAAGAAATGCCAGAGCGGGCTCCAGCGGGCCAGTTGCCTCGCTCTGTTGATGTGATTTTGGATGACGATCTCGTCGACCGTGTCAAACCTGGCGACCGCATCCAGCTGGTCGGTATATATCGATCTCTCGGAAACAGAAATGCGTCATCGGGTAGTTCAACCTTCCGCACGTTGATTCTCGCCAACAACATCATACTACTTTCGTCAAAGTCTGGTGGGGGCATAGCCCAAGCCACCATCACTGATACCGATATCCGGAATATCAACAAGCTTGCTAAGAATAAGCGAGTTTTCGACTTGTTGTCACAATCGCTTGCACCTTCGATATACGGTCATGATTATATCAAGAAAGCCATACTGCTGCTTCTCCTGGGCGGACAAGAAAAGAACCTTGACAATGGAACCCACCTAAGAGGAGACATCAACATCCTCATGGTCGGGGATCCTTCTACAGCCAAGTCGCAGCTACTCCGGTTTGTCCTGAATACCGCTCCACTAGCTATTGCCACCACTGGCCGTGGATCTTCTGGCGTCGGTCTCACAGCAGCCGTGACATCGGACAAAGAGACGGGTGAGCGACGCTTGGAAGCAGGTGCCATGGTTCTGGCCGACCGCGGCGTGGTATGTATTGACGAGTTTGACAAAATGTCAGACGTCGATAGGGTTGCGATACATGAAGTCATGGAACAGCAAACGGTCACTATCGCGAAAGCCGGTATCCATACATCTTTGAACGCTCGATGCAGTGTGATCGCTGCGGCCAATCCCATCTTCGGGCAATACGACATCCATAAGGACCCGCACCGGAATATAGCACTGCCGGACTCCCTATTGTCCCGTTTCGATCTGCTGTTCGTCGTCACGGATGACATTGAGGACGCGCGCGATCGACAGATCTCCGAACACGTTCTTCGCATGCATCGCTACCGGCAACCAGGGACCGAAGAAGGGGCTCCCGTGCGTGAGGAAGGAGCGCAACTGCTGGGCGTTGGCCTCGAGAACGACACCGAGAGCAACGGGCCAACCGAGGTCTATGAGAAGTTCAATCCCATGCTCCATTCAGGGGTAACTGTCACGGTGGGTCGAGGGGCTTCCCGACGCACAGAAGTCATCAGCATCCCATTCATCAAAAAATACATACAGTATGCGAAGCGGGAGAAGCCAATGCTTACAAAAGGAGCCGCCGATCACATCGTTGCCACATATTCTGCGCTTCGCAACGATGAACTCGACTCTGGGACTCGCCGTACCTCTCCCATCACTGCACGTACGCTTGAGACACTCATTCGGTTGTCGACGGCCCATGCCAAAGCGAGGTTGTCCAAGCGCGTTGAGCAGAAGGATGCCGACATTGCGGAGCAGATTTTGCGCTTCGCTCTCTTCAAAGAAGTTGTGGAGACGGATCGCCGGAAGCGCAGACGTGTAACTCGCGATCCAGACGCAATGTCCACGGATGAGGACAGCTCTGGTGACGAAGAAGATGGGGATGAAGGGCGCCAGGCTACTCCACCGCGACGACCAGGCGGTCCCAGCACGCGGAGCCAACGAACGCAGACGACGCGTACACCTGCGGCCGCCGAGAATGACAACGACGGATACGATGACCTCTATCAAGTCACGCCGACAAGTCAGCGACGTGGTCGAGCTAGCCGGGGAACTCATACGCAGACCAGCCGTGGGGAATGGGCTTCATCTCAAATCAGCGCCGCGTCCTCCCGTCCCGCGTCCGAACTTCCGCCGACGCAGACTGAGTCCCAAGAAGACTCGCAAGCAGCCATCACGGATGCTCGACTGAAGGTGTTCCAGACAGCGCTGGGGCAGCTCATCGATGGGCCTCTATTTGCGAATGACGCTGCGGATGTCGAGCCATTGTTAGCTGCCATTAACGCACGACTGGGCAATGGTGCAGGGAGACATGCATTTGAGATTGAGGAAGCTGAGCAGGCTTTGAACAAGCTAAGTGACAGCAATAAGATCATGTATTCAGGTGGGATGGTGTATAAGATATGAGAACAGGTACACGCAAGCGCACTGAACCATCGGTTACGGCCATAATGTGCTTTGCGTTTACAAGCTTGCGAGGTTTATAACATCTCAATCGAATAAGATTGCTGAACCACCTTCACTCGTGTCTTCCCCGCCCAAATCATACCTAACCATTCTCTAGAAGCTTTTCTTTAGCAGGGGTATATTGCTTGCGAAGCCAATAGTATTGAATCAAAGAGAGGAGATGTGTGCTCTGCGCAACCCTGACCTGATCCGAAACGTTAAGGAGTCCCGTCGATCGATGAATTGGCCGGAGCTCCTTTTACGCTGGATGAAGAGATGGAGCATGTTGGCATACAGCTGAAGAGCTAGCTCTTTCTTCACGGGAGTTTCATTCGCGATAGACGATCCTATTACCTAGAGTGTACTTGCGCTACTGAAGACCTGCAGCAAACCTTCACCTTCCTCAGGAGTAAGGCCTGCGTCGAGGATGGCATAAGAAGCGTCAACGACATCCTTTTCGATACCATGCTCAAGTACTAAACGCTCGCTGAAAGCGAGCCTTGTGAGAGCGACAAGATACCTATGGTGACCGCCGGAAATGACATTCAGCTTGGCTTTGATGTCAAAGCCCGGCGCGGAGGTCCACAAATGGTGTATCAGCCTCATCGTGGTATTGATGGAGGCAGCGACCAACTCCTGGGCGGGGAAAGGGGCCTCCATATATAACTTTGCAATCTGCTCATCAAGAAATTTGATCAAACGACCGATGCAGTATCGAAGGTTTGCCAAACGTGAGCAGCCGTACTCCGAGATACTGAAGGCGGTGAGAAGATGGAGGATTTGGAGGCGCAGCTCCAGAACCTCACTGGCAGGGTATTTTACGTTCTGGCTAGGCGACAGATTGGATATGGATGGATCAGGGATCGGTTCCAGGTCGTCCGCCAATAGCTTTGTCAAGCGATCTATAAGGTCGGCTTCTCGCTTCTCCTGCTGCTCCGGCCCGAAGTTATTGAGGACTCTGGGCCCAATGGAGTCTGGTAGGTTGGAAGTGCTGAGTATTAGAAGCATTCGACTGATGCAAGGTAAAGCCTGTGCCTTTCTCAAGAGGTGGAGAGGGAAGTCAATTGGTATGCACTGCCATAACTGGGCTGTAGCTGTGACGGACGTCTTGCACGATGCTGCGATCACCTGGAGAAGATCCAAGCATCCAACGACATCGATTTCATCGCTCACTTTGCGCTGAGCCGGAGAGTACAAATCTGTAGCCGGCATGTACTTCATGCAAGCTCGGGCAATTGGGAATGCCACCAAATCTACGGAGGCCAAAATGGTAGGAACAACGCGCTCAGCAAGGGCGATGGCGGTGGAACAAGGCTCATGGGCAAGTATCAGGTAGACGGCGTCCGACAAGAGGTATATTGGGGCGTAATATCTCTCCTGCAGACATTGATCCCACAAGGCGATAAACAGATGACACAATCTGAGAGGAAAGTCCTGAGGGTTCTGCTCCGCGCTGCAGGCACTCAAGCCATTCAATAATCGCGAGGATAATGGGATCTCCGTCTCCGATGGTAGTGCGTACTGTGTTAACGCCTCGAGAATCCTGACGTCTCGCCCTCCCGAAGCGCGTCTATTCAGTAACAGCCGGAGGAGTTCATACCGACGATCGCCTTGCCGAAGGGTATCCAGAAGAAAGCGGTCTGGCTCCCACGCAGCGGGGACAAGCTCCTCCGTCTTGTCTTGCTGTTCACTTAGCTGGAGTGGTGGGACAGGACTCTGATCCGCGTTGGCTCGTTTCCGCTTGGTGGCCTGTTTCGGGGTCGACGGCTTGGACTTTTCTCGGTTCCTTGTCGGTGACATGGTAATCATATCTTCGTCGTCGAAACCATCGCGCAGGGGCAGGCTTCTCTGAAGCCGCTTCGGAGATGCATAAGGGCCTGCAACGACAGGCTGTCTCGGCCGTAAAGGCATGCCTTCCCGCGCACCCCTTCTCAGCCGCTTCGCCTTGTCGGCCTCGAGCGCCAAGTCGTGCTCCAGGAACATGGTGTTCGTGCGGGCCTGCTCGCGCTCCTGTCGCATCTTGTCCAGTTCTGCTCTGAGGTTCGCAATTGCTTCGTTATGGGATTGCTGCAAGGATGATACGCGACGTTCATGCTCACGGGTTGCCGCGTCTAGTCTGCGTCGTGCCGTCTCGGTTTCTCCCGACTTCAACAAGAGCTTCGACTTCTCGCTGTGCACCTCCTTGGTCAGGCGGGCCTTTTCCTGCTCCAGCTGCACCAGTCAACATGGCGTAACCATGGCTCACCAAGGGACCGTACCTTTTTAATGCGCAGCAGCAGTTGATTTGGATCAATTTGTGCCCGCCGTGACAAGTCGTCCCCTATGCTCGAGTCTCTGTTTATGGCGCAACCTTCGCCCGTATGCTGGCTTCCAATGCCGGAAGGGGGGTTGGGTTCGTGAGCATCAAGCGTCATCCATGCTGGCGGCCCAGGCACGGCAAGGTCGTTTAGGTTGACGACCTCGCCCAGCACCTCGCCATCGTTGCCGTCGTCTTCATCGGGCCCAAGGCCATAGTCGGATTCGGGAGCGCGGTGCGGCTGCTGCTGCTGCGTCGCGCGGATCGCCGACGTCTCGAGCTGTTGGAGGGTGTGGGCGGGCAGAGTATCGAGGGCGTCGTCGAGGAAGTCCAGGTCGTCGTCATCGAAAAAGCGGGCGTCAAGGTCCATGATGGCGGCGGGCAGTGCGAGTCGTGCGCGTGTCGTGCGGCATCCTCGGCCCCAAATTGGTGTGGTTGTGTACTGTGGTGGTACATGTTCATATTCAAGTGGTTCAGATAGCCATGGCCATCCGGTTGTTGGGGGCATAGATTACCGTGTAGGTAATTCAGTGCACGGACCGCCCCGGCGAAAGTGACGTCTCCACGTCCCACATGCAGATAAAACTGCATCAAGGGTCCCATCCATCCATCCATCCATCCACCTATCCTGCTATAAAGTCGGACAGCCTGCGCTTGTGCTCGTCCGCCTCCGCCTCCGCCTCCGCCGTCCCCTTCTCACTTTCACCACGACTCTCCTGTATACCTACTCGAACCTAACAACTTTGTGTGGCTTCACGCCCTTCCCTTCCCACCTTCTGCTTACCCCGAATCGCGGCCCCGTCCTGCCTGGCAATTCAGAGTCGTTGTAGGCGAGCGTTAATAACCCCCATTCTCTCTCGAGCCCACCAGGCCACAAGCCATCATGACACGCCCTGGGAAAGATGTCAAGTTTCGGCACAGGAGTAGTGGTGCTGCTCCCAGCGGAAAGGCGCGTCGGCTCAGCACGAGTGTGTCCGAAATCAGCGAGAACGCGTCCGAGGCTGGTAGTCCCACCCATAACGGCATTGCAACGAGATCAGAGCCTCCAGTCGGTATCCCAGCCTGCGCCGGGCGCAATTTACAGTGCATTGTCGAAGGCTCACAAGGTGCAGGCAGACGAACCTCAGCCTCAATCCGAGTATGAGAAGAAGAAGCAGAACTTCATCACCCGGACCATCTGGACCTTTATCATGATTGGCGGTTTCTTCTCCGCCATGTTTGCCGGCCACATCTACATCATCATCGTAGTCACTGCTGTCCAAATCATCTCCTTCAAAGAGGTCATCGCCATCTCCAATGTCCCTAGCCGGGCTAGGAGCTTGCGATTTACAAAGTCCCTAAATTGGTACTTCCTCGGCACAACCATGTACTTCCTATATGGCGAGAGTGTCATCTACTATTTCAAACACATCCTGCTCGTAGACCGCATCCTTCTCCCCCTGGCCACCCACCACCGCTTCATTAGCTTCATGTTATACATCATTGGCAAGTCCGCCCAGGAAGTCTGCGTCCAACGCTGTGCTGACGGGCATCAGGTTTTGTGTTTTTTGTCAGCTCCCTTCAGAAAGGGCATTACAAGTTCCAGTTCAGACAATTTGCCTGGACCCACATGGCTCTGTTTATGATTGTTGGCCAGGCACACTTCGTCATCAACAACATCTTTGAGGGCATGATATGGTTCTTCCTGCCGGTGGCCATGGTCATCACAAACGACATCTTCGCATACATTTGTGGGATAACGTTTGGCCGCACGCCCTTGATCAAGATCTCCCCGAAGAAGACGTGGGAGGGATTCCTGGGCGCATGGTTCTTTACCATCATCTTCGGTGTTGGCTTGACCAATGTCATGGCACGGTACAAGTACTTCATTTGCCCCGTCAATGTAAGTGCCTTTGGCGCTATCAATGCGCCAACCCCAGCTGAACAACGCAGGACCTTGGAGCCAACATCTGGACCGGTCTTGAGTGCAATCCGAATCCCGTCTTCATCCCCAAGCGGTACACTCTGCCGATCCCGCTCCCCGATGGAATTCACCTGCCCACTACCTTCTATATCGCCCCTATTCAGTTCCACGTGTTCGTCCTGGCGACCTTCGCTTCCTTGGTTGCCCCCTTTGGCGGCTTCTTCGCTTCCGGGCTGAAGCGCACTTTCAATATAAAGGATTTCGGAGACTCGATTCCTGGCCATGGCGGTATGACCGACCGTATGGATTGCCAGTTCATCATGGGCTCAATCGCCTTCATGTACTACTCCAGCTTCATCGCAGTGTACAAGACGACGGTTGGGGGCGTCATTGAGTCCGCCATCACCGGGTTGACAGCCGAGGAGCAGATGGAGGTGGTCAAGATTTTGAGCAGACATTTGGTCAATCACGGCGTCATCCCATCCCAGGTATGTTCCATCCGCTCATCTTCTTCCAGTTGGTTCTAACGGCCAAAAGGTCCTAGAGTTTCTCGAGGGGCAATTGAAAAGGCGGTAACTTGAAGAGCCGGTGGTTTCGTTCATGATATATGCTTCTCTCGTCTTTCGACTGTTCACACTACTGTGCCACCAACTAACCGCTTGCGACGTAATTTCTCATTCCTTTCGTGTTCCGGCCTTATGTTCTCGAGAGGTTCCCTGTGGCCGTGCACTTTCCTGTAGATATACCCATTCCTCTGTGCATGGATTGGTGCGTTTGATTTGTGTCTATAACACGGTGGGGAGCACGTCATTGGCTGATAGGGGTTGGATATGGAGGGACCTTAGGAGAATCATTCACATATTGGTGATGACGCTGGTGGAATAGATCATCATCCACTGCAAGGGTTGCCAAGCCTTGTGCACGGACCAAATTCCTTCGACTGGTGAGGGAAACTGAAATGTCAAACAACAAGTTGCTGCTCTTTTCACTTTCTGCGACCCGTCAAGGGGCCCCGCAGACATCATGGCAGCGCGCCCGCTTGTGAACGACGCATTGTGGCGCTGCCTCTGTCCTTCGTTCAACTCATTCACTTCGATCAGAGGACTGAGCTCAGTCAAAGCATGCTTGCCAGCACGACAGCCCCCGGGGGCCTTCGGTGAGCGTCTCCAACCATCCTCTGGCCGCTCCAGATCTGTGAGCTCCATAGCTTGCATCTCCAATGAAGTGGACACGAAACCAGGCCCCCAACCCGGCTCGCCCGCCCGTACGAATGCACAATCCATCCAGAGGCCGCATCCGAACCGCCATTATCAGCGGGGGCCACCAGATCTGGTTCTATTACCCACCGCCGACCTATACGAACGCCTACGTAGCGACGCGGCAGCTGGCCGGTACGAAGAAGTTTTCAACGCTGTAAAGATCCTGATCAAGGATAGAAGGGAACGCCCGAACATTCGACTCTACGCAGCTATGCTGCACAGCTTCGTGAACCCAGAATATGGCACCGCGGGCAAGATCCGGAAGGTGCTGGAGGAGATGGCGGAACTTGGGGTGGATTTGGATGCGGGCGGATGCCATGCTGTGCTTGAGGTAAAGCCTAACTCCTCCCTTATTGGATTGACGCTGACAGTTCCTGTTAGGCTCTTGCCGTCCACCCCGACTATCTTCTCCGTGAGGAAATCTTGACCTATATGAAGGGACGCTGGTTCACGTTGACTGATCGCGGCCATAATATGGTGGTAGCTGGACTCCTTCGCGATCGTTTGTTTGAGCAGGCCATCCAAAAAATTGAGGACATGAATCAACAGCGCATCAGGGTAGCCGATTGGCTTTTGGACAAGGCAGTGTGGATTCTCCTCGACTACGGCGAGATGGACGAGGCCTGGCAACTGCTGCGAATGCGCCAGCAGAGCGGGAGAACAACAATAAGCCCACCCCTGTGGGCCCATTTCTTGGATACTGCAGCGAAGCTGTGTCACGTACGATCTGGTCTCGACAACATGAGGCCGAAATGCTAATGAAGCTCAGGTGGAATCTGTAACCCACATCTGGACCACTCGAGTCATTCCTGGATACCTGAAGCCCCCCAGTGCCACGTGTCTACACGTACTCAACATTGCTGCTCGTACATCCAACGTTGACCTCGCCACCGACGTCTTTCGTGTTCTTGCCGAACGAGATACTGTCCTTATGTCGTTTCACTATGAGATGATATTGGAAGCATACCTGAATGCCAGCGATATCGGTGCCGCCATCTCCGTCATCATGATCATGGCCGAGGCAGGCATCAAGGTTGATGAAGCATCCATCTACCCCTTGTACGTTTACTTGAAGCAGACTCACGCGAGGCCAATAGAGGCTTTCTCGATCCTCCAAACTTCACATACAGCAGGAAGAAAAGTTCCCACAGCCGCTATCAATGCTTGTATACAGGCATCTGTCCATCTCGGTCGTCTAGAAGAAGCCCTAGATATTTACAAAGCACTGCATACAGTCTCCCCTGCCGGCCCAAACATCCAAACCTTCAACATACTGTTCCAGGGGTGCCACAAGGCCGGACGCAAAGAACTCGCCATGTTCCTAGTCTCCGAAATGATCAAGCTCGGCATCACACCCAATGCCCTGACGTATGATCGCCTAATCCTCGTATGCTGTCATGCGAACCATCTGGAGGATGCTTTCCTATACTATGAAGAGATGCGTCTCAGCAACTGGTCGCCAAGACGGGGCACCTTCGAGAGACTTATTGAGCTAGGCCTAGCTCATGATGATGCGAAGACCCTCCAGGTCTTGGAGGATATGAGAATCTGCGGTTATATACCCACACGAGCCACAAAGATTAGCGTCAAGGAAAAGTTTCCTGAGACTGTAGCTCCACTGAACGATGGCACAGAGCTACCCTAATGAAAGTCATCAAGGCAGCGGGAGTGGCCCGCTGGAAGTCGTAGTTATGGAGAATGATAACTTATATACCCGAAGGCAATGGCTCCATGGAACTCCGTTCATACATCGACCAAGCCTAACTGACTCGGATGGCAGCCCTTCCTCAGAAGGTCTTCAGAGGATAGTCTCTCTTCAAACGCCGAGATACGCGCTCTGGCCTCTGGGTGCCTGACGCCTTGTTTGAACGTCTTGCCTTTCCATTATTCATCCAGCTTCTATTCCAAGATCCGCTCCGTGTGGTATCAGGCCCATACTCAAAGCAATACATCACTATCACGCAGGAGCTACCGAGGTTCGACGACCAAACTCAGGTTTTCTACTCTGACAAGACAAATCAATCTGCTCTACGGCCATCTTTCAAGCATCCCTGGCCCACCTGGGTTTCTTGGGTGACACAGTAGAGCCAATCTCGCCCCATCTGATCTGACTGAATTTCACCGTGGGGTTCTTTTCCACAGTCTGGATGACCTTGGGGTCGCCTTCGGTTGCGCTGCAGGGGCCTGAGTCACCGCTGTCGAGCCAGTTCATGAAGCCTCCCTCATCCCACCAGATGCTCATAGCCAAGACCATACCACGGGACATTGATTCACCCATACCCTTGTGGGCACCGAGTTTGGCGAACATCTCAGCACCATTCCTGGCGCAATAAGCGTCGTCAATTGGCCCAGTGACGTTACGGGCTGCATTCTGGATGACCTTGCCGTCCTGGATGTAATACCGGATAACCTCCTGAAGGACACCGTTCTTCGCGGGGAACTGAGTGACGACCGTGAAGGGCTTGGAGGTATCGACCTTCAGACCCGGACCGTAGAAGTCGACTGCCTTCTGGCGGTAAGGGTTCATTCCACAACCGTCCTTGTCGCAAACAGCCGTAGCGGCAGACTTGGAGCATTCGTCACCCGTGCAGCGGTAGAGACCAGGTTTATTGCAAGGATGCGGTGCCAGGTGGGTAGAACGTGCATTGGCTTCCCAAATATCCAGCTCGTTGCAGCAGATGCCCTGCCCCTTGATATTGCCCTGGTTGAGCTGTGAGCAACTGAATCGCCATGCGCCGGGTTGGAACACTTACAACTCCCTCGACCCAAGGCGTAACAAAGCACTGTGCGTCGCAGTATCCAGTGCCATACGCGGCACCCCCAGGGTTCAGCTTGCTCTTCCCGCCGTCTGCTTTCATCTCCGACAGATACAAGGCGCCGTTCATGCCGCAAGGGAGCTTGGAAACATCGACGTCGAAAGCGAGTTCTTGTCCGGTCAACTTCAAGACTTCGTACTTCTTCTCTCCTTCAGCTAGAAGATACACCCTCGGACTTGTAACACCATTCTTTCCCAGCATGCTCAGGGTCAAACTTCCGCCTTGGGTGGTAACACCATAGTCGGCGTAGTTGCTGATGCCCTCCATGATGCAGTTCTTGGCACAGGTTGCTTCGTCAGGGCACACGTCCTTGTCTGGTGGATTTCCCCAGTTACCACAACCGAGAGACGAGTTGCCTTTTCGGTAAATGGGGTGAGATGCAGAATCCAAGACAAGAGCCGTCTTTTGCGACCTGCATCCTCCGGCCTTCGTACACTTCCATGTGGTGACCTTTGGGTGGACCTCGGGGTTTTTGCCAGGAGTCTGGGCGGCCACAAGACCCAAGAGCAATGTCGCTACAAGGGGAACCGAAGGTGCCATGGTGTGTGTATGTCCGGACAGTCGAATACCGGGATTGATGTTGAGGCAGCTGGGACAACGGGAGTTGATCAGGAACTCTCCCTTGCTTTATACTCTTGAGGGTTCATTGAGGCTCAAGAACCGGACCGAGAATCATATCTTCAATTTAAAATCGCACTCTAGAAATCTGGACATTCTGCAGGGTCAAGACGGAAGGCCCAGTCCCATGGATATTGTTCCCGGGTTCACCAGACGGCGTTGGTGGAGCGGCTAGGCGTCAGGTACCTTCGTTGCGGTCGTTTCGTAGGCAGTTCACTGGCGGAACTCCGCCCGAGAAGGACCGGAATGGAAGGTTTCTAGAAGTTCGTTGAATCATGTGAGGCTGCGCAGGTTGACGCTCCATATTGCGGTTAATTACTTGGACTCGGCAGTGGACCTGATGCCAGGTTTTCAACGCCAAGGACATTTTAGACCTGGGTTAAAGGTGCCATGGGGAAGGAAACAGATCATGGAGATCGCGGAGATTGGGGCTGGATGTGGGTTAGAGTTCAATGGATAGATTGCATTGCACGCAGCACTGCTTCGCGAGGTTGGTCGACAACGCATGATGAGATGAAAGGGGTCCCAGCCGAGACTCTGCTAGGAACTTCGGCGCGGAGAACCCTAGGCGACGACCAACAACAATGCCCGCCATCGGATTCGACGGGCGGCAAAGTGTGGAAGTATCCGCGGATGATTATTATTGAACTAGATGACAGCGCAGGCAGTCGGAGGCAGGCCGCTGCGCTGGAGTGACATGTTGTTGAAGATTGTCGGTTCAGGCTTACTTCTGGATCTTGACTATATCGACGGATTGACTTCTTGCTGCAACCTCGCACCTCTACACTCCCGATCTCAGACCGCCTCAAATAGTGTGCAGAAACCGCGAGGAAGTCTTGCCTTGGGTTGTTTTCAATGGATTAGCATAGCGAACAAGTATCTTTGGCATTGGATTGTTGTAGATGGGTGAGAAAACTCAGAACATTCGGCGCCGTTCTCTTTCTAAGCTACAGTGATCTGGGGCGCCAAGCGCACGCCGTGGGGAGGGTCATTAAGAACAGCCAACATGCCAACCAGGTACTGTGTATCATCAGCGTGGCTAGGCACTCTACCATGAAGTGCTATGTCAACAACCTACCATGGTCGGCACCACGATTCGTCTATAGATATAGCTTTAGGATGGAGATGCCCTCATGCAAACACTAACAACCCGAGTGCATCCTCGACGTCCATAGTGAGTACACAGAATTGGCGCGGCCGCCGAGTAGTAGAAAAGAAAACAAGAAAAAGACTCTTCTGATGCCTGTCAGGGATTTTCTTGAAATTGTTATCCAACCCACACGGCCTGCGAACACCTCGGGTTAGCGAGCCATGTCCAGCTTGTAGTATAAATTTCAGGAACGTAGGGACTAACATGCAAGAGCACTAATTTCTACTCAAAGGGAAGATTATAGATTACGCATTCTAAGAATCAATAAAAACATCCTCTTGTTAAATAACTATATATTCTTATAAAACCTTATCCATTAGAAAGCTACTTAACATATATAAATATATTTTTTTTCTTTCTACTCTAGCGCGAGGTTATAAATGCATAATATAGAGCTTAAAACTAACAACGAACGCTACTTCGCTAACCTTTTAAGGTCTAGGCCTATTGCTAAGATGACGTCGCCGGGTATTCCCGACCCCATCAACGTTCTCCCACTAGAGCGACGGTTCTCATTCACCAGCCATGGCTCTAGCACCTCGAAGCTCCTTTTGCTACTGAGAGTGCGCTAATACTAGGCCTTTCGCGAACAATATGGTTAGAGGCGCCTGGCAATATCTGCTCAGCATGTTCTCATGTATTGACCGTCTCTAGGTGTCCCTCTTGCGCCAGATTGTGGCAGGACCCCGGTCCCGGCACCCTGAAGCGGGTCTCGATTTATGCTATGTCACGGACAGAAGTATATGCTCAGCTGCCCGTGAGTATATCTATGAATTAACGCCAGCTAGTCATTGCGACTTCGGGTCCCAGCGACGCTTACCCACAGCGCGCATATCGCAATCCTCTCGATTCACTCGTGAACTGGCTGAATAGCAAGCATGGCGACGACTGGGCGATATGGGAATTCCGTGCCGAGGGCACAGGATACCCCGACAGCGCAGTCTACAACCGCATCTACCATTACCCCTTTCCCGATCATCACCCTCCCCCATTCGCACTGATCCCAAATATCATGGCCAGTATGAGGAATTGGCTTCATGAGAAGGAGGACAGAGTCGCAGTGCTTCATTGCAAAGCCGGCAAGGGCAGGAGCGGCACTGTAAGCTGCAGTTACCTGATCAGCGAAGAGGAATGGGATGTCGATAAGGCGCTCAAACGGTTCACGGAACGGCGAATGCGGCCAGGTATGGGAAAGGGAGTGAGCATACCAAGTCAGCTGAGGTGGATCGGCTACGTCAATCGTTGGGCAAAACACGGGAAGATATATGTAGAACGTCAGGTTGAAGTACTCGAAATTCACTGCTGGGGTCTAAGGGACGGGGTCAAAATCCAAATCGAGGGTTTCGTGGAAGGCGGCAAGAGGATCAAGACTTTTCACACCTTCTCGAGTGAAGAACGGGAGATAGTGCGAGGCAAAATCGAAAAAGATGGAGGCATAGTGAGCTTCGTAAGCGAGGTGTTGGCCACCAGTGGACTGGCCGGGACTCAGAGCGCGAAGGGATCCGCCGCCTGCTCAATGTCAAGCAAACAAGCACTCTCTTCATCCGACTCTATGCGTATGTCAGACGAGGATAGACGTACGCCTTCTTCACATGCAAAGGCGGGGCCCGAGGGTCTAGGGAATGGAGACGTTGTGTTTCGCCCATCACAACGAGTAGTCCTCCCCACCAACGACTTCAACATCGACGTCGAACGCCGCAATCAGACAGCGTTTGATCTTACGTACGTCACAGCCGTAGCCCACGTATGGGCCAACGCGTTCTTCGAGGGGAACGGACCAGAGCAAGGCGGCTCAGCTGATGGCTCTGGGGTTTTTGAAATATCATGGGATGCGATGGATGGCATAAAAGGGAGCAGTAAGAAAGGCATTCCAGCTTTCGACAAGATTGCGGTTGTCTGGAAGACCCTGACCCCAGATGGCAAACCAGGGATTTTGATAAAAGAACCAGCAGAAGGTGAAGAGGTTCCCCAATCGTCACCTGCAAATTGGAAAGGACAAGAGAACGTAGAACCAAGTGAAGAGAAAGACCTTGGTTTACGCAAGTCTAGCCCCGACGATTCAACAACTGATTTAAGCAAGGTAAGCAGCACTGAAAGCGGCAAGAAAAACGATGGGAGGCGCGGTTGTGGAGCGTCAGAAACTCCGGAGAACAGCACTCTGAGCGTGCAAGGACATAGTGGAAAAGATTTCATGCAATGATCTCCGGATGCGAATGAACCACCGGTAGGGACGCCGACGCGCATGGAACGGGCGCGGACGGATGACGCACGTCTGACCTAGAGTGGGGTGCCTGGAAGAGGACCTTGCATGTTCCTACGAAAGATGCCCCTGAAGGAAGGCAGAAAATGAGATGCAGAACTCCAAATAGCATACGCTTTTGCGTGTTGGCAGATCAGAATGAGATATTTCCTAAAAAGGTGTCGCAAGCTAGTGTGGGCCATCAGGGAAGATGGACAGTGAGCAGCCCGCGCATATGTACTTCGTATACGCAAGGGGTGGAGCAACTCGGTGTGTTGACTTATACCGCCTCTGTACCGGTCGAGGGAGGATGCCGTAGATCCTCTGTGTTACTGGGCGGCTGTATCCTAAATGCCAGGATGGATACCGGTCTGAGAAAAGTAACCATATAGTTTGGACGGTATGAGCATTCGTGGCTCTATTGCTCACCGCCTCAACTGACGGACCGAGGCCAGTGCCAACCAAGTTCCGCATGCGTGGAAGGCCCAAATTGCCATGTATACTTCGTCCTAAATACGTTGCAGCCATCGCGCCCTAGGCTTCGCAGCGGCTATACTTTGCGCATTGTTGTGTTTAATCAGAAGGAGGCTGGCTTTGCGGAGATAGAGGTCAAGATTAGAAAGACAAAAGTTACAATAGTCCAAAACGTATAGTGCTTCAGTGAAAAGGGGTGTTAGATGTTGATTTTTCTTGTAGTGGAGTCCTGCAACTCTCTATACCTGGTGAACGGATGTACCCCGTGAGGAGGTTTCGCTCCAGTCAATCGATATCCTAGGTGCGTGGTCTACACCTTCACCTGTATTTGTAACGGTCAAGATTTGTGACCCTATTGCCAGTTTGCCTCTTGATCTAAGCATTGATTACCCACAGGTAGCCAGAATCCACGTATAAAGATCCTCCGCCCTGACAGTAACATTGGAATGATCATTGTTTCCACAGGTCCTGGCCGCCCACATTTGCCACCCACACACAATATCTGACCACTGGGAGCTACATGTGTACGTTTTCCATAGAGTTGGACACTCATCCAGTTGCTGATGCCAAAACCGAGGCACACTGCGCAACCAATAGAAACTGATTGCCGCGCAAGGCGTAAACCTGTAAGAATGGCGGGTGCTGGAACCAACAAGGCAAGGACGGCTGCCAACAAGAGAATATGCGACGGACTACCGGGAAAAAGGGCAAGAGCAACAACATCCACGAGACAGAGGCGGGCACAGGTGCCAGTTCGGACTCACTGGAGTCGCAGAGCGAGAGTAGCAATAAGGACTGCAGCAGTGATGTCCCGGTGTCCGAAGGTACCAAGAAGACAGCCAGGAAGGGGAAGACGGGGAATGCAAAAAATCAGGCGTCGACGAAGAAATCTCCCAAACCTCGAAGTCGTCGAGGCCGAACCCAACACTCGTCAGCTTCCAAGCGGCCTCCCCAAGTGTTCTCAACAGTCCCCATGACTCCGCTGACCGTGAGTCCTCGCCATCGTCCCCAGAGTCTGACGACTCTTCAGGTTCCTCGTCCGCAGGAGCCAAAAGGGCTGGAGTAAGAGGATGAGTGAGAACAAGAAGCCCACTGTGAAGGAGCAAAATCGCAAACCCAATGAGCAAGTCATGGCAGAGCTGCAGGAATTACTGGAAAAATCCAAACAGGACCATACAACCAATATGAAGCCGAGCTACAAGAGGGTTGATGATGTGTGGACGAGTCCCTTCACAAGTTCAGATTATTGGACAGTTCGGAGGAGAAGGGTGATGCAGATCACAGTGTAAGTGCAATAACCCCAGGGACATACCGTATGTTCACTTGGATTGCAAGCATATCAATCTCTGGTCTCGAAAATTGTGTATCATGCAGTGACTGTTACACAATATGGCCGCTCCGGTGTTGTTCCTAGTTGTGGATGCATCTGCGTAGAAATCGAGCTGACTAACGACCCGAACTCTGCTGACTCGGCTGGGTTCCCAGATCGACTAGACAGGACAGTACGGGGCTCCGTAGTCAACATCTCTCATCATCCCAATAACCGCTGGTGCCGCTGCGAAGGAGAATAACAAAAACACACAACAATCTCACGGCTGCCAACAAATCGCCAATGCCTACGCCGCCGCCGCCGCCATGGCCGAGCGAGATCCACAGGTGCCCCGTAAGAAGCAGACGCGCAACAAGCCCACGCTGAGCTGCGAGCAGTGCGTCGAGCGCAAGACCAAGGTGAGTCCCCCTTTTGGCCCTGCCCTTCTTCCTTTTGCTTCTCCCCCTTCGAGCTGTTGCTGATCCTGTCCATTTGCACGTGCGCAGTGCGACCGTGGACGGCCTCGCTGTGTCGCCTGCGCCAAGCGGCAGTCCGAGTGCAGGTACTCTGAAATCGCCAACCGGATTGCCTCGTCCGAGTGAGTGCCCAGATGCAGACGCTTCCCTCCAGGATGTGACTTGCTGCTAAAAGCTTTCCCCCATAGCCGTGGCATCGTGCGTCGTGCGAGGAAGCATAGCAAATCCGCCCTTGGCCAGCCCACAGATGCACCTCCCGTCCACGACCCCAAGCCGCAGCAGGTATCTACTCGCTGATTCCCCTTATCCACTGTCCTTTTCCCTTCCTCTACGCAGTACCCTCCACGGGTCCGGCCTTCTCCCACGCTCACCAAAAACTGATGGGACCAGGCTCAGGCTCAGGCTCAGGCTCAGCCGCCGCCGAGGGCACTGTCTTCGCCCGCCTCGTCGCCATTTCTACTCTCTAATATTCCCTACTCCAATCTGACCCCATCCCCCTTCTTCGGAGCCTATACCGCCGAGCACCCTTTTGCCAACTACTGGACCAGCAGAGGTGGGCTAGCCGAAGTAGGTGTATCCGCTGCCCGACCACGTTTCTCTGCTCACTCAGGCAGGTCATCGGTGTGCTGCCAGAAAGAAAGCAGGCAGACATACTCGTGGACAAGTACTTTGAAGCCGTGGACCCAGTCTATCCCTTGATCCATCGGCGAGCCTTCTACACCGACTATGAGCGCTTCTGGTCGCTACCGCTCGAGGAGAAGGCTGTAGCTGACCCTGCTTTGGTTGCCCTGCATTTCGTCGTCTATGCAATGGGCATGCAGTTCATCCCCAACTACTCCAACCACGAGATTAGGCAGAAAGGGGCCGAGTTCTACATTTCAGCCTCGCAGCAAGCATTACGCCTATCTGGTTACCTCAGCCGGGCCTCCCTGAAGTCCCTCCAGGCCATGGTTCTCATATGTTATTTTCTGATGAACGACAACCATGCTTCGGATGCTTGGCAAGTGGCTGACTCGAGCTGGGTGCCGTGAATCATTCTCTAACTTGCCTACTAGGGCCTTCGGAGGTGTCCTAGCAAGACAAGCCTATGCCATGGGCTTGCATCGAGATCCTGACATCATAGCACCGCGGTCTTCCCAGGTCGAAAAGCACCAGCGCAGAAAGCTTTGGCAGGCCATCTTCTTTCAGGATACGTTTCTGACCGTCCTGCTAAAACTCCCTCCCACCACAACATTCGCCGATGTCAGAGTGGAATCTTTGACAGACGACTTAGATGACCATGTATCAAATGGCATGCCGATCAGCGGTACCCCTGAAGTCGTCATGAACCCTATGAGCATAAGCAATATTGTTCCCATGTCGGAAGCCTATCCCCCGCACGAAATAGCGGACCGCCAGTATATCCGCTCCATGTGGCGCATGGCCAATCTGACCCAGCGAGCCATTTGCACGCCGAGGTCACTGGACAACCCCCTCACAACATCGCCAGAGGATAGGAAACTTCTGATACGCCAGTATCAGGATCTCATGGAGAGTTTTCCTCCGCTACTCACCACTTTCACTGAAGATGGAATCCGGACCCTTGCACATTCCAACCCACGCCACCTGCGCCAGAATTTTTTTTTCAGGAGTAATTTTTGGCATTGTCTGATGATAATAAACGCCGACGAGAATGTAGTGGGGGGCGTGACGTGCGATGTAGAGGGAGCCCTCCATGCCGCAAGGATGGCCCTCCTGGCCTTCTTTCACTTTTGGCAATATTTGAGAGTCGACGTGGGCGTCTGGTGGGTATTTCAGCATCGCGCTTTTGAAGAGGCTGTAAGTACGACCTAGCCTCCAGGGACACCACGCAATGGTCGTATTGACAATGCTTGTCAGCTTCTCATGGTACGTATACTGGCGGCACAGAAGTTGCCACTTCACCAAAGTCAAAGCGGAATGTCGGCCCCTTCAAGTATACCGCTCTTCGCGCAGGCAAGGGAAGACGCACAGAGGGCGCTTGAGATACTCGAGCACATTGGCAGCGCCTCCGAAATGCAGAAGACAAGAACCGAAGTCCTTAGGAAGGAACTCGGCGACATTGCTTGGTGATGATGTGGGACGTTGCGCTTCATATCCTCCGTTCGTCCCGAACCCAAAGCTTTGTTGATGCAGAGGACCACCTGTATGTATATATGCGCCGCGAGCTGGTGGCGAGGCAAATGAAGCTGCCTCGCGTGCGGAATTGTCATCAGGAAAGCGACCCACACCCAACCACCGCTATCGGCAGAAAACGGGCCCCGAAGAGCTATGTGAACATGGGCTGCAGAATATAATCACTCATGATAAGTAGTTGCAATGTGATCCAGCAAAGACTTTGACATCCATGTCCGCACTGTCTCAGCCACCACTGTCAGTGTGAGTCGAGTCGTCGCTTTCGAGTTCACATAGTCCGGACATTGGCCATGAGCGAATCCAACTGCAGCTTCTTCCATCAATCCAATCCAAGAGACTATCAATCAATCATCTCAAGTCAATAGTCGCTCGTTTCACTGTCGATCCCTCTCCGCTCCCTTCGCCTTTCGCGCAGGTATCCAACCCAATCCGTCCGTTCCCCGGCCTCTCCCAATCCCGCCACTCCGTTCCCTTCCTCCCACGCCTGCCACTGGTCCAACCCAAACAGGTGCCGCATGGTTGGCCTGCCGTGCGGACAGCTCCAAGGCTTATCCATCTCGCCCATGTGCCGGACAACCTTCTCCATTTGGGCCTTCCTGAGCGTCTTTCCAATCATGATACTGCCTCTACAAGCACGGCTAGCAAGCATCTTCCGCACCTTTGAAGGCCGCGGGATATATCGAGACTCGCAGGTTAGTGACGAGGATGAATGCTCCCCAAGCAACGCAAGGAGCTCCTCAAGATCGCTGGGCGTAAACGTCACCTTCTCGGACATGGGGAGGGAGACGAGCTTAGCGCGTTGGCCGACAGGGGAAGCGCCCGATGTGTCGACTGTGACTGCGAAGCCATTTACGGTGAGTGCGTGTTCGTTGTTCAGGATGGTTTCCTCTTCCATGGCCGTAAGTTCGAGAGGGTGCGGATGCACCAGCCGTTGCGAGACGAGGACTGTCGTTGCCGAGAATCTCTCAAAGTTGTACTTCTCATCGGATGCGTGCTGGTCTATAATGAAGAGATCGGGGGTAGCGACGGCGGCTGAGGGAGGTCGAACAGCGAGTATGAAGCCCAAATTGAATTGCCCAATGATGCGCATGGTGCGGAAATCGGACTTGGCGACTGTCAGTGAAAGTCGTTCCTCCGGGTTGGCAGTGTTCAGCTGTGTGCTCGTGGGTGCGTTGACAACAGAGGGAATGGTGCCCGCCTCTGATAGAGCCGCCTCCATGTTGCTAACCAGTCGATTGATTGCACTGACAGATGTTTGAATATCTTTGACCAGCCCTATCGTTTTATGGCTCTTTCGCGGCGCTTGGAGGAAGTTTTGGGCCCGCTTGAGGCTCATCTCGCTGGGACGGGCGGCAGCCTCTTCGGCTTCAGCAATCATCCGTGCAATCCTGGCCTCCTCCCTTGCCTTCTTTGCTGTATCGTCGATATACTCGTCACCCCAGTCGCCCTCGTGTTCGATCTCAACCTGGTGTTCATGCTCCTCTTCGCTTACGTCGTCCTGCTCGTCGGATGGGGAAGCTTGTAAACTGGACCGTCCGCTACGAGCTCGTATGTCCAGCTGTGACATCTCGATTCGTTCCGGTGAAGGTGGACGTGATGTGCTCGCATCCGGTATGCTGAGATAAGGTCCTCCTTGACCATCATCTTCTTCGGTTTGCTCTTCCTCATCCTGTCCTAATTGTGTCCCCGGAGCGGCAAAATGACGCAGACTTGGCACCAACATTGGCCTTTTTGACAGCTTGGTTTGAGTTTCTTCCGAAGATGCACCCCACCCCTCCACGCGCGGTGTTTTCGACGCTCGTGACGGACTACCGATTGTTGCCACCGTAGTGGTATCGCCTATGGTGATGGTAGCTTGCTGGGATGGGACCCGCATGGGCCGCATGCGGTCGAATGCATACTGGATTGTGCTTTGAGAGAACCGCTTATGGGAGGTCTGTATTACTGCAGGTATATCCTCGGCTTCGGGCCCTGGCCGTGCGGTAGTACGACTTGTCTGCTTCCCTAACTGAGATGAGAATCTCGGTTTGAAGTACTCTGCACCTCTGAGAAGCGGAAGCGAATCTCCTGGCGACTCTGGCTGGGGCTCAAAAGAGGGGGAAGGCTGTCTGCCAGGCGGACGTGCCTCTTCAAATAAGGGGTTTTCGCCGTCGGAAGAAATGGAGCAATCTCTAGTTTGGTCTCTGCTTTCGGAGGCGAAGGGTTGGCCAGCGCGTTCGCCAGTGTCTCTGTCGACGAACTGTTCGAGCGAGCTGGCCTTGACGAATCCAGGTAAAAGAATGCCGACAAGACTTGCCTGGGAGGTGGCAGGCTCTGCAGAGGACTGCAAATCAGCGGCCTTGTGTTCGGGCATGCCGAAGCATTCCACGGCTCCAAGTTCGCCGCTCTCTTGCTGACGGGTAGGGGACACGCTGAAAGCAGGGAGTCTCTTATCTGGAAGTTGGGCCTGGGGAACGCTCTGATCATGGGCCTCGAAGAGCTGCAATAGCTCACTCTTCAAGCTCTCTAACAGCGCTGACTGATCGTGCAGCAGAATGGTTCTCTTATCTGGGGACACATTAACATCATAAGCATTCGTATCGAGCTTGATGTCGGCGCAAATGAAAGGCGACTGGGCAATATTGAAGGACTTGTAGACTTCGTTGAAGGCTTTCGCAACCTGAGGGAGGGTGCAGGGACGCGTATTCACAAAGAACATTTGGCGGTCTGGATTCTGTCGCCCCTCTCCGTGGACCGGGCGCGATATGTAACCCACAATTCTAACTCCCCTCGACGCTTCATCCGCTGGCGTGCTCCGATTCGGAGCGCTTTGAGTCGATCCTGGCCTCTTGGACGGGTTCATCTCGAAGTGGAGGTCGAGAGGGATCAAAGCCTGCAACGTCTTCGCTCCATAGACATTGGCAATATTTTCTCGTATATTTGGGTTCGACTGGGTGGCGAAGACCACGGTCTTCTTCCTGAGGGGGTGTTAGGATCAGTCCAAGGCGGTTCCGAAGCCGTCATTCACCCTTTGGGAATCTGATTGCTCACTGTGAACTTGACCCCGACGCTGATACAAGCGTAGGCGTGCAGTAGGTTGAGCACCTTCTTGTACTCCCTTTTTATCGTCCTTTCGAGCTCCTTCCGCCTGACGGGAAGATTGTAAAACAAACTTTCTACGACGACAGTGGTCCCTTGCTTGGCTGCCACAACTGAGGTGCCTCTTAGCTTCCCCGAAGGGTCGAACTCCAACTTGGTCCCTTTGGGGCCGTCGGCGGCACGAGCTGTGATGATATGGAATCTGGAGAGGGCACATAGCGAAGAGAGAGCCTCACCTCGGAAGCCAAATGTGTGCAAGGAGCCGAGATCATCATATGAGGACAACTTGGAGGTGTAATGCTTCAGTGCTGGCTAGGTCAGTGCCACCTTGAGACTGGTATGAAGGGTGTTTGCAGGGAGACAAAGATACCTAGATGGTCAAAATCTTCCGGGGCAATGCCGGAGCCATTGTCTTGCACCTCGATCGAGTCCAGGCCGTTGTTCTTGAAGCGGACCTCGATTGCGGTTGCGCCTGCATCCAGCGCATTCTCGACCAGTTCCTTGGCGACCGAGTTGAGGTCGACAATGACCTGACCGCTCTGGATCTGGTGGATGGAACGGCCCTCGATGGGCTTGATGGTGGCCATGCTCAACCCATGGCAGAGATGGGATGGATGAATGAGGTGCGCCTGCTCAGGTGGTGGTGACAGTAGTGGCAGGTGACTGCGCGAAGTGTCGCGACGCGTAGGCGCGTCCGTTATTTAGCGCCTAGCCTTGTTTGAACCAATCAAAAGTTCAATCATATTCCCCAGATTTGAGCCAATGGAATACAATGATATATATATATATATATATATATATATATATATTACGTGTTTCATAAGCGAGCGCCCCACCCAAGCGAGCGCCCCAGCGTACACTGCCAAAGCGCATGTACAGCGACGTTGCGCAACACTACAATAATAATTGGTGCTATACGCAATAATATAGTATTATTTAGAAGCTTCACTATCATCTGCATCCTGTATTTCAACCTTGCAAGTGCGGGAGTTGTGCCCAGTCTCACCGTAACAGCCGCAGTGCCTCTCTCCACGTACTCTCTTCGCAGACATCTTGCTTCCATTATAACTGCTACTCTCTTTTTCAGCAATCAAATCAGACATCTCACCAACTGTTAAGGTCTCCTCTGTCTGCACATATCGCTGCTTACAACTCTTGCGCTTTGTAGCTACTTCTACCGCATCTTTTAGATGACTCAATTCCTCCTGCATTAGCACCATATTATATGCTATCTGCTGAGCACCTTTGGTAAGCTGCTGCACCTGCTCATCTATAGAACTTGCTGAGGACCCTGGGCACCTTTGAATCTTGTTTCGAATAAGTGTTGACTGCACCTCTATCTCGCAGATGTTGCGTAGTGTTTTTGCTTCCCAATTGATAGTATCTGGTACGGGTGGTGTTGGTGTATGCAGCTGCACATCTAGCTTTGATAGCACAGCCTCTGGGTCATGTGGGACTATTCCAGCACCTCGAAACCCTGCACAGACATTCTCCTTTGTAAATGCCTTCTCAAAAGCCACTTTAAAGGCTGGTAGGAAGGTTTCTTTGCTGATATGGTGGATGCAGCTACATGCCAAGGCTGAGATCCTGTCACCATACAGATGTTTTAGCAGCGAGTAGCAGACGACATCAAGTGGCTGTAAGAGGTGTGATGAGTGTGGAGGCATACAGAGAGCTATGATCTTGTTCTCTTTGCAGTAGTCCTAGAATTTTACTGAGCAGTGGCTCTCGTGCCCGTCAATAATAAGCAGTCTATATACTCCTACAGTATGAGTCTTCGTATACATGTCGAAATGCTTAAGCCATGCCAGTGCGAGATCATTATTAATCCAGCCAGTAGGAGAGACCTCAATAATCCAGTTGCGAGGTAGATTGTCGAACCAGGAGGAGATAAGAACCTTGCCTGCAAAGATGATGAAGGGTGGGATAATACGTCCTGTTGTGCCGATATCTTGTACCAGGGTAACCCACTCACGATCACTAGGCTGTAGTTTCTTCTATTTTCCAGATTTCTCTGAACCTGTAACAACAAGCTGAGACGATATCTTGCCCATTAGGAAGCCAGATTCATCGAAGTTGTAGATGTCCTCATCTACAATACCATATTTCACCTTCATCAACTGAACAAGAGTGAACCAAGGCCGGATAACTGCTGGATCCTCACAGGCAGCTCGCTGGCGATCGTACGGATGGCTCCATCATGTTCGCAGCTCAGGTGTGCGTTTGATAAAGTTATCAACCCAGTTCTTACCAGTAGGCTTCCCACCACGCTCTCTTAGCAGTCTGTCGGCCATATCTCGTACATCTGCCTTCGATACTGGCACACCACGTAAACTCTCATCAATTATACGTTCCACAATCACCTCCTCTTCTAGTTTTGTCAGGCGCTTTGAGTTTGGCTCGCAGTCACGTCGAGAGCGCGTTCCAGCACATCGCCATTGTATCGTCCTTTGAGGAACAGTGTAGATTGTTTCAGCATGCCGAAGGCTTTTGATTTGATTTTTTTTGGATATCAGAGATAGCAAGCTGCACGTCACCTTCAGTATAGGTTCTCTGAGCTCGGTGTTGTTGAGACATTATGTGTTGTTGCTGTACACGTGCTTTGGCAGTGTATGCGGGGGCGCTCGCTTGGGTGGGGCGCTCGCTTATGAAACACGTTATATATATAGATATAGAAATGGTCGCACGAGGCAGTCCAGATCCACACCTGGGCAAGCATAGGGCACTGAGACATTGAAGTGAAGCGCTGAACCTTTCTGTGTGTCTTTCAAAGGCAATTATCCATAGACGCCGCACGCCTCTGCAGCCGCCTTTTCCTGCAATCGAGTTAGACATGTCCCTCAACTTGTCGAGGGCGTCCTCCTATCATCTCGCGCGTAGGCAATCAGAAGATACACTTGACCTCTCGCGCTGCCCAGTTTGCCAGTGCGGAATAGCTGGTCGGCAGCTGTGACAAACACCACTTGGTTTTTTTATCTCATCGAGGTCGCTGTGCCAAGCTCCTCATCACTGCGCCTTAACTTTTACTTTGGTGCAGGAGCAAGTTCACCACCCAGTAGGTACGGTAAATAGGGGGTCGGCGGTCAATCGAACTACAAAGTGACAGCCATTTGCGAATGGCAGGAATTCAAAAAAGGGAGCCAAGCCTGTTACAATCAACGAGGTGCATAGCACCTGTCCTTCATCACCTTGGAAGGGAAGCCGATGTGCCCGGTAAATCCTGCATGTTGTAGGCCAGAGGCTAGATTGAACTCCTGATTCACCACATCGCTCTCTGCAGGGTTGAGTGCTCGCTTCGATGGGATTACCAACGATAACGACGTCCGTCCCAATCGTCCAACCCAAGTTCGGTTCTCGGAAACACCAAGTGCAAACGTGAGGCTGGTGCTGATGGATAGCGATTCCATCGAAACTCGCATGTGGATTCGCCAGGGAGGCGAGTGCGAGATGGTGGGCGCAGAGATCCACCTTCTTGGCGCATGGTGAAGGCCATGATGGTTAGGGCCATTCCTGAGTAGCCCATCATGCGCCGCCGCCCCCTCGTCCTCTCCCGCGACCACGTCCACGTCCGCCCCGGCCTCCACGATCGCCGCGATGGTCTCCCCTGTGCGCAATTCCTCCCCGACCGCCCCGGCTTGCCTGTTCTCTGGCTTGCTGCTCTTTGACCACTTCAACGATTTCGTCTGGGACCCGGAGATATTTGATCTGGAGCTGTTAGAGGCGAGGCGCAAGCTGGCAGCGCCCACTTACGGTGCTTCCTCGCACATAAATCTCTGGCAGCCTCCAGAACTTGTCACCGCTGGGGCTCGTTTGTATGACCTCCTTCAGAGTGAGGTTCATCCACGTGTCGCAGCTGACGAGGTGGCCATTCAGGGTTTCGCCGCTTTTTAGTTCGACGAGCATAGGGTGGCCTGTAGCGGCGGTTAAGAGGGAGAGAGGAAGCTGCGGGTGGGACGGTCAGCGATGTGGAGTCTTGATGGCGGATGGATGAATGCTGCAAGGTACCATGATTCTGGATGCCGCAACGGACTCGCAGTCTGGGAAAGGAGAGGAAATCTACGACACAAAACTGGGGGAAATGCGCAAGGACAAGCCGATGGGCAGTGTGTGGTTCGTTGCACGGGAGTAGGAGAAGTCAAGCGCTGGTATTTACGGAGTGCCTTGAGTCCGAGGAATTGGACGAGGAGGAGCACAGGTGGACGTGAGAGCTGGTGCACGGGCCACCATCCCGCTCCATCTCTTGGCGAGCTTGGCACAGCACTTGAGAGCTTGACATGCTTTTGGCTCTACGGGTATCTCGTCTCGTCAAATTGATGGATTCAAGGCCGAACATTCAAGAAGAAGACTGGAGCATCGGTGGACTGAACTATTGCGTTGGCTGGAATGCCCACAGCGGGGAAGACAGGCTGCTATGTGCTGACCACGCCACCGGGAGGAGAACAGTCAAGGAAAGCCGAGAGATGGTGGGAGAAGTAACTCGGTCAGTTTGAAGAACGATACTGCAACTTGCAACTTGCAACTTTGCCTTCTCTGGAGCTGTTTGTTGAAAGCTGACCATGACTGAGGTATCATTAAGTATTATTTCTCTGTATATTTGCGTGAATGATTCGAAGCCAGGGTACATGCAGCTCCCGGATGGGTGCGAGGTCTGCGCCTCAATGTGCCGCCCGCTGGTGCCTGACGCCGAAACACGCTGTCCTCAATGAATGCCTCGTTCTTCTTCTCACTTCTCGACAAACCCCTTTCCTTTCCTTTCCTTTCCTTTGGCGAGAGACGCTCAAGAGTGCCCAGCACTCCTTACTCCGGACAGAGTACAGCACTAGTCACTAGTCACTAGTCACTCGTCACCCTCGAAAGCCGCCCGCTCGACAGCAGCATACACAGCACATAACCGGGTGCTCCTGCTGGTGAGGGATGCGCTCCGTCAAGTCGAGGCTGTTGTCGGCATGGGCGTGCGTCCTGACTACTGCTCGAGCCCTTCCCCAAGGCCATGGAAACGTTGTTGGACATGGTGATGGAGCGACACCGAGGCCCTGTGAATCGTCCGTCTTGGGATGGAGTGAGTGGCCCTTTTTTACTACATAAATACCAACGAGTGGATTCTCCTACTTGTACTAACCGCCTCTTCGTCTAGCCGTCGGCGGCACGTATGCGCAGGCCAAATTCAGTCTCTGTCTGAGCCAAGGCGACGACACGAGCCATGATGACGAATCCCTGGTAAGGCTTGTCCAGGCAGCACCATTGACTCTGACTGCTCCTTGTTGCTCACCACCACTGTCCCTCTCTCCCAGGTCCTCGACTTCTCCACCTTCGCTGCCCACGAGAGCTGTGGCGACTCGTCCAACATCACCTTGAACGACGTCCAGCTGCCCCAACAATGGCTGGCTGATACCGCCTCTGGTGTCGGCTCCTTCTCTGTCCCCGCCCTCCACCCTGGCGACGATGCCTTGGCGCCTTACCACGACTTGGACTTTGAGTGGGAGTCTGCTTGTCTAAGGCCCAACCCCCCGAAGACAGCCGACGTGCAATCAACGAGTCATCCCAACGAGAGTGAGACTGCTGTTGCTGCACAGGTCCTTAGCGTAGTCATCAAAGCCGTCGATGGAAAGCCCCTCCAGCATCCAGCCGGTTTCACCATCTCGTTCAAGCAGACTGCTCCTCCCCAGTTGCTCAGGTTCGCCGGCACTCCTAACCCTTCCGCTGGCAGCGAGGCCCAAGCCGAAGACTGGCGAGCTCCTCCTCCCCATCTTCGGCTTGCCCCTGCCCATCCCTCCTTGGAGGAACATCTTCGTGACCTCCAGAGTCTTGAGGCCGAGTCACGTGAGCTAAACCGACTCATCCACGAGAAGAAGAAGCACATTCACACCCAACTGATCAAGGAAGCCAAAGAAGCGGCGAGCGAGCTGCGGGACTGTGAGAACGTCACCTGTCTTCTCAACCTCATCAAGCACAAGGCCCACGGCGCCTGGCGTCTCCTCGTCATCCAGCTCCGACCCGAGCGGTACTCCCAACCATCTGAAATGGGTCGCCCTAACGACCCATATCAACAAGTATGGCGGCCTGGCACCCATGAGGCTACTATCAAGGGAGACGGCTCTCCTTCACCGCCACCCTATGATGAAGCTGGGGAACCCGCTCGACCAATCCATGGCTCCGGAGGCTCCAATGAATCCGTCTATGTCTGCGTCCTGAAGATCGTCGTTGGTGTCTTGTGCTGCGGCTGCCTGGTTGGCGTCATCCGGCACCGCTGCTCCTCTCCTCGCTCACGGACAGCGCCCACCATCGACGAAGAGCGCAACGACTTCTCACCCCACCGACGCCGTGGGCCAAAGAGCCCATGGCGAGCCTGGTGGCGCCGCAGGAGTCGATGGGACCAGGAACGCATTGAAGACTACGAGGAGAAGCGGGCGCTGATCAACCCTCATGAGATGATTCTCGAAGAAGCCATGCAGGAGGAAATTCGCCAGCTACGAACCGCCCACGGTATCGTGAACTCGCTGGTACAAGCCGAGGAAGGGCGTATCGTCACGTCGCAGAGCACAGGCCATAGACACTGCTCCTGTAACCACGGCTACTCCATCCCTCCGTCACCTACGTCTTCGACCTACTCGTCGGACTCACTGGCTGACCTCTCTTCGCGCCCGCTCTCCCGGACCAGCAGTCTCCCCGGTTATCATTCCGACACTTCCACGGCTCCGCCAGCATATGAGAGTGACGATGATGTGGGGGAGTTGGTCGCCAATGGTTACAGAGTCAACCTCTCCACGATGTCCAACGCGAGCAGGTGGACGCCGGACAGTAGCGTCGTCGATGTCAGTCCACGTCCCAGCGCCGAGACATTGCGATATCTTGAAGCAACCGACACCGGCGGCCACGAGTCGGTGTACTAAGAAGCTATTTTTCTTGAGGGAATCGAACTGCTCGATGATCCGAGCGGGCATTCTGGTTATAGGCTTGCAGGTTCAGGCGTTCAGGGACTTCAAGGGCTATCGGCTCATGGCATTCACGGTTGAGCTCTCCTTTTCCAGTTTCCGTAGCAGCATTGCCGTTTGTATAAGGGAAGTCTCTGGAATCCCATTTCGATATCACGTTTTTGTATTGTATAGTACACAGGTTGGAGAAGCGAGCATGTACCCTAATAGTATCAAAGGAGCAAAGGACTTCAAACCAATCAATGACCAAGCACCATCCAAAATGCCTGCAGGTCGCAGCCATATATCTACACATACTACACAATGCGTCCAGTTCTGAAAGCGGCTACGCTATGATCGTACATCTACTCCATGCTCCTAGATCAACCTATCGTCTCCGCAAATACCAGTTGAAGGCCAGCTGACCCGTCTCGTAGCTAAAGGGCGTGGGCACCTCGGCCAACCCGGGTCTGGCGACTGGATGCCTCAGGTATACAGCCGCGCAGATATTCTGGTTGACCTCGAGGTACCGCGGAATGAAGGCAAATGCAGACATGTAGTCCCTCGGCCGCCACGGCGTCGCATATGGCTTGCTAGAATCTTTCTTGTTCCACGTTGCCTCGTACTCGGCCTTCTCCTTTAGCTTCTCAAAGGCCTTCTTGAGCTTCTCCTGGTCCTCGGCCGACATGCCGACATCTTCGCTCTTGCCGACGTCCTTGTCCATCTTCTCGGCCAGTTGCTTCTTCAAGAAGTCGAACTGAGCATCGAGGGTCGAGACTGTCTCGGGGTTTGCCTTTTTCCACAACGCAATAGCCTTCTTAACGGACTGCCTAAACTCTCTGAATTTTTGCTTGTCCTTCGCCTTGACCTCTGTAGCTAAGACTTCGTCGACGCTAGCCATCAGCTCCTGCATATGCTTCTTGAGGTCGGCGGCTGTGGGCTCGTCCCGGGGTATCTGAGCCGCAAGTTGAGCAATAGTAGGGTCATGTTCGTCGTCATCCGCCGGCTTGTTGGAGCGAGTATCACCAAGCGCGGCTTTCTTCTCAGCCGCGATACGACGAGCAAACGCGCTACGGGTCTTGGGAGCACCCGTAGCAAACATGACCGATTCAGGCTCCACTTGGAACATGTCTCCGGGATTGAGCATGTATCCAGGATATGGCATCTGTCCTCAGTGTTAGCTTCTCACGCGGTCTCGTCTCTACAACTGCAGCTGCGGTCGCACGAGTTGACGCCGTACCTTCTTTCCATTGACTTTGACAAGACCGTGCACGACGAATTGACGCGCCTGCCTTACGCTGCTCGCAAAGAGTGACCGGAAGATGGCTGTATCCAACCGCCTCTCGATCGGATAGTATGTCATCTGCATGTACGGTGTCATTGGGGGCGTCCGCTGAGATTCCTCCGTATCTAGCCCAGCCCCTCTTCCAGAAGCCTGCTCCGATCCGTCGTATCTCGCCAGATATCTGTGATCCATGGGAACAACCGCTGGGATGCTCCTTTTAAACAACCGCTTCCATTTCTTCTCCCGAATCTGCTCGCCGTGGTACGCACGCGTATCCGATTTGGCTGTCCACTTCTGTTGAAAGTATGTGCGCATCGCCGTATTCGGCGGCTTCAATTGTGAGAGACTGTACAGTGACCATCTTGACCAATCCTGCCTGACTTTCTACTGACGGTTAGGACCTGCCGGCGGCACCCAGGGAATGCGGAGCAGGTTTACTGACTAGCTTCTTCAGCGAGTGAAATCTCGGCTTCTTCCTCATGGCGGGCAGCGGTCGATCAATGCAATCAATGGATGCTGCTGACTGCGCGCAATCCCTTGACTATCCATTCGCTCAGAGATTGTTGTCGCAGGTGGTCGGCACCCTCCGCTCCGTTGTTTTTCCGCGCGCAGGGATCATCCCCGTAAAATAGCCACAAAATTGTTCGGCGTGGGTCAAAGCTTCCCCACCCGCTCGCTCGTCTCAACTCACTCACCTTTCCCGCTGCGTCAAAACTCGGCATCATCCCAAAACCTTCTTCTTCGAGCTTCTCACTCATTGTCTTGCACATATCTGACAAGAAAGTCCCTACCGTTGACGATCTATTCTAGCCGCACACTGCTGTATACTCTATACGCACAACTTCTCTAACCATGTCGGACGCGGTTGCCGACGCCCCGGTCGCGGACAAGGTCGACGCACCTGCCGAAGTGACCAGCGAGCGACCGGAGCCGAAGAACGAGAGCGCCGAGGCTCAAAATACCAGTGATCCGACAGAGACGGACCCGGAGGGCAGGGTTGACGCATCGGATTCGAAGGATGCAGAATCTGAAGAGGCTCCGCATGGCGCAAAGGCCGATGGAGCCACCGAGCCCGCCAAAGGTGATGATGAGACGAAGAAGTGGCGCGACGAGCGGCGCAATGGATCGCGTAATGACCCTAGGCCTGTCCGTGGCCGCGGACGCGGTGGGAAGAGCCAGAACATGTACAACCGCAAGTCAAAGTAGGCGCTGCGATATCGATGGGGCATTGAGCCAATTCTGACCCTGATAGATCGAACGAATTCCAAGACCTCCCGGAGACTGATGATCCGGTCTTGATTCGCCAGCAGGCCAGTCGCACTTCTCCATGGAGACAAATCACCTTGCTAATGCCAATCAGGTCGAGTTCTACCTCTCGGATCATAACCTCTGTACCGACAAGCATATGTTTGAAGAGATCAAGGGCGCACAGAACCTCCCCGTCCCAATCAAACACCTACACACCTTCAAGCGCATGAGGCGATTCCAACCCTACTCCGCTATTGTTGCAGCTCTCCGTGATAGCAAGCTTGTCGAGGTCGTGGACACTGCTCGGTTCAGCGGCACGGGAAATGAGGGCGTAAAGCGCAAGCATCCTATCGAGATTGTCAAGCGTGACGATGACGGTGACCGTGAGCTGAGCGTTGAAGAACAGTTTGACCGGCTATTCCATCGCTCCCGGAACCAACTGGATGCAAGCGTCTATGTGAAGAATTTTGGCGATCCAGCCGAGGCTGGCCAGATTGAATTGGAGATGTTCTTCAAGCAGTACGGTGCTATCATGGTTCGCAAGCGCCGCACCGAGGATGGGGAGTGGAAGGGCAGCGTTTTTGTCGAATTCCCAGATGAGGAGACGCAGAAGCAGTTCCTTGCCCTAGATCCGAAACCGGTCTACAAGGGTAACGAGTTGATCATCATGAGCAAGAAGGACTACAGCTTGAAGAAGTGTAAGGAGAAGGGTATCACACCTACTTGGGCGGTGGATGAGCAGGACAGCCGCAACAGGGACGGCCCAAAGGGTCGGTTCCAAGATCGACGGGGAGGACGCGGGCGTGGTCGTGGAGGGCGTGGTCGGGGTGGTGGTCGAGGAGCGCATAACGATCGCAACGATTGGAACGGTCGCCGTGATGACTTCCAGAAATCCAAGGAGTTCAGTGGCGAAAAGTCAAACAAGCGCAAGGCAGAGAATGAGGGCGCAGCCGAAGTCGAACCTGAGAAGCGCGAGGAGAAGAAGGCCAAGGTCGAAATCAAGGAGGATGCGTGAGCGTCAATTTCCTTTCTCTGACAAATCACGCGCAGGGCCTTGTTGGGATCCGTAGGGTCAACATCGGTTTTGAGATGTTGTTCTTCACCTTCCATTGCGGGTCTTGTAAATCGGAAAAGCATCTGGCATTTTTGACGACAAGGTTGTCTCTTCGGTATGGCTCTACTGTGTATGATACCATTTCACGACAGGACGGGTCCGGGTCATATTTCTGTATTTAACAGAGCATGCTAGCCTGTCAATAAATCACTCATTAAGGCTCGTCGTAGACGTTCTCAAAGCTCATCAGTTCGTTCTACCTCGAGGAGGGGATTACCGCAGCCGACGACCTATGAAAACTACACATAACTCGGACCGGACAGTCATCCCGACTCATATATGGAAGTGTAGATGCTACATATCCGTCCCACTGAGCTTATCCTATGACTACCCATTGTCATCGCAGGCGCCCTTCCTCTTGACAAAGGCCCTTGAAGTGTCACGGGCCGACACTTTTTCCCACTCACATATCTGGATTGGAAGGCCGATAACCAATGTTTCGTGCCACTGTTTGCTCGTTCTAAACACTGAGAGTTGGAGGCATTGGATAACAGGGTGAGGAGGGTCTCAGATATTCCACACTTTCCGACGATGCAGTGGTACAAAGGCAGCCATTGTTAGTCTACAGTAAGGGCGCGCGGGCAACTATGTCAGAGCCCTCGGTCTTATTTAATGTTAGGGCATATATGACGTTCAATGTGGACACGGTTCCCAGCTGCTCAAGCTAGCGCCCAGCCACGCAAATACATTTCATTCAATCGACAAATCGGTGGGTAAGATCGTCGTCCTGCTGACAAGATGATCGCCCTTTTTGGACTCGTCCTGTGAGGAACACAGGGTAAATTATGCGTGCAGCCGCCCTTCTTCTTCAGTTGCCTCGCTGAGTGGCGGGAGGCGGGCGAGCCAGGGCTATCTGTGAAGTCCAAAAATATTAATAAGCGAGCCCCACGTTCCGACACACTTCAGTGGTGTGGTTGAAAAGCTGCTTTCCCCTCCCAGCACCCTCTCCCTCTTTTTCTGCTCGCAGTCCCCTCACGCCAAACCGTCGCAAGAGGCCCTCAAGAGCGCGCCCTGCAACTGACTGGTCTGCACAGCTGGAGCATCTGGCACTCCTTCTCGTGCTCCACTCGACTCTTCCAAACGACCTCCAAAGCGGGTTAACCTCATTCCACCACCAAATTTTCACAGAAGACTACACCTCTCAACACCGCCAAAATGGTCAAGTAAGTGCCTTTTTCCTGTTTTTGTTGAAGTTGTTCAACTCCCCGTCGCAAGCCGAAGTTTGTGAGGGTCTGCGATGGTGCTCTGTGCGAGAGAGAGGGATTTTGCTGACAGGACTTGTGTAGCTTCACGGTTGAGGAGGTACGTTGGGCATCCACTGTGGCAGCGCTGGCTGCCATGGCCTGGCGGTATACTGATGCACTCTAGATCCGTGCCTTGATGGACAATCCGCTTAACATCCGGAACATGTCCGTCATTGCTCACGGTAAGCACATCGCCCTCACCTCTGGCCGCTTCCAGAGCGACCCCGCACCCACGATGCAGCGAGCTAACGTGTATGCGCTGAACAGTCGATCACGGAAAATCTACCCTCACCGACTCTCTCGTCCAGCGTGCTGGTATCATTTCTGCAGCGAAAGCCGGAGAAGCACGATTCACGGATACTCGAGCAGACGAGCAGGAGCGTGGTGTGACGATCAAGTCCACTGCCATTTCCCTCTATGCTCAGCTCAACGACCCAGAGGATCTGAAAGACGTTCCCGGCAAGGTTGAGAAGAACGACTTCTTGATCAACTTGATCGACTCTCCCGGTCACGTTGACTTCTCTTCCGAAGTCACTGCTGCGCTCCGTGTCACCGACGGTGCCCTCGTTGTCGTCGATACTGTAGAAGGTGTCTGCGTCCAGACCGAAACCGTGCTCCGCCAGGCTCTCGGTGAGCGCATCAAGCCCGTCGTCATCATCAACAAGGTCGACCGTGCCCTTCTCGAGCTCCAAGTCACCAAGGAGGATCTGTACCAGAACTTCTCCCGTGTCATTGAGTCCGTCAACGTCGTCATCGCTACCTACTATGACAAGGCCCTTGGTGACTGCCAGGTCTACCCCGACAAGGGTACCATCGCCTTTGGCTCCGGTCTGCACGGCTGGGCTTTCACTGTCCGCCAGTTCGCTTCTCGTTATGCCAAGAAGTTTGGCGTTGACAAGAACAAGATGATGGAGCGCCTCTGGGTACGTTGCATTGATCTTCGTTGAGAATTCTGCACTAACAAAGTGCAGGGTGACAGCTACTTCAACCCCAAGACCAAGAAGTGGACCAAGAACGGCACCTACGAGGGCCAGCAGCTCGAGCGTGCTTTCAATCAGTTCATCTTGGACCCCATCTTCAGGGTGTTCAATGCGGTCATGAACTTCAAGACGGACGAGATCCCCAAGCTTCTCGAGAAGCTCGAGATCAAGCTTAGCTCTGACGAGAAAGATCTGGAGGGCAAGCAGCTCCTCAAGGTGGTCATGAGGAAATTCCTTCCTGCCGCTGATGCTCTTTTGGAGATGATGATTCTCCACCTTCCTTCCCCTGTTACTGCCCAGAAGTACCGCATGGAGACTCTGTATGAGGGTCCCCATGATGATGTCAACGCCATCGGTATCCGTGACTGCGATCCCAAGGGTCCCCTCATGTTGTACGTCTCCAAGATGGTGCCGACGTCCGATAAGGGCCGGTTCTACGCTTTCGGTCGTGTCTTCTCCGGTACCGTCCGCTCCGGCCTGAAGGTCCGCATCCAGGGCCCCAACTATACCCCCGGCAAGAAGGAAGACTTGTTCATCAAGGCTGTGCAGCGTACCATTCTCATGATGGGCCGTTTCGTCGAGCCCATCGAGGATGTCCCCGCTGGTAACATTCTCGGTCTGGTCGGTATCGATCAGTTCCTGCTCAAGTCTGGTACCCTCACCACCAATGAGACGGCACACAACCTCAAGGTTATGAAGTTCTCCGTCTCCCCCGTCGTGCAACGTTCCGTCGAGGTCAAGAACGCCCAGGATCTTCCCAAGCTCGTCGAAGGTCTCAAGCGTCTGTCCAAATCCGATCCTTGCGTCCTCACCTACATCTCTGATTCCGGTGAACACGTCGTTGCCGGTGCTGGTGAGTTGCACTTGGAGATTTGCTTGAAGGATCTTGAGGAAGATCACGCCGGTGTCCCTCTCCGCGTCTCCGACCCCGTCGTCCAGTACCGTGAGACGGTCAACAGCACCTCGAGCATCACCGCTCTGTCCAAGTCGCCCAACAAGCACAACCGTCTCTATGTCACTGCTCAGCCCCTTGACGAGGAGGTTGCCCAGGCTATTGAGTCTGGTCAGATCGGGCCCCGTGACGATTTCAAGGCCCGCGCCCGTATCCTCGCCGATGAGTATGGTTGGGACGTCACCGATGCCCGTAAGATTTGGTGCTTCGGCCCCGACACCACTGGCGCCAACTTGCTCGTTGACCAGACCAAGGCCGTTCAGTATTTGAACGAAATCAAAGACTCCGTCGTGTCTGGCTTCCAGTGGGCAACCAAGGAGGGCCCTATCGCCGAAGAGCCCATGCGTTCCATTCGGTTCAACATCATGGACGTTACTCTCCATGCTGATGCTATCCATCGTGGTGGTGGTCAGATCATTCCTACTGCTCGCCGTGTGTTGTACGCCGCTACGCTGCTCGCCGAACCGGCTCTCCAGGAGCCCGTCTACCTCGTCGAGATCCAGGTGCCCGAGCAGGCAATGGGTGGTATCTACGGTGTCCTTACCCGCAGGCGTGGTCACGTCTTCGAGGAGAACCAGCGTGTCGGCACGCCCCTCTTCAACGTCAAGGCTTACCTTCCCGTCAACGAGTCGTTCGGTTTCACTGCCGATCTGCGATCACACACTGCCGGTCAGGCCTTCCCTCAACTGGTCTTCCATCACTGGCAGATTCTCCAGGGTGGATCGCCGCTTGATGCCTCGACGATGCCTGGTAGGATCGTTTCCGAGATGAGGAAGCGCAAGGGTATCAAGGTCGAGGTGCCCGGTGTTGACAACGTAAGTGCATTCCTGGATCATTCGGCCCATGCGGATACTAACTGGTCGTGCAGTACTATGACAAGCTATAGAGAACAGGTATCAAAAGTTTTAGATTCCTTTTTCTCTCGATCATTGCCAATCTGCATACTTCGCGCGCTCATCGGCGGTCGCTCGATACCAGAAACAGGTCGTCCTTGCGTATTCAGAGCGTGGACATTATGACCCGCCAGTTTTCAGGGTCGAACCTTTCAGGTCCAGCTCAAGAGACTGGCAATGATCCATTGGCTTTTAGCTTGTTCTTGTGTGATGTGGACAAAGGAAGATTCAATGTTATGCCCGTCGTATCAAACCTCGTATTTCCACTTGTGATGTTCCTTTGCTGGGTGTTGCTGCATTCCCAGACACAGCACGGCGTGGCTGGATTTGTTGCCATTCTCCCCTTTCGGCCAGAGGGGTATGCTTTGTGCGCCTCCCTCTCTGTCAATCCACTGTAACCTTTTATGTTGGAACTTGGGAAGGGTCAAGCTTGCAGGAATCCTCGTCACGTGCGTCTATTTAAACGCACTCGCCCAGGCCAGGCTCCCGATCTATGATGGGAGCGGGGGCTTGCGGAAAAACCTCGGATCTAGAGTCCCGCATAAGCTACTATAATACTGAGACCTTACTCTGGGGTAGCTGTCCTTGCACTCACCGCGCCTCTGACGCTCTGGACCTATTGGGCTTCTCGCAGAGGCTCCATCGCCCGTGCTGCTCAAGTGGCCTCGTGCGTTATTATCTGCGACAGAGCCAGGTGCGTACTTTAAGTCACGTACCTGTTTCTCGCGCGTTCCAAGGTTGAATCGAACAGTCTTGAGAAGGGTTGGGACACAGAAGGGTCGCGTCAATCGTACGGGAAAATGTTGGTGGAGGAGTCGGACAAACTGGCCTTCAAAGATTGGATCATTCCAAAGCTCGAGAAAATGTGAGTAAATCCTGCAGGAGTGAAAAGTCACATGCTGACGAGCCAAGTTCCGATGCAGATGCTGGAGTCCTCGCTGATTATGTGATCGCATTGATCGCAGCGGAGGAAACGGAGGACGCAGTACGAAACAACTGTTTAGACGCTCTCTCCGACTTTCTTCAAGATCGTGAGTCTACATCTCTCGCATTGAAGTTCTCGAGTTGACGCCCTAGATACGGCGCCATTCATTGATGAAGTGCTCGCTGCGGTAAGGACCAAGTCTTTCAGATCCAAGAGTACCCCAAATGGATCCTCCAAACCAACTGCTCCAGCCCAATCCAAGCTTTCCGCCGATGCCCCGCCGTTCAACCGGCCGACGGGACCAGCGAACGCTCAACGGCAGAACACCCGCCCGTCGCGCCCTTTGGCCAGTCCACAGGACCAGCGAGGGGAGGTTCCACGGAAGAGGAAACGCTACGAACGGGATACAAGTCAGCCGGCAGATGGGAGTGATGCGCATTACCAGCGAGAGAGTAATGGCCAGCGCCCACTGAAAGAGGTGGCTCGACGTGGGGGGAGGAACAGTCGAGGTGCGCTTGGAAATGTGAATCTTGGCCAGGCGCCGCCTGCTCTGCCTTCTGGAGCTCCAATAGCTCCTGCGACCAACTTTCCCGCCCTTCCCCCGCTACCCCCCGGGTTTTCAACCATGAACTATACGGATCCCATGGCGTTGATGGCAATGATGGGTATGGCCGTACCTGGTATACCTGGATTCCCCTTCGTTGCGGATCCTCGATCCATGGGACGAAGCCAGGCTAAAGGTGGGAAGAGGCGCTGCGAGGATTACGATACTAAAGGGTTCTGTGCTCTTGGGAGTGCGTGTCCCTACGAGCACGGAGGAGAGATAGTCCTCCCCAGGCCAAACGAAGGTATATGCTGTCCGATGCTACTCCTCTCCGGGGTCTTCCAGCCAAGCTTGGGCACCCCCTCGCGGAGAGGCCCAATCTCGTTGAAGCTCATGTCTAACATTGTGGCAGAGTATGACCCGAACCAGGCCCTCCTCGGTATGGAGGCACTCGGGAGCATTGGTGAAAGGGAGCGCGGCCATGCTTCTGGCTCGGCCAGGGGATCCAGGTCACGGGCACCCTTTTCTCAACTTGGCCCCAACTATGATCGCTCAAATAGCACAATCGTTGTCGAGCAGATACCCGAGGAGAATTTCAGCGAAGATGCCGTGCGTGGGTTTTTCTCGCAGTTTGGAGAAATCGTCCACGTCGACATGCAGCCTTACAAGCGACTAGCAGTTGTCAAGTACAGCGATTACTTTGCTGCTAGACGCGCATATGACAGCCCCAAGGTGATCTTTGACAACAGATTTGTCAAGGTGTACTGGTACAAGACAGCGTCGCTCGCAAAGCCGCCGCCTGACGCGGGTAATGGTATTCCCGGAGAGTCTACAGCTCCGGATGCCTCGGAGCTCCGTAACGACGGCCAAGAGGAGGTGGATCGCGTAGAGGTGGAAAGACGGCAGGCCGAGGCTCAGAAGGCGTTTGAGGAGAGGCGCAGAAAGTCACAAGAAGCCGCGGCGCGCATGGAAGAAGTGGAGAGGAAGCTGAAGGAGAATGAAGAGCAAACGAGGTTACTGAAGATTGAGCTGGCGAAGCGGGCAGCAAAGCAGAAGGATGCTACCGCTCTCGACGAAGCTACGCTCATTGATCAGCTCTCCTCCCTCCAAGCGGAAGCGCAAGGTCTGAATGCCGACTATGACACGGTCTCGGCTAGAGGGCGGGGACGCGGGACGGGTTTCCGGGGCAGAGGCTATCCGCATTCGCGAGGACGCGGGGTTGCATATTTCCGCGGAAGCTACCGTGGTCGCGGTTATGGTGCTTCGCCCTTTGGTGGCGGTCGAAGTGGTGTGAAGCGCCTCGACAACCGGCCGAGGAGGGTCGCGATTGTTGGAGTAGAGGCCGGCTCACGACAAGATGAAGTCCTTCGCGAACATCTTCTGGTGAGTGTCTGGTGCTGGATATGCTCGCATCGCGAGTGGTGACTGACATGGATGTAGAATAATTACGAGTATGAGAGCATCGAACCGCACCCCGAACGCCCCGATACACAGGTTGTCAGTTTCAAGGAGCGCTACATGGCGGAAATGGTACGTCTACGAAGCGCGTCTCCAGCAGATGGATGTACTGACGTGGTTAGTTCATCGAGCACGCAGTCGAGATTCCTGATATCGGCAAGATGGAGCTGGCATGGGTAGCCAATGCTGCTACGACGGCTGCTTCTGGAGCATTGGCGGCGCCGGCACCCCCCGGGTCGGATGGGGACATCAAGATGGAGGAAGGCAAGGCGGACGAGCAAGCCTCGGGCGCGGAGCAAGGAACTGGCGAGGATGGGGTTGAGAATACGGGGGGAGGGGAGGCCGATTACGACGTGGCAGACGATGAGGACCGCTGGATGGCGGCATGAGGATGCTTTTGGGGTGTGTGGGTGAGCATTGATTTCAAGAAGACATGTGGTCATTTCCCGCAACTGCACAAGATGATGGGTAGAGAATCTTCACCCTCCGGTCCCGTCTTGTAAGTACGGTAATGTAGTCCTTCTGTAACATATCTAGGTAGTCGACATGTGACCGTACGGTAAGGCTGGGCAGACATGTGCAGACGGGAACGGGTACCTATATAGTACTCAGGAGTACACGGCACTGGGTAGATTCTGTCACGTCCTTATAATTACAAATATGATATGCAGGTACCGACCCAGGGGACCAGTCAGGGCTGGCGCGGTTAATGTGGCTTGGCCGCGCTAGACCACAACCGCGACAAGCCCGAAATATTTGGCCTTAGGTCAACAAAAGGGTCTCTCATCGTTCCTCCGATCCATCCGAACGTCTCCTCAGCCCGCCAAACGACTCTGAGCTTCCCCTCTCTTCCGGCTCTGTTGCGCATTCTTGTCGTCTCCTCCGCAATCATGGCCGTCAATGTCAATGCCAGCTTCGTCTCGCCCACGGCCGATGCCAAGGTTGCCCACCACATGGTGCAATTGGATCCCAGCGGCCTCCTGGCCACCCTCCTGAACGGCCTCAGCACCTCCACTGTCCTGCTGACCCTTCTCTTGATGTGCGTGGCCTACGATCAGTGTAAGTCAAAGCCGCAATCGCTGGGGAGACACCAAACATGTCAGACTCACCCGTGTGCGCAGTCAAGTACATCTGGAATAAGGGATCCATCGTGGGCCCTGCCTGGAAAACCCCCTTCATCGGTCCCTTTCTCGACTCTGTAAACCCGAAATTCTCAAAGTACCACGAGAAATGGCTTTCGGGTCCACTGAGCTGCGTCTCCGTCTTCCACAAGTACGATGGCTCCACGCCGGCTCCCCTGGCGCGCCTCCCCCACAACCCCCGCGTGCTGACCTCCTCCCCAGGTTCGTTGTCATTGCTTCTACCCGCGATATGGCTCGGAAGGTTTTCAACTCGCCCACCTTTGTGAAACCATGTGTTGTGGATGCCGCCTATAAGCTGCTTCGCCCGCAGAACTGGGTTTTCCTTGATGGAAAGCCCCATGTCGACTATCGCAAGGGTCTGAATGGTCTCTTCACCCGTCAGGCCATTGGCCAGTATCTGCCCGGGCTCGAGGAGGTCTATAACGACTACTTCAAGCGTTTCGTGCACAAGTCCCAGGTGGAAATGGGCGGCAAGGCCATGCCTTTCATGCCCGAGTTCCGCGAAATGTTGACCGCCATCAGCTGCCGTACCTTTGTCGGCCACTACATGTCCGACGAGACCATCAAGAAGATCGCCGACGATTACTATCTCATCACTGCTGCGCTGGAGCTCGTCAATTTCCCCATTATCCTCCCCTTCACAAAGAGTTGGTACGGGAAGAAGGCTGCCGATATGGTTTTGGCTGAATTCGCAAAGTGTGCGGCAAAGAGCAAAGTTCGAATGGCCGCCGGAGGAAACAAAGAGTGCATCCTGGACTTCTGGGTTGCGCAGATGCAGGAGTCCGAAGCCTACCGCCAAAAGGTCGCGTCTGGCGTCCAGGTCGACGACGCCGAGAAACCCACCATGCTCATCCGCGACTTTAGCGACTTTGAGATCTCCATGACTCTGTTCACCTTTCTGTTCGCCAGTCAGGACGCTACTTCTTCGGCTGCCACTTGGTTGTTCCAGATCATGGCAGACAGACCCGAGTACCTGGACAAGGTCCGCGAGGAGAACCTCGCCATCCGGAACGGCGATCGGCATGCGCCCATCACCCTCGACCAGATTGAGAGCATGCCTTGGACGCGCGCGGTGGTCAAAGAGGTTCTCCGGTACCGCCCTCCCGTGATCATGGTGCCGTATATCGCTAAGAAAGATTTCCCCATCACCGACACTTATACCGTTCCCAAGGGCGCCATGGTTGTTCCCACCACGTATCTTGCGCTCCATGACAAGGAAGCTTATCCCGATCCCGACTCATATGTCCCTGAACGCTGGATCACGGGCGATGCCGACAAGCAGACCAAGAATTGGCTCGTGTTCGGTGTGGGTCCGCACGTCTGCCTTGGCCAGGTATACGCGCAGGCGAACCTTATGCTCATGATCGGCAAGGCCAGCATGTTGCTCGACTGGAAGCATGAGGTTACTCCCTTGAGCGAAGAGATCAAGGTGTTTGCCACGATTTTCCCCCAGGTAAGAGATCTCCTTCGCTCTTCTCCCTTGAATTGACTGACGATGAGGCAGGACGATTGCCTGCTGACCTTCTCCAACCGGCCAGCCTAAGCTGTCTCGTTGCCCATTCGCTGTTTGATATACATTCCAGAGGCACTCCGACCCTCGGGTACAGAATTTAGATTTACAAGCCTTGCATTTTCGGTTCTTATTGGGAGCCGTGGCCTCCATGCCCTCGCCTCCATTCCAGCTTCTTTGACATTATGATTGAGCATAAGTTGCTAATGGCGTTCGTTGGCGGACAAGGGGCGAAAGGATCATGAGCATCGGAAATAATAGTGTTTAATTGTATATAAGGCTGGCAGGGGATCTGGATATGGCAACGTCGAGGACAAGTTTACTTGTCGTAATGGTAGCTGAAATGTAGCTCTCTCATAAGGAACCATGCCTCTGATTTGCCGGGAGCCACATAGCCGTCTTAATGTTATATGGTCTGGTGCCCACGAGTGACGAGATAAATAGTGCATGGGTGTCTCAGAAGCTATGACCCACTTCGAGATTTCTATGGATGTTCTGACGTCCACTCATGTCAACACCAACCCCAACCATAAATACTAGCCCACGACGCCGTACCTTCACACGACATTGCCGAACCTCATTCACTGAAAGATCACTGGCTACCCATCTGTAGCCACTCCGACCCCCTCGCCATGGCGCCCGCCGCGTCGTCCGACGAGCGAGTCGGGCCTCCAGCTTCCTTCATCGAGGTCGCCAAGCCCTATCTCCTGCAGTCAGCCATTGAACGCCGTCTCAGTGATCTCAACATGTCGGACGCCAGAGAGGACGCCGTGCGGCTTCAAGGCGTCGCCTGGATTGACAGCGTTCGCCGCAGCCTCCAGCTTCCCGTGCGAACCTTCAACACGGCCGTCGTTTACTTCCACAAGTTCCGCTCGCTCCATGCCGACAACGAGTACAATTGGGCCGATGCCAGCGCCGCCGCTCTCTTCACTGCATGCAAGATTGAAGACACGCTCAAGAAGTCGAGGGATATTCTGTGTGCCAGTTGGAACCTGAAGCTGCCCGTGGGCGAGCATCTTGCGCCCGACGATCCGCGCTTTGAGAACCCCTCGAAGCTCATCATCGGTCTGGAGCGGCTGATGCTGGAAAGTGCAGGTTTTGATTTCCGGAATCGACATCCCCAGAAGTTGTTGGTGAAGCTGGCGAGGACCATGGGGTTTGGCGTGGAAAGAGAGGCGAGGACCGCTTGGAATCTATGCTTGGATCTGTACAGGACGTTTGCGCCGCTCAAGCAGACGGCAGCAACCATGGCGATTGCGTGTATTGAGTTGGCGGCCAGGTTACATGATTCGAAGCCGGAAGAGCTTGTGGACAGGGGCCCAATGTCCTATGACAAGTGGAAAACCAGTCGGGCTGAAGTAATGGGTTCGTTGCATGATATATTTCTATCCAGTCACCACGTGCTGAATTCACTGCAGAGACGCTTCTGGACCTGCTCGACCTTTACACCCATCACCGTACCGCTACTGCCGTGGGACCCTTCTACCCCCTCGAGACCTTTATTGACATCCGCATCCGTTTAAACCAGGAAGCCTCGGCGGCGAACATCCCACGCTTCGCCGCCTACATTGCGGAAGCAAGCTGGCCACGCTCCACCAACGGCTCTGCCTCCAAGCTGCGCAACGGAATCGACACGGCCAGTCCTTTGACGCCCGTCACCCCAGGGACGACCTCGCCGTCGGCCATGGCAACCCGAGGCCACGGCGGCACAGTACGCTTCATGCTTGACGCGGCGCGGGCTCGACACGAACGCGCCGAATACGACAAGTATCATGAAGCAGAGGAAGAGGAGTACGAAGTGGAGATTGCTGTTGAGCCAGAGGTCAGCTCGCGTGGGCGCTGATTCTGCAGAACCGACCTGCAGAAGCCCAATGCTTCAAGAAAGACCTTGGTCTTGTTCAGAGCGACCCAATGATTACTTGGTTGTCACATGGGTGCTAATGAGACGTGTCCAAATAGGTCAACAACGCACCCTCACTCGATAGTGGAATTACGGCACACAGACCCGAGAGTCGGCCGTCATCCTCTTCTCGTTCTAGCTCAAAACCGTCTGGTGCGGATCGAGCGGAGTATCAGGCACAAGGCGACGCTTCACCCATGGTTGGTCGAGAGAAAGCCTGCGGCTCGTCGGACGGTGACCGTTCCATGAGCATTTCCACTGGTGGAGAGGGGCAGTCATGGGCCTCCTCATGACGAAGGTTCGAGAGGCAGCTACATAGATGGAGAAAGGGAGGAGTCTTCGGCTGGACGGAAGAGGATTTACCAACTGGAAAACCATGGAGGAGGAGTGGGAAGGATGAGAAGAGAGCAACTGAGAGTTGACTAGGGAACAGGGGCAAGATTAGGGCAGCATTGCTGCCGTAGGGGCTGGATGATGGACCTCCAAAAACGTTTATACCATACACAAGGCATCATTATCGGTGAGGTAATACTCGTTGTGGAGGAACTGGAACTTCCACGAGGCGACGCTGGCTGTTTTCATAACGATGACAAAATAAACGCACCATCTTTATACAGATTTGTTCCGCCTATGCTTCAGGTGTACCGTTCTCACTACAAGAGTCGCCCGGTTGGTTTCTCGTACCCGAGACACGTTGTCCGTGAGTGAACCAGCACATGGTGAGGAGCTAACAGGTACAGGTATCATGCCCCCTCGATCCTTGGAGCCCACCATACCCATGGTTGCGTACATTTAACGGATTGGCTTAGGGAATTTATAGTTCTTCTTATCGTTCCATCAAGGGTTTCGATGGTTGAAATTGAGGGGTCCGGGTTGGGCGCTCGCCTTCTTCACCCCTTAGAATGGTGCATTTTCAAACCGTTGAAAAGCATTACTCTGCAATAGGAAGAGAAGATCAAAGTCATGACTGTTCATTGCCAGAATAAGAAACCGTTACATTATATATACACACGGTATGAAACCGAATTCTCTCGCAGAACTCACAGAACGAGGCATGCACAGCCAGCACAACATGAATGCAAACAGTGACACATTTGCCATCCGCTGTACCGAGCTCAGAAAATAGGGAGGGGGGAACTGCGTAGTCCATGATAGGGAGAAATCCATTTGGACAGACCAACGGACCCGTCCGCAAATCCTGGTGAAGAGAAATCCGACGAGACTCTGCGTCAGGGTTGCACAATGTTTACTTCTTCGCCGGGTACTTCTTGAAAAAGTATCTACGGACATCTGTTAGCCTCATTATGGATCTTCGCGAAAAGCCGGACCAAACTCACTGGCTGACATAGTAGTCCCCCAGGGCAAACAGACCCACAACACCTGCCCACGTCCCTACTAGCTTCCACGTCAACTTATTGGCAGCATACTTCCTGTACGCGCCAATGCCGAGGAGGGTTCCCAGAATGCCCAACGTCAGAGCATTGCCCAATATAACGGGATTCTTCGCATTCTGCTTCGCTATGTCGCTGCCACGCTTGGCCTTCTCCTTGGCCTTGTCCTTGGCCTCCTTCTCCTTCGCGGCCTGTTGCCTGGCGCGCTCCTCGAGCTCGATGCGTTCGGCCTGCGTGTCCGTCTTTATCGACTGGGACTCGAAGTCTGACGGGACAGAGGAGACGTGGGGGGAGTCGACGTCGACGAGGGAGTGGACACTTTCGTCGGAGCGCTCGACTTCGGGCATGGCCGGAGCACGGCTGAGTGAATCCAGTCAGTATGATTCGAAGTGTGGAGGGATATGGAGGTGAGTGGCAAGCCCAATGGTTCGCGTGAGTTAGAGGTGCTGACAGCGAACAAAGGGACTTGCTAGGTAGAGGAGAAGAACGTACGCCTGCGCTCTGGTTAGCAGCCGTGATGCACAGTAACAGCTATGTGGAGTACTCACTTCTTCGGCACTCTGGTGAGGGCCCTTCTTCGCTACATCTGCGTAAGACATGGTGATTTGCTGTTATATGGACAGGTGCTAGCTAGACAAGCTTGTATAGAGTATGTATGTCGAATAGCGACCGAGACGTAGATGGACGGAGTCGTTGTATGGAGATGAGAGACGAGTGAAGATGGAGTGAGGCGATACCAGAAGAATGGTGGCTGGCACGCGGGATGTTATACTCGTCAAGGGACGGCTTGTGACAGGACGGTGGCAGGGTTTTGACTGCTCGGGAGAACCAAGGCGGGCGACCAGGCCCATCTGATGCAAGGCCACGAGCTTGACGTGATGGTCGGAAACGGACTAGCGCACTACGTCATGCCCAGCGGCAGGAAGTGCTGCCGAGAAGACAAAGCATGGGTGGACACAGCGGCCTGGAATGACTACCTAGGTACCTACCTACTACTTAGTACACAGTACTGTACCTAGGCTAGACTAGGTATCTGGGAGAGGGTGATGGTGTTTAGTACTTTTTTTGTTTTTCTTGATTTACTGTGTGTGTCTGTGGACACAGTAAGCAACATGCTATGTAGGGTGCGTTTCTGGACATGGCAGAGATGTCAACGCCGGAAATGCTATGCCGTCTTCGTACAGTACGCGCCTCCAAAATGCCATCCATACAATACAATGCTAATCGTACATTGACTCTTTTGCCATTGGTTTTTCTCACTTCGTTGCCTTCTTTTCCTTCTTCTGCATCTCGACATTCGCGTCCCTCTCGTCATGCCAGGCCTTGGGAATCACCTCGTTGCTCTCGCTCACTGCCTTCTGCTCCTTCTTTGCCTCTGCTGGCGGAGGACTGACTGGCTCAGTGGCGCTCTCGGAACGAGGCTCCTGCGGATTCTTTGTGGCCGGTCCAGTGTAGTGCTTATCCGAGTCGCCATAGTCTTGCTTGACCTGCTCAGTCGCTGCCAGGGCTCTCTGCTCCCTAGACTCGCTGTCGCCGGTCGATGATACCGAGGCCAGTTCGGGACTAGGGTTTTCCGAGTCAGGTGCAGGGAGCTGCGCTTCGTCCGCAGTCACGTCGTCATTCTCGTCCGTGTCCAGCTCTGAGCCGTAGATTTCGGGGTACTGTCTGAAGCAGTTCTGCATGTCCCTACCAGGACGTCAGCAAAGCCAGGTTGCCAAGATGGCTGCTGGAAGTCGCAATGACTTACTTGAACTTCTCCACGCAGTCCATGCCCTTGGGCTCCTCTGTTGAGTATACGAAGCAGCTGAACGCAGCCTTGAATTCCTCGCCGCAAGGTCCATGAGCCATGCCCCCTAGACAAGGGCAATCCCAATTGATCTCTCCAGTCTCCGGATTGAACGCGCCTTGCTGTTCGGCTTCCTCCTCTAGTTCCTCGACGCTGCCTGATGCAGCCGTCTCTTCGTGCGTTTGAGTTGCCTTCTCTTTCTCGGCAGCAGCAGCAGCCGCTGCTTCAGCGGCCTCCGCCTTCCGCCTCCTTCGCTCCTCCGCGATGGCATCAATGGTTGGGAGTATTTCAGTTTCGTTGTCCGTCTCGGGAATGACCGGGATGACTACGCGATGGTGTTAGCCAGACCTGCAACAAGAAAGCGTTTGTTCTCCCACCTCTGGGTTCTTCGGCAAACAAATCGGTGCTGTTGTACGAGTATATCAGGGCGCCTGCAATGCCCAAGCGTGCCGCCAGGCTTTTCCAACTCCTCGACTTTTCGGCGGGCGGAGCTGTGCTAAGAAGTCGTCGCGACGGTGCCAAAGTGCGCGGGAAAGCGCGCACCGCCGATTGCCGCGCAACCAAGCGCGATGCAGGCCGGAACATGTTGCTGGCGAAGCACACGAAGGAAACGAACTGCACAGTGCGTGTGTGGAAAGAATGTGGTGGTTGCGTCAGTCCGTTGATCGAAAGATGAGAAGCGCAGGATTTCTAAGCGGAAAGCCGAACCGAGCGGCGCGCCAGTGCCTGGGTTTCGTTCCTGGCGATCTGATCTGCCGGAGGCTTGTCCATCTATAGATGACCACGAAAACAACAAACCCATGTGCTCAAGCGGTTGGAAAGCTCAGAAAAGTCAGAATTCTGGATTCTTTAGAAACTAATATACACCAAACCTTCCTTTGGCGTGCCCAAATAAACTACCTGGATTCCCCAAAACCAATACGAAGAGACGCCGCCCACCATTGTAGGTATTCCCCCCTTGGTTGCCACGCAAACCGAACCCGGGATGCAAGACGGGCATCATAATGAGGTTCGGGGCCTCCTAGATCTCTACGCGATTGAAGCCCTCATTTCCTTCTCCGATTGGTTGTGCAGTCCCATCCACGCTGGCACGCTTCACCCCGATATTGTCCTCACTCTTGCCCACTCCAAACGTCCTTATGGCCTCCGTCAGCGCATTGATGGCATCTTCCGGACTCATAGATCCAGGCAGGCCGGCGCCTCCAAGGCTAGCACCGATCTTCTTGGTGGCCTCTTCAAAGCCTCGGACACGCCTTTGGAACGTCAGTCTATCCAGGAAGAGCTGCTGGCGACGTCGCTGAAGTTCACGGCGCTCTGCGGCGAGCAGCTTCTCGAAATCATCAAAGTGTGCCAACTTCAGCTGGAGCTTTTGAAGCTGGAGGTTTACGGCCCCAGACACGAGGCGGGAGATGTGACGCTCTTCATGAGAAGCCAGAGCTGAAGCACGCGCAGCGGACAGCGCGAAAGGCAGCGTTACGAGAGGGTTCGCCCCGGTCGAGCTCTGCGCGGCGGCGCTGTCTCCCGTAGACGCAGTCTGTTGGATGGTGTCTACCTCCATGGCGTCTTCATTCTTGACATCTGATGCTGCTGCTGAGGCAGGTGCCTGTTCCTTCTCCTTGCCTTTCTCGGAGCCTGCTGCCGGTACTTTCTCGAGCTTGTCTTTTAACATGCGCCTCATTTCTGTCACGCTCCTTCCTGACGCGACAGCAGCTTCGGTCACGTTTGCAGGAGCCAACCCAGCCAGGAAGCTCACGACGCTGAGGACAGGGTTATCCGCATGGTGAATCGGTATACGCCCTTGGCTCAGAAGACCGAGGTCCCGGACAAACCGTTGCGATTGGGACATAGGTTCTTGTTGAGGGATCTCCGGTTCCTCGTATTTGTCCTCGATCTCCAATTGAAGGAATTTCATGACACATTGCTCACGGGTCTTGGTCTGGACATGGTCGGCCACGCTGTTCCAGTCGTCATCGAATCTCTCCAATCCTTCTAGCAGGAGAAGCACTTCCTCGTCCGACCACTTATCCTCGGGCATACCCGCACCGGGGTCATCGCTCGCAGAGATCTTGACAAAGTCTTTGGTGCTCCAGTTCGAAGGAAAATGCTTTTCGAAGAAGCACCTCGGGCAGATGTCGCGCAAGCTAGATGCATTGCCCTTCGGTTGAGCAGATTGGTCAATCGTCTTCTCATACCGGTAGTAGACGCTGGTACAGTCAACGCCACAGGTGTTGCAGTGAACCGCCTTGGCCGGTTCCTTCTGAGCCGCCTCGAGGTCCTTCACGGCAGCACCCGTTGCGCCATTGGAAGCACCTTCGCCGTTAGCCGCCTTGTCCTTGGGCTCAGAGACGGCCTCCTTGCCGTTGGGTTCGTAGATGTGTCGATGAAGTAACGTCTTCGTCTCGGTCTTGGGCTGCTGGCTTGCAGCTCGCTCGGTGCCAGGATGTGGCTTCCCTTGAGACTTGACCACCTCGGGAGCTGGTTGAAATGCCTGGATTCCCCTTGGGGTGTCCACAGTAACCCTGAAGTGGCTTGTGTTTGGGGGGCCAATGTTTGATGGCCTCTCTTGGGGATCAACCTGTCCATGAGTGTTAAATCAGCGGCGGTAGTAATCGTCCGGGAGAGGTCTACCTGATAATTGATCAAACCCCACTGCTCTAGAAATGCGTGTACCCTCATGATCGCACACACATCACCAGCCAGATTACGACGGCATGCCGTGACAGTGAGATATTCCTCTGGGTTTAGCCGGTACGTGTTGATCATGAAGTCGCGGTAGTCCCGATACACGGCGGGTGTCTTGCTCCGGTTCCTCCCGTTGAAGAACTCTGGAAGTGCCTTTCGTTCGCGGTAGTCAATATACCGCATATCGAACCAAGAGGCATAGCTTGGGATGACTGTTGCGTACGTTTGCGCAACGAAATGCGCTCGAGCTGATGATTCCAGGGCGGCTTTCGCCTGCGCCTCGGGGTCTGCGTTCTCGGCGGCATCGCCATCTTTCCCTTTCTTGGACTCGTCCACGCCGGTCATCTCCTCGTCATCTTGAGCATCCGCATCTTCGGCTTCGGGCCGCGGCCCTTCAGGCGCATCGAGTGGGTTGTCTGACACGGGTGCGGGAGCGACTGCGGACTGCTCTCTGGAAGACTCTTTGATGGGAGGGTCTTCGGCCATGGAGACATCTAGCGCAAGGGTTATTGATATGTACAGAGCTAAGAGATCCATCCGACTAATAATCGAGGACAGAGATAGTTATTGCGCAAAGCTGTGCGAACTAGAGGTAGCGGGTTTCAATGGGTAATGCATACCTTGATCTACGGAACCGGCGGGCTGTGTGGGAGCCGCACCTTCAGCGCCTGCAGCGGTCAAGGGAGTCTGCGCAGACGTAATAGGTGCACTCGCATCGTCGGCCATGGCCTTCGCAGTGACGGGTGATATACGCGACGGACTGGTGAGGAGCCACTCCTTGCGGCGAAGGTGAGGCGATTGTCTGGACGAACAGAATTCCAAGTCAAGAACAGGTGAATGTGGCCGCAGCGATCAGTAGAGCAACCGCGAATATGCAGCGGGTTATTGGGGATGGGATGAGATCGTAGTCGTCCAAAAGTCGTGCCTGGGGCGGTTGTCGCGTCGAACCGTCGCGGTGCGTCGCAATGCTTTGGGAATGCTTGGCGTTGAGGATCGGATCACGTGAAAAAGCTTGATTCAGCAACGAACATTTGGTGGAACCCGGCAAGGGCCGCGCAAAGGCGAGCGGACAGCCGAGGACTTCCGAGTGCTTGTTGCGTGAGAAGGTGGCTTAACACAACTTCCTCAATTCCAGCGGTGTGCCATCTCATCTTTCTGCACGCCTCTTTCCCTTGCTTCCTCCCTCCAGATCTGTTCGACCATCCCCGGACATGTTCTCCCTCGCGCCTCGGTCCGTCCTCCGCCAGGCACGGACACAGTTCCGCCTTTCGCAACCCACTGTCGTCCCTCAGTATTCGGCAATCGCGCGGCTACTCTCAACCCTGGCGGTCCTTGAGCAAAGAGATGGGAAGCTCAGTGTACAATCGCTGGCTACAGTAGCGGCAGGACAGAAGATTGGTGGTTCAGTGACTGGTTTAGTCGCTGGAAGCGGGGCGAAGGCCGTGGCAGAGGCGGCGGCGAAGGTGAAGGGTGTGGAGAAGATAATATACATTGAGAATGGCGCTTATGATCGGGTACGAGCCACTCTACAATCGAAGAGACGGGGCTGACCGGAACACAGGGTTTGCCCGAGAATTGGGCGCCGTTGCTGGTTGAGAACGTTAAGAAGGGCGGCTTCACACATCTCATTGCTGCACACGGTGCCTTTGGGAAGAGCTTGCTTCCTCGAGTTGCAGCCCTTCTCGACAGTCAACAGATTTCAGACGTGACTGGGGTTGAGAGCGAGGACAGTGAGTAGACTCTATTCGCGGGAATGATTCTGCCATGTCGCTCACATACGGGCAGCGTTTGTGCGACCCATCTATGCCGGGAACGCCATCCTTACCGTCCAATCCTTGGATCCCATCAAAATCCTCACCGTGCGAGGTACTGCGTTCCCTACCCCCGAGACGGAGGGTGGATCGGCAGCAGTGGAGGAGGGTGTTGACCCCAAGGTCGAGTCTCCTACCGAGTGGCTCTCGGAGGACCTTGCAAAATCAGACCGGCCGGATCTGGGCTCCGCAGAGAGGGTGGTATCAGGTGGCCGTGGATTGAAGTCGAAGGAGGAGTTTGACAGGCTTATCCCTCCTCTGGCAGACGCTCTTGGTGCGGCCATTGGCGCGTCCAGGGCCGCCGTCGATAGCGGATTCGCAGATAACAGCTTACAAGTTGGACAGACTGGAAAGAACGTCGCTCCTCAGCTGTACCTCTGCGCCGGTATCTCTGGCGCAATCCAGCATCTTGCCGGGATGAAGGACAGCAAGGTCATTGCTGCCATCAACAAGGATCCCGAGGCCCCCATCTTCCAAGTAGCGGATGTGGGACTAGTGGGAGATCTGTTTGAAAAGGTACCCGAGCTGACCGAGAAGTTGAAGGCGCAGTAGATGAATATCCCTTATCCCTTGTTGCTTAGTCATCTGTCCATAGAGGTAGGTAGAGTGTAAGAGCTTTGAAGCAGGAACAATGATTTCTCTTTCCCATTTGCCAGGAATCCCAGAATGCGGATGCAGCACTCTGTAGTCCAGTCGAGCGGTTCTTTTACCACTGTTGGCAGGAATTGGACGTAGAAGTAGACTGCTTCCCACAAATGCCCAGGTGGCAAACCGGCGACGCGGGGTCTTGGCCGCGTTGGGTGTGGTGGGGAGACGGACTGCTCGTATAGCTCAGATCCTCTGACGTCTCTCCCACAACATGCACGCGACGTTGGAATGTGACAAGGCCTCACTCCTTCTGCGGCCTGGTCATAAGGCATCCAACCCCTTAGCATGTCTCCAAACGCATGCATCTTCTTCCCTCTCCTCCGCTGGCGCTGACGTGTTTGTAAGAATCCTTGAATAGCTCAACTCTTATCGCCTTTGTTCGACAGCTCCGTGATACTGCCGCCACATTTGCACCCAACCTCACCCCAGACCCAACTCTCTCCAGGTGCTCCTCTCACGACCTTCTCCATATGCTAGAGGTTTCCAGATAATGCCTGCGTTCCAAGCCTCTACATGGATTCCCTTTGAACTGAAGCATGGCCTCATCTCCCTCGCCAGAAACGGAGAATCCGTCTGGTAACCTCGAGAAAGACGGTGCTTCTGGAAACAGGTGCAGCGGCTCCACTGCTGTCCCTAATTATGGTGGACCTACCGACGGCGTAATACCCCCCAGTGGTTCTAGTGCACCAGAGAGGGCAAGATGGACACTACGCAAGAAGTACCAAGAGGGCGAGGAGACGTAGGCCACGACCCAGTCACTCTACCGCATTTGTAAAAGTTTATAGGTGCTGACAAGTCCTCACAGCCACTGGTGGTTCGCTTCCACCGCAGTCCCGTAATTACTTCATCAGTGGTGATATTTCCAGCCTGCCTGACTAACGCTTTTAAAGACTACTAGCTGCCACGATCGGCCCCCTCGCCAATGTCTCCTCACTTGCGGCCCTAGTCAATCCTTGGACAGCAATCGTCTTCATCAACGGAGAGTTTGTCCCTCAATATAACGGTATCAACATTAAAGATCCCTCCTGGTAATGACCTGCCCCTCTGAACGAACGCCAGCTAGCAGGGCTAACATCACCTAGGATCTATTGGCTTAACGTAGGGAGCTTGGTTTGTGGTTTTATAGGGAACGTGTTCCTCTTGCTAAACTTTACTCAACGGGTGCGATACCTCATTGCGCTACCTATGACCATCTTCTTTTGGTACCTTGCAACCGGTTTGGTAAGTGATAGTCTATGTCGTATAACGCCGGGTCCTTCTGGCCAACCCTTTTCTAAGTCTTCTAGCTCATGGGTATCACCCTCTCCATGAACATCTATGCGCCGCCCAGCCGCCCGGATCAAATCTACACCCAGGCCTACTGGTATGCAGTTTCAGCCGCGGTCTTCTACATGTTCTGCTCCATTATCCTCATGATCAACATGTTTGGCTACTTCCGAGGCCATTACCCGAGCGAATTCAAGTTGACCGACGCCCAGCGGACCCTCATCCTGCAGACAATGGCCCTCTTTATCTGGCTGGCCGGAGGAGCAGGCGTCTTCTCCGCCATAGAGCAGGAAGCAGGCCAAACGGGTTGGCAGTTTTCAGACGCAGTAGGTCGGTTCCATTCGAAGTGTCGTTCCAGTCCACTGACTATTCGGTCAAGCTGTACTTTTGCGACGTGACAATATTGACGGTTGGCTTCGGCGACCTCTCCCCCACGACCAGCCTAGGCCGAGGTCTCATCTTTCCCTACGCCGTCGGTGGCATCATCATTCTAGCCTTGGTCATCTCCTCAATTTACAAATTTATGAGGCAGATGTCGACTGAGAATATCGTCCAGAAGAGGGTGCACTGCATGCGGGAACGTACCCTTCAACGAACGGTCAGCAGCTCCTTCGATCTCCGAGCTCGCGAACACGAAGTCCATCACTTGATACGCAACCGCAGTGTCAGGGACAGAAAGATCAGCAGGCCCTATCAATTGCGGGAATGGAGGAGGAAAATCCTCGATTCTACGCCGAACCCCTTGAGCACGGTCCGCCAACCTCCTCCCATCATCATGCGCGAGGAGAAGGATCGGTTCGATGCCATGAGACACATACAGCAACGCGCTCACAGGCTGAAGAAATGGGGCGCAGTGACGTTCTCAATCATCGCGTTCACCATTCTGTGGTGCATAGGCGCCGTGGTGTTTTGGAGATGCGAGAGAACGGTTCAGTCAATGTCTTATTTCAATGCGCTCTACTTCTGCTACATCTCCCTCCTGACCATTGGCTATGGAGACATAGCGCCGAAGTCCAACGCGGGACGTTGCTTCTTCGTCATCTGGAGTGTCATTGCAGTGCCTACCATGACAGTACTCGTGTCACATCTGGGAGACACCGTTGTAGCGAAGTTCAAGAGGTGGTCCAGTGCACTGGCCGACTTCACCGTCCTCCCAAAGCAAGGCATATGGCGCAACTTCCTCAACAAGCATCCGTGGCTTCTAGCCCGGATCCAGAGTAAGGAGGAGGCCCGTGCCTTGAAGAAGAGGGTCGAACGAGGGTTCGAGACTTTGGATCCTGAGGCAGCTGTCGGGAGTGATGGGCGGAGCTTTGAACGGGTTGATGCAGCGATCCCACCCCAAGGCGACACCCCGGGCGTGGATGGCGGGGAGAGGCCGGCGGTTCGGGTCCTGGAGGCTGAACATGATATTCAACATGTGCCTTCGCCTCAAGAGCTATCTCGCCGGTTGGCGGAGTGCATCAACGATGTGGCCGGCCATCTCTGTCTGCCGACGCCGAAGAGTTATTCGTGGGACGAATGGTTCTCGTTTAGTCAGCTGATCCGGCTGTCCTGGGAGAATGCAGACGAAGAGGAAGGCGTCTTCGTCGAATGGGACTGGATCGGCGAGGACAGCCCGTTGGTCAGTGGTCTGACTGAGAGTCAGTGGCTGCTGAACCGGCTGTGCGAGGCTTTGATAAGGGTGGCGAAGAGGAGAGAACGGGAAATGCTGCTTCCGGAGAGGCAGGCATACGCTGATGAAGGGAGAAGGCACCGATCTGACGAGAGAGCCAGTGCAAGTGGTAGTAGCGATGGGAAGAAGGAGAGAGGGAAGAAGGAGAAGGAGAAGGAGAAGGAGAAGGAGAAGGAGAAGGAGAAGGAGAAGGAGAAGGAGAAGGAGAAGGAGAAGGAGAGGATGGACTATGAAAACCAGGGGGAAGGTCGGGGTGTTGATGAAGGTAGAGCCGTGGAATCGTTGCCCTGAACGCCGCTACCACTTTCCTGCGTTTGTCTTCGGCACGTGAAAATATCTCGTGTCTGGTTATTTCTGTAACTACAACTAATTTATTTTCTGGTATATAAGTGACAATTATTTTCCTTACTTTCGCCCTGAGTACAGGATAGCGAAAAAGGTCTATCGGCTTCCAAAAGGCAAGAGTCACGCAGTATTGCACCGATTCGGCCCGGTCGACCTTTTTATTGCCATTTGGAGGGCCCTAGTTCGAGTCTTGCTGTGGCCTATAAATCTTTTCCTTTTTTTTAAAAAAAGAGGAATATATCTATGTATATATATATATATATTTAGGGCTGGTCCGTAACTTCTAGGGGCGTACGTAGCTAGGAGGGTAAAGGCACCTGAGTTCCTCGATACGATTGGAATATCCTTTTACCTGCTCAGTATTAGTATAGCAGTTGGAGGTAGGTAAGGGTATCACTCTTTAACTTGTAGCACACCCGGGACAAGAGGTGCTGAGTCGGCTAACGGGGAATTTGAAGGCGACACAAGTGGCGTAGGACATGAAGCGGCCGTAGAATGAAGCTAGTTGACACAGGCGTCATGTTTTTAGCGGAATGGTAACGTTATGGGCAACTCACATATGCCCGCTCTAGACGTGCCTAGTGACTGATCCCACGCAAAGAAGGGGTTTCGAGCGGAAGGTCAAGGCACGGTGCTGGCTCCCTCACATCCGACTGAATAACCCCCCTACATACACTGCCTCCGTGCTGCTCTTTTGCACTAGCTACGTAATAACATTCAGCTCTATAACGAGGCTCTACCTATCAGCATCATCAGGTGGTACCCAATCTAGTTGGGCTGACTAGGTAGTCTCGCCTACAGAGGATCTGCAAAGGGAGGGGAAAGAGAGGTGGTCGAGTCGGACGTGGCAACCCGCTCCAAGTAGGTCGTGAAAGTGGATTCACCAAACGAGGAACATTTCCGGAGACGATTCCAGATAAACCGGCCGGATCAGAGACCGACATTGTGTCTCATTTACGCCGAACGCACACGGGCACACGCTAGTCTATCTAGGCCAGCACATCGAGATAACCTATCCTCCCTCTCCTGCTCCTGCTCTCCGCTGCCCTCCCCACTCAAACGGGTATATGAACATCTCCCCTTCCTCCACCAGGCAACTTCACTCTTCCGTCGTCCCACGCAGATGGGATTGCAGGTCGAGCTCAGCTTCTGCAAGCGCTCGCTCCGCTCTATACGCGTACGTTCACATCCATTCGCCTCGCCTGGTCACCCGTAAAGAGGAAAACGATATCATACAACGAAAAACCGACAGAGAATCACTCTGGCATCCAAGCAAAACAAGCGCGACATGCCGTACACAAGCGGCCGTCAGAAATCGACGAACGCCAGACCCAAGCTGGCAAAAACGAGAAGGGACAGCAAGAAGGAAACATCTTTTCATCGTGAAACAACGCTATGCGCAGAAGCCAGTGGTGCAAATGGACAATCGAACGCCGTGCTAGTTCGCTCGAACGCGCATGCAGCCTGGTAGCGCAGAAAACGCTGCACATGTACAGGAAGCGCGGCGGGGTTATTACAAAGTCGCTATAAAGGAATACGAATTGTCCGGCTGGATAGGAAGAGACACAGGGTGGTGGGTATTGTTGGGTTTCACTCGGATTTTCAATCCGCACTACCATAGATATATTTGTGGTTCTCCAGAAGGTATTGGACTGCGTTCCGCTGGAGAGGGGCGTCGGTGAGTTCGCGCTGGATATCCATCGGGCGCATAATCGTTGGCGCGAAGACAACCGCGAGGTTGAGAGCCGACATCTGATAACGTATAAGTCGGGTGTACGGCGGTTGCTATTTTCCAGGGGCACTTACGAGGTTCTCTTTTGAGTGCTGGATCACACGGGACAAGTGGAATACCAGAAACTGCAGGCAATCGCGATGCGTACGAGGTATCTCGTTGATTGCACTGATCATCGCCTTGGCCTTTCGATCTGGGTCTTCGATTCCTGTTTCTGATTAGCGGGGAATCTACGCTATTTGCCGGACAGCACTCACGGCCGGCTTCCAGGAACTGGTCATAGACATCAAACGTAATCAATGGAATAGGGAGCTTGCGGAAATAGTTTTTCAGGGCTGAAGTGACCGAATGGATATCGAGATCCGGATCGGAAATGTCGTAGTCGTTGCTCTTCTCGAAACCGGACTTGACTTGGTTGACCTGCGACGCGCCACCGCTCTTGCGGTAGATGCCTTCGACATCCATACCTCGCAACTCGACCTCTTCCACACATCGGCTGACAATAGCGGGGATCATGCGCTTCTCAAACTCGCATCGAGCGGTCAGGTCGGAGCCAAAGAGAGTGGAGCTACTTTCACCGAGTAGATTGCTGGTGCTGTTGTTATGCTGCAGGTTCTTCAGGCGATCCTGTTGGCCCTTGTTGTTGATGTTGTTGTTGCTGTTGGGCTTGCCGCCAAACCAGCCGCGGGATTGGTTGCCATCCTCCTTGCTCTTGGTTGAACTAGACATGGACGCAGTCATGGACGCAAAGTCTGGCTGACTCTGCACAACAGGGCCGTAGGGTGACCCGATGGTAATACTCTTTTGACTGTATTCTTCTTCGCGCCGCTGATCCGAACCGAACGTGCTCTTGAAGCCCTTCGTCACGTTCTTGGTGATGACTTGACCGCCCTTCTTCCAGTTGAACTTGTTCGCTCTCCCTGTCTTGCTGATATTGACGACCTTGGGCTGGGCAACGGTGGCTTCGCTCTCGGCATCGTGGAGGTTAGAGTAGGATGCGTCATGAGGCAGACCCTGTATGTCTATGGAAATATCAGACTTGCCGCCTTTGTGGTGGCTGTGGTAGATGCCCAAGCCGCTGGCCCCGGACTGACCGATATCAATGGACCGCGCGCCGTTGTGGTGTTTATTATCCTTGAGCGTCTTCTGTATCGACTCGATGAGGTCCCGGTTCATGTTGGACAGCTTCGTGTTTTGGGCACTTAGCGACTCGTATTCCTGGAAACCCTTATCCTTCATTTGAATGAGGTTCGATATTTCATCGGTAAGCTCTGTCCGTCTCGAAATTAGCTCTTCGATTTGACCGCCCAGCTGATCCTTCAGCCGCTGCAGCGAGTTGGCAAAGTCCTTGAGTATGTCCGACTTGAGCGAGTTGATGTCAATGGTCTGGCCATTGTCCTTTGCGCGCTTCAGGTGGTCCGTCATGATCTCCAACTCGCGAATGAGCATTTCGCGCTGGGTATCCAAAACAGCCATGGTATTGCGCTTCTCCCTCAAGATCGTGTTGGCTTGCTTGATGTCCGCAGCATTATGCACAGTCTCCTGCAGGCCGTTCTTCTCGGCCTCGAGCTCGGCGATGCGTTGTTGGGCCCTGCGCAGCTCGTTTCGCAGGTTCACCGCCTCCTCCTTTGAATCCGGTGAGGCGACCGTGGGGCTGCTGATCTCAATCGATCCGTTTGTTGGCCACTTCTTATGCCCTTTCCCGGTCACCGAGCCACGGTCGCTGAAGCTTCGGCCGTGTTTTGACATGGCATTGGACACTCTGCGCAACACTCCGCCTTCCTTCTCGTGAGGTTCCTGACCCGACAGCAGACGAGCAAAGTCCTCGTCCATGGAAAAGTCACCCTGAGCGCTATAGCGCGGCAGCCCAGGCGTTGGAAGCACAGGCTGTGAATTGTCGCTTTGCAGGGTGCTGGCTGACTCGGACGTCTTGTGACTTTGGCCCGCTGGAGGAGGAGGGGGAGCCCGTGGAGAGGTGAAAGTATCGGCAGAAGGCGGTTGCGGGCGTCCTGCAGAGCGCTGAGGGAGAGCTGGGTGGTCGTACTGGGAATCAAGAGCGCTTCCCATGTTGTTATAGCCTCCATTGCTCTGAGACGGATGAGCGGTGGGGGTTGCGGGTGATGCAGAGGCCACTTCTTTTCTGGATGGCGCAGGGTTGTGGTTGGAATTTGCAAGCGAATCACCTCGTGCTGGGCGGTCAGTGGCGAGCGAATCCCCTCGCGCGGGTCTTTCGACGTGCTGGTTCGAGCTGTACGATGAGCCGGAGGTGACTGGAGAGTCTTCCTGAACGGACCGGGAGTCCAGCGGCAGAGGCGACGTCGTCAACGACGACTCCTGGGGGCTCATTAATCGCCCAGCTGCATCCGTGCCGGATGGGCCTTGCGACTGCGACCAAACGTCCGACTTTGAGTTCTTCCTCGCGTCTGCCTTCTTATGCTTGGGGACTTCTTGCAGCTTGAAGGCGTCTGTCGATTGCGACGAAGAAGGCGAGGCGTGCTGGCTGCGAGCGCGGTCATGGAGTGATGGGGAGTCATTGACCGACTCTTTGCGTCTTCTGCTGGGATCCATCAGGTGGTCCGAAGGCTGGCGGCCCTTCTCCTGAAAGGCGATGTGCGGACTCTTGTCCTGCCGCTCCACTGACGTGGATCGCGAATGATTCTCCTTGAGCATCTCTCGGTGGCTACCGGAGGGACGATTGAAATAGTCTCTGCCGGGCTTGCTGTCGACGCGTGGTGGGTTCGTTTCCGCCGTCACTTCGTGGTACTTGGTTGACTTGCCCAGTGGTGAAGGGCCCGGGGCAGGGTTTGGATCTAGGGCAAATGGGAGCAGGACGCCGTCATCATTTGCATCGGATGCTTCCGAGTGGTTCGACCCCTTGTATGTGCTCGCAGGGAGGGTGAGGTGGTCTGTTGGTGAGGGAGAGTAAGCATGGGATGTGGAGAGGGCACGTCATGTAGGCGGGAAAGGTACCTTTGCGGGGATCCTCCAACGAGGCAGGAGAAGCATCGCGCCTAAAGGTTGCAGGCGACGAGTCTGTTCGTTTGGGGTGGGGCGGGCGCGGAGAAGGCTCAGTGGTGGGTGGCTCGGAAAAGACATCGGAGGAGGTGTCTAGGTCGGGGGTGAAGTTGGCTTGGGGCACCGCAGCGTTGGGGGGCAAGGCTGGCAGCGACTTGTCTACCTTGGGTGCGGGAGCAGCGGCTGGAGGCTTCTTGGACTTTTTGCGTCGGCGAGCCATGAGGGACTCGTGGCAGGACATGCAAAAGATGCCCTGGGAGGTACGGGCATAGCGCAGGTTCTCAATCTTGCGTTTGCAGTTGCGGCAGCGGAAGCAGTTGGCACAGAAGGCCTGGTCGCCCGTCAGAATGGCCAAATCCTCAATCTTGTTGCCGCAGTGGTTGCAGCTGTAGGTGCAGTTGTTGCATATCAGGGAGCCGTCGCCGAGCAGGAGCAGGTTCGCGTCCGAGTCGAGAAGGGTGCCACAGGTGTTGCAGCGGAAGCAGTCGATGTGCCATCGGTTCCCAGCTGTCGTGAAGGGTCAGCGCAAGCATGTTCCAAGGTTCTCGAGCAAGCGGGGAGGAGATGGGAAGGGGCGCGAGGGCCAGAGTGTAGAGTGCAGGTGTGGGTGGGTGGAGGAGGGGGAATGCGCACCCAGCTCGAAGGCCTTGCCTTCCTCGAGGATCTGGACAACGGGCGAGGGTCAGCAAAACTTGACTCTTGTCGGGAGGTTGCTTCTGGTGCTCACCTCTCCGCATCCCTTGCACGGATAGACGACGTCGTCCTGATCCAGAGGCGACTCTGGATAGCCGCCGGGCGAGTCCATGGCTGCCAGCAGTGCACACACACACTCGTGTGGGAGGGAGCGACTGGCAAAGGGCGGAATAGGCGAAGGCCTGGGGGAAGAGAAGAGGGGGCGGCCTTGGAGGAGCGAGGGCGGGCGAGTTGAGGAGGTGGAGGTGCAGCCAAAAAGGCGATTAGCGGTGCGACATGTGGCTTGGGGAGGGCGTTCAGGAACAGTATGTAAGTAGGCCCGGCAAGGAAGGGGGGGCGCAGCAGGAGGGGCGAGGTGTAGGGAAGCTGGACAGTAGTAGTGCACAGTAGTAGTAGTGGACAAGTAGTGGACAGCCAACAGCCAGCAGCAGCAGCAGAAGAGGCGTGGGTATGGGGAGAGAGGGTGAAGGGGAGTTGGTCTTGGCTGGGGGCCGGGAAGGGTGAAGGACGCTGTGCACACCAGCCAATGAAGGGCAGCCAATCTATGGCAGCCAAACCCTGGGAGCTGGGGGCTACCGTCGATCCAGCTTTACAGTATACAAGTATACAGTATGCACCACTACTGTTGCGGGTACCTATGTATGGCAGTATAGTCTATGTTGGGGGCATCTCTCTCAGTCCAACAGAGGCCTTTCGCATTTGCAGAATCCCAACCCCGTCAGCATGTGCACGATCCGTCCATGTGCCCTGTGTAAGCAAACGGGCAGGGTGTAATGGATGGTTCCGCCAACGCACTGGTAGAGTTTATTAATGATCGTCGTGGTCCTCGAGCGACCGCAAGAAAAACGGAGGGATTCGCAGGATCTCGGATTCATACCCTAGGTACAGGAGCTCCTGTGAAACAGTCGGTTGAAAGAGTTTGCCGTCTGGCATACAGTACATCGTCCAGCCAACAACGCAGCAGACACCGGCGTCCCTTGCGGAGAATTCGTTGACTCTGAAAATAGACCGCATTTCATCGGAAAGGGGCATCCGCCCGGCAACTTATTACTGTGTACAAGTACATACCTACTAAATATGTTAACGACCCTAACCTAGAACTCGGGAATAATCAGATGGGCAAGAGATTCCTCGTCCACAACCCCCCTCGGCCGTTTCAGAGTCCGTCAACGCCCACCGCCTTCCTTCCCGGTCGTTTCATCTGCCCTTGCTTGCAACCACTTCAACCCCCGCCCTTGGGACGGTTTGATTATAAGAAAAATGTCCTTCAACACTGCAACAAATTTAAACTGCAACACACAACGCTAACCACATATTTCAATGGGTACTCTACACACAAGACTGGAATCAGAGTACTCAGGGCCCACAGAGTTGGATTCACCACTCCTTCTCCCAGTCGATTGGCTAGCCGTTGGTACGACTCCAGAGCTTCGTTTCCATGCATGCCCTTGTTGTTAGGTGGCTTGCTTTCGTTTCATCTATATCGCTGCCAGGTACGGGGGGAAACGCTTTGGCTTTACCTAGTTCGTCTTTGATATACCTATCTATGTAACAATATCCTCACATCGCCTCAGCTTTGTAGACAATAATACTTTACACCGGCCCACCTCGTGTCCAACTAGACATTAAGTATATAGATATTTTACAACTTGCACCCTGATTCGGACTTCCTCCTACCTATTTGCTACCCTCCGGCCACCACACCATCGGCCAAACACTGACCCCCGTCGCCCCCTCTTCGCCCTTCTTCTTCTTCTGCCCATCCTCCCCGCACTTGCCCTGACCCAACTTCAATGGCCCTTCCTCCCTCACTTCCTTGAACCCCAGCTTCAAATACTGCCGCCGAGCATTCGCATTGCTCGCCTCCAACCACACGGGCTTCCCCTCCCTCGCCGCCCGCTCCTGCACCTTCCTCATCAGCGCTGGACACAGGCCCCTCCCGCGATACGCCTCGTCCGTGGCGACGAGCTTGACCTCAAAGTACTCGTCCTCTTTGCCCTCGCCAGTCCCCAGCGTCTTGGCCAAGTACGCCTTCCTGACCGGCTCGCAGAGGGAGGCGTACTCGCCGTTCATGACGCCGAATTGGCGGGGGCCGATGAGGAAGATGAAGGGCAGGAGCGCCGAGCGGAAGAGCAGGTTGAAGATGGTGGACGCCGAGACGGACCACGAGGTTTTGGGGCCCGGGGTCGCGAGGACGAGAGCGGCGTGGAAGTGGGGTTTGCCGTCTTCCCCTCCTTCTTCGTTCCTGTTGGGGTCGGATGGGGAAGAGATGGAAGCTTCCCAGAATTCGAGCCCATCCATTGCGAAGAGCATACAGAGGAGGCCGAACAGCTTCGCTCTTGCGCGTGACTGCTTCTTGGGTCCCAGGTTGTTGAGCAGGTAGGCGAAGACGGGGTCCGTGGAGTAGGCCGAAGCGAAGAGCGTGGCGGCCGGTGTGGCATAGTCGGAGCCGGTTGATGAGGTGGTGATGTTGATCTTCACATTGTTTGGATTTGAAGTGGGCTGAGGATTCGCATTCTTCTGAGTTTCTGGTGCTGGTGCAGATGTCGATGGCTGCTCGGTGGTCAAGGGTGCCAGAGGCGCAGGTGTTGTTTCCATGGTTCCTTCAACGACTGACACGTTAAATGTGGAGGCGACTCCTCTCTTTTCCGGGGACGATAGCTCTTGTTCTGACCCTGCGTCTATATAGATGCGGGCTGGGTTTAGCGTGGACGTCCTGGGCTCTACGGTTTTATCGGGAATAAGTTCCTCAAAGAAGGTACACAAGGAAAACGCAAATACAACAGTTCTAGGTACCGCTGGAAATCAATCGCTCTCCTGGAAAGGGTTGTAGGGAAGAGAAGGTCCACCGACTCGCTGGGTAAGTAAGCGTCGGCTCTTATTTTTATTTCTACTGAAGCATGGCGAACTTGTCGAACAAGGGTTCGCCCCCTTTGGCCCCAGCTTACCCTAACAATCACACGTGAGCATAAAAGTGGTTGCCCGACGCGCGTGTCGTTGGCTTTTTTGGGGTGCCCAGCAGGTACCTACGATATACCGGAACGCCGCGGAGGCCGCGGGTCCGAAGGCGTGAATGCTGAAGCTGAGCTGCACCTGACAGGCTGGAACCTGGATGCAGGGCGATTTTGGCTTCTCACCTTGTTACCTGGGCTGATGCTGTTTCGGATCAAAGTCTCCTGCGAGAAAGCATGGTTCTCTTCTCGACGATTTCTTTTTAATTGTTGGTGTATACCTAACCACCCTGGGGCAGGAACCCGTGGGCCTATGTACACTGCACAGAATCTGTCGTATGCGATAATGAAGGATTCCTGGCAGGGGTCAGGTGTATTCTTGGCACCTCACCAAAATCGTATGGGAGTTTGGAATGCGTCAACCACCACTTCGAATCGCCTGTTATCTCCACCATCACTTGAAGTTATCGCGTCAAATTTGAAGCCGTAAGTTTGTATGGCAGGATGCCTATATAGACTAACTTTTGGTGTTGCAGATAGCTCCCCGCGTACGTAAACCCTCAGCCAAAGCCTCCGTTGCCACGTCCAAAGCTTCCACCGCGTTAAAAGCTTCCTCTCGCATCACAAAGACTACAAAAGCAAAGCCAAAAGCCTCTTCAAAAGCCTCGAAGAAGGTGCCCACCAAGGAGATTGCCTCTATGCGTTCTGGCCCTACGTGTTCTGGTAGGGTACAATGGGCGGATGAGCAAGCTCAGCCAGCTCCACTTGAACAGTCGCAGTCGTATGCCAACACTGAGATAGAAGAACATGCCGAAGAAAATGAGGCTAGAGAAACTAGTGATGGGGCAACTCCTGGCGTAGTTTCTGGTGTAGCAGGTGCTGATCTGCTAGATCTAAACGCTCCTCCTCGTATATCTCTTTCACCGTCACCTATCCGCCACTTCTTCAGCTCATCTCCACCACCTCCCGAACCAAGATACGATCTGGAAATACAATACACGCTGCGTGTAAACAAGAGGAAGGAGGTAGAGGATAGTGGAACAATCCCTCGGCGTGACTTTTCTATGTCTATAGTCGAAGACAAAGTAGAGGCCTTGATAGTCTCAGAAGCTTGCTCCATACAAGGCAGGCCATATGACTGGGTAGCCCGGCAGGTTTCGTACAAGGTGGAGCACCTTAAGGCAAGCTGGGTGAAGTTGAGCCTTACAGATTTCGATATATCAGAGGATTTCAGACTGGTAGAGTCGATCGACGACCATTTGAAGCGGTACAATAAGCCTGTAGCTCGTGTTGCTGTACGGCTTGAAGTCTCCATCAAAGTTGATGGGTTACAGAAGGCATTCAAAGCAGTTACGGCAAACGAACCCTCATCGGAGCCAGATAAGGATCTCTCCACACCCTATCGTACAAAGCAGCTGTTGAGAGAGGCCCGTACATTATCTCGGGTGGAGGAGATAACCGCTTCAATCGACCATCAGTCAGCAATCCACAAAATGTGGGAGTGCCGAGAGGAAACTTGTTCAAACTATAAATATTGGTGCTATTCACCACACCCGACAGAGCACTACGCAATCCATCACGTCGATATAAAGTCATGGGGAAGGTCTTGTTTAGAAGGGCAATCCTCAGTCCATGGCCCTCACCCCCGGATTGTGGAGGCACTACGAGTGCGTGGCAATCAGTTACATGTCAATCCAAATAATAAATGGAAGAAGAGAAAGCGTGGAGCCTCGTTATCTTCATCAGATAGTGGCTTACGGCTTGGTGATATATTGAAAACGCAGCAAAAGATGATGGCTGGTCAATTAATGAGCTAGATGGCGTCACAAATGGTTAACTATATGGCGCCTCCTTTGCCAGTAGCACCTCCTTTGCTAGCACCTCCTTCACAAACTCTCACCTACTGGCCTATTACTCCATCAATTGCGACCCCTCTGCTACCAAACAACCCATCTTCAAGCCCTCCGATCTCACAGGGCAAACCAGACACAAGGCAGACGGTGAAGGACTTTTTCAACTGGCTTGTTACACAGCAGCCGGAGGAGGACCGAGCTCCATATGAAGCTGCACGCAGAGTAGCTATTGATGAGTTTTGGACAATCAAAGATCTACAGAAGATGGCAAATATTGATGGAGATTTGTACAAGCTCGCAGTCCACCACTTTAAACTAAAAGATGGGATTGTACGGCATTTGAGAGATGAGGTGAAGCGTTTCAGAGAAATATATAATACTGCCAATAGTCTGGTCAACTTGACAAGGGCGGAGTAGCTATCAATATATTCAATCTTCCTCTTCAAAGTTAAAGTCTCCACACCTTTCAAGCCCCCTCACCTCTGCCCTGGCACGAAGCAGTACTGCTTCTTCAATATATAGCCCTCCAGCTGCGTGTTTAAAGTGCTTTCTGGTAAATCTATCGCACCTACTTTCACTCACTGCCACTCGAAGGAAGGCTCCAAAGTCTCCACCAAAGCGATCCCTCATATAAATGTAGTTACGTTTAATCCATGCCTTCAGCACTCCAAAGGTGAGCTCGATTGGATTGTAATCAGGTGAGTAGGGAGGCAGGTATTGTATGGAGTAACCAGCACCTTCAATCAAGCTTCGTACCTCGTCGTTTACGTGAATTGACACATTGTCAAGCACAGTAACCAGTGCCTTCGGGCCATACACAACATGTAGGTTTGGTAGCAGAGTCTCTTCCAGATAGATGATAAAATCTTCGTGGCTGAAATAACCCTCCTTGATTGCCGTACAGCCAGGGATGTAACCATGTATAGAGTAGGCTGGTAGAATTGCCCAGGTATTACCACGCTTAATATCTTGGGCGTAACGAGTGATGTGCCCTGTACAAGTTAGATTATTATTTCATTAGTATTGTTACTTTTACTTACCAACAGGACCATAAGCCATATGCCTCCATCCAGTCTTCTCATTGAATATAGATTCATCCAGAAACACTATCTCCTCCGCGGCGTAACGCCTCATGGTGTCACGATAGTACTGACGAAGCTCCTCATTACGGTTGATTGAATATGGACGGAGCATACGCCTACTCCACTTCATGCGCTTTAGAAAGCGGCTTATATTTGGTTGAGTTATTCGGACGCCTCTCTCCACCCATAACCAGTACGCCATCTCGTCCTGATACAACCACCCAGTACTGATTAGGTGACGGAGGAGTGCGTCTCCATCTTCCTTTGATATAGCAGGTGGGTGGCCCAGTTTCTTGTGTAAGGGCTTACGTATGGAGCCGTAATTCTTCAAGTTGTTGGTCACATTATAGACAGCAGACTTTGAACAGCCCTCCCGATCAGCAATCCATTGCGGGTGCCAACCAAGTAACAAGAAGCGAGTTATATTGAGGCGTGTACGATCGCTTAATCCACGGATGGAGACAATGGGTCGAGGAGGAGGAGGGTGCTCGATTATATCGGGCAGTGTGGAGACCCCATATGGGCGCAGCATTGGGACCTATCGATGCATCAAAAGTGCTACTCCAAAGAGTTTCCTAATCGGGTAATTCATACAGCGAATATGGCCTCAAAACCTTGCTCAATTCTAGTGGTTTTCTATAGAGAAATGGGCGATTCGAAGTGGTGGTTGACGCGTTCCAAACTCCCATACGATTTTGGTGAGGTGCCAAGAATACACCTGACCCCTGCCAGGAATCCTTCATTATCGCATACGACAGATGCTAGGTGTACTAGCGACATTAGTAGATATTTATGCACCTAGTGCAGACAACGTGGCGGCTTGGAAACCATCCCAACTTCTATTCCCCATTCTGAATCAAACATACTGTAGCACATGGCTCAAAGGATTAAAGCAACCTTGGTTGGTACGGTACCATACAGCAGCCTTAGTGGAGCACAATGATGATTCCCTCGGATCCGAGGAGCAACAATGAACCACAAATGAGCGAATGACATATATTTGGTCATGGACGAATAGCATCTACGGCAAGAAGGAGCGACTATATGGGCACGGCAGTACGCGACTCAGGCTAGTACTCGTTCTCCGCCTTCCTCTCATCGATAACCTTGAGAGCCTCTTCAGCAGCCTTGACACCGGAAAGCGCCATAGCTCCAAAGGTAGGACCCATGCGGTTGGCACCATCCACCTCGCTCAGCTCCATGCCACCCACAATAAGGCCCTTGACGACCTCGCGGGTGCGCTTGACAATGGCATCCTCGGCGGAGCGCATATCAAGGCCGCGCATGCCACCCAGCTTCTCGAGCTGCTGCATGGAGACGAGACGCTTGACGCTGAAGGCACCAAAGGGGCCGTCGTGACCAGTGGTCGAGATGACGAGAGGCGCGTTGATGGTGTTGGGGTCCATGCAGGACTGGTCGTCGTGGTGCATCGAGACCAGCGTCCAGTTGGTGACGACGCCAGCAATGCGGACGGCGTTGGGATCAGCCTCGGTCGGAGCAGGGCGCGTGATCAGATCCTCGACTGCCGTTGCATTGAAGAGCTTGATATTGGGGAAGGAGAGTACGCGGGAGAGCAGTGTGGATGTGAAGAGGGCCTGCAAGATGTCAGTACTGCGTGGCTATCGAAGAAACGATACGCAATCATACAGCATGCTTGACAACGACGAAGTCACCCTCGTCCTCGTAAGGGACTCCGAGTTCGTTGAGGAACGCCTCGGCGGGCTTGCGCATGACCATGGCGCTGAACAACTGCCCGCCCAGCCAAGCACCACCTCCGGGGGAAACCGATGCCTCGATAATTGCAATCCGCAGGTCGGGGCGCTGCTTGCCGAGCATGTAGGCAGTGCTCAGGCCGCAGGAACCGGCACCAATGATGACAATGTCAGACTCGGCGTAGTTGTCCAGGTCGGCAAAGTAGCGGCGGGCTACACCGATGGTCAGCTCGAGCCGTCACGGCTGGCGTAGAGTACATACTCATGGCACGCGAGACCTGAGACTCGCGGATGGGAGCAAAGGTGAAGGAGTCCCATTGGTTTTGGAGCTCAGCCAGCGCCTTGGATTGGGCAGTGGGAAGAGGCTTGACGGCGAGATCCTTTTTGAAGCTCATCCCAGTGTTGACAGGAGTGACAGTTTCGAGAGTAGCGGCAGGAGGAGACATTTTGGATCAGTCAAAGACGAGGTAGAGCTTGGATATCCTGCAACTGGTTAAGAAGGTCAAAGAGAGGGGGAAGAGGGGAAGGGGCAGGCATGAGTCCTTTGCGCAAGTATGATCTTGATCAAGTTCAACCGTATAATCTCAGCTCGAAACCAGGGCGCTCGATCTCTCGCGAGATGGGAGAGAGAGCGAGGCCACAGGAGACGAACACCGGTTCATGCTCAGCATACTTAACCCTGATATACCTTGACATTGGATTAATGCCCACGCAGAGTTCATGGCTCGATGCATGGTGGGTATTACTTTTGGATTGGCGCTCTACGTCACGGTTAGCAGATCTCGGGGGATGAAGGGAAAGGCAAGATGAGTACGGATTTCTCTTCCGGTAGAGGTGGGTGGTTGCTGGACAGTGAACGGAGGGGTGGGGGAACCCTCCGTCTTAAATAATTAGAGCTTATGAGGGGTCTTTGGGAGCGGGGTAGCCATTCGCCATCCATGGATTGAGGATGCCCTAAGTCCACGCTCATACTGAATTCAGATTGGGTCGGCCCCACTTCTGGGTAGGCTGTGATGAATGATATTGCTCCAAGTTGATTGCGTGGGGGGATACTGTGAAACATAGTACATTGCTCCTCGGCAAGAGGCGATATCGGCGAGCCAAATCTACCAGGCTTCATCATGCGCTCACATCAAGGAGGTTTGGGCAACGGGTTGGATATGTATCAAGTATGGATGTGATCTCCGAGAAGACCTTCAAAGGTTGATACGGGCGTGATACAGAAAGAAAATCGACGTGCGACATTCTGCTCATGATGCTAGCAGGCGTTTCAATTCAACGTGAAAAGCAAGCGGCATGTCAAGCTGAGAGAGAAAGAACAGGATGATGGACTGATTTAAGTAGGTTAGTAATGTAGCTGGTGAAGGTGAAGGTGAGGCGTTCTTCCTGCCGACCCTTTGCTTTAAGGTACCTGCATCCATGTTTCATAGGCAACCGTGGGGAACACGCTAAACCCTTTGTGGAACCATGACACCCGAAAACGGCAAGGCGCGCCTGTGCAACACCATCCCAAGGTTGACAAACACAGGCTTCATCACAACTCCTCTTCACCCCCTCCACCCCTCTACCCCTCCACCCAATGTTCGCGTACGCTGCTGAACTGTCCCAATAACATTAACCAACATGGAGGAGCACACCGTGGCCCTCCTTGCCGCCCTCAAGAAGCCCTCAACCGCCGTGGACCAGAAACTGGCCCTCTTCACCAACCTCAAGTCCGACATCAAGCACAGTCGCGTTCCCGAGAGCTGCCAGGCCCCTATCTTCGAATGCCTCCGCCTCGCCATCACCACTACCACCTCGGCCGCTCTCGTCTCCACCGGCTTCTCAACCCTTAGCCACTTCATCAAGCGTCTCGTGCTCCAAAACCAAACCGCCGTCATCACCTCGCAGCTGCCCAAGCTCCTCCCCATCCTCCTCGAGAGACTAGGTGATGTCCGCGAAACTCACCGCAACGCCGCCTCCTCCATACTTGCCGATCTATGGCCCCTGTCCCATGCCGATGTAGAGTCTCTGATTCGCGACAATGCCATCAAGGGGAGCAATGCTCGCGCAAAGGAGGCATCCATGCAGTGGGTGGTCAAGGTCGGCTCATATTCCATTTGTGTCTGCCATAGCTCTAACTCGTGGAAAAGATGAACCACTCGGCAGGGTTGCCCTTCCGCACTTTTGTCCCCGCCCTCATCGCAAACCTGGAAGACGCTGATGCCGGCGTCCGTGAGACTGCTAAGACCGCCGTCGTCGAACTGTTCCGGTGCGCAAAACAGTACTTACCTTGCAGCGACCAGTAGCTGACATATACATTGCAGTAATGCCCCTGAGCATGCCAAAGTGAACCTCAAGAAGCAGCTCGTTCAGTTCAACGTTCGGAAAACGATCGCCTCCTACATCATCTCGCAGCTCGATACCCCCACCATGATGGTGGAAGCAGAAATGCCCCCCCACCCGCCACGTCCCATCTCTGTGGCACGAGCGCACTCTTTGCAACCGGAGAGTGGCATCGCGGATTCTATGCTTTCGGAAGTGGGCCCCGCCGCTGAAGTGGTCCCCATGGACCCTATCCATGTGTTTACCCAACGGGAGCTGGATGATATCTTTCGAGACATGGCGTCCTGCTTCGAAGGGAAGGAGACGGAGCACAACTGGTCGCAGCGAGATAAGAACACGCTCAAACTGCGTCGCATCACCAAAGGCAATGCCCCCGCCGAGTTCCATGTGTCCTTTGTTGCAGGCATCAAAGGATTGCTGGATGGCATCCTCAAGGTATGCAACTCGTTGCGTACCACAATGTCTTCCAACGGTTGCCAGCTTGTCCAGGACCTGGCGAGGACACTTGGACCATCCATGGATCCCTGGAGCGAGATACTGCTGCAGAATTTTGTAAAGATGTGCGCGGCGACCAAGAATATCGCTGCTCAGAACGGCAATGCAACCGTTGATACCATCTTTTCCAGTGTTTCGTACTCCAAGCGATTGTTGGACCACCTTACCTTTGCGTCGCAGGACAAAAATGTGCAGCCCCGAATATACTCGGCCGGCTGGTTCAAGACCCTGATAAGGAAGCACAAAGGGCCCTTGGAGCACACGGGGGGCATGGAAGTGCTAGAGAAGACCCTAAAGAGAGGGCTAACCGATGCCAACCCCAAAGTCAGGGAAGCCTATCGATCCACATACTGGACTTTCGCGTTGATATGGCCTCAGAAAGCAGAAGCGTAGGTTATCCCAAACACCACGTTAAGCCGGAAGCTAACCCCAGCAGCATATTTGCAACCCTGGATAAGCGAGAGAAGACTGGATTGGAGAAAGACCCCAATAATCCCAATGCACCATTAGTATCCTCTCAATCCAGTGCGTCGTCATTTTCGAAGTCCGTGGGTCCGGGTGGCCCTGCTAGCGCTCGTAATGCCCTCAAGGAGAAAATCGCTGAACAGAGACGGGCCAAATTGGCTGCTGCTAAAGGTGTACCTGACCGCCCCAACTCGGCTCAGGCCAGCTATACCCCGCTGAAGACTCAATCATCCAAGTCCCTAGGTTCCAAAATCGTATCCAACGCGTCATCGGCATCGTCCGCGACGGCTCGACCCCCATCTGCCCTCTCAGGGTCGACAAAGGCAGTTGCAGGGTCGAACGCTGGGGGCACCGGGTCTCTGCTAAGTGGCACAGTTCGCAGACCCGTTCGTCCTCGTCCAGAGCTGACGCGACCCGCAACGGCGGACCCTTACGCTACACGTCGCCCCGCAAAGAATGTGACCTCGTCGATGACACCTGAAAGGACTCCAGCTTCGACAGTCAAGAAGTCTGTGGCGCCAAAGAGCACTGTGCGGTCTCGAGCTCAAACGCAGAGCAGTTCCAGCGTGAGTCCCATCGGTAGCAAGTCAAGGCCGGCCGATACCACTGCTCATGAGAAGACGCCAAGTGTGAGCTCTCGACATGCCAGCCCAGCCGTAAGTCCTGGCAAAGGTGAAGATTTGACCCTGGTGAAGCCCTTCGCCAGATCAAAGAGCCACCATGAACCAGGCGTCCTTCCCTTCCGGGAGCGGGTTGGGTTGGACAAGCCTACAACGGATGCGGACGCTCTAGATCTCGGGGATGATGACAACTTTACCATGGTTATCCCCAATCTTGCTCGCCCCACATCACAAGGGCCCCAGCGAAGCCCACCAAAGCCAACGGCATCTCCTGCGCGATTGTCGGTGGCTAGTCCCCGTCCAGCAGGGATGAAGAGTCCCCATCCCATCGGCGTCCTCCAGGACGTGTCTCTTCCTGCTACTCGCAGTCCACGGATGCCCTCACCAGAGCGTCCTAGCACCCGCGGCACCGACAGCGTGGAAGATGGCCGAGTCTATGACGATCCATTTGTGGGTGAGGAGACACTTACAAGCACCCAAGGCATGGAAAGACGCCCTCTTGGAGAGCTTTCTGTGAACGAGCACGCAAACGAACGAAGGCAGACCATTGGCTTCACAGAGGCAGACGCAGTGATGAGCGAGAGCACGGAAGAGCACAATCAAGGGCGGCAGAAAACGACGAGCATTGCAAGCAACACCACAACCGAGAGCAATGACGCCTCCCGATCCGAGGTTCTCAAAAATAGGCAGCTACTTGCAAGCGGCATTAATAAGATTAAGAGCCGTACTGTGGAAGCACACATGTTCCGCCGGCTGCAGGATATGGTGAAGTCCAACCAGGATATCTGGGGCACTGACGATGAAAAGTTCGGTGAACTGCTCCTGGCTTCGTTAGACTACCTCGAGGCTCCTCCCGACAGCCTAAAGGCACCCATCGCCAAAACAGCCAACCTGAAAGTCCAGGCTCTCGCGACGATCCGGGCCATGCTATCTCTCTACCGCAAGGAAACGGCCAAGTACTTCTCCCGCGTACTCTGCACCCTACTTCGCACAAAGGCGCAGTATGACAACACCTCTCACATCGCCACCGATCTCGAAGCCACTGCCGACGAGATTGTCAAGTATGGTCAGACTTCGAACTGCATCGATGCCGTTCTGTCGCTTCTGGAAGACTCGGGTCCCTCCATGCCCGGTGCATCGACCACTTCAAAGGGACCTGAGAACACCATGAATACGGCTTCGAATCGCACGGTCACAATGGGGCTTGTCACGCTTGCATCGTTGATTGCTATCTCGGCCGAGAAGAGTGTGACGCTTTCGGACGAGCAGACGTCGCGGTTGGGCAGGCTTGCCGTCAAATGCCTGGACGACGTGGATGCCGATGTCCGCAAGGCCGACGTCGAGCTGTGCCTTGCGTTGCACCGAAGGATTGGGAGCGAAAACGAGGCGTTCTGGAAGGTGGTTGCCGGTGCGAGGGAACAGCATCTCAACCTTTTGACGTACTATTTGGCGAAGCGTAAGGCCAGTGTGGCGGAGGCGTAGGAATCCCTTCTGCATTGGGTTGGCCTGTTCGAATCAGGGGCTTCTTCTGCATTGTGGCCTTGGTGACTCTGGCCTCTGGCGCTTTTGGAGTTGCTGGTTTCGGTTAGGGGTTCAGGTCGGGTTAAGGATATTTTCATGGATAGGTTGGGATGGTGGGATGGCGTTCTGGATGGGGAAAAGCAGGAATTGAGTCTTGAAATCCTCGTATGCCGGCGCTTGTGTCTTGTTCGGCCTATTTCAGCAGTTCTGTATGGTAGTAGGACATCATCTTGCTTTCGAATGGATCGACTACTGTTCTTCCTGTCTTGATTTGGCTGTTTGCTTCCTGGGGGGTGACTATAAGATGACGACGCACTGAACGGCATGGATGCTGAAAGCAATATATTTACAGGGTAGTTTCAGTTTCGATTACCAAAACTCGATGCTGCGCCTTTCTTGAATGAGGGTTATGCTCAAGAATACGGTGGCCAAGCCAAGCCATGCCCTCCTCCTATTCCATGATCATTGAGTGGGAGTGTACTCTCCACATGCCAAGATGATCGATCGTACAAGTACTACACCTTCGCCGCCTCGCCTCCATTCTTGGCCCAATCCAACCAACTCCCCGGGTACTCGCCCACCTTGTCGTAGCCAGCCCGTTTGGCAATCTGGGCCGCAGCCCTCGACCTCACACCCGCCTTGCAGAAGAACACCACCTCCTTATCCGTGCCCGGTTTCGGGAAGCCGAAGCGGTCTTCAAAGTCCTCCGGGCCTAGGAGCAGGGCGTCGGGCTGCGAGGTGATGGGGATGTTGAGGGCCGTGGGGATGGTGCCCGTGGATTGGAGTTCCGAGGGTTCGCGGACGTCGATGAGGATGCGCGACGGGGAGGGGTGCGTGGAGAGGGATTGGATCTGTGGAGGACGTTTGTTAGTCGAGGCCTGGGCTTCCTGTTAAAGAAGGAGGAAGAAGAAGAAGAAGAAGAAGAAGAAGTGATAAAATGGACCTACATCTTCAAAAGCATACAGCGTGCTAGGCTTGCCCTCGGCACTCTCCTCGACACCGGGATTCGCATACCATCTCCGCGCCGGTATCCTCGGATTCCCCCATTTCGCGCAATCGTGGCAGAGCACAGAAGCGGAAGCTCGTGTGTAGCTGCTCCTGGTGGCCTTTAACCCTGTCAACCACCTCGCCGATACTGACATCGCTGTGCACTGCGAAATTGCTCGTGCCTGAACAGACAGACATGAGCTGCGTCGCACAAGCGGACGGAGCGCTGGTTTCATTGCCATTGCGTTGGTTGCGTGAAATGTCAAAAAACAATAATGGTTTGGAAGTGTAACAAAAGTGAGCTTCGGCAACTCACAGGCAATCAGATGAGTTAGCCGACGTCATGTGGGTCCAAGCGCGACTTACACTGCCAAGACACCCACCATTGCGCAGGAGGGAGAGAGAGAAGTAATATGTCCCCCTAATGATCATGTCCTTCACGACTATCACACCTGTAGATCAGTCCTCTTTCGAGAGTATGAATGCCATCTATTGACTTCCCAACTTGTTTCTATCAAAAGTTTCGGATCAAGTGGGAACCTTTGTGACGGAACCACCCTGCCTGGTACACTCACACTCGGTTGTAGTCAAGACTCTTAAAACATCAGAAAGCGACAAATGGTATATTTCTTTTGGCGCCGGGGGAATCATCGCATGTGAACGCCCAGAACGTAGCAGAAAAAGCATCCCAGAAGAGAGCGAACAAGCAAACCCAAACAAGACTACCAAAGGCCGAGGTACAGTTATGAAGAAGCACTGCAAGTCAACAAACGTACTTTGAACGTTACACATGGGTATGATTCCTTTTGTTGTGTCGTCTGCATAGCACATAACGGACCGGAGGGGGTATTTGGCCGTGTCATAAACCGAGATATCAAGTCCCATGGAAATAGGTATCATTTAACGGGGAGGCCCAATGGGGGCCGGGTATCCAGATGCAGAATGGGAAGTGCTGGGGCGACCACTGTCGACGGAACCGCGCGGGTCAAATCTAGGGGTTGCGTCCCCAGGCAACGCAGAAGGTGATGGACCGAAAGGAAACTTGTTTTCGAACCGAGGTGGGGCCATCGGCCAACCGGCCGTGTGGTGATCCTCCTCGGTCAGGTTGATGCCGCTATCGTTCCATGGGTTGTTACGATAGCCGCTGCCCTGGGATTCGAGGCTGACAAGGGAAGCTTTGGAAGCGTTGCTGGAGGCATGCTTGAAGAGAGATCCGGAAGAGTTGAAAAGCGACCCAGGGGATTGAGTGCCGTTCTTGCGTCCATTGAAGATGGAGGTGAAGGATGACATACTGCCTGGTTTCCGGAGCCTGTCCAGAAGAGCGGGACGCTCGTCGTCGCCAAAGTGGGACCGCGTGGGCGAATCCGTGCTCTCCACAGGGGGCCCCGTGTGCTGTAGTAACTTGCTCTCAAAGAAGGGCAGGGATTCTTCGAACGAGTCGGACTTGGGCCGGGGAATCGTGCCGCGTACAGTGTTGGTGTCCAGGCCGTGCATGACCAAATGGTTGATCAGAAACTCCACCGCGTCCCTGAGGCCGCCAATGTTGTTCTTTGTATACCTGAGTTGCAAAGTCTCGATCCGCTCCTCTTTTCCATTGACAGTCTCCGTCTGGGGGTCTTTCAGATGGGCTTCAACGACATGCTGATCTCGCAGCTTGTCCAGAATGTCGCTCTTGAACTCGGGCGAGCGAATGTGCTCGCCTAGCTCCGCGGAGACAGGAAACGAAATTTCGTGAGATTCTGGGACCATGCCCTAGTGCTAGGTTAACACATCTGTCCCATGCTTCCATATATTCGCGAGCAGACTTACCAGAATCTCGTCAACCGCGAAAGGAACCTGATATTCAGGCCCTGAAATGAGAACGGTATCACTGGCCTCCTCGGTGCTGGGGAAGGTGATTTTGCAGTTGTACTTCTTCTCCAGTTCATCAATCGTGTCCAGACGGGCAAGAAGCTCCCTGTGGTACAGGCGATTGATATTGACAGTCTCACTGACAAACTCGGCATCGGCCTTCTCCACCATATCCATGATCTCCTGCTTGACCAGGTCCAGGTTCTGGGCGTTACGGGCCGGCGTGCGGCAAATGACATTGTCAACCTTGATGTCGTCATCTTCTTTGCCATAACCGCCGCGGTCCATGGCATTGGAGAACTTGACGAAGACGGAGTACTTCTTCATGATGCGCTGGATATGGGAGCCGCCGATGCCAATGATGCGCTTGTGGTACTGATCGGGAACATGGAAGGAGATGGCAGCAGGCATTTCCTGCTCCACCAGATCCAGTCCGTTTTTGGTGGCCTCGTACTGAGAGCCACGGACCACGATGTAGAAGTTGTATTCGTTGAACACGTCGAATACAATCTGGACACTGCTATGGCTCATGATTTTGTTGATCTTACCGTTCTTCTTGCCACTGACAAACTCCTTGTGCTCGTTGGCCAGCTCTATCTTTACGCTCATGGTATACTGCGACTTCTTGACGAAGGGGATATTGCTGATAATCATCATGGCGGCCTTGACGGCATCATCGGATCCGTAGATATGGAAGTTCAACTTCTCGAAGCTGACCTCGGCCCCAGAGTTGATGCATATATCCGACAGCATGGCACGAACATCAGCAGGGGTAGGGGGTCGCTGGGTGGGGTCGGGATGGGTAATCATCCAAGAAGCGCTGTAAAATTGACCAGCCTGGGAACAGTTAGTAGGGCTAGAGCGCCAGTGGCAAAGGGTGTGCATACGAGAGCCATCAGCTCGCGGATGGTCCGCTCAACATGCAGGACATCTGTGCCTTGCACCCGGACCACGCCGCGCTGCAACCCTAGAGGGGGGAACAAGATATAGGAACCGTTGTTCTCGATGATCTTGCGGACCTTGTCAAGTCGTTCCAGGATGATGGCATCTAGCTTCATCTCCGTCACCATGACGGGCTTGACGAACACCTTGGTGGACACGACAAGGTCGTTGAGCTTGGCCTTTGCCCGTAAGATGCTCTGTTCGTCCTTTCCCGTGATGAAGATGTGGTCGGGCTCCCTCCGTCGGGCACCAGGCGGCACATAGTTGAAGAGGCGAGGGAAAGGCGGCGGGAAGTAGATGGCGGTGCCTGTAGCCGATTCTATCAGCTTGATGTTCTTGCGGCCGCGCCCGCAGATGAGGGTGTGCATTGTTAGCTCGAGCTTCATGCTATCCACGTGTCGCATCAGCTGTGACGAAATTAGTCCAGTGCGCTGACGCAGGCAGGCCCACCCGCTGGTTTCGCGCTGGTCAGGTCGAGCAAACTCACGATTTGGTCGATCATGATGAGGACACGCGTCTTGGCGTGCTCCATGGTCTCCATGTCTCCATATACAGCGCATCTCAGCCGGGAGTCGAGGCCTGTGTCCAGCGTGCCGTTGAAGCTCGCCGACTCCATGTCCTTCAGCTGCTTCGGGGTCAGCAGGAACATGTCAGCTTTGGTGTACTCGGCGATCTGGTCGAGCTGCTTTATTATGGGGGCCTTGATCATGCCCGAAGCGCGGTCGATGATGAGATCGGAATCAATGTCGACGGACGAAGAGCGCTGTGGTGGAGGTCAGCAAGGCCATCATGGGGTGACGTGGGCACAGGGGGAAAAGCACCATTGCGATGGGGTTTGTAGCGAGAATCCTGCTCCTGGTCTGGTTGACGAGCTCGACCTCGCCAGAGAGGCAGACATTGGTGACCAGAGCTCGGAGGGGACCGCGCTGCAGGCCGGGCAGCGGTTTGGACTCGGCAGACACGACGGTGGCGACGATGCGTCCGTCGCTCGCTTCGGTGAGGTCTCTGCACATGAGGCGCAGGTTCTCGACATTCTGGGCGTGTACGGGCAGCTTGTGGATGGGAGTGTTGTCTGGGGTGCCTTCGGGATGGGTCCAGCGAGCCTGGGCGCCAGGGCTGGCCCAGATGATGTCTTCGACGTCCGGGCCGGCGAGGTTGGAGGAGAAGGGCACGTTGAAGGACAGGTTGACGTGGGTGCCTGGGGGGATGGCGGCGGATGGGCCGGATGGGGCGGAAGCGGTTGACGGACGCTTCATGTGGGGAGCGGCGACGGGTATCTCGTGGTTGGAGCGCGAGAAGGGGAAGCCGGCGGCGGGCTTCATGTTTTCCCATCCATGACGGGCCTGGCCGGTGAAGTTTGATATCTTGTGCATGGTAGCGCCCGGAGGGGTGGAGGCGGGCGACGTGGAGAGGAGGAGGAGGTGGTGGTGGTGGAGGAGAGCGAGAGAGGAAATGGAAAGAGAGAGCGAGAGAGCGAGAGAGGAGAGCGAGAGAGCGCTGGAGAGCAGAGCGAGACAGTGCACTCGGGGAGCCAGCGAATCAGAGGCGGCGCTTGGCAGTTTTCTTGGCGGCGGGCATCGAGGGCAAGCACGGGGCGGGTGCCAGTATTCAAGTGACCTCACCTGTTAGGTACAATATATGTATCTATACAGTCCTGCGTACAGAGTAATGTTGCGTATATGCTGCGTTTCCGTGATGCACAGGGAGGAGAAAGGCTTCAGTCTCTGGTCTCTGGCCTCTGGTCTCTCCTCTCTCCTTCTCCTCCTCCTCGTTCGCCTTCCTTGTCTCTCTTTCTGTGTTTCTGTTTCTGTTTCGTCGGCTTGGCGGGCGGTGCGCGTCCCCCTCCCCGCGCCTTGCCAAATCGGGTATGGCGGGCTTCTACCGCCCGGGCTCCACCACCACCTGCACCGGAGACTTTGCAGGTTGCATCATCTTCGCTAGTACTGCACTGCCATCACCAACAGAGACCTCTCTCCAATCTACACAGACACGGTGATGCAGCAATTGGAGGGAATTGGAGGGCATTGGAGGGAATTGGAGGCGACTATGAATTTGCATCTCCCCTTGAGAGAGCCCACATCACATCGCGGTTGGGACGGTTGCTTCTCACGCATTCCCGACTTCCCAATGCATTCCTCGGTTCCCTGTCCAGATAGTGTATACGCCAGTCATCGTGATGACACTCTTCACCCCCTCCGTGCAAAAGACATACATAGACATACATCTATCCACGTCTCGTACATCGCCCCCCTTACCCCGCACCTCTACTCCTTACTTATAGTTCATCCTTCGGTCCGAGTAGACGTGAGTGCTACCATGTAGCCTGGATTATGCTAGTGCTCCAGCCTCCCCTTGCATGATAAGAAACTCGCTAACCACCTGCCTCAAATACCCATATGCAGACAACTGCTTCGCTTGAGCCATCATGATTACACTGTACACTGTCCGTGCTATCCAACGACCTCTCCATCGCCTTGCTCCACTCAGTCGCTACCATGCTCTTATGCTAGCTCCTATTACTGACCAAGCTGTTACAGCTATCCAGATTGATAGCCTGTCATGATCTACAGGCGATGACCCAAGTCCAACGCTCCAACCTCACTCATCCACCTCCTTTCGTGCAGTGGCGTCTCAATAGCGATAAACCCCTTCCGTGGCCGCCTCGTCCACATATCGTCTGCTCTGCGGTGCTTGGCTATACGTATACCGGCCCGCCTCGTGCGGCAGCTCCGGATGCGCCACACTGATTTCTCGGTAGCGTGGCCCAGCTACAGACACAGGTCTAGGTGCCATGCTCCCATGGCGCAAAGGCACGTACTCTTCCGCTACTTCGCGTCGTACCACCTCCGGTCGCACGCTGTATGCTCTTGAAGGAACATAGTCACGCCGAGGTCCCACCTCCTCGTACTGCACAATGGGCCGCCGCTCAACTACTCCCGGCCCCGCGTAGTCCACCTCCAGGGGTCGCCGCGAGGCCTCCCGCATACCATAGGGCCGAGCCTCCATGACATCGCTATCCAGAACTTCAACGTACCTACGGGGAGGCGGGGGCGGGGGCGGGGGCATCCTCACCACGCCCTCGTCCCCATAGACATCGCGCGTGGGGCCCCGCATTGTCGGCTCCCGGGTGACGGCACGCTCATGATACGCTTCAGCTTCCATCCTCCTCAGCGGCACGACCGACTCCCGCACGTCCATCGGTGCGGCGTAGTACCGGTTGCCGTACTGGTCCACCACAATGGTTCGCGAAGGGGGTGCCATGGGTCCTGGCGAGTGCATCTGAGGCAGATACTCCCGAGCCGGGGATCGAGAGCGCTCCCGCAGAATGCGCGGTGCAACCGAAGGGTGCCTGGAAACTTCGCCGTACATAGGCTCTGGTGGACGGTCGGCAAAGGCATGAGACGCTGCGCGAACCGGACGCATCTCAACGGCAGGATACACCTCCCTAGCTCGAGGAGAGTATGGTCGACGCGCATGCTGAAGGCTGGCGACACGTCGCAGATCCTGGTCGTCGGGTTCCAGGATCCGTGGTGGCGCGTGAACGACGGTGGGTGACTGGGCCTCATCGTACGGGCGATAGGAGCGCGGCGAATGCTCCAGGTCTTGGTAATGGATTGGCTGCATCCTGCCGCCTCTTGTCGAAGACGATTCGGACTCCATCAGAGAGACTTGCAGGGCTCTTCGTTTATTCGGCTGCGAATCTGGATAGCCAGCCATGGGAGGGGATTGGGGCTCTTCCTTGATATACGGTTCCGGGGACCGCACAGCACGCTTGCTTCCCTGTTGACGTCTTCTTTCCTCTCGCACTTCGGCTCTCCTACGCTTTCGGGGATTTTGTATCGGTGCCGGATGGCCTGCAGGGCTTTGGCGCCTTGACCTAGCTATTGTCAGCAGAGAGGGGGCAAAGTTCAAGGCACCATTATGCAAGTACGACCGGGAAGAGAGGCCACTGAATCGAAGTTGGCCCACATGGAAGCCGACTGTTATTTGCCCTCCGCAACCCCGGAGGACTGTCCCAGATACAGTTTCGCTGTATCTTCAGATATAGGAGGCCGCGGAAGGGAAAGGTAGCAGAGAGGAAAAGACTAACGAAAAGACAACGAAATATCTTACCCAGTGTTGCTGGCTTCCGCTCCACGAACTCGGGGCCGCCCTTTACGGGCCGACTCACTTGGGCCAGTAGCAGCGGGTGGAGGAGAATAATCCGACTCATCTTGGTCCAGATCGACGATAGGCTCGGGCTCATAGATTTCTATGTCTTCGGCGGGCTCATACGGCTCTTCGTCAAGGTCTATTACTGTCGGCTGGGCTTGCGCAGAGCCGGCGTGGTCGGTGGCGCTTGCTGCAGTCAGTGCCTCAGTAGACGATTGCTGTGCGTGAGAAGGAAGCGTTCCATCTGCATTAGCACTGTGAGGAGATCGAATGGGAGAGTGTTCGCCATGCGACCAACTGTTAGCCTGGCTAGAGTAGTATGAATTCTCGTCGAACGAGGTGCTCCCTTCGCTGTCTACAGCAGCCGTGCTGAGGCCTGAAACAGGTGGCACCAACGCTTGAGCTTTTGTCAACACGTCGTCTACGTCGAGATATGTCTCTCGGTCTTCCGCGAACGCAGCGCGCCCTTTCTTGTCAAGCTGGTCCCTGAGCGTTCGCTCAATATGTTGCCTCTTGAGCTGGAGCTCAGCCCTGATGAGATGGTCAGACTTGGTGAGCAGAACAGGATCGATCCCTGACGAGGAGGGCTTGGGAGGTGTAGGTCGTGGGACATGCGAAGGAGAACTGTAAGTCGTGGAGGATGAAGCGTGCTGAGCCGCGGTTTCCGGGCGGGGTGGGAGGAGGTGCTGTTGTTGGGGCTGTCCACCGCGGGGTGTACGATTCAGAGAGTCTGCGAACAGTTGGGTGGAAGTAGACGGCGCGAGCTCCTCTAATACAGCGGGCGGAAGCTTGATCCGCGGATGCTTGTCAGTGAGCACCTCGTTTCTGATCTGGAGGAGCTTGTCCAAAAATTCAGCTTCTCGACGCGCATTATTCGCAACGAGACCGTTGCCATTCAGCTGAGGCGCGGTTGCGAAGTCGATCGAGGACATGGCTAAAATGCGCGTATCCGCTGTGCCAAACACTCAATATCGTACAACAAGAGCTCAAGGCCGGTCAATCAGCCTGCTAGAGTCTCCGTTTGCATGTACAAATGCGGCTCATGGTTGTCAAATAATGCAACTCGAACGTAGGAAAGGAAGGGGTTGGGTGGAGGAAGGAATCTTCCAAGGTTAGAAGCGATGGGTGGTGGGAAGGACTGGCGAAGACGACGACCCGTCTTGGCACAACCAGGCGCCTCTCCCTTTTCGTCCATGGGCGCTTAGTCAGGGGACCTCGGGAGGTGACTTTCACTCTTCCAAACAGAATCACTTTTGTTGCTTGTTCGTCAATCTTCCGCTGCACTTCCGAACCTGCGCTTGTTTTCCTGCGTTTACTGACCCTTAGTTCACACACGAGTTCACGCTTTGACTGTCTGCTGTTCTAGCTTCGTTCCGGCTCTCCACAAAGCAAGTATCAGGAGTCATGACTCCCTCTGCAATGGCCGAAGATGAGAAACCGGTATTCTTTTTCGACATAGACAACTGTGTAAGTGGTTCGAACCTTGGAAGGCTCATATATCACGTGGCTAACCCATCAAGTTATATCCAAAGAGTGCGTGGTTAAACGTTCAATCTTTCTTGACGTTACTGACCCATTCTACAAAGGCACGAATATTCAACACATGATGTCAGAGTTGATAGGTAGGTCAATCCGCCTCCATGAATATGAACAGGTTTCTCTTTCAATCTCCGGTTGTCAGTTCTCTGAGTCCTCTAGATGAATACTTCCAGACCCACCTTTCGCTCTCACAGAAAGAGGCGAATGCGCTCCACTACAAATATTACAAAGAGTACGGCCTGGCAATAGAAGGTCTTGTCCGTCACCACAAGGTGGATGCGCTGGATTACAACCGGAAGGTGGATGATGCGCTACCTCTGGAAGATGTCATCAAGCCTGACCCACAACTGCGTGCTCTACTGGAGGACATTGATACAAGCAAGATTCGGCTATGGTTGTTCACCAATGCCTACATTACCCATGGCAAACGCGTAGTTAGACTCCTTCAGGTTGACGATCTCTTCGAAGGGATAACGTACTGTGATTACGGCTCTGAGAAATTCTACTGTAAACCTCACCCGGAGATGTATGACAAGGCCATGAGGGAAGCCGGTGTCAAGTCGAACCAGAACTGCTACTTCGTCGGTGAGTCTAGCTAGCATCTAAGACCATCGCCGAAATGGCCACTAATACGACCGAAGACGATTCCTACCTGAACACGAAAGCTGCCCATGCTCGAGGCTGGAATGCCGTCCATCTTCTGGATGATGTGGACCCCGATCCACCTCACCCGGCTTGCCAGTATCATATACGACATCTGTCGCAGTTACGAACCATATTTCCGCAGTTTTTCAAGAGTACATCTTCCAATTCGAACTGATGACGGTCATGGAGACCAAACACGGCGCAACACGACGCTTGGCAGTGCTGTTAGGTGCTGAGGAATGTATGGCGACAATAGAATGTAGGGCATAGAAATACCATGGCAGAGGGTTGAATACTGCCGAGCGATACCATTTAGACGAACACTTCTTATCGTTCAACTTAGGTAGCGTTCCATTTTTTGACGTCCAGGTGAATGTCACTGCAGGTGTGGTGGAAGGAAAAATCGACCCTTGTGTCTTATCGATAGTCGGCCGCCCCTCTTTTCCACACCAGGGCCCAGCTTGTGCTTCCTCCCTCACCTTGTTGTTTACTTCACAACACTTGAACCCCTTCGCCATTATTAAGCGTGGTTTAGCCTGTAACAAAATGGAGTCGCCGCCTACATCCACCTACTTCCAAACAGTGTCTCCGGCTGCGGAGGCACCACAACCTTCTGCACTTCCTCCATCCACACTCCCCCAACCGGATCCAACTCGGAAAGATGCCGGCACCTCCCCCAGTACCGACGACCCAAAGGTGAGGCCGAATCGCAAACCTCTTCTCCGACTTGAGCTTCGAGACCTCTCCTGCTCGGGCTGTCGGTCGTTTCTACGCTTACTCCACGCTTCAACCGCCCTTGAGGACGCTGTTGACACTGTGCTGCGGCTGTTGTATACCGGATTGAAGACACATTGTATACCATCTACACGTTCAGTCACGCTGACTCTGCGTGCTATGGGCGGTGTGGCATACACCACTGGACTGGACATTGACTCAGACCACAAGGAAATCCACCTCAACACGAGTTACATCGCCATGATTCCCGAAGGTCGGCTGAAGGAGGAGATGCTGGGCGTCATCATCCACGAGATGGTGCACTGTTGGCAGCACGATGGGAATGGCACTGCGCCTGGCGGCCTCATTGAAGGGATTGCGGACTGGGTGAGGTTGAAAGCGGGATACGCCCCGCCCCATTGGAAGAGACGGGCAGATTGCGACTGGGATTCGGGATATGAAAAGACGGCATACTTCTTGGAGTGGCTCGAGGAAGAGCATGGCGCCGATATTGTGAGGAGCATCAACGACGGTTTAAGAGGTTGCGAGTACGACGAGGACACTTTCTGGCCTAAGTGCTGCGGAAAGAGTGTTCACAAACTGTGGGATGATTACAAAGCCCATCTTTCCGGTCCAGGTGAAGATGAAAGGGCATAGGGGCATCCATGACTGATCATACTTGACAACCCGCCACACAGGCGGAACAGTGCCGCTCCCCAATTCCACGAAATGTATCGGGTGTCCGCATTATTGCGCCTCGGATGGAAGTTGAGGGGGGCTTTCAGCTGGGGGATTCTCCTCGTTGACTCGACACCATAGGCGCTGGTCCGCTAGACACTGGCACTCTCTACTGGTGAATAGGTCCTACAAGCAGTTCCCTTCCACGGTACATTCGAGCTCGGGGGTCTCCAAAGGAGCTGCAGCGTGAAGGCCTTTGGAAAGTGCACCTGAAGCACACAGCAAATCCTTGTCCACTCTTTCCACGCGTGGTCTGTTTGCCTCCTGGAAGTTCCCCAGACCTCACAATAGGCAGATAACGTGGCGGTCTGGTATGAGTTAACCTCGTGATACACAGTAAGCATATAGACTTTCCAGAATCCGGTTTTCAATCTCAGGGACTGGGACTTCACTGGGTGTGTGTGTCTATCAATAGCTGAAACAAACCCCTCGAATCTGGGGCGTAAGGTCAACCAAGTTCGGCTTGATCTCGAAATTGCGAATCAATAGAACATTCACAAGATCATTTCCTTCCTGGGTAGAAACAGGGCAATCCATGGCCACCTTCTGTCGCTGGGAATCGATAAAGCAATAAGGCCACCCACTGCAAGTGAGCGGGCAAGCTACAATGACAAATTCTGGTCCATTTGGAATCAATCAACGTCAGCTGGTGCTGACACATTGTCTTGTTTCAATAGAAGCAGACAGTGAACCGAATCAGAGGATCAGCATCCGCCGGTCCAACCTCGTAGGTACCGTTCACTGGATTAGTCGTAGGCATTCAAGCCGTCTCGTTGCTCTTTCGCCTTTGACCATTGCTAAGCGGAAGGTGCCGCGGAGAAAGGACGAATATGTTCGGTTCGTTTCTACATTGGTATAGGGTAGTCTAACTACCTCTACCGGCCGCTGACTCATGGTACGCAATGTCCCTGCACGGTTCATAGCGCAATACCTACTGTAGGTATTGACGCGTTCACCTGGGGCTATAACGGGGTGTTGTCAATGCCTCGCAGGCAGGCCGTTACCGGACTGTTCACAAGGCAACAAGAAGCCAAGAGCAGCAGCAGTTTTGAGTCCTTCACCTCTCCCTAGATAAGCAAGATATGTATCGCTCTGCAAGGAAGTCGGGAGGGATACCTAATTGGCTGCTCTGGGAAACCGCCTATAGAGCATGCAGCCGCGATCGCTCTTCCAAGGTTCGCTTTCTTCACCTCGCCGATGTGGATGATGCGGGTAAGAGGCGCGGCAACAGTAGCAATCGGACATCGGAAAGCCGTCTCTCTGCTGAGGACCGTACTGTGTCATGAAGATGATGCATGCAAAAACAACAAATCCGATCCAGTTGCGACTCATTCCGCCAGCCATTCTCGACCTAAGCCGCGGGCAGACCATCATCATGGCCCCATGGACCGTGGATCGTGAAAGGGTCATGGTTGATGATGGGTTCAGGCATCGTATTCCTCTACCACCCTGGGCCGCCTTGTCCATTATCCGAAACCGTAAACGACACGACGACCCTCGTCGTACTGACCACGGATATGGTTATGGCCCATGCGTGCACACCCAGACGGTGGAGACTGGAAGGACTGGACGTGCTCTGCCAGGTCATGACCCCACTAATGTTCTGCCTGCAATATGTAATGATAATGCCTGCAGCTCAAACATGTACTTTATCAGATCCAACAAGGCGCCCAGCGAGTGATCTGACCCTGCTCATCCCAGGTTGATGATTAACAGGAGAGCAGACAGCCAGGGAACAACAAGAAATCCCCTGGGTCTGATTGGCGAATCGTCATTATTTCTTCCAGGGTTCTTGCGTAAGACGATGACCGCTGGACATGAAGCTGTACAGAGATTGGTATGCGGTCTGCGCCCTGCAGCACTCTGCACGTACTCCATACTGAGTACTGTGTGTGTGCTCACAACAGTACTCCGTACTTATGGAAACATTAATACAGCCTGTTAAGGGCCATACGTGTACGGAGTACATGTGGCTTTTCAGCCACCCAACGTTCGCAAACCTTCGAAGGGAACCTTTGGCTTTTCCCCGGGCCGTACTCCCACTGCACTCACCCTTCTCGAGTCGCCCATTTCACCAATCGTGACCGTGATCCAGATTCCAGACCATGAATGACCATGATGACCATGAATAACCGTGTCTGTGGCCGTGTCCGTGACCATGACCGTGGTATTGGCAATGACCATGTTCACAACCGTGACCCTCCCGCCCCCTTCGTTCCTCGTTCCCCTTTCCCCGTTCCCCGTCCACCCAGCGCGCCTTACTTAGAACGGTACCGGTCAGCCATCGGTGCGAGATTCGCGGCCTCCCTTCCTGCAAGCATTCAAGCATACGGAGGGCATACCTACCGCCTACCTAACCTACAAGTAACTGCGGACGAACGATGATGAGCCTACATGCCTACCATGCACTCAGCCCGTGCCCTGTCACTTCTGTACTGTGTAAGTACTGGCCTTGAAGCTTCACCGGCCACGGGAAACCCCTCTCGCGTGGCAGCCAAAAAAGCCATGCAGGAAGGATTGCCATGGTCCATCCATCGACTGCGTGGGCCTGCTGCATGGCCTGCATGGGGCGTGGAGGGACTGCGCCTTGTCTTGCGGCTCCTGGAGGAATACGTACCGTAAAGACACAACAGGTCTGTCAAGGAGCGTGCATGCCAGCATCATCTTCCTCTTTTATCACCTTGAGTACGTCAACCTCAAGTCTGTCGACGGTAGGCAGTCTCACGCCGAGCAGTGTTTGTGGTGAAGGAGAGCCTGCACTGTACCCATGAAAACTGCCAGCAGCGGTGCCTTTTTCCCAGACCACTGAATCATGCCTAGGCTTTTGGACGGCCTTCAGAAGCCCGCGATCTTCGATCTGCCATGCTAACTGTACAGTTTATAACCCTGTCTCATATCTGCCGTTCCCATGCATTATACATGTTCCGTCGTGCGGGGAGGTGTCATATACTTCCTCCCAATTGGTCCAGGATGCCCAGTGATGCTTACGTACGTAGACGCCAACGCTCACAGAATCGGTGCAGTCTGCATCCAAGCGTTGTTGCGTGCCGTCCCTAACCCCAAGCCACAGGTGCTCACCCATCCCGCAAGATCCCATGTACATGCACAATGTTCCCAACGCAGCCGCAACACGTGTTGCCTTCTCGCCAACACATTGGCGGGGTCCCGGATGGGGGAATAGCAAGAAGCAGCTGCGGAGGCTCCAAAGACTCTCTGCCAACCCTGTAACCTGTCGTGAAAGCGCCGCGGTGGAAAATCGTCGAAGCAGTTGTTGGATGCATGGCCCAAGAAATGGCGGTCGATCAACTGCAGCCTACAAACACCAACTTCATAGCCTCTCCACTAGATAACACGCTTGCACCGTGCCGTCCCGTCTTGGTTCGGTTCGGTTCGGTTCGGTTGATTAAGTTTGCTTAAACCTGCATCTCCCAGCCGATGCTAAGTTGAGAAGGCAATGCGAGTAGTCCGGGTAAGGCCTGGCAGTGGCTTCTGCGCTGGACTCAGGTAGGTCGTATAAGGTCCATCAGTCGAAAAGCAAGCTACGCCGGGGTGGGTGATAACTGAAGTGTCCGGAGCTCGCCACGGGCCGGGATACGATTTAATAGGCGATCTCGGCGCATGCATACGCAGCGCTGAGGACTAGGCCGAAGGGTCTAAGAGACCCGCGATCCCCGGGGGATGGGCCGGCACGGCGTAGGAATTCTGAAACAACGGAGTCTCTGGAGAAGAGTCTAGTTAGCAGGACGGGACCCACGTCAACCAGCCGGCAATCGTAGCTCAAGTGCAACCTGTTGAAGATCTGGGAGCTCTTTCTGGTCCCACCCTGTGGAGGTCAACAAGACTCGGATGCGAGCGCTGGACCCAGATTTAAGCTCCGGTATATGCGAGACGGCGTCAGGTCCAACAACCAATATGATACTTGTGGGCCGACCGTTCAATAGCGATAGCGGTGCTCGCCCTCCATTCTGCTCATAGGTGTTGAATCATGATAGGGTATAGCGTTGACCAATCCCGGCGAACTGGTAGGACCTCGCATACTGTAGCTCACAGTACGATAGTTGGCTGCAGGATGGCTGCTTTGTGGACTCCGAACTTGCGCGACTGTGCCCTGGCCAACGGGATTTGCACCGTACGTTGGGGTTTGATGTGCGAAGCCTGGTGGGAAAGCTGTCGGGGAGGCCATGGGAATTATTGATCCAGGCTCCATAGATGTGGTTGTCCAGCCCCAGTGCGCTGCAACTGTCACGGGCGTGTGAAGCTGTTGAGCGAATCTGAAGTCGGTGGTGGGAGCGGTGGGGGCCATGCCAAATGGTTGCGGGGATGACCAGTTGCCGAAAGGCTCTTCGTCCATGGACCAAGAGTGATGGGTATCGGGCGTCGAGACTTGTGTGTGGGTCGTCAAAAGATCGTCATACATATTCTCCGGATAATGCAATGGCTCTTCATCTTGGGCTGAATAGGCAGAGAAGCGGTGGCTAGGAGTGCCTGGCTCGGATCCTCCTGTGCTTCCAGGCAATGTGATACCGGCATTCTGGTACCTCCGCATGATTACGGTGTAGCTGAAATGAAATGTCAGCCGGAGAATTGGTATGAGTCGGAAAGACGGCGAACTGACCGGTTCTTGATGCAATTCTTCGACCGTCCTCGAAAGTGACGTTCCTGTATATCTTTCCAATGGCGTCCTAAACGCTGCACGGCTTCGATAAGAAGTTGGTCCTACCGGGAAAACCGTCAGAAGCTAATAGACTAGTAAAGGCAAGTGGTCGCCTTTGTCGTCTGACATAGATTGACCGGAATCTCACCTCGCTCTCTCGCCACTCACTCCGATCCAGCTCGGGGTCGAGTGACTGTTGCCACCGTTTCGCACATTCTGCTTGGGATTAATCCATTGTTCGTCACGGCTGGCGAGGCGCTTACGGTCTGCACTTCGGGAACCGACCAGTTCGGCGACCAGCTGGATTTCATCAGTGTCTATGAAGTGGCTTTGAGCCTCTCCGTGTAATGTCCGACTCACTGTCCACCTTCAAGCGATCCTAACAGTCAGAATATACTCAATGGCAAGAGATTTTGGGTGCCAAGTACCTTTGCCCATACTGTTCCACACCCCGTGCCAATTGTATGTCTTCACTCTTTGACCATTGGCCTTTCTTCAAGCCTCCAGCGACCGAATTAAGCCACCTTTCTACAATGAGAATGACATTAGTCTCTGGACATGGACATTACGTGGGCGAGGGGAAAGGTCGAAAGCGGCCTTACTGCGACAATCCTTATTGGTTCGCCCAGGCAACTTTGCGGCAATGCGACACCTGCGCAGATGGCACCTGTCAGCTCGCTGAGGGGGAGAGTCTGGATATTCCAGGTTGTCTCACCAATCCTTCACTTCGCCCTCACTTCCTGTGGCCTTTAGGTCAGCTTCCAATGGCAGTATACAAGTAAGCAGTTGACCAAGAAGACGCACTTTGTGCTTCGACTTCCTCTCGCAATTTGCGATCTTCTTCCAGTGTCCATTTGCGAGGCTGACGGGCGGTCGGCTTGGGAACGGGTAGCATCGAGGTTGCGTAAGGGACTGGGGATGTGTAGGGTATGCTGAAGGCACGCGATAGATATTGAATGGAGGGATAAGGTGAAAGACAGTCCTTGTGGAGATGGTCTAGAGTAGTGCAATTGGAAGTCTGCGGAAACGATCTTAAGCTAGAAGGCTGGAGAGGAAGGGCCCGGGAAGAGCTTTAAGGTGGGTAAGGTGGAAAGGCAGGGATGCTTTCGCATCTCCGTCTCCATGTGCGGTTTGCAAATCATAGTAGAGGGCGGCAGCAGGTGATCCGGGTTAGGGGGCAAGCTTGGCAGACAAATGTTTCAGCGTAGTTCTTCTATCTCTGTTGGTCGGTTTGGTCGGGGTGTGTCATTGCGTGCACCGTCCCCGAGGAAGGCGATGTGGACAGTGCACTGCATTGGGGCTTCGCATCATATTCATAGCCTGGAGGAGCGGTGGAGTATCTACGGTAGAGTCGGTCGGCGGGTATGCAGGGCAGCAGGCAAGTCGCACACGCATCCAGGTTCAGAGGGTCGGATACAAGTCGGTGGGTCGTGGCACACGGGTTACCACAGTAGGTAGGTAGGGCTGAGAGTAACATGCTGGGGGGCATGCCCATGGCCTACACCGCCAGCCGCTGTCCAGATTCGGGCAAAAGCGAGGCCGGATGCTATAGTTGGAAACCGCTATAGGTAGAGGTCCAAAAGTATCTTTCTGACGGTTGCTCGAGTCGGACTAGCGACGGTCGGAAGCCCGCGGTCCCAGGTGTGGCAAGAATGGAGAGGGCCAGACTGGAGGCGGGAGGGGTGGCAGTGGGCAATCGAATGGTAGCGGTAGACTTAGCTCGTGTGCTGGAAGAAAGCGATAGACTGAGTGAGGTCGGCCCGACATGTTCAGAGGGGACTGCTAGGGACTTGGTCGCACTCCCAGGTTCCTTCAGCTCATATACCATCAGGCCCGGTAGTCTGGGTAGGCGGATGCTTGGAGCTGTACTTGTGCAGGGTAAGATGGGCACAGCAGGCAAGACAGCTGGGGGCCTGCTCCGACCTCCCACGACTTTGTTTTCTGGGCCGGCGAGGAATTTGAGGATTAGTTGAGAACAGCCAACGAGACACAGTAGACTCATTGACTAGGAAGGGAAGCAGAGGAAAAAGGACATTGGTGATCACTGAGCAGAGCACTTCAGCCGCCAGGGGACAGAACACGGTGCCCTGAATAGCATGATGACGTGACGAGGGGGGAATTCGGAGATGGCCACGACACATGTCCGGAGGCGATACGGCAAGACGTGGAACAGTGGAACGAGGCAGAGGGGAGCTGGGACTTGTTGGAGAAGCTGTTGGAACGTGTTGTTGAGAGCATGATTCGAGGCTGAAAAAGGCGATTGGGGGGAACGGTGGTGGAAGGGTGAGGACGGGAGTGGGAGTGGTGAAAGGACGTCAAGGATGTTGGCTGGGGGAGGGGGGAACGGGCAGCGGCCATCCGCCTTGGCTAGCGTGCCCAGGGTCCCATTTTCGGCAGGGCCGATCCAATATTGAGGTTAGTTTACACAGATTTACACGGCAGCCTTAGTCATCAATGTATTCGCCTAGACTTGCCTTGGCTGGGTTATCGCATCGCATCGCATCCACTTACACCACTTGCGTGCTCTGCTCTTCTCCCATCTCAACACCACCTGGGCAGGACATGCACGGCCTTCACGTCTTCGTCCTCATGGACTCGACACACGCAGGGACAGCTGCTCCAAATGCCACGGTTGCCGAGGCTGACTGCAGTCAAACTACCTATTAGGTAGGACAGACTGACAGATTGAGACCCCACACACCTTTTCCGAACGTCCATCTACGCGTCACCGCCATTTGGCTCACTCAGACCCTGTGTCACCTTGTCCCACACACACAACCAGCATGCACAGCCTGCTGATTACATACATGATCCGACAAAATGCAGCATCTCCCATTTCGTTCCCATGATGCATTTCTCCATTCTTTGTCAGCGGCTACTTTTCGCCCGAGGCCCAGCATGCCGCCTCCCACGCACGAGGCCACCCGTCTGCTCGAGACCATGGCCGCAGGTACCTGCACCACCGTTTTCCGCCCCAGAGAGGGGTCCATGTAGATTGCGCCCCCTTTGGTAGCCTGATAAGAACTCCAGATCTTCGCTTCGGGGTTCTCCATTCCACTTCTGATGGGAAGCATATTTGAGCAGCGGCATTGCCAGGCTTGTATCAGACAGTCATTCTGAGCTGCGCCTTCCGGTGGGCGACCATCCCGACCATCCTTCCTGTCATCCCAAAAGTGAGATGGGGGAAACAGCTCCCTTCGAACTCCTCAGTTTGGCTTGCTCCTAGGTGCTTCCCACGAGCCGTTTGACCTTCTCCAGCAGCACGGCGCTTTCCCGGCCCAGCTTTCTCTTCCCGCCTGGCCCGCCCCTCGCCTTAGCCATTGCTTTCCGAAACCGCTCCCGCTCGGCCAGTTTGCGCTGCCGCTCCTTCTCCGCCTCGTCGCGGGCCTTCCTCCGCGCCTCTGCCTCCTCCCTCCGTTTTCGAGCCAGCTCTTCCTCGCGCTTGAAGGGTTGGGGCCGCGGACGTCGCTTTCTGCGGCCAGGCGGGGTTGGAGCGGCTTCAGGATCGGGTGAGGGTTGCTCGAGCAGTTTCTGGCGGTCCGGATGGGGCTCGAGGGTAGGCTCCGGAGCGGGCTCCGCAGAAGCAGCGGGCTCTCCGGCGTTGGCCGCCGCGACGCGCTCGTAGACGGACTGGAGGGACACGGGCTGTTCCTGGGACTTGATCTTGGCATACTCCTTCTTGAGCTTCGCCTTGTGAATCAGATCCTTTTTAATTTTCTGCACTGCGGGGTTTGTTGCTTAGTGACAGTGGCGGAAGCGCGAGGGTGGCCAGCGCATACCTTTTCTCTTGTGGATGCCGTCGGGCAAGTTTGCGGGCCCGACTTGGAAGCCCTTCTTGTGCTTCTTGTGCACAGACTCGGCAGCATCGTCGTCGCGGGGGCGTTTGGGCGCCATGCTGTTTGCAATGCGCAATGCAAGAAGTTGTCGTTGGAGGTAGGATGGACGAGGGATGGGAGGAGACGTTGGAAGAACTGCAAGCTTCTTGTCTTGGCAAAGATACAAGTGCCTACAGTACAAAGTACTGTGGGACTTGCCGCCTTTCCCGCCCCGGCAGGCCCTGGCCAAGCACCCTCCTCGCCAATGCCATGCTGAGGGATGAATCATAGGTAGATGGGACATGACGCCTTTCACTTAGCCTGGAGCACCCCTCTCTTCCTCTCCTTCCCCTCGCACCAACTCGCACTGCTACAGTTCCCTTCCATTCTCTTTCACTTCGCTGCCCGCTCAGCACTGAAATCCGCATCTGGACACACCACACCTCTGGCTTGTCAACCGGGCGGCAGTGGTGGTGGTGCCAGCGCACCACTACCCGTCACGACAACTCCCACCTCGCGGCCTTGGTCCGATGCATTCAGACGCAGTCTGCCGGGCCACCAGCTGCTCTGTGACCTGTCCAAGTGTCCTTGCGCCCTGCCATCCCTCCGCTGGCCCACCGCTGCCTTTCTGAACGTTGAACTACACAACTACTTGACCTCTCCACGCTTTGCCACATCGCAACCAACATCCCTATGCCTACTCCTCCCAAGAACGAGCCCTGATCATGCCCGTCTTCCATGACCACCTGGATTCCTCGCCCAAGAGCCCTGCGGCCGGCGACCATGCCTCCAATGAGTCCTCACCACTGAACTATTCTGGTCGACTCTATTTGCAAACCACTTCGAGGACCGAACAGGATGGGGCTTTTGACCCCACCCTTCTCAGGCATGATGGGAAGCCCTCTGCGCTCAACCGTCTTGAATTGATTGAGCGTATCAAGAGAGCGAACAGCCCCTCGTGGTCACAGCGGCACTCTTCGAGCCGTGCTCCCGCTTTGCACGCCTCGAGAGAAGCTATTCAGACGCCGGCCCAGATATCAGTTCCTGATGTGCACCCACGTCAACCCACACCTTCCTCCAAGAGCCCTACTCCCCGATCCGAGTCGCGAGATCGCCCCATGACCCTGCGTCGTATATCCACCGAACGCCGGACGTCTCGTCCATCCAGTCCTGACCCTTTCTGCCATCATGAAGCTGCAGGCATACAAATCGAGCGCCCGCGATCTGCCTTTCATTCGGGCGACTTTAATGAAAAGGTTGTCCCTAAGCACAATGATGGCTCAGTAGTAGCCTCAGGCCCACCATTGGCGACCTCTCCAGTGGCACCCTGGCATCCATCGTTCCCTTCCAGTGCAGCGCCTGCCGCCCGTAATGAATTCTCACAAGCTCCGCTTGGGCCCTACGAGGGCCGCCAGAGCCTGAGGACTAGGGCCGGCTCGCAATCCATCCCTGCATTTCCTTTTTTCCTGATGCCCCCGACGAGCCCCTTGGTTCAGCAGTCGAACAATACCGACTTGGATTTCACCTCCAGACCGTCGTCCAGACAATCGTCAACCAGTCCCGAAAGGAGGAGTAGAAGACACACATTCTCTCCCAAGTCGTTCCAGACGTACCAATCCAGGCACCTGCCAGGTTCAGAGTCCGACCAGCAATGGAGGAGGGGAGGCGCAATGCCATATCAAGCCCATCAGCCCAGGCGGTCAGTGACAGGGTTTAATGCGTTCCAACCACACTCCAGTCCGCAAACCCCATCCATGTCTCCCCAAAGACCGTCCTTCTCTGAAGCGTCGCCGCTGCACCACGCACCCATGGTAGGGTCCTATGAAGAGTCCATCCTCCGTGGGAGAATGTCAACAACGCCCTCCCGTCCGCTGAACTTTGTGGCTCGGATAGGCGTCCTTGGTAAGGGGCAGTGTAAACCTAGCTTGCGCTGTCCACCTCACGTGACGGTTCCCTTCCCAGCCGTCTTCTATAGCTATGGGGGCGGCAACAGTCGGATAGCTGACAACTCTCCAAGTCCCTACGTAGGCCTGATCGACTTGGAAAACACTCTTCCAAACCCTGAAGACGGCCAGGAGTCGAAGAGGAAGAGGCGACACACGATCCCCCAACCTATGGCCGATGAAGTCGAGCAGCCTGGGACCGACTGTCAAGGGCCCACTCTGTCGAACGATGGAGTACGACGGCGGGAGAAGCATAAGAGAAGGTCCAATTCACCTAGGGCGCCCCCTGGTGGCAGCTACCGGATCCCTCAGCAGGGCCAACTTCAGATCATCATCCAGAACCCAAACAAGACGGCCGTCAAGCTCTTTCTTGTTCCTTATGACCTGTCCGACATGGAGCCCGGCCAGAAGACGTTCATAAGGCAGCGGAGCTACTCCGCTGGCCCTATCATCGACATGCCCTTGGCCAACCGGAAAAACTTGGGGACCGACCGCCCAGAAGCCGCCCTCACCGGCAGCGAGGATCCCAATGACCGCCCCATACTCCGTTATCTGATTCACCTGCACATATGTTGTCCATCGAAGGGCCGCTTCTACCTTTATAAGAGCATCAGAGTCGTCTTTGCAAACCGTGTCCCCGATGACAAGGAGAAGCTACGGAATGAGATCCAGCTGCCGTACCCAAAGTACAGCACGTACAAGCCGCAGCGGGACACGTTGGCCGCAAACACTGCTTCGATGGCCTCAGCACAAGTAATCGCGGAAAGCGTAATTGCGGAGAAGGCTCGCCGTCGAAGGAGTGCCGGATTTCCACTTTCGCAACAAGGGTCTGAGCAGCGTTCGGTGTTCCCACCCGTTGCGCTGCAACAGTTCAGTGGAGCAACAGCACACATGACATTTGCGCCCATTTCCTCCTTGCCGCCCACCCGCTTCATCCTGTCTGGCACAGGCGTTCTTAGTCTACCCGGGGATGCCGTTTCCCCCACGGATATGAACTCTAGCAGTCCCTTTGCATCTTATACCGAGTCTGATCGCTCCCGAGCAGATACAGATAGTGGTTCTCTCCCGTCGACCAGCGGACCCTTGACCAGCTTCAGCAAGAGAAGTGTGGGCTCTAATGTTCAAGGGTCTCATGGGCCGGCTAGAGCTGGGGAGAGCCTGCTCGCTCGGAAGCTCCGTGGGCTGGACTGTCAGCGACCGGAGGATGACTAGGGGACTTGTACTTAGATCATGACCCTGATATGTCCCTTAAGTCATCACAATCCTATGTACATAGCCATTCACTTCTCAAACCTGAATTGGTACCAGGTGCTCAACACATGACGTAGCAATTTGTCGGTCAGCGGTGATCGTGTTAAGTGCAAATGGGTCTCGTGCTAATAGGACAAGGCGGCCTTTGACCGCTACAAAGGCGGGCGCACAGACGAGTCGTGAATGTTCATGCCCAAGAGACGACTTCCGTCACTACCCACACTTTCACCGTCTCCCCAAAGCGGTCCGCTCTGAGTACATAAAACAAATCCCACCGCCAGATCTTCTCGCTTCAACCCTACAGTCAACCGCACAACCTTTTGCCTTCCACAACCTTCACCATGCGTTCCTCCGTCTTGCTCTCCGCCTTCCTGGCTACCACTGCGTCCGGCTTGCCAGCTGCCACGGCCCCAGACGAGCGAACCGCCGTCTCCGCAAAGGCGACCGGTATCAATGTCCCAGTACGTATACATACTCCCTCCCATACACAAGACGCACACACATTACCGCGCCCACAACCCAAATCACGAGGGCCCACTACCACTAACACACCACATCCTTTTCACAGACCAACGCTCACTCCATCGCCGCACCCGTCACCGCCCAGGACGACCGCGCCGCCACCCTCTACAAGCAACCCAACCGGCCCAGCGGAGGCCAAAACCGCAACCATCAAGACTGGATCGCCCTGCCGGGGAACTACCCCGGTAGAGGCTTCTGCATCGACATGTCCAACCTCTTTGGGAACTGGGACGAGGCTACGCGCTCGTTGAGCGTCGAGAAAGGGTTCCGGTGCGCGTTCTACAGCGAGGTGGGTTGTAGTAGCAGCAAGAGCAAGGGGGCCATGTGGGTTGAACTTGGGGAGAAGGACAAGGAGGTGCTTGTTGATGGGTTGGGGAGGATGGATCGGCGGATTCGGAGTGCCGAGTGTTGGAGGTTGTAGGCCGTGAGGGTGATGTGGGATAGAAGGCATGGGTAGATGAATGGTGAGCTGGGATTCCGTTCTGGAATTCGGATAGATGTGGTGGATTGATGGAAAACCTTGGAATCCTATCGTGACGGGTGTACCGGGAAAGTCCTCAATATGGCTGCACTAGAGAACGACACACACGAATGAAGGACTTAACCACCGACCAGCCTCGATTTTGTGAACCAACCAACTTTTGTGTGATATTCTTCCGTCTATCCAACGCCGTCTATGCTCCCTTTGTATCCCAATCAATTACCCCCTTTCAACTCCTCCATCCTCTCTTTGAGCCTCTCCCACCCCCCACTGTCCTCCCACCCCTCCTTCCCCTTCCCCATGACGCTCCTAATCGCGCTCCTCGCCTTGAACTTCCAATCCTTGGCCACCAGCTCCCCAGTTCCCGCCGCCAGACCCTCTGTCCGCTCCCTCGGCCCCAACGACTCGTACGCATCCACCAAATCGATCGTCTGGTCCACGACCGCGTTCCATGATGCTTCGCCCGCACTCTCCCACTTGGGCTGCGACGTCACGGCTCGCCACGCCTTCTCGTGGGCCTCCAGCGCCGACGACGGACGATTCGTGTGCAAGTACAGCGTAGCAAGTATGGTCCACAGTTTCGGTGAAGCTGTAATGAGCGGCTTGATGGACTTCTCCACCAGCTCCTGCACCAGACGGGGCAAACCGGGGCGGCTCATGACAGCTTCCAAGCTTTCCTGCTGCTGTCCTTGCTGCTGCTGCTGCTCTCGCACCTCGTTGACGGCGTGCATGACCAGCATGTCGAGGATCTCGACGTCGATGCACTTTTCCCCCTCCGTCGGGCCTTGCAACTCGCAGATGCGACGTTGCGCGGTGATGACATCCTGCCAGCTTGGGGGGTTGGTGGATGCCGCCACGGCGAGCACGTTGGACCAGATGCGCGCGTTGTCGTGCTTGAGGTTCGCAGCGCGCTTGAAGGCTCGGAGGGCGTCACGTCGCGGGTGAGGCGTGATTGTCTGCTCTTCTTTTTCCTCCGTGGTTGGACGTTCTTCTCCCTCTTCCTTCTCTCGCGACTTACCCTCCGTTTCCTCAGTTGCTGCCTTCTTCTTCGGCCGAAGATGCAGCAGCGCAGCCGCGAGATTACTCCATGCCTCCGCATCCTCATCGTCGAGCTGGACACAGCGCGAAAACGCCTCCACCGCATCCTTGAACCGTTGCAGCTCCAGATACGCGCACCCCAACGCAAACCAGCTCGGGTGACTAAGCGCGTTGATCTTCAGACTGAGCGCATACGCCTCGGCCGCCTTCTCATACTCCCTCTGCGCAAAGTACTGTCTTCCCAGCGAGCGTTGGGCGCGGGCGTACCGCCGCCCGGATACCTCCCATGCCTTTTCGTACATGCTCAAATCGCGATCGATATCGCCCAGGATGCAGTACAGGCGCGGCGCTTCAGCGGGAGGCGGATCCCGCTCTGGACCCTCCCACTTCTCCTCCTCGACATCTGCGACGTCATCCTTCTCTGCGCCGGCAGTGGCATGGAAGAGCTGCCTCCGGACAATCTGTTTGGCTTTCTCTTCCTTGTCCGTAGCGGCCCAGCAGAGGGCGGCTTCGGCCCACATCTCCAGGCGCTCGTAGATTTCCAGGGCGGAGCGCAGACCACCCACACTGACCCAGCGAGCGGCCAGCTCGGCCTCAATATCCCATCGTGTAGGAGTGGAAAGGGAGAAGACGTATGCGAGGCGATCTTGGACGGGCGCTGATTCTTCTGGTTTGGCTTTTGGGAGGAACGAGGTGACTGGTCCGGAAGTGTCCGTGGAAGTGCCGTTGGTGTCGGACGAGGAGACAGCGCCATCCGGTGTAGATGTAGTCTCCGCAATGACCTGGTCGACCAGTGCTTGCAATTGAAGCAGTCCTCGCTCCATTGTGCGGGATTTGTACCCCTCAATGCGACTTCTCACCAACAAGGCCTGAGTATAGACTTGCCAGTTGGAGCTACCGCCTTCGAGGACACGAGTAGCGTAGGGAAGAGTTTCTTCTCTCGTCAGGCCATCTGCAGGGTTCGTGTTGGTGATGCTGGAGGCGAGGGAGAGGAGGATGACGGAGTCCAGTGGGTCGAGAAGCGGTTGATTGGAAGGATCCAACGAGGCGAGACTGGCAGGGAGGGGGGATGAGGAGTCTTGTTTGGCGGCGCCGTCAGACGAGGAGAGATCCTGAGTAAAGGATATATTCTCTAGCAGGGTATCGTCATTGAGCTCCAGGTTCTTGGGCTTGTTGACGGAAGCCTCATCCGCTGATGTGGTTGCCTCCGTGCCATGGCTCTTTGCTAGGACGAGTAGCTGACTGGTGTCTTTCTGCTGGAATTTGGTCCTCTTGCCCATCAGACCGGTTAAGACATATTCGAATTTGCGCTCTGCAGCTGCTCGGTCCAGGTCCGCCCGTGCTTTCTTGTCCAACCCATGATGTGTATGGATGGCCGACCGTTCGAGCAGATAATGCACGGGCAGATCCGGAATCTTCGCCTTCGCATCAGAATCCAGAAGAGCCCCCTCCAGCGCCTCCAGCCCGCCGTAGATGGATTCTTGCAGTGAAGGTGCCACTTCGGACAGCAGCCGCTGATGCATGAATTCGACCCTCAGTCTTGCCCATGCTGAGGCAGGACCAACATTCTTCTGGATAGGCGGGCATATCAAGATGGTCTCGGCCAAACACAGCAACTCCACATTCGGCGTGAGCTTGTACGCCGCAATACCGTCTACAGCCAAGGAAGCAACAAGCTTTTCTCTTGCTCTAGCCAGCGTTGCAGAATCAGAAGAGATTTCTCTCGGGAAAATGACCTGTGCAGAGTTGAATGGCAGCGGCGGACCCGTTACATTCGACTGCACAAATGCATATAGTGATGCGATGGCGACTAGGAGAAAAAGATGCTGACGATACGCGGGCAAGTCCTTGATTCCCAACTCTTCGCCCTCCTCGCTCTCCCTCTTCGAAAGTAGTAATCCGAGCCTGTGGAATACATAGTCGCTCCAGACGGGAAAATCCTTCACATGAACATCCTTCGTGGCGTAGTTTTCCTCGTGGCCTAGCAAGAGCTGCACTTCAGGGTGCTGGAAAACGGCCGAGAAGTTCCCGTCCTGCAGGTGCTGCAGCGTTTCTGAGAGCGCGGAGGCGAGCTCATCTGGCAGAGAATGCCGCAGAAATCGAAGAAGCACGTCGACCATTCTGTCCTGAGTGCCTTCACGAGGGAGACAAGGCGGGGAATTGCGATGTCGAAAGTTTCGCAGGGTGGGCTGGTGTTTTTGCGCTAAACTTTTTGAGAATTTAGAGTACCTACGGCGGACTATTATCAGGTGTAGTGCTAAAATTCAATTGTGCGGAGAACCTGCAAACTTATGTACACGCAGTATAGTTTCTAGCCTACTTATATATAGTAGATATCTAAAATAGCAAGTATATAAGTAAGTAAGCATAGGTAAAAGTAGTATAGGTAGGCAAATACAGGAAGGCAGGTGCAACAAGACAGGTACAGGCAGACAGGTGCACGCAGCTAGGTGCACGCAGACAAAGAGGTAGACAGACAGGCAGGCAGTATAGGTAGACAGGCAGTGTAGGTAGGCAGGCGTAGATAGATAAGTTAGATATATAGATACTGCAAATATACACTGCGTATATGCGCTGCGTACGTGCACTGCATATATATACTACGTACCTATACTACAAATATATACTACGTACTTGCTCTGCGTACTCGCTCTGCGTACTTGCTCTGCGTACTTGCTCTGCGTACTTGCTCTGCGTACTTGCTCTGCGTATACGTCCTTGCCGCATATATACACTAGGTACTTACTGCGTACATATACTGCGTATATATACTGCGTAAGTAGGCTAGACACTATGCTGCGTGTACGTAGGTTTTGCAGTCTTACCTTGAAATCGAATTTTAGCACTACACCTGATAATAGTCCGCCGTAAGTACCCAGACCTCTATGTAAAATCCACAGAACTGTAGCAAGAAGGAGCCTCACCTACTCTCACGGTCTTCGGTGAAATTTCGCCATGAAAAAAGAAAAATATGACAACCAAGCAGGACGACCTATGTCTATAGCTTTATATTATGCCTCTTTGGGCGGGATGAATAGGCAGCTAGTAGCCAGGTGCAGAAGACGCAGAGGTAACGAGGTATGCTTTTAGAAGAGGCCTAAACATCATGAATGTGTGAAATACTAGCGGAGCGAAGGAAGGCAAGGCCTTTAGCGCGGCGACCCATGATTTTCGTTCACCGAGAGGCTCTCCAGGACAGCAGTATCATGTTGTATACAGGTCATTGCACTTCCTAATAGAAATAGTATTCTTATCGAGCATAACAAGTAACATAGGGATATCCCAGCTCCTAAATAGGAGAGCGAGTATGCCGAACCCGGCAGCATCTCAGACGCTGCTCCCCCCATGGTCTCACTCGCAAAGGCGAAACGGGCAGACGACGAAGAGTAAAGGACATACCACAGCGCTCAATCCGAGTCGCTGGAAGAAGAGCTACTGGAGCGGCCGCGGCTGTGGCTCCTATGCTTGTGCTTATGCTTCTTGCCATGACTGCTATGGCTTGCGGCATACAGCCCTCCAAGCCCAGCCGCAGAACCTGCATACGACCCGTGATGTGACCCACCATGGGAACCGCCGTGCTTGTGCTTCTTCTCCTTCTTCTTCCTATGGAAAAACGCTCAGCTCGAGTTCGACATATAGGGAAATCGGTCAGCGCTTACTTGTCATGCTTACTGTCCAGAATGTTGGCGCCGATAGCGCCAGCGACGAGGCCTCCGACAGTCCCCAATGCGCCACCACCCATCTTGTGACCTAGGAAAGCGCCTCCTACACTACCAACAAGGGTGGAGCCAAGGCCGCGCTCTCCTTCGGCAGCATTTCCAGGTGCACCGCCGGGAACGGCTTGGTGGTCGTAGGCATTCGGCTGCTGGTGACTCTGGCTGCCATAGCCCTGGTTAGGAGAAGCACCATACGGCTGCTGCGACGGTGGGTACGGGTTGGTCCCGCGGTTGGGATCGTAGACCTGCGACTGATCGTATGGCCCAGGAGGGTATTGCTGTTGCGGCGGAGGTGCCTGCCCGTAAGGAGGTGCAAGTCCCGTCTGGACACCGTTAGAAGCGACCGGGATAGCGTGTCTTTGAGGCACTCACATGATGGCTCTGGTTATACTGGTCCTGTCCATGATACTGCTGTTGACCTTGGTACGGCTGCTGATTGTATGCATTATAGGCCGGGGGCGGGGGACCCTGATTATAAGCCCCGCTCTGATTGCCATAGTAGTCCTGGTTAGACATGGCTGCCTGTGTTTTACAAACAAAGGATTAGGAGACACGAGGAGCTGGAGATGGGTGAGGCAGCAAGGTGCAGGCGCTTATGTTTCCAGGGAGCGGGAAGGGGGGAGGGGGTGGGTGGTCGGAGATGAACAGGATCACACGGTCTTTATATGAACCCTTTGGCGCTGACGCAGGGGGTTTGGGATGCGCCACATAATCGACAAGTGACGCCCATAGTAGTGTAAGACGCGGTCAGCCCGGCGCAGGGCATCCGTAAAATCCATGGATGAAGCACATGTGCGGCTGGCTTACTTCATGAGTTGGTTGTATGTACAGCCAAACCTCTCAACGATCAACAAACCCCGCCTGGCGGGGGGCGGAGCACCCAGCCTCAATTCACTGGCCCCACGCTAAAAGCATGCGCCACCACCAGCCACAAGGGACTCGTAACCAAGCTGGAGCCCTTTTGGGTACGACGAGAATCAAGACTTGTACATAATTACCTATCTACATGACTGGGCTTTTGATATTGATATTGAGAATCTGAATCGGACTGGCACTGCCCGACCGTGTACCCCACTGTTCTATCAGACCAGGTGCAAGATAGAGTGGAGTCTAGAGAATATTACAAGTGTTTTAGACTGCAGACGTATGAGGAGTCCTCTTGAGCAACAGATGACAGAAAAGAGCACTGAAGGAGAGAGATTGAGTGTAAAAGCAAGTGAAATGAGATGCGAGACACGCCATGTAGTCAAGGCTAGCGGTCAAGAGCCTGGGCTTGACACTGTGCCGTGTTAGACTGTGAAACCAATCGGATATGCGACGTACCATTTGATAATAAATCCCCCTTTTCCGCAGCAGCGCATGATGGTCACCCTTCTCAAGCACCTTCCCGCTGCCCAAGACAAAGATAACATCGGCTTTCTGAATAGTAGCCAGTCGGTGAGCGATAGCGATGACGGTCCGTCCCTTCTGGGTAGCAGTGTGCTCGATCGCTGTTTGAACCAATTTTTCGCTTTCAGAGTCCAATGAGCTGGTCGCTTCATCCAGGAGCAGGAGATCAGGTTTGCGAAGCAGAGCCCGTGCCAGTGACAGACGCTGCTTTTGACCGCCACTGAGGGACATGCCCTTGGGCCCAAGTCGCGTGTTGTATCCGTCCGGGAGCGAAACAATAAACTCGTGGATCTGCGCATCTTTGCAAGCCAGCTCTATCTCCTCATCGGTAGCACCATCCTTGGAGAGCGCGACATTGTCTCTGATGGTGCCTTCGTAAAGCGTGGGTTCCTGGCTAACAAGACTGAGCCGCTTTCTGTACTCCTCTGGATCGAGTGTTGTAATGTCTTCTCCGTTGTACAGAACTTGACCAGACGTCGCGTCGTAAAAACGTTCCAAAAGAGAGATGGTTGTCGATTTCCCGGAACCAGAAGCCCCAACCAGGCCAACGAATTGCCCCGGTAGTATTTTTAAGTTCAGATTGGAAAGTACAGGAGCTTCACGGGTCGGGTATTTGAAGAAGACATTCCGGAATTCTACACCGCCTCCTAGCGACTCAGACTCCGGGATTGGGCGATAGGTAGTGGCCTTCGAACTGCTGGTGGGCCGCATGCTCAAGATTCTGTTGGCCGCAGCAGTAGCCTGGCTCATGTTTGGGGCGAGAGAGAACCACTGGCCAGCAGCAAGAGCTCCCTGAATCACAGCCATATAGATAACGAAGAAGTCCATGAGATCATACTCTCGCGAGGCGAGAAGCGTCCCTCCATACCAGAATGAGAGGGCCATACAGGCAAGATCCACACTGTCCGAAGCTGCGAAGATCACGGTACCGTATTTGGCCTTGCCGTAAGCTTCCTTAACCTGGGCTCGAAGTAGACTTTGGTATCGATCGCCAATCATGTCCTCCATCGTTAGAGACAAGACGGTGCGGAAGGCTCCAACAGCTTCCGTAGCGAACTGTGAGCTCTCTTTGAAAACGGTCGCCGTCATCTGTTCGAACTTCATCTCGATGCTGATTCTGAAGTATCCGGCCAGGAGAATGGGTGGCAGAGCGCAAAACAAACCCACAAGAGACAATTTCCACCCATACACAAACGCGATGATGATTGACCCAATCAGGTTCACAACAGCAATCATCGCCAGCGACATCTCCGTGCTCATGAGCTGCTGCAACTGCGTAGTGTCAGAGCTGATACTGGAAGTGAGAGAACCCGGAGAGTGTCCCTCGGCGTCGAAGAAGGGTATGCGTTTACGGATGATATGACATAGGTATTCTTGTCGATAATGTCGGGTTATGGCAACCGAGATAAGATGCGCGCAGAGCCCCAAGACGAAGTAGGACAAACCGACTCCAGCAGCTTCGACACCAAACATTCCCGACCAAAAATTGCCGTCTTTAACGAACTTCTCCCCTGTGTATGTGAAAACTTGGATCACATTCGAAAAGATCCATGCTTGAAGAGGATAGACGGCACCCGCTCCCAAGATTCCTAGGATGGCGAGGGTATATAAAATCTTGTGCCGTCGTTGTTCGACAATGAGACGACCGAAGCTGTTCAGCAGGCCTCTATTCTTGTACTCGGGATCCTCGGCAACAAGATGTTGTTCGCCCGTGTGCTCGGTTGACTGTTCTGACTCGCGGGTTTTCGTTTTATGGATCTCTGGCTCATCGCCGGCTTCTTCCTCCGCCTCGAGCGCGAGTTTTTGCGATTTTACCAAGCCATGATAGACACCGTCTTCAATGTCGACGAGCTCCTCATGGGTTCCTTCCTCCACCAGTCTGCCATTACGAAGTACTACGATCTTGTCGGCTTTCTTAATGGTAGAGAGGCGATGGGCGATGACAATTGTGGTTCTGTTCTTCGATACACGATCTAGAGCTTCCTGGACTATCCTCTCTGTGCGTACGTCGATAGCTGATGTGGCTTCGTCAAGAATCAGTATGGAAGGCTTTTTGATGATACTTCGTGCAATGGCGATTCGTTGACGCTGCCCGCCAGAGAGTTTGATGCCACTTTCTCCAACCATGGTTTGGTAGCCTTCGGGCAACTTCGATATGAACTCCTCTGCGTACGCCTCTCTGCAGGCTTCTTCCACCAAGGCCATCTTCTCCGCGTCGGAAGCGTCATTCAGCGGCGTGCCACATAGACCAAAGGCGACATTGTTGAACAACGTGTCGTTGAATAAGAACGGCTCCTGCTGCACAAGGCCAATCTGGGCCCTCCACCATTTCAGGTCCACATTGCGCAGGTTCACTCCGCCAATATTGACAGCTCCAGTGCAAGTATGAGGCTCCGATACTTCCACTTTTTCAGGGCCGGAGTTAGCGCTCACTGTTGACTCCCCCTTTCCTTGCCCTTTTTCTTGTTCCTCGGCTTCCTGGGTATACTTGCTGTCTTCTGTCTTGTCCTTTGTGGTGACATTTGCGGTTGTTCCCAGCAAGTCGTACCACCGTTGAAGAAGAGCAACCACGGTGCTTTTTCCAGAACCGGAAGGGCCAACTATAGCGGTAGTTTTCCCAGCTTCGAACTTGACATTCAAGTTGTCAAGGATCTGGACATTGGGCCGGCTAGGGTAGGAGAAGGAAACATCATCGAACTGAATATCAGCGTCTGCGGAGACGTCCGGGTCCTTCAATCCGGCGATGTGAGGTCGTTCGGCGTCGATGGTGGCGAAGAGCTCCGTTGCTGCCGTGGCCGCTTTCGCGATGGCTATAATTGGGCCAACTAACCGGCCAATGTTCATGACCGCCATCATGACAGAGAAGAGAACGCTATGAATTCAGCTACATGTAATACGCATGGGAGAGATTGGAGTAGCGCTTACACGATGATATCGCCTACGTCATCGATATGGCCTCGCGAATACTGCCGGATGCCAAACCAGAAGGTCAGACCGAACATGCCATACATGGACAGCATTGAGGGCGACTGATAGACAGTCAGTGTTTTGCGAAGAGAGGGATTATAGAGCGACTTACCATCATCAAGCCCATTAAAGGCGCCGCCTTCTTCTCATTCTTCGCCGCCTTGTCCAGCAGAGCCGCGTGCTGAGACTCTAGCTTGGTTTGGGCCCCAAATGCTACGACAACGCGGATAGAAGAGAAGATCTCAAAGGCGAGAGCCGACGCATCCTCGTGGTAGGCCTCGGTGACCTTGTGCAGTTTGATGAACGGAGGTACCAAACCCCCGTACACGATAAGGATGAACGGCAGAGCCGCGCTCGCAACGAAGGTCAGCAACCAGCTTTTGACAAAGGACACGACATATAGTCCGACGGTGAACGCTAATGATTGGAACAACATTGCAAAGCTCTGGGACACGGATAGTTGGATTGTGTTTGCCGACGTGGTGATTCGCGTCGAGACTTTTCCGGGGGATACGGTATCGATGCGGCTCACTGGCTGAGCAAACGTCGCGCGAAGGTATGCCAGTCGCAAGGCTGCAGAGATTCTGAGCCCGCTGATACGAATTGTGAACTGGATAGGTGAGTTAAGAATCCAAAGGCTGTGAAGATGCCAGTACCATCGATAAATACGAGAGGACGAATTTTCCGATGAACAGATAGACAATGTAGAGGCTACGGGGTGATTAGCTTTATCAAGGTGCGTATACACAACTAGAAATCTCTTACGCATTCTTATTGACAGACGACTGGAATTGCTGTTTTGTGACGGTCGTATTTGGCAAAAAGTAGTTTGTAAAGTCACCAACCAGTGATCCTAATAAGAAGGTTAGGGAGAAGAAATTGGCACGCCACGGCCTGCCTACCAAAGACAATGTTCATGAGTGGCATGGCTACACCCGCTCCGATGGATGTGAGGCATGAAACGAGCATGAGGCAGAAATCCAGTCTGGTGCCGTACGCTAGAACGCGCTGATTTTGGTTCGTCAGAAGTGGAAGGAACGAATACGGATTGCAGTTCGAGACACGTACGAAGTAGTTTCCTAGGTTTGCCTGCGGCTTCTCGTTTTTCGTCTTTTCCTTCTCTTTCCCGCCATGGTTGGATTTGGCCAACTCGCCGTTTGCAGCTTCTGTCATGACCACGGTGTTTCCATCCTGCTCGATTGCTGAAGTTGGTAGGTGTTCACCTTTCTCAGGCGAAGCCATTGTGGCAAAAGGTGAGCAGACAAGAGACTGAAGTCAAACGCGGTTCGAATAGGGTTGTGAAGTTGCCAGACTAGGGGTCTTTGAATAGTCGTGTAAGGGGTGGCTGATGCCTGAAGGCTCGCAATACTCGTATTCCCAGTCTCGGCGCCAACATTCCACACGAGGTTAAGGAACGAATAGAACGAAGGCAGCTCCAGACCTCGCAGACCCGGGTTACATGGAGCAGTGCGAGGATTTACCATATGCCGGGCATCAAGGAGAGAACTGGTCGGGTGTTATGAGAAAGAGAGGGCCCTCTGCGAGGGAAGGGGATTGGATATGCATGGTCCGTGTGGTTGACCGCTAATCACATCAGACGTGTCGACCTTGGCATGTACTCTTGGCCCAGATGAGATCAACACGAGTTCCGTCCTTGGGTTTCATCGAATAATAATGCGTCGCCCGGAATTGGATGGATTATTATGATGGAAAAGGAGGCGGGCGCGGAAACAGTGAAGAGGCTGCGTGGGTTGCCGTCCTCACCCGACGCGTCCACGGCCGTTGCCAAGAAAGTCGGTTCTGGAAAGTCCGACGGCCCGCAGCAAACGCCGACTTCCCGCTTGCCTTGAAGTGGAAAGGCTCCATTTCGTGGACTGGTAGCTATAGTCTAGACTATCTCTACGATTCAAGTTGTTTCACACTACATCGTCAGAGTACCATAGCATTTCAGCATTATATTATTATTGGAACCTCATCGTTACGAATTCCCCATCTTTAGCATGGAAGTTGACCACGCCTCAGTACGTCCACCACGCTCGTCATTGCTTGAGCTACCGATTGAACTTGTTCAACGCATTGTAACATTTCTTCCGCCAAGCTCAGCAGCCTCCTTCACGCTTTCATGCCCCGGCTCGCTGAATGTGCTGGGCAACGACTCGTGGTGCGCTCTGATGCACGATGCATCCGAGTGTGCTGAGCTGCTCTCCATCTTGAACTGCACTTGTCTCGAGAACCTGGAGCCAACTAACTCAACTCACGAACCTGGTCCGACTGAGCACCCCGAACCTGTCGTCTGCACACCACTGTATTCGCGATTTGGTTATGTAGTCGAGTGGCTCCACGTCGTCGTCAGATACGTGTTGGACAGACATGCCGACCGCGAGATTGGAGACATCTTGCTGGACGAGTACACAGATGTCATCTACCGCAACCTCAGATTCAGAGACCCTGACTCCAACACCGAAACCGAGAAGTGCGTGCTGGTGGCCATAGCACCACGCATCGTAGCCGGTTATCTTCTATTGCGATGCACTTACACCGTTCTCTTCCCTCCCGAAGATGGGAACGTGCACTTCAGCTCACTCCTCAACTCCGATCTCGATATATGCAAGCATGTTTCCGCTACCCGGCGGAGAGAACCGTGGTATGACATGGGATTCGTAGATCGACTCATCTTAAGACGCGATTATCGGAAGCACTATGGCAGTTCGGCATATGAGAGCGACTTGGAGTCTGATATTGACATCGAAGATTTGGATGACCCTCCGCCCCGGACAAACATATCACTCCATCAGTGCTCCTTTTGCTGCACCGAGTATGAAGCGAGGATTGAGCGGGGCGAGGATGAGGCTTCCACTTCCATCATCGTGACCAGCTGGCACAATCTTGGAGAGATTACCTTGCTGAGCGGCTGCGGGTTCAGCCCACTATGGAAAACCTTTCTCGGGGTAGGCAAACCTCATGACGTGCGCGTTCTCTCCTATCCGCTAGGCAGTGTGAGGAATGTGTTCGAGGTTTGGGATGGTTCACAGCTCGGTGATGTTCGGAGGAAGCCCAACTGACGAGGCAACGGAGATGAATCGGACCATCACATAAGGTTGGGTAAAGCTGGAGGATTAGTACAGTTGCCGTGGGGACACTAGACAAGGTAGGTATACCTTTCAGGATAGAGTGGTATCACTATATGGCTTTCATAGAACGAGGGAGGGACCGAGTCATGCGAAGGACTTGTATTGCTTGTGTACATACATACTGAAGTTGCATGGTACATCTCTGTGCCGTCATTCGGAAAGAAACTTGGAGCTTCTGCCATGAATACTGCTGACTTCCCGTGGGTTTCGATAACCGCCGCTCAAGTTTCAAGCTCCCCTGGCTTCCACGTCTATCGGAACAGCTAGGAGGCATAGCAATATAATACGCCTTGCAAATGGCTTTCCAGCGACTCTATCTGCTAATAGGAAGCTCTACTTATAGCATTGTCCGATGGTAGTTAATCCAGTTGCACCGAGCAGGTAATCTGACCTACAGACCAATTGCGGGCGTAGTGTTCAATCGGATGTGGCAAGGCGCAGTAGAGAAGCATGATGAAGTCTACGAATCCCTGTGAGAGATAATGCAATCATAAAGACAGTTTGGATGGTAATATTTCCATGCCGAACACTGACCTGCGGGAGTCATAAAAAAGTGGCCAATCGATCTAGATTTCGCATTAGAGGACTTTGAGGTCGAAGTTGAGTCCATCTTTTCATTCATCTCAAGTGTCTCTCATTCCAGGTTCTATATCTGAGGAAATGCAACACAATCACTATAGCTATGCATCACGATGCGTCTCCTCCTCTTCGCGTCTCCTCCGGACCTTATGCTGATGTCTAATGCCCCAGACACACGCCACAACGCCCAATATGCTAGATGCAAAGGTCACGTAATAGGCCGTACGGTAGCAGGCGAGCCCTTCGAGGCAAATCCTCTCTCCGCCTGGCTGCCTCTCCGAATGAGCATCAAACACCGCCCCATAGAAGAGATTGTATATGTTGCCGCTGACAACAGGCGCCAGCGTCATGAATCCCCAGTTGACGGCAAATCCGGCAGGACCAAACGCATCCACCACCAGGGCCGGGAAGACCCCAAAAAGGACACCATACGCAAGGCCAGTGAGGCCTGACACGGTCCAAAGGAGATTGGGGTTCTCCAGTCGCATGGCGCAAAGCTGAGCGACCATGAAGATTGCGGCGGAAGCGCCGGCACACCAGAATCGAGACATGCCCAGGCGTTTTACGATGAGGTCGGACCCTATTCCGGAGAGGAGCCTCCCGAAGAAGCTTCCCAACGAAATAACAGACACATGAATCAGCTGCCGTTTGGCGACGAACTCCTTGCTCGCTGAGTCATCATAGTGGTTCCACAGGGCTTGTACGTCGTGACCGATGTTACTGAGAAGGTCAGTGAGTACGATAGAGAGGGACGACGTGACCATACTTGATGGTCATTAGACCGACGCCAGTCAACAACCCCAGGAGGATCCACAGCTGCCAGAACTCAATCTTGGTGAGCAACTCCAGGCCCGTAACATCTATCCATTGTGAGCGTTGAGTTGATTGATTCGCAGGTTCCTCAGGAGATTCCAAAATGTCCCCAGGTATGGATAGGAGGGAAGAACTTTCGTCTGATGCACGAGTTTGTTCGTCATTATCTGCTGGTTGCGGTTGGCTGCTGACAAGGGGCCAAGCAAACAAGATGAATCAAAGCACTTACTCGGCTCTCGTGGAGGGGCTGCAGTGCTGCTATACTTGCTTGAACTAGACTTGGTTCGACGCAGCAGGTTTGAGTCACGCCGCGGTCGGTCGATCGTGGGAAGCGCAGCGTAGCTCGTGCCCCTTTGCTGATCGACAACGTGGAGGAACGGTATGGAGACAAGGACAAGGAGCGATGTGGCCAAGGAAAGCAGGAGAAGGAAAGCGCCGGTATCTCCAGGGAAGGCAAACCCGCCTATAAGCGTGTAAAAGAAAGCGCTTAGACCGAATGCCGCCAGCGGAAAGGCTGTCGCCGTCCCGCGGTGTGTCGGCCAATTCAGAGTTGCTGTCTCATTCAGCAAAGGGGTTCCAACAGTCTGGGACATTGAGCTCACCAATCTTCAAGGCGGCCTGGAATGAAGCGCAGCTCCCCACGCCGGTCAAGAAGGAGAAGAAGGAGATTAACCCGACACTCATAGATCCGACGCCATTCTCATACGCTTTCTCAGGTTAGCAAACCTATCTATGAAGAGTGTGGGTGAGAGAAGTTCTGGGGGTGTCGATAGGTATCCAACATACCACGGTGAATGGGGAAGTAGCCGAGTCCTAGTGCAAGCATGCCAACCGACGCAGCGAGCCGTGGACTCCTCCTATCTGTGATGAATCCCATGGGGATTCCTGAGGCGTACATCCCAATATTCGCACTTGTGCCCTATTCGTATAAGAATCACGGGGACGAAGAAGGGCGGAGGATCGGCGTACAATGACATTGCTCTCCGTCGCGGAGAGCTTCATCCTCTCGGCGAATCTGAATCTATCAGCCATCAGGCGTCGAAAGGTACGGGGATATGACGAACTGCGGCGCCCAGGCTGAGTAGGCATACTGTGGGTATTTGATTAGCTTGTATTGCAACCTCAAGTAGGTAAACCAAACCCACGTTTGTCCCACAAGCAAGTGACACAGCGGTCGCCGCCACGACCGACACTACTCTGAGTTTCTTGTGCGCCATCCTTTCCGCCACGGTCATGGTTGCTCGCAAAGAGCTGGAAGAGTACCAAGGTAGAATTCAACGAGACGCATCGATGATGATAGGGCTTAGAAAGGGCCTGATGCCGACACAGAAGAAGAAGGCAATAACACCCGTCGTATGGCGTGAGCTATTTGGAATGGATAGATATCAGTAGATCTCTGCGCATGTCCGCGGTGAATTGAGTCCAAACGGTGATGTCTGATGTTGCGACCTCGGGAGACGCCTTCAGGGCTGTCGATAAGCTAAAGGCCCGGCTTGGCGCGGCTCTTACGGACCATGTCACATGCGACGGCACTCATTAATTGGAAGGGCACATCTACTCCAGGGCTGTACATACCACTCAATAATAGCGAGCATACCAGAAAGTCGACTGCGCCGCCTCTAAGTAAATAGCTGCAGCGATTCCGAGTCACCCGGGCCAGCGGACCTGGGCGGCTGCTTGCGAAACAATACCTACACAGTAATAATCAGCGATTTTGGAGTAGCATCTTGAGGGTCATCGCCAAGTGAAATCGGCCCCAGAATTTCTCGGGCGATTAATAAAAAAAGGGTTAGGCAACGGCGCTAATAATAAGAGGGGTAACTCCTCATCTCCAATACGAGCTGCGCCTCTTTTGCCCGAAATCTCTCCTCAGCAGATAAGAATTTAAATCAGTCGCCCGACTTTGCGTCCTTTATAATCCCTCCCTGACCAGCTCCTTCGCACACATTCTTTCAGCTTTTCTTCTTCTGCCGCTCGTTTGTTACGCACATAAACCTCACCGCACCTCGAATCACTTCCTCCACCTCGCCGTTCGCTCAGGACTCGACATTGCTACCTAGGTACTCCGTATATCCACCAACCTCCAACATGAAGGTCCCCCGAACTCTTGCCGCTGCCGCTCTCGTGGCCGGCGCCTGGGCACAAAGTGCAAGCATCACCGCGCCTCCATCCACCTCTTCCAAGGCCCCGGGAGACAGCAACGCCATCACAACTTCCGTACTGTGGGCCGCCGACGGCCCGTTCCAGTCCGTCCCTGGGGTTGATCTGCCATCCGACGATATCACCCTAGTTGGTAGCATAGTTACAGTAAACCCCTCTGGCACCGTCGTACACATCGATTGCCCTTACCCGAAAACCGCCGCCAACGCCGATGACGTTTGCAGCTTCTTCAGCTCCCTCAGCTATACCCTCAAGCCAAGCTACGAGGCCATTCATATCGATTTCTCCCTTTCAACCCGCCTGTACGGCGTGGGAGCTTCCATCGGAGGCATTGGAGATAGCGTATGTACCAGCACGAACACCCAGAGCTTGAACTGTGCAGCCACCATGACTGCGCGCGTCTCGGCCGAAGGCACCAAGACGGAGTCTGTCACCTCGTCCACATTCACTCTCGCGGATCCGACATACACAGCACTCACCATCACCGGAGGTCTGGACAAAACCCGCGCCGTCCCACAAGGGACACAACCGACTGGCGCTGCTGGTAGCCTCCGAGCTCGCACACTCTTTGGCGCCGCCGGTGCTGTTGCTGCTGCCGCATTGGCCCTTTGAGACGAGCGGTATTCAGCGCTTCGTTCCGACAGTCAAGAATTCTCTGTCTGCGATTGCGGGTATTACATGGGTTGCGTCTCTGGTATTTAATTCACCCGTAGATCCGTTGTAGTTCACCATTGGATACCCCTGATTTGCATCCTTCCTTCAATACCTGTCGGTTCCATTGTACTTCACAAAGTCATGTGAAGCCACGCCAATGCTCTTTTGTACATAGGAGAGGGACTACAGCTACGGCCGACCGTATGATATATCCTTGGATTATATACCTTTTTCTCTGTTGGCCTACAATAATATACATATCTCTTAGGCGAAACAGCAGCCTCCTCAAACGCACGTTTACTTTATGCTAACGAAATACTAGATTGATCATGCTTTGCGGCTAACTCGACCCCGTCGTCTAGACTTTGATCTTGTCCAAGTCCTTTCTCTCAACCGTCCAACCGTCAGCCCTCGCACCGTCTCCGGTGAAGAAGCTGGAGACGCTTGTGTCGCCCTTCAACACCCAGCGGAAGTACAACTGTGCAGCCTTCCCGAATTTACCGCCATTGACTTGATCATACGTCCCGCCGTGGCCGACTGGCAGATTGCCATTCCAAGAGGGGACTCCTGACGAGAGTGCCCTGTAGTCGCGCATGCCCTTTCATGAAATCAGTTGTAAGGCCATTGAGATTGTTTGCAAGGTCACCTACGTTATTGTATGCAATGTCGCTCGGCCCGCCCAGGAAGTAAAATACCGGCTTTCCCTTGATGTACGGAACAACCTTCCTCGTACCATCCTCGCTCATCTGGCCCGAGTTGAAGATTCCGAGTGCTTTGACTCTTGCATCCTGAGCCTGCTCGTAGGCCTCGACACCACCGCAGGACCATCCCGCAGCTGCAATGGCGTTCTTGTTGACCTTGGCGAACACTCCACTCGTGGAGCTCGAGGCGAAATCAATGCTGGCTTTCATCATAGCGGCTGTGGTCGAGCCTTGCTGATTTGGACCTCCTGAAGCAATGGCTATGAAGCCCCAGGACGCTATCTCCGTGAGAAAATTCGCTTGGGAGAGTCCGTTTGCAGAGCAGGCACCATTGCCCCACACAACCACAGGCATCGTCCCGTTCACAGCGTTGAGGTTCTGAGGGACGTATATCGTATGGTTTGGCAGCCCAGGGTCAGTGGTGTATTTCTTGTCCTGTTAGCACGAAACCATGTGCCTGGGAGTCATCCAGCCTACCGCCGGGTACGGGCCTGTGCCTGTACTCCCTTGCCGTTCCACCAAAGGCTGCAGAGGGGTGGCAGAAGCTGCCGCTGAAACCAGAACGGAAAATGCAACCGAAGCCTTCATGTTTTGGAGGGATTGGGTTCAAAATCTGAGAGAATCTACCGTTGGCTTTTGTCGAGAGGCAACGCTGTGGAATCCAGCGCCCTTTTATACCATATGTGTCCTGTTATTCTGCCAGAAATTGGTGGGATTTCCACCAATGTCCTTTTATTATCGCCATCATGGACAGCAGGTCCCCCAGTTGAGCCATTGCTTGAACCGATTCCCGCCGGTCTTGGTTATTCATATGCAAACTCTGACGCGGTCACTGGCGATGATCGCATTCATGACAGAGATACCGATTTCGATACCCGAGTGCTAGATTTGGAAGATGCGAATTGCGCATAATGCTCTGCACGATAACCGAGCGTTGATCGATTTGCGGGGAAGGGTGAATGCCCGGCAAAAGACGCGAAAACCGGGTTACGAATATATGAAACGTCCTGCAACGACCGAAGGGACTCCACTACCCAGACCTGTCATTTTGCGCAACGGGAGGATATTCTGCGGCTCTAGGTTGACCTCACCGATATGAAAAAGTATGACTTTTGCCACAGTCTATTATTACGGTTACCGGTTTGGATTCTCAAACTTACTTGGTGGAAATATGGTATGGCATGAAAACTCATTGTGAAGGGCCCAAGAGGATGATTAGACCGCGTGATCGTGTGCAGAGGATATTCGACAAGGTCCATGACGTCAACTTCCATGATTCTATGAACATTATCCTCGCCCACCAACTCAAAGGCGCACAAAAGTTTGCTAGAAGCTGTCGAACACCGTAGCCCTAGAAGAGTAGTAAGAAGAGGGAGACACCATATCAACATAGGAGAGCTGCGGCTTTCTACGTCTAACTGAACACCGGGCTGTGTTTCCTCTGTAGGTGGAAGTACCCTCCTAGCGCAGGTCAATTGGCTACAACCTAAAATTGCTACAGGTGGAATTTTGTTTTAGAACTTACTACACGTAGGGCCGCGCTACAAAGCTAATTGCAGGACCTGCAATATTGCTGCCTCTGCTAACTGTTTAAGCGGACGTAGAAAACCGCAGTACAGAGCGATTACAGCGCGGGGTTTAGTTAGATTTAAAAAGTTAGAAAGAAAGACTTATTGTTAAGACAGAAAGACAAGTAATTAGAGTAACATAAATTAAGGTTGCAAATAAAAGATAGTTGTAGATACACACGAATATCTAGTTAAATACCGTTACTTACTCGAGGGCAAACTATAATAATTAGAGTAACATAAATTAAGGTTGCAAATAAAAGATAGTTGTAGATACACACGAATATCTAGTTAAATACCGTCACTTACTCGAGGGCAAACTATAATAACGCTAAGTTTTGCAATCTCCCTTAATACTGCGGCACATTCTGCTTCCCCCTTAAGCGCGACCGTATCCCTATTAGCTAGGTAGTAGAGGTCCTAATTAATCTTGCTTTGTTGCCGTAGTATGTTAACGGCATTGTTAATATCTTGTAGGTTAATTAGTTGTAGCTCTCTATTATCTAGAACTGTAAAAACTCGGTCTTTCAGTGCAGCGCATGCCGCTTCCTGCCATGTGTTGTGGTACTCCTACGTCCATTGATAGGTCTTGCACTTTCCCGCTTGCACAAGCGGAACCGTCACGAGTTGTATTGTACCTAGCTGCTGACCCGCATCGAGGCACGAGGTATGTTACAATCACCGCTAGTAGGCATTATATAGAGGTGAAGTGGCAGCTGCAGTTCGCCATCCTCCCTATTCCTCAGTCCTCCACAAAAGCTTTTAGACTTATAACATGAACTATATACGTAACTACATCAAACATCAGCTACAGCTACAGCCGTACCCAACGTTTGCACGAGGCTACTTGAGGTATTCCGCTTGCTTGTTGTTCTATCCACATCAGCAATGCCTCGAACGAACGCCCCAAAGACAAACGTCGCCCCGCTTACGTATATAATCGCACCAGAAAGCGTTTCCAGCGGATACACACGTATAGATCGAGCGTGTTCACAAAGTAATAGGACAAACCAGCTCCGCCCTTTTGCGCCGAACCAAACTTTACCTGGCCTTAGGGACAGTCTCGTCGATGATACCACAGTTGAGCGCAGGGACGTCGTAGGCGCGCTGGATCCCCTACGCCCAGGCGGCGGTAAGGATAGGGGTACGCCGGGTCTACCGCCCCCTCTGCGACTTCATAGGGGTTCGGTGTCGCGGATAAAGGATATGCTTGTTGTTTGGGGCCGGAATGGTCAGGACGGTGCGGAGACGGTCTTTAATTGCGTACCACGGGATGTCCCATCAAAAAAGAGGTGGACTTCCGAACCCTCCGTTCCGTGCCGCGGAAGTCCCATCGAAAAAGTGGTGGTTCCAAAAAGTGGTGGCTTCCAAACAGTATACGCAGCACGGCGATGCGGGCGAAGAGGCTTTTCCACCGGACGATCCGGCGGCACCGGAAGCAACACTGGGATGACGTCCTAGACAACAGCGACAACATATAGAAGGCGGCCAAGTACCCTGGATATCTTGACACGAAGGCGACAGCCTCGTTCGCGCGAGTGCCTCCAATCAAGAAGACGGGAACGGAAGACGAATTCGTTACGGAGAACCAGGATACAGTATTGCGGATGAGCTGCTGCGGGCGTTCTTCCCGCCTCCGCCGTCATGCGAGCCGGAAGACGCTCTGAGCGCATACAGCCAGCTGCCATGGGAGCCGATTGCGAAGGACGAAGTCAAGAATGCGGTGTTCAGTAGGACAGCTGGCCTGTCTTAGTCATTGACTTGTTCAACTCATTGATGATGCCGCAGAGCAGCATCGTCTTGCCCTTGCCGGGGTCGCCCTTGATGCATAGCAGTTGGCTCTGCTTATCGTCACGCCATCGTTGGAAGTCGGAGTTCTCGAGGATCTAGTGGTATGAGTCCTCTAGCAGTCCACCCTTGGTTTCCTCAATACGCTTCTTGTCATCACAGGGATCTGTGAGTCGTAGTTCTTGCAGGCATTTATCCAGCTTGTCAATCTCCTCCTCGAGCCTTTTGAACGCCATCGAGCCAGGAGGATGGTTCATGTATACTGAGTTCGGCTAAGTTTTTACATCCAAACCATAAGAGAGTCTAGGGATCGTCTGTAGTAGACACTATAAGGTGCGTATACATTCGTACGCTTGGGGCTGTTTTGCAGTTCCAACCCAAGGGTAATGACACTACACCAACTTATCTCCCTATCTCGACCTCACGAGCCTACCAGCCGCACTTGATAGGGTAAACTAATAGTCGCAATACGTAGATTGTAAAGCATTGTCCAGGCATTCTCCAACCGCTTCATTAGGTTAATGCCTTCTCTCCAACCATGTAGTTTGGTCAGCTTAGTTCCTTTACGGCTCCTTGGCAACTCCTTCTTAGCACATGAAAATTCGTCTGGAAGCGTTAACGCATAACAACTATCCCGCCTCGTGACGCGTCAAAATCCTCCAGGAACACTGGTGGTTTACCATCTCTCTGGGGCCGTGCGGCCCTTGCCGATGCGGGTCGCGCCCCGCCGCTACTACTACCTGTTACCACGTCCGATGGAAATCTAGGGGTTGCAGGGCGTCGCAGGGCTGTAGCGACAGGGAAGTATTTAGCTGTGTAGGGCTTGAAAACCGCCCTTAAAGCTACATTAAACAGATCTTCTCAAGGAAAGTAACTTAAAAGTCTGCCGCTAATCCGATAGGTTAAGACGCCTTATTTATTACAGTTAAAGTGCCCCACTTTCTATCGGACGTGGAGGAAAGAGGCAGTACTTAGTAATGTTCTGCGGGACGGCCCGTCAGGCTCTAGGCTGGGGCGCTGTGGTGTCATCCTCCATTTGGTCTATACCGTCACAACGGCTAGTTATAGGGAGGGTCCAGGCTTAGATTTGTAAGAGTCGGGCCTGTTTTAGGTGTATTCTGATAGAAAAGAAGTAAAAATCACCCTTCTAGCAAAATCGAAAAGTTGGTGTTGGTGGTATACGTATACAGACCGTACTACCTCCCTAGAATGGATCAGTAAACCCGACCGATGCAGCGAATGTTATCAAATACGTTCTCGGCTGAGCTACCAAACAAGAGTAGTTGAAATCCTTCTCCTACGCGTCATTCTTGGCTCAAGGGGTTTTAGACCACGACGATGCGTTTTTGGTAATCGAGTCTGATCATGTGCCGCATCGACAACGGCTGCGATGAACTAAAAGTGAAAATAGACGATTAAGGTACGCCGCCTATAGTGCAACGCGTCTTTAGCTGTATGCCCACGGCGCATTACGCGGCCTATAGTGCAACGCGTTTTTCGCTGTATGCCCACGGGACATTACGCGTCCTACAGTGCAAGGCGTTTTCTGCTATATGCCCACGGGGCAGAATGTGGGAACAAACCACCAGGAATTGTTGTTGTTGATAGTATATTAAGAGCTGAGGTGGCTTATTGATCGGCATCAAAGCATCGACTTTGCCTCTACACTCGTTTTCTATCCCATTCCTCTATTGTCTCATTCATTTTCCATCGCATTCCCGCATCATGCGCTGGGAGAATCTTGGTCTCTTCTTCGGGGCAGCCCTCTGTGGCACAACGGCAGCAATTGCCAACTTTACTACTGAACTCAACATCATTCCAGGAGCATACATCGTAGAGCTTCATGACGATCACGTAAAATTTGCCCACTCTAAAAATTGAATTATGCTGAGAATCGGCTAGCACCCAAACTCGTTCATGAGGACAATCAAACCTCAAGGAATCGCACTCCGACAAACGCTGAACTATAAACTTTTCAAAGGTGTTTCGATTCAATTGGACAACAAAACTGCTGACCTGGAAACTGCCATCAGCCAGATTGCAAGCCAGGACAATGTCAAGCAGGTTTGGCCCGTCAGGCGGATTCCGTTGCCCAACGACACTGTAATTTGGAAAGCCGGAGATGGCCCTCTGTCTCGTAACGCGTGGAGAAAGCGGCAGCTCAGCAACACCAGCGAGTCTTACGCGCCTCATCATAAATCAACTCAGGTCGATCGTCTCCATGCCAAGGGCGTGACCGGAAAGGGGACAAAGATTGCAGTCATTGATACGGGAATTGATTGGAGGGTAGGTGGCGACTCAAAAATATCGTTTCTTTTCATGGCTGACTCGAGTTAGCATCCCGCCTTAGGTGGTTGTTTTGGCGAAGGTTGCCTTGTTTCGTATGGAAAAAACTTTTCCGGTAGCGACACTGAGCCACTTGATTGTATAGGTCACGGTACACATGTGGCAGGTATTATAGCTGCCCAGAAGAACGAGCTCGGAGTTCTCGGAGCAGCTCCTGGAGTTACTCTTGGAAGCTATAGGGTATTTGGATGCGTCGGGGGAGGTGAGGAGGACGTTTTGCTTGCTGCGTTCAACCAAGCGTTTGAAGACGGAAGCGACATCATCACAGCCTCTGTGGGTGCGCCAGGTGGCTTTCCCGAATCACCTATGGCGGTCGCTCTTCAGCGTATTGTCGAAGCTGGCGTGCCATGTACAGTCTCAGCGGGCAATGGCGGCGGTGGTGGTCTTTTCAATGCCGAAACTCCTGCGGACGGAAAAGGTGTCGCATCCATCGCATCAACAGAAAACACCGAAATTCCCGACCTCCTCCTCGAGGGTCACTATGCGGTCGACAACTCCTCCAAGACGACCTTTTATTGGAAACAGGGATATTTCTTCAATGAACATACCTGGAGCAACATCAGCCTTCCTCTTTGGGCAACGCCGTACAACAATTCCGGCACAGAGTGCGAAATGTTACCATCAGACACTCCTGATTTATCAGATCGAATTGTGCTCATCAGAGCAGCGTCTGCATGTTACGATATCGGGGTTGGACAGTTACTAGAGGATGCAGTTTCCTATGGCGCGCGCCATATGCTGCTATATGTGGATATTCCAGGCCCGGTATATTCATATATAACAGATAAGGATATCGACTCCTACGGATTCATTCCCTATAACCAAGGACTGGAATGGGCAGAGGACCTTGCAAAAGGCAGACGCATCTTAGTCGACCTCCCGAACCCTGCCACTGCGAATCAATTTCTCAAGTCCGATCCCAACCCCAAAGCTGGATATATCAGCGAGTTCTCGACTTGGGGGCCTGGAAATAGGATGGAATCTACAACTCACTTTGCCGCGCCTGGCTCTTTCATTTTTTCAACATACCCATTGGATCAAGGTGGCTACGCCGTTCTCTCTGGAACCTCTATGGCTACCCCTCTGGCTGCTGCCATTTATGCTCTTGTGGGTCAGGTTCGAGGTACACTTGATCCAAACACAATCAAAAGCGTGATTGCGTCAACTTCCAAACCCAATGTCTTCTGGGCTGGCGGCCAAGCTTACCCTTACCTTGCACCAACGGCCCAACAGGGTGCGGGCCTTATTCAAGCTTACGACGCTGCCTATACTACCACAGTCCTGACTGTCCCCGAAATCTCATTCAACGATACAGATCATTTGGTCGCAAACGTCACATTCACTATCAGAAATATTGGTGACAGAGAGAAGACGTATTCGTTGTCAAACGTTCGCGCTGCCACAGCTTATTTCCGAGACGAAAACATGCTCCCTCATGCATTCCCTCCCGCAATGGACACCAAAGGCGCCGAGTTATCGTTTAATTCCGAAAAGATCACAGTCCCCGCGGGTGGCGAAGCGGTCGTTGTCGTGACGCCGACTCCCCCTGACCTCAACAGCAAACGTATACCTGTTTACAGCGGGTTCATCTGCCTCAATGCCAGCGATAACGAGTCGCTCAGCTTGCCGTACCTTGGAACGTCTGGAAGTCTCTACAATCTAGATCCTTTGGACAAAACCCCAGGGCGAATGATCGGCGTTCTGGAAGGGAGGTGGTCGAAACCGATTCAAGGAAACGAGACCTTCACTTTCCCAATTCCGAAGGGTCCGAATGACCCGATTACCTACACATACCCAGTCGTTGGTATAGTTAGCCTAATTGGTACTCCAGAGTTCCGTTGTCATGCCATTTCCCTTGACCCAGCTCTTAATCAACAAGAGCATGCTGGGTTCAAAGTCGTTGGCATGCTCAAGCACTTTCCGATTCGCCTCTTGCCAAGGGCGGTGGTGCTTGCTAATATCATCAATGGTTTACTTGAGGATGATAGCTATATGCCGGCAGGTGGTTACAAGATACTGTTTTCGGCTCTCAGGAACTATGGGGACGCTAGCAAACCAGAAGATTGGGACACTGTAGTATCTCTTCCTTTTTTTATCAACTATACAGATGAAGCAGCAAAGAGCATAGGATAGATTTGGAATAACAGTTAAGGTTTTTATTTTATTTCCTTCTATTTGTTAGGGCCATTTTTTGAGATATTGAGATTTCCAGCTTGATGGAGGGGGGTCGAGCGGGCAGAAGTCGCACAGCGGAGGGAGCTGAGGCTATGCCTGACTAGGAGAAGGGTTCCAGGGACCTGATCTCGGCACACAGCTTTTGTATGGTAGCCTCAACAAAATCCTGTGCTGCTACCTTGTCGTCACTGAACGCTTTCTGCTACTAATCACATCTCGCGATCCTCGAGATGCCGCGCTCCGAGACGAAGCCGAAGCGTAATCGGCTACACCTAATACTACTCAATCGGGTTCTTGAGAGCTCTCTGCGGACCAATTGGACTCTCAAATCCAGCGGGAGACTACTGTAAGCCGGCCAACAATAGCAGGGATTCGGCGGAGTCAAGAGGCCTTCGGGCAGCCATATCCTCCACCCCGTATACGCCGAGGGCGCCCCCAAGAGTTCCGCAAAGGTTATATCGACGCTCTGCTCGAGCAGCTCCGAATACAACCCGATATGTACTTAGACGAGATGGCGGTTTTCTTAAAAGAGGATTACGGGATTGAGGTGTCTGTCTATCTGGGCGATTCAAAGGGCCTATCAACAGGCCCTCGCGGAGCTTATACAACTTCAACCGCTCTCGAAGATGGTCTATCCTGCCTGATATGAGCGTCCATGGCTACGTCGCTCATGCGCTGGTCCATGGGAGCGTCACTGCTGAGATCTTCGAGCACTTCCGCAGAGCACCCGTCACCCGGGACCCTAATCGATATTGGTAATGTATAACGCCTCAATCCATCGCGGCGATGGTGTGAAGCAGCTCTGTCGCAATTTTAGGGTTATCTTAGAGTACCTGCCGCCATACTCGCCCGATTGGAATCCGATTGAGCAGAGCTTCAAGCAGCTTACGAGTTGCCTACGCCGGCAGCGATTTGACAACGAGAACTTCGAGTATTTTGTAACAGTATGAGTCGAGAGAGAGTGGACGAACTGCACTTTTTGTTCAGGTCTGTCGCAGAGCGGCTTTATATAACCAGCCAGGCGGATGTATATACATCCAATCATGTAACCGTTA